CCCCCCATTCCCCCCATTCCTTCCATTCCCCCGTTCCCTCCGTTCCCGTTCCCCCCGTTCCCCCCGTTCCCTCCGTTCCCCCCGTTCCCTCCGTTCCCCCCGCTCCGCCCGTTCCCCCAGTTTCACATAGGTTTGATGATCTTAGTGCGAAAGCATCTTTGATAGCGACGTGTATTATTTCATTTCCCACAAGTGTATCACTTCTCGCGGCACGATCTGGGCTTTTTCGCATCTGTTACCGCGACATAGATTATATACCAAATTCATCGGGAATTTACTTCGGACGTTTTGCTTTTACTGGTTTGCAGAATTTTTCCACTGATCAGATGGCTGAGATCGCCGCTTCGTCTTTTTGGTTCGTAAAATCCTTTATCGTGCTGAACAATCTCTGTGCATTGCATCGCTTTTACTTACTCTCGGCTTTGCTGGTCGTTTCACGCTTTTATTCTGCGCCGGATGCCTGCCGTCTGCACCCTCCGAAGTTTCTCCATCGCTGGTGCTGATGCTCTTGGGGAGCACAGTAGCTTTCACATACTACTGAGCGCGTCGGTTGATGCTTGTTTCATGCAACACGGAATCAGTGCTATTTATATTTCTGGAAGCCTCCAAGCTCTAATTCCAGCTCTTCTGCCTGGTATAGCGCGGAGTTTTGTATTGGAAGTCCGCCTTGCCCAAAGTGAGATTCTGATGCAGCATACCCGCTCATGATTCCACAATCAAATGCGTTCGGTTGGGGTGGTTAGGTGCGGCGCATCACCCGCCACTGAAGGGTCACACGGGGGACTGGCCGGTTGGGTTTCGCGGCTCGCAGACCTTCCGCTTAATCTAACAGTGTGGCCATACGCAAAAACTTCTTCCTTTTAAGGTTTCAGGTTGGTGGCGATATTACTTGCTATCCCGTTTGTGTATATCATTTACTAGTTGGCATTTTCTATGTCGTGTGCCATAGTAACGCATCGCGAATTCTGGCCGTCTCGTCACCCGACGTGCGCCTCGCCGATCAATAGAAACGCGGTAATGACCTCTTCTTGAGCGACTGCTTTATCGGGGCCTCTTGTACTTGCGATCGGATCCTAGCAAAGTATTGTTTTGGCTTCAATGGTATTTCAATCTTCAAGTAAATGTATTCAACCGATATTCGCCGCTCTACGCACAAGCGTCCGATGAGTTTTTCTCCCAAAACATCTTTCACTTATGGAACTGGACGTGTTGTGTTGTGGATGACCGGGGATGCCGAATATTGGAAAAAAAACGAGACGTAGTAGCTATTTCCGAGGAGTAGGGAAAAAAGAAGAAGTTAGATGTGGAGGCGCTACCACGAAGGCTGCAAGAGTGATGTCCGTACGACGATATGGTTGTGTGATCCTGTCGTCTCCAGCATATCAATTATCCGTACGACTGAATGCTCCTAGACGCTATCAGAGACCGCGTAGATTCGCACTCCAGGTCTGGTCGTAACTTTTCTTTTGGACTGACGCATTTGCAGATCGAGCTGCATCACGACGTAACGCATATCGCAAAAGTGATATTTCCGGAATTATTTTTCAAAAAGACTTTCTTCAACCACCTGAGTCCTCGCAATGGGGAAGCATCAAAGAGCAATGAGCTGGCTGATGCCCCCCTCACAATTTACGACAATTACCGCGTCAATGGTGCTGGACATCGGTGTGACGTAAAAAGATACGAATACAGGGCATTGAGTTGCCTCACGAATGCGAGGAACCAAAAAATCTTATCTTTCGTCTTTTTCACGATAGGCGCCCGCTTTGTGCTGTACGCGAGCCTTTTTCGCGAAGGGATGCGGCCAATCATCGATATTCTCAAGAACGCTCGCTAGCATGAACAGGAGATCATATTCGTCGACAAGAGCACATCATGCAAGTCGACGAATTCTGCTTCTGCTATCCGCGCCGCTAGTTTAGAACTTCGTTCAGTCTCGGGGCTTGTCATCTCAAGGGAGAAACTGTCAGGTATGATCAAAGGCAGACGAAGAGAGATTTATCCCTTTTATCCTGCCGTACTTCATTTTTTTGGACCGAGAACCCGAACGCGAGGCCGATATGGATTTGAGTGTGGCAAAAATCACGGACGGAAGAAACGACATTGAAGTCTTCTCCAGAAGCGTTTCATTGTCGGCCGGTTATGCGAGTTCAAGTCATGTTTTGTGAATATCGACCCCAGAGTTCTCTCTGCCTTCATGATAGAGATCTGTCCTGAGCTCGATGGAAGCAACAAAGAGGTAACCGGCGAAGACCGGAACACCTGCTGGGAGAACTATTTCGATTCCAAACGCCCCAAACCGGTCAAAAAAAGTACTCACGGGGACCATCGATAGCGATGGCGTATACAGATGTGTACATTATTAGCGGTTGCATGTACTTCGTCCTATCCCGTCTTCGTTATCGCCCATACCGATGCACGGAAAGAAGTAGAACGGCCAGGGGACGTGTAATCCCCACGTGAACGTCTTTGTCGTTGGTAGTAACTCCTAGAACACGAATATCATAACCATCGCTGTACCCAAGCATGCGGAAGATTGCTCCAACGGCAACTTGCACCAGAAATATACGCGTCTTTTGAGGTTCTCGCGAGCGACATACTATCGAAAATCTCGTATAACGAATGCGGGGAAGAATATCGAGACTTGGTACACAGGAATGAAGGATCTCGTGGAAGCTTTGGGCGAGGTGACCGTCTGAGGAGCAGACTTTAAATCTTTTCGGAAATTTATGGAAGTTCGCATTGCTCATTGGGATGTACTGTGGGAGGAGTATACGAATCCCCGGTTGGCTCGTCTGCATATGAATTCGTATTGTGGGAAGCAGCGAGCGTTCGCGAATTGTTTCAATGAGTTGAGTACCCTGAAGGAGGATGAAAGTCAAAGGCTCAGAGTAGCATACGGAGCAGGGCGATGAGCGTCGAAGAAAGGAACTACGCCAGCTCCAACGACGAGGGTGGACAAGCAGTGCGCACGGCGTCTCGTTACGATACCTGTATATGAGTTCCGAACATCGTATACACACTATGAGCTGGTGTGTACTCTCCAGAGATTCGAGATGGAAAAGTGCCATAGGAGTCCCGAGGATGTCAAAATGTACAGAACGCTGACGGAGGAGCGTATGGAAAGGAGGGCGAACGTTCGAGGACTAGTTGCATTAGTACGTTCAACCAACGACGGCAAAAAATGTATGGAATTCGTGGATCGAGACTTGAATGCCGCTATCAATATACGGAGATGTGCGGTGGTGGAGCCGAGACCTCCTGGGTAGACAAGAGGGAACTTTGTTTGACAATCCTGCAGAGTAGATCAATATGAGAAGAAATTGGAAGCCGTAGTACGTGGCCGGTCCATTAAGACCGGGAGGCGTCTGCACATCAGCTAGAGACGTCTTGTCTAGGGCGGGTCACTCGCCACTACTGTGCGCCGCTGGCAGCAACGTTTTCTTTGGAAGACATTTGCTGTCGCTGGCGTCGTCGTCATAAAAATCGCAACCCTCAATTCGGAAACAATCACCCCGAACAATTTTTTCCGAAAGCTCGGAAAGATAGAGACCACGGGTATTTGCTCGCCGCAGGGATGTCACATCTCTGTTACAGGACGATTTACGTCATCGCATACGCTTAGTTCGACCATTTCTACATGAACAACAGTAAGCGAAGATTCTAACACACATCCTTTGACTCGGAGGCAAAAGTGTACCAACAAAGGCACGAAGATGACCATGCCGTTCAAAACATGGAGATGGTGCTCTGCATCGGGCAAGTCGCCCTTGACGCATTACGAAGATTGCGAACGTCTTCTGATTCGAGTCTTCAGAGTGAGCATGCTGAAACGCTATCTCTTCCGTACGCAGGCTGGAGTCTAATAAAAATGAAGGAACTGCTGCCGTCCAGTATATAGTATAGCAATCTCAAATTGCGAAGCGTTAAAAGCATTCAGTCAGGTACTCCATGATGACTTCGCCTTCAGAAATCCGGCGTTTATCACATTCGATCTCCCCTCGTAGCCAAAAGCACCATTATGACGTTGATTTCTTGCCACTGAGGCGGCGGCGGTCACCGCCAGCGCCAAGACTGACCGAATAAGTGTTGGATACAGGCCTCCTCTTCGGGGCCGCGACCCTCCCAGCGAAAAACATGCAGAGGCTGAACCAGCAGATCCCCGAACAGAGTGGGTCTCGACAAACCGCTAAGATTCGCGTACCCAGCACCAAAAGCGTGCATATAATGGAACACAGTATCAGTGAAATACCCTGGGCCTGCGACTTCCATAACATCCATTCCTTCGAGCTTCTCCCTAGACAAACGTGTACAGTTCACGAAAATACCGTGAATCGCGGAACCAAACAGTGGATGAAGCGGTGTAGAGGCCAATGTCCATACGGATACCTGAATCTGCCTGACGACAATCATGTCTTGCCAATTGGGTACATGGCTGAATTCCGCTTCTAGACCGACCATAGCTTGCGTTCCTTCGAGCATGGGCCATTTCCGGATCGGCTGCAAACAAACCGTATCCGTATCTGAGTAGAAACCTCCGAAAACATAGAGTACCAGGTATCGCGCGAGATCTGAAGTGGTCGCTACCCGGGTAATCTTCGCATACACCGGAGCCAAAACAGGATAGAATCGCCTTATTAAACACGCAATATCATTATCACGCCAGAGCGCATAGTACATATCTGGATTTTTGGTCCGGAAACTCTCCTGACTGCGTGAGAAGCTACTCGGGAAAGGACGGTTGCCCAGCCAAATCTGGTGAATAATTGGCGGAAAGAGGTATGGGTACGACGACCCCTGAGCTTGTTCGACGTGACTCCGACTGATATTCTCAACGGTGTCAAGTAGCGTCGATCTGCATAAACCAGCAGAAAGAACGTGCTTGTCGCTACTTCCAGCGCTAAGGCGCGAGGAGAAAGCCCAGAAACCGCTCGAACATAGGAAGCTGGCAGAAAAGTACGTCCACACGAGGAAAACTAGAACTAGTACTAGTGCTAAGACTTTCGGTGGACGAGTCACACACCCAAAAGTGCTCGGCAACATAGCAAGAACCTCGCAACCGAGCGTAAAGCCTGTTTAGACGCTGAGCGAGTCACAAACACGAGCACAAAAGGCTTTTACCGCTTAAACGTTCGACCTATACGGTAGCCTAGTTACCGACGCGCGTTCCAGCGCTCTCTCCTCAAGACAGAGTTGCTTTCCGAATCCAGAGCAGTACGTGTTCGCGGCGCGCACCGTAAGCACACCGACAGCGCTTGTCCGGCCAGACGCAGGACTGTATTGAACTCTTACCCTGAGAGATTCTGGGTAGAGCGGAATCTGGTAAGTAGATTTCGTGCGTCTATTAACCGCCGACGCGCCGATATGCTCCTCTCGGATACTTTAACAGGCATGGGAGGCGAGATAGGTCTATAAGTCCTCGAGAAATGCTTCTCGCCCTGGATGCTGCAACTGGCATCTCGTCAGATCATCAACCAGCCCAAGCGACAGCATTCAGGTACTTCGAGTGTACAGACAGCGTCGTCGCATACTATGTGCCGCGTCCATGTGTGCATAATGAAAGCATAACGCCTCCAAATGCGAAGATGCGATGCAATCCTGACGTGCACGGACTTGGCCTTCGCGATCTGCGACGCGAGTGAGTAAGAAAATGAGGCCCAACCTATACCAATATTAGATGAGATGATGGTGGGAACGTCAAATCGCTCGCAGTGTATCATTACCCGACTAGACATGCATTTTCCTGTCTCTTTCCGCATTTCAGTTAGATGTGCAAAGTGATCTCGAACCGTGGCGAAAAACGGGCCGCGACTGCATCTTTCTACGAAATCAATTTGCTGAGGTCTCCGTATTCCAGTATAAATATTCTCCGTTGACGTTCCTTTCGTCGACAAGAAGCGGATGCGGGCAAGGCTCTGAAGCATCCCTGTTGCAAACCACAACTAGTATTCCGCGCGAAAGCCTGCATACAGGCATCGAGCCCTCAACAAGCGGTGCTAGGCACTGCGAGTAAAACGTTTAGACGGACGTGTAGTGCTCGGCCGGTTTGCACCGCGTTCGACGAATCGCTTTTGCGAGAATTTCCACTACAGATGGACGATCCCACCAAATACCAGGGGTACTGCATCCGCCACGGTTTACTTTATCTTCGAGTCCGATTTGTTTTTCCGATCATGCACGGGCTGGCCGCCACCGACAGTCCGGCGGGGGACACCTCGGAAGTACATTTTATCGTTTTCAGGTAGAAGACTCTTTCTATGTGATCTCAACTTGTTTCCGTGTAAAATCCTTTGTCACATTCTCCTCTAGATAGTGTTGATACGCTCATTTTGTCCACGCTGAGCCTGCTTTCCAGCTCGAAACTGCAAGGCACTCATGCCTCAGAAATTATCCGTCATCGGATTAAACCGACGCTCCATCCGAATCAAGGCCTGACGCGAGGTCAAGGAGACGAGGCTCGTACTGCCCGTATGAAGCGTGTATTCCGATGCGTCTTTCCAAGATACCTACGAAGAACGCTCACGTGGTGGGTCGAAGCTGCCAATCGAAAACAACGTGGCTGGCGATTACGCGGTGCGCATCAATGCCGCTCGCCTTGGAAAGAATCAACTCGAGCGGTGACGAAGAGGATTCTTTCTTCGATTGCATGCTACAACTGAGGGCGAGACTCGTGATTATGCGCAATCCACATGTCAGGCACCAGGAAAGCCAACCCATAGCTCTGAGGATAGCGGTTTGGCCGCAGCGGCCAGTACCGTGTCACTAAACCTCTCAGACACCACGAGGACTGCATTATGGGTCCGCTCACCAGATACTGGTCCATGAAGAATCTTCTGAAAGTGCGGTCCAAAGGAGGCGCCTCGGTCTCTGCTGCGTCGCGCCTGTGCAAAAGCCCGCTACGCACGTCAGTGGGCACTGAGCGTCCCCTTCGCGCGTACGGCACGTTCCTGAATTATGTCTACCCAGACGTGTGTAGTCGAGCTTGTATTACACAAAGTGCACGATATTCGTCCTCTCCGCATCCTGCCTACCACAAGCTCCCGATCGCTTGCCTCTGGGGCGGGAGCATACCTCGAGCACGCCAAGACGCTCCTGCGACGGCGCGCCCCGCGTGCAAACATGTAAGTTATAATATGCATCCGCATATACCATTACGGGACTAATATCGGCTTAGTAGCTGTCTCTTGGAACGAGCCGGTAGTAGTAGGTACGGCATAGCGCCAAAAATTCCGCGACGGTTGTATCACACACTTTTTCTCATATCGTGTGCCATCACTATTCGTACCCCAGCTCTCTTCAACAATTTGCTATCGTTGAGAGGCCAGTAGCATAAAAACGCGGCGCCTTGCAGCACCAGGAAAGCCTGGCTGGAGCCACCTGCGCTATGAACGCTCCACAGCCGAGCATCACTCTAAACAGGCGACCCGCTCAAGTTTTCCTTTCTTGGGGATTTAGCGGAGACCACACTACAATTTCTCTTTCTTCCTTTGAGCCGTATGATTACAATTGTTGCTATGCAGTCCAACCTGGAAATAAGACACTCGAGTTCGCAGCGTTTTCCAGGGCCACCTGTGCGCGCAGCCTTCTCTCTCCGAAGCCTTGAAACGGCTGCGCTCTCCGACCTCTCTAAGATGCCACAGCGATGCCGACCGAACTGTCTAGAACTGAGAAGAAAAGTCTTATATGGTTGTTCAAGGAGCATGGTCTAAGAGTTGACGGACGCAGTGCGCTTCGATCGCGCTCTGTGAGCGTTGCTGTTGATGTGCTGCCCTCCACAGCGGGCTCCAGTCGAGTGTTCGTCGGTCGGACTAACGACGTACTCGTCGGTATAAACCTGGAGCTGAGGCAATACAATTTGCCAGCTCATGCGGAAGATGACGCCAAACGTGGCTCGATCGCGTTTTCTGTGGAGTTCTGCGGAGTCGCAAGTCCCGAGTTTCAAGGACGCTCCACTGAGGTGCTTGAGGCAGAGCTCGTCTCGTTTCTAGATACTGCCTACGCAGCTTCTCCTGAGTTTTTAGCAGACCTCTTCTGCAGGGAACAGCGGCTAGCTTCGGATCCGGGTACGCTCCGGGTGTGCTGCTGGGACGTGTACGTGGACGTACTGGTGCTCGGGGCCTCGGGGGGTAACATTCTCGATGCCGTGACCTACGCTGTGAGGGCAGCACTGGCAACAACCGTTGTCCCGTCCGTGTATTGGCAGGACAGTGAAAGCGGTGGAAGCTGGGAACTGGATGACCGGGCAGAGTACTGCGCTCTCCTGAATGCCTCGAACGCTCCGCTGAGCGCTAGTGGGGCTTTTATTCCGCCTCTGGTACGCGACTCGCGCACAGAGCATGATCAGGTGACTTTGGTCGCCCCGCGGTGGTTTATAATCGATCCGTGCGCTGAGGAGGAGACGCTGGCGGGCTGTTTCCTTTCTGTGGCCAGTGACAGCGCGCAGCACCTGCGAGCGATATGGAAGCGCGGCTCCTTGCCCGTGGAGCCCGACGTGGTACTCGACGCCGCGCAGCAGTGCATAAGAGATAGCGCCTACGCCTGTCAGGAGATGGATCATTTCATCAGCGAACTTGTGGCAACAGAAGAATCAGAATCTGTAGATGATGTGCCAGGATAGCAGCAGGCATACCATGCAGTGCCGCGAGATCCACAGCACGCCATTCCACGGCGCCGCAGTTCTCTATGATACCTATGTAGCGCGATCCGTGCCGCAGAACGCTGATGTGGCATTGAGAACATCTCTGTCCATCCCTGATGCTGGCTCTATATATGTCGTGTCTCGAAGTGCTTATCGTACAGGACGCTTGGCTCTAAGCACATGTCTCCAGGTGTGCGAATGTCGCCGGTAATCGATGCTGTCGCCTAGCTCCTGTGACAGGCGCTTCCACATGGAACAAATCCTGGAATGCGATGCACTCTTGGAAAAGAGGTTTCATCGACACAGTGATTATCCGGCTGGTGCACAGAGACAGGACATTGGCGCCGTATCCTGCTTCGGATGTCGACTCGCGAACGTCGCCCTCGAGAGCGTCATATTTGCGCATGTGACGTCATACGTTGCGCAAACGCTGGAAATCGAATGCAATCGCCTGGACTGCTCGTTCTAAATGCAAATGCGGGCGCAGCTCTTCATGAGCTTCAGCGGAGGCGCCAGAGCTATTCGCAAGCGCTGTGAGCTCCATGCTGTCAGGTGCATACGAATTAAAACTGAGTACAGGTACGTTCTGCGTATCACAGTCGCCAGCTGCAGGGGCATCCGCCCCTGCTGAACGCATCACGTCCCAAAAGTAGCATTCATACAGGCTATGTCTTGGATGATGCAAGAAGGTTTTCCTGTCTGTTCGTGAAACTGATTCGCTGTCGCAGCTGAGGTAGAATAGCCGTCGAACGTCGCATGCGTGCAGTAGACGCACTGCAGTCTGGATATGGTACCATTCTGTTTGTGGTAAGCTCTGCATTTCCTCTATAGCCGCTGGACCAAAGGTTGCTGCAGCCCACTCGGTCGCTTTCAGGTCAGTGTGCATGTCAATCTGCAGAACGTCACACAGCAGGCGAGTCGCAACAATGCGGGGATTCAGCTTCATCACCGCCGTGCGCAGGCCAGCGACATCGATTCCAGAGGTAGCTGACTCCGCTTCCAGGACTTCCCAGACCAGCTTGACGCAGTGCTTGGCACCGGTGTCGTCCAGAATGCTCCACGGCTGCGCAGCGACACGCAGCGCAGCAGCAGCGGAAGCGTCAGTCTCCATCACCTCGTCGACCTTGCTGAATACGGCTCTGTAGACGGGTAGTAGACTGCTCGCATGTGCAAACTCGACATTCCGCACACAAATGCTCATCCAAGCGAGAAGGCCTATAAAGGTTTCCGCGTGATGGCGTCGTCGTCGCAGGGGATCGGTTTCGCCAAAAACGCCACCCTTTCGACGAATGAGGTAGTTCTGTATTCGTCTGGCGTACTGCTGTCGAGTCACTGGGGCAAGCACAGCGTTGGGGCCGCTCGGTTCGAGCCCAAATAGACCCTTCTTCCGGAGCTCTTGCTCGAAGCGACGCCCAAAAACCGAGAAAGCACTACGCCCTTCCTTGAAGAGACCCCGCACATTCGACGCCTGTCCGCGAGTCGCCGTGCGCTCGAGCTCACCAAACGAGCCACCATGCAGCCAAAAATACGGTACTTCACGTTTTCTCGCGACTGGCAGTGGAAAGTCGGAACCGAGTTGCTTGCGAAGCTGAAGTGTTACGTAGGAGAGTGTCGTTGCCACTGATACGGACACGTTCAGCGACTCGACAAATCCGTACATTGGGATCGTAAACAGACTGTCCGCAGCCTCCTGCAGCTGTTCGGAGACCCCTGAATTCTCATTTCCAAACACAAACGCACATTTCTGATACCTACTATCCACAAAGTTCAAATCATACAGAGAAATGCATCGATCCGCATAGACGCTGGATACGAAAATACGATAGTCCAGCGCTCGGAGTCTACTTACGAGCTCAGGAACGCTTCCGTGGGTCTTCAGGCTCAGCCACTTGTGGGCACCCCCAGCGGTATCGCATGCAGCCGACTTGAGGAACTGGCCCAGATAATGAGCCTTGGCAGTGGCGCTCGTCGCATATGGCCCTGTTTCTGACTCTGAACCTGTCTCTGAATGAAGCGCATACCGATCCGGGGGAATAAAGTGCACGTTCTGGACCCCAAAGGCATCGCAGGACCGGCAGACTGCAGCCAGGTTATGGACACCGTGAACCCCGTCGAGGACAACCGCGACGCAATCCGTTCGGTTACGCAGAGCATAAAGGACTTTTTCGGCCCGCGTCGCTGAGAGTCCGTGGAACAGACGGTACTCACGCGAGCCGCGCGTCAGCACACCCTCCTGCACGAGCGCTTCAGCTGCGGCGTCTGTTGTATGTGCTTCAGCCCAGGACTCCGACAGACTTGCAACAAAACGCCGAGAATAGACGGAACATAGCGCCTGGTGAGATCTACGAGCACCGCGTATACGTTGCATGGCATAGTAAGCGCCCGGCTTTCCGAGCACCGCACCGATCCCGAACAGCAACCGTGGCGAGCGGCACTTCGGCTCCAGGAGTTCGCTGTCCGCTGGGCGTCGATTCCAGGGCCATACTCCCAGTCGGTAGCCTACGCCGTCGTTTTGCCGCATCATTCGCAAACCCGGTCCAACACAAATTCTATAAAGCGACAATCCATAGGCCCTTGTGGCAACCTCATCTGCACACGACTGACGTAGACGCGCAGCGGCTATGCCTAAACAATAGTCATTTTGAGAAAAAGCAGACACACAGGCCAGCGTTCTTCTTATGTGCGCTTCGTCTCAGCACGCGCGCAGACGCCTCGCCAGGCGTCCAGGCAACTGACACTCCCAACTCCACGAGAAATCTGTGCAAATGAGCGCTTTATGATTCCACCTTGGCGGGACTATCGTCCTGAAATCGTTTTCGGAGCGAGTCTGCAAAGAGTCAAACACGCTCGACACTTTCTCCACTGTGCGGCACTGCATCGGAATGAGCGTTACATTATCTACGCTTAGCCTTCAACAAAGCATGTCTTGGTTTTCCTGCGGGACGGTGCAACCGTCAAGGACCAGCTCAAAGCTTTCATGAATGCGCAACGATACCTGCTGGATCGAGATGCCGAACGTGCGTACAACTTCACATAACGCGAATTCTCCACTTTTCTGCAGGCTACCGTCGCGAGCGGCTGGAGCACCAACGTTTCGCTTTTGAACCCCACATCGTACCGGATTCGTTACCGTGACGACAGGCACCTCGTACGCTCCTGATCAAATTGCGACGCGCTTTCTCTGCTATTGAGAGATGCAGTCGATAATTCCTGATGCGGCAAATGCGGCTACGGTAGCCGCTGATGAAAAAAACGGTTCCAGAGTCGAATGACGTGCTTTCGCGGAAGCGCAGCACCGCTGTCTCTGGGTGCCGTTCCCCTGGTACGGCATGAGACGGGCGCTTGACCGCTGTCTCTGGGTGCAGTCTCCGCAGAAGCCCTCCGTACGAGGTGTTGCTCGGGTTCGGCAGCCGGCTGCAGCGGTTTCAAGTCTAACACTCGTTGCGACCAGTGCGTCTGCCAGTCTTCGATACTGAGTCGCACCTCCGCCGCCAGGTGTGAGTTCGGAAGTCGCAAGATACGCTCCAAGCAGCTGGGCACCGTGCTCGGCGCTCCAGCGTAGCCGCTCACCCCAGCAGTGGCGACAATAGCGAGCACCCGCAACCAGGCTGGAACGCGCGCACGCCAACTATCCTGGAAAAAGCGTGTGGAGCCAGTACGAGCCGGCTATGGTAAACCGTAGAGCACCAGACTAGAGAGCAGTGCGCCGCCGACAAGTGCCCCTGTTCCTCGAAGAGCTGCCTGTCGTGCGCAGTCCCGAAGCACCAGCTGCTCATCCGGACGCATGCTGGACCAGTTCAGCACCAGCGACTCTGATTTTCGGCCTGTGTTAGCTTTCTGCCGTCTGGTATCAGGGGTATCAGCTCGAGGCTGCTCAGTTGTCATTGGGGGTTTTCATCAAAAGAAGCAGCAACAGAAGCCGCGGCGACGAGCCTAGCCCCGTGCCTGGAACGCACGTGCCTGCGCTGGATGGACAAACCTCGTTTCCTCGTTGCGACGATAGGTCGCCATACAGCACTGCATTGAACGGGAGAATATCGGGTGCGTATGCGTAGAAACATCGACTGACGACTCTGTGCGATAGTGTTCAACCCAAATCTTTTAGTGAAACGTCAACAACTGAGATTCTGCTAAATGTGCTCCATTTCCGTAAGCGACGTACGTTGCGTCGCTCGAACTGCAGCCGCAGCTAGCGCTCATCATTGCTGCTACAGGCTGTGAACGAGGTGACCACTGTTGAAGCTGTCGTGGCTCACGCTTCTCTACTGCCTTTTCCTGCTGCTTTGAACAGCTTTTCCGACGGAAACTAAACAGAAACTCGGAGACTTGTTCCAGTCCGTGAACCTGTTCGCATCTGTAGCAAAGGCCTGGCGTCCTCAAGCGTGAAAGCAGCCGGCGCGCTTGCCACAGTGGCGACATGTCACGCTTCAACAACGGGTACTGTAACGCTTTCCATGTGTTATTGAAGCTCCAGTCTGGTGGCTGCACACGGCCGATGCACTCCCTCCGAGTCGTATGCGAAAACGCGGCATCTAGCGATCCCTCCCCAGAGAAGAGCAACGACGCTCGGTACTACTAGGAGAGCGTGCCCACTGAATTCGATGTGCATCGGCTCTGGATGACCCTGTCCAGCGGGTTTCTATGTAACCACGAGATGAAGACCGGACACAAATGGAGCCCAATTCGTTCCCGAATTCACTTTAGACAGCAACAGGTCTTCGCGCGGCCCGGATTTCATCGATAGCGGCTTTGTAGTCCTTGGCACCAAACACTGCTGAACCGGCTACCAGGGCGTTCGCACCCGCCTCGACAACACGCCAGGCGTTGGAGCCCTTCACGCCGCCGTCGACCTCGAGCCAGAGATCATGCTTGCCGAGGCGATCAGCCATCTTCCGTATCTCGGTGATTTTCGGCAACACCTCGTCAATAAATGCTTGCCCGCCGTACCCCGGATTTACGCTCATCACCAGCACCAGGTCCACGATAGGTAGGACGTACTCAATTGCCATTGGTGGCGTGGCCGGGTTCAGAACGACACCGGCACGACACCCGAGGCTTCGAATCATCTGCAGCGTTCGATGCAGGTGGATCGTCGACTCGCCCTCGCAATGCACGCTGATGATGTCAGCGCCTGCTTTGGCAAAGGCGGGGATGTGTTGGTCTGGATTCACGACCATCAAGTGAACGTCAAGCGGCCGCTGTGTAACCGGACGCAGCGCCTCCACGACGCCTGCGCCGATGGTTATTGGCGGTACAAAGTGCCCGTCCATAACGTCAACATGTATCCAGTCTGCACCGAAGCGGTCTACAGCGCTTACCTCTTCACCGAGTCGGGCAAAGTTCGCCGACAGAATGGAAGGTGCAACCACAACTTGCCCCGGTTTGGGCGGGGGTACCCTTTCCACACCCATGCGCAGGGGACGACCCTTTGCTGTGCTGCTGCGCGGTTTTGGTCCCCGCCTGCACGCTACCGTCTCCTTCGTCCAGACATTTGCTTGCGCTCGAGAGCACTGTGAACCAGTTACTATAAACGCGCACATGGAACGAGTTCCGAGCGCCGGTGCAGCTCGCCTTGTCGTAGACACAGATGAGCGCTGAAGCGTACAGCGCTCGGTGGTACCCAGCGGCGTCGGTGGCGGCGGTGATGAAGCGTCTGAGACAGGCGTCGATGGCCGTCCAGTGACGGGTGTCAAATTTGATCTAAAACTGGAATGAGTGTTCAAGATTCAAAGGTTGCCGTTGCGGCAGCGGTGCCAGGCTGCTCTCTCGCAAGGATACTATTTACATAGCTACGATCAATATCCAGAGCTGCATCTAGAATGCCTCCAAACAGGCCCGCTTTGATCATATGTGTACCGTTTCGACGGGAACGCTTTCGACAGCACCACACGGACCTGGAAGGTCGTTCACCTATCTGTTGAGAAAAAGCGCATATACGGCACATGAACTGGCTGGTCCACGGACACGTCAGTGACAACTCATTTTCGCAATGCGTTGTGATATATCGAGTGAACCGTCGGAAAAACGTCTTTACCACTGAACGAGTTGAGTGTACCTGCCTAGCGGCGCGCGTGAAGGACACACTCGATTCCTTTTCGTTGGACGAAACGTTGACCCACAGAGCAGCAATCCCTGAGAGCGTGCTCGGTAACCGCGCGTTGTGGGGTTTCCATCGTTCCGCGCCCTCCTCGCAAGTTCCGCTTCCCATACGTTCCCTCGGAGGTACCGATTATTTTCAAGTTCGACCGTGTGCCGACTGCCCGTCGCGAGCGTCCGCGATAGCGCCTATAGCGGCGGCGCGGTCGCAGCATGGACAGAGAGAACCGACATGCCATACAAGAGAGCGCATCGACTCGAGGAATGCTACGGCTGAATCAGGGTCGAGGTTCATGATCATTCTGGGAGCCTGCAAGCTACGCTGGCAGACCTACTGCCTGCGACAGCGCGAATCGATATCCTAGGAGTCCACTGCGACCAGGGCGATGCCCAGATGCAGCTTAACTGTCCCTAGTCCCAGAATGAATTGCTTTGTGGACGAGTAGCACAGGTTTCTTTCAAGAACCCGCCGCTGGGAGGGGCATGAAGCACGAGCCTGGCAGACTCGTTCGGCCCGCGCGACTTTCCGCCTAGACGTTAAACTTTCGGACATGCGGAAAAAATTTCCCCCTTTTAATGTTTCATGTAGACGGGGAAAGAAATCGATAGCTCGTTGCTCGTGAATCGTGAGTCTCTTTCCTTTTTTTCTAAATAGCGCGGTTGAGACGCGCACCTGGGAGATCTGGCAGTCATGAGATATGACGCGCTTGTCGCCGTTGAAGGGAGACACGATCCAAACCTTTATGATCCAGCAGTAAAGTAAAAGTTCTATTTCCGTTGAAGTCGTAGCAAACTGCAGTTTTCAGTTGAATCGTGTTTCAACCCTCAAATAAGTGTATTCAAGTCCTTTTTCGCGGTTTATAGGAGAAGCGTTCAAAGAGCGCTCTTTTTCAAGAAAAATAAAAAAGGAAATGTTATCAAAAACCAAGTCGACGATCCTGGAGGCCAAGTGTCGCTGGCTGCCAGAAAAAACAAAAAACAGTACCGAGTCCAGAAGAAAAGGAAGAGAAGAAGGACCGAAAGGAGGGAGGTCCTACGTCGATGGCTGCAAGAAAGACCACACTACAACGAACTGGTTATGAAAGCCTGTCTTCTTGGACAGATCAAGGTTCCGTGCAAGAAAAAGTTACGAGAGTCCATCCGAAACCGTGTTGAGCCGAACTCCATGACTATAATAAAGGTGTCGTCAGGACTAGTGCATTTGGCGGGGAGATGTATCGCGAAATGACGCACATGGAAACAGTCGAGCTTCCGAACGAGTTTCCGACGAGACCTTTATTCGTCACATGACGATTGGTACAGCGGAAGCGCGGAGGGGAAATGAGCGGGTGCACGTCCTGCACGAAAAACATCTCTTTTACAGCTTCGATGGTACTCGGTATACAGGTGACGCGGATATTTACGAATACGGGGCCATCAAGTACCTGACGAACCTGAAGAACCATTTGACGATGAACCTCGAACGTTTCATGATACGCGCCGTGTTTGCGCTGTACCCGGGAATCTCACGCAAGGGGATATGGGCGATTATCGATGCCATCACGAAAGATCGCAGGCATGAAGATGAGGTCGAATTTTTCGAGAAGAAGGCGTCAAACGAGAGCACGAATGAAGCTTCTGTAATCCGTGCGGCTATGCAAGAGCACGGCGCAGTCATGGGGCTACCGAATCCAACAGAAAAGGTGTCAGAGTTAAAAAAAGATAAGGAAAGGTACTATCGCCTCATCCTGCGCTATTTTGTGTTTCTGAATCGTGAACTCGAACGCAAGGCGGAGATGAAGCTGAGTGAAGAGACAAATGAAGAGTGGGAGAGACGGAAGGCTTTCCTAATGGGGAAGCAGTTAAACGTGGTTCCGTTGTGCAACATCAAGTAGTATTTTGTGAGTATCGATTCAGGCGTCCTTTACGGCATCATGAAGGAGATCAGTCCGGGGTTCAATGTTAGCAGGGAGGACTTCATCCGTGAAAACCGGGAGACGTACTGGAAGAGTATCTTCGATTTCAAACGTCTCAAAGTCAGCAAACAAAAGGTATTCACTGGGATGATCGAAACCGATGGCGTAGCCATGTGTGTACACTATCGGCGGTTGAAGAAAGATCGTCCAGTTCCACCCTCGGCTGCACCCGTGACGAAGCATGAAGAAAACAAAGAGGAGGATCCTGCGACTCAGGAGGTAGAGAATAACGACTTTGTCGTTGACATTACGAAGGATGAAGATGAGAAGACGGCGGATCCTGCGACGCAGGAGGTGCAGGATAACGGCTTTATCATTGGCGCGGCGAAGCATGAAGAAAACAAAGAAGAGGATCCTGCGACTCAGGAGGTAGAGAATAACGACCTTGTTGTTGACATTACGAAGGATGAAGATGAGAAGACGGCGGATCCTGCGACGCAGGAGGTGCAGGATAACGGCTTTATCATTGGCGCGGCGAAGCATGAAGAAAACAAAGAAGAGGATCCTGCGACTCAGGAGGTAGAGAATAACGACCTTGTTGTTGACATTACGAAGGATGAAGATGAGAAGACGGCGGATCCTGTGATGCAGGAGGTGCAAGATAACGACCTTGTCGTTGACGCGACGAAGCATTAAGAAAACAAGAAGGCGGATCCTGCGATGCAGAAAGTGCAAGATAACGACTTTGTCGTTGGCGCGGACCCTGGGAATACGAATATCGTAACCATCGCTGTACCCAAGCGTGCGGAAGATGGTGCTGATGGTAACTTACGTCAGAAACACATGCGTCTTTTGAGGTTCTCGAGAGCGAGATACTATCGAGAATCGGGAATCATGAATACGAGAAAGAAAATTGAGACGTGGAATTCAGGAATGAAAGATCACCTGGAAGCTTTGAGCGACGTGACTAACCGAGGAGCGGACTTTGAAGCCTTTCGGAAATTCATGGAAGTTCGCATGGCGCATTGGGATACGCTGTGGAAGGAGTATACCAAGCCCCGGTGGGCACGTTTACGAATGAATTTGTATTGTGGGAAGCCGCGGGCATTCGCGAATTGTTTCAATGAGTTGAGTGCCCTCAAAGAGGACAAGACTCAAAGGCTCGTGTTAGCGTACAGAGCAGGGTGCTGGAAGACACAAAAAGGAACTACGCCAGCTCCAACGACGAGGGTGTACAAGGAGTGCGCAGGGCGTTCTGTTACGATACCAATAGATGAGTTTCGGACATCGTATACACACCATGAACTGGGGTGCACACTTCAAAGGGCCGAGATGGAAAAGTGCCAGAGGAGCCCTGAGGAAATAGCAAAGTACGGACCGCTGAAGGAAGAGCAAATGGAATGGAGGGCGAAAGTTCGTCGACTACTCGCATTAGTAAGTACAACCAGTGATGGCAAGAAACGGATGGAGCTCGTGAACCGAGACTTTAATGCCGCAATCAATATGAGGAAATGTGCGGTGCTGGAGGAAAGACCTCCAGAGCTGACAAGAGAGAACTTTATTGGACAATCACTCAAAGTCGATTTATATGAGAAAGAATTGGAATCAGTAGTAGGTGACCGGTCCAAAAAGGCGGGAGGCGTCTGGACGTCAGTTGGAGACGTTTTGTCTAGGGCGCGGTTTTCCCGCCACTACTGTACACCGTTGGCGTCGTTCGACTTTCGAACGGCGTTTGGTGTGGCCATGCGCGGGAAGACGTCCATCATTCCATCTACTTCCGAGTCCCATAGCCCATGCTTCTTCTCGGATATACTGGTCGATTCGTATACTCTATCGAGTGACCGTGCATGCCTTGCAGCATCCGCTCCAGTAGTTTAAACGCTTGTGCGGGGTGTACAAAGTAGGTATGGCGCACCATACAACATACGCAACGACCAGTATATCAGAGAGGAATCACGAGGAATGCAACGATAAGGCAGGATGCATCACGATGGACGCTTTCCCGAAAGACAATATCCATCCACCCCGCAATCTGGGATCCATGGTCCATGGAAACGTGCTGCTACTGGAAACAAAAACGAACAGGTGTGCGCGGCTGCCGTCTGTTCAACGTAGTTTGGTATTGCCTTCTTTTCTAGGAGGTGTAACGGAACTGTCCGCGGAAAATGACTGAGGAGTTCGCGGTGGAAGCTCGGCGTGTATCCTGCGAGGATTCCGGGCCCGAGGGGTCGCCTTCGGCAGCCGCGCGGTCAGAGCAGGGTACCGAGACGCCCACCAGCACGAACGCCACAGGCACGCGACTCAACTGGAACACGCAGGCACCTGCAGTGACGAACAACGGCTGGCAAATAGCTGCGAGCGAATGCTCTTGTTCGGGTTCTGCGCTTGGTGAAGCGTGCACTCCAGACGCTGCGCCTTCGCACGTAGGTACTGGAGCCGCAGCTCGTAGTGTTATGGCGACTGCCTCGGTTGAGAACAGTGTTCACTCCTTATCTGAGTCACAAATAAGCTGGAAAACACGCTTGAATGACCTTTTGGAGCGTCTCCTTCCCTGGATTCCCGAGCGAATGGCTTCCTTCCTCTACCGTCAGGCAACGCGCTGGCTGCCGACTCTCGCCCAGCGACTTCGATCAGCCTACGCCAAGTCGCTTGAACCCATGGACGCTGTCGTTCATCCCTACAGGGGAATTGTTCCGACTTTTGATCGTCTTCCCGCAGAGGGTCGAGCGCCAACACAGATTCTCGCCGACCTCGATCGAATGATAGAATGCGAGGCACCTAAATGGGAGCAAGGCTTTGTCAGTGGCGCAGTTTACTCGGGGGATCGAGCGCACGCCGAGTTCCTATCGAACGTGTATGCACGGACAACGCATCTGAACCCTCTCCATGCTGATGTGTGGCCTTCGTGCATCAAGTTTGAGGCGGAGATTGTGCGGATGACGGCGAGCATGCTGCACGGGGGACCACAAGCCTGCGGTGTGGTCACTTCCGGCGGTACCGAGAGCATCCTCCTTGCATGCAAAACGTACCGTGACTGGGGCCGTGCAGAGCGACGCATCACACGTCCAGAGATCATTATACCTAGCACGGCCCATGCGGCCTTCTACAAGGCGGCTCAATATTTCAACCTGCGCTTGCGAATCGCCGCCGTAAATCCGGAAACTTTCCGAGTCAAGGTGGAGCACGTGCGCAAACTCGTGAACCGCAATACCGTTTTGATTGTGGGCTCAGCGCCTCAGTTCCCACATGGTGTCATTGATTCGATCGAGGACCTCGCAGAGATCGCACAGAAGCGACGAGTCGGATTCCACGTGGATGCCTGCCTCGGTGGATTTGTTTTGCCATGGCTGGAAATGCTGCAAAAGTTGCGACCGGATGCCCCGCATCTACGAGACCTGCAGGTTCCTTGCATCGATTTTCGCGTCCCAGGAGTAACCTCGATATCTGTGGACACGCACAAGTACGGATACGCCGCCAAAGGTACCAGTGTTATCCTGTACGCTACTCCAGAGTGGCGTCGCTATCAATTTTTCACCCTCACGGATTGGAGTGGCGGTCTTTATTATTCGCCAACGTTCGCAGGGAGTCGACCGGGAGGTCTCATTGCTGCCTGCTGGGCCTCTATGCTTCGCATGGGCGAGGACGGCTACATGCATGCGACGGACGCCATCTTTCGGGCTGCACATGCACTCAAAACCGGCATCAGGGCGCGTATTCCGGACCTGCGCATCCTCGGTGCTCCGCTTTGGGTGATCGCGTTGGCAGCTGCCGACCCGAGTACGCTCAATATTTACAGGGTTCTGGACGCGATGAGTGATCGCGGCTGGTCGCTGAATGGACTGCATCGCCCACCTTGTATTCACATCTGCTTGACACTGCGGCACTGTGCACCAGGTGTCATCGAACGCTTCCTCAGCGATCTCAGCGACTGCGTCAAGTCCAATCTAGAACTCGACCGTTCCAACCGAACCGGAAAAACCGAAGGCATGGCGCCTATTTATGGGCTAGGCGGGACCATGCCAGCGCGCGGTGTCGTATCAGACCTGTTGCTTTCGTACATGGATTTGCTGTATAAAGTTTGACGGACAGTGAGTTGGCTCAGCGCACCAACCCAAGTCGCTTCGAGGCGCGTATCGGTGACGAGTCTGACGGTGGAAGTGGCGCCTCCAAAGCGACCGCTTCATAGGGCACGCCAGCAGGCTGTGCACTGGTAGCCGACGGACGACGTCCCGTGCGCTCACGCGCTCTGCGTTGCTGTAAGGCGCGGTACCGTCGTCCATCGACGTCATCGCTTCGCACAGGCGAGTCTAAAGCGCTGACCTCAACCAGCGGGGGCGCCTCGCCAGTGCCGGAACCGGTCGCGTTGCCGCCGACGCCTAGTCGCCACCGCTGACGAGTCTCGAGTGCGATGCGTTCAATCTCCTGCTCGTGGTGCGCCAGGTACTTTTCCACGTAAGCGTTGTAGATGACGGTTGCACCTCGAGTTTGCGGCAGCACTAGCCATAAGACAAAACCCGCCTTTATCTCGTTGTAGAACGGTAAAAGCGCAAGCACGACGTCACCAACCAACTCCGCTACCGCAAACCCGGAGATAACGACCCAGTACATGAGCCACTGTTTGGTTTCCGCGGGATCAGCGCGCTTCAGCGTCTTGTACGTTGCATAGACAGGGTACAGGTACCCGAACAAAAGACACAGAATGTTCGAGACGAAAGCTACAAGCATATCGTCGAAGGGACAGTTTTGCTGACCCCGCAGTATACCAGCCAGTCCACGTTGAGGATGCAGGGAAGTACCAGCGTTAGCACCAGCGTCAACGTCCACAGCCTGAGCGCAGCGCACACAGTGGCGACAGTACCCACACCCGACAACCGATAGACGCAGGTGCACTGAGAAGGACGCGCCTGGTCCATTTACCATGCGAGTGCGGCAGCAGCCCAGCGGGCCCCACCCAGCCCTGATGCCTCGACGGAGGATACAGCTGCTGCCTGGAGGCCGGCGGCCGATGGAGGCGCAACGGCTGCGCGCTTCGCAGATGCGGCTGCCTGAAGGCGACAGCGGCGTGATGCAGGCTGACGACGCCGTGCTGCCCGCGTAAACGAGCTACGACGGGCTTCGCGGCATAGGGAGCTGACGTACGCTCGCGGTTGCGATGGGGCATATCTGCTTTAACTTTGCAGGTGTTGGAGTCCTCGTGGCAGCAGGTAGGTGCAACGCGCTGCGAGCTGGTATGCAGTACCACCGTGCGCTTCTGCACCAGTGGGTGCGTGCGCCTGCTGTGACACCGTACACGAGACGTGCTCTCGACACGTTTGTTCAGCGGCAAACGCAGGGTGTCGGTCTGGGAGTTACCAGGTTTGCGTGTAGGGTGCAGCGGGTGACGATGAGCTCGAGCTCCGGACTGGAGCAGCAGCTGCGGGAACTGGTTGCCAGCCAGCCGGTGGTTGTTTTCTCCAAGAGCTGGTGTGGCTTCTGCGCCCAGGTGAAAAGTCTGATGCAAGAACTTCAGGCACCTGCTCAAATCATAGAACTTGACGAGCTTGGGAACGATGGCATAGAGATACAGAACCTCTTATATGGCTGGACTGGGCAACGAACGGTTCCGAACGTCTTCATCGGTGGTAAGCACATTGGCGGTTGTTCGGAGACGATGGAGGCATACGAGCGCGGAGAGCTGGTAACGTTGATAAAAGAAGCAAAGCGCAAATCTGAGGTGCAATAGGGCCGTCTTCGCCACCACTACCAGAACCAGCACCACCTAAGTGTGTTCAACAGCGGCGGAAGCGCCTCGCAGCGATGACGCGTGAAGTATGCCGTTAGCGGATGCGCGGGGGCGGCTGCCGACGTGCGGAAGCTCTGCAAAATTGCTGGTTTGTTTCGACCCGATGTTAAAAGGATTCAACCAATGTGGATGCGAACGAATACGGTGCTGCATCGGACAATGACGATGCTTGGTCCGAAAGTGAATAATCCGCGTAAAGTCTGGCCTTTACGCAGATGCTGCCACCGCCGAGGAGTTGTCCTGCATGCAGCGGTGCCCCGGCCCGGTGTCATAGATGGCTCGGCCCAGTGCGCTCAACAGGGACGCTCCATGCGCTCTCCGCATTGGGAATGTTTTTCGCCTTTTGTGGTGCAAGAGTCCAAAAGATGCACACGGTTGCGTCGGGATCGATTCTTGGTAGGAATCCGGCGTTGCTGCTTGAATTGAGCCTGCACTCGAATTTTCAGTGCATTGCACAGTGTACGTATCTTGCGCTTTGGACCGTATCGCATCGTGTGTGTGCGAAAACAGCCTGGATACCTGCTCCTTAGGCGTTCCCGCAGTGTCGCAGTCAGTAACGCATGAGGCCCGATTCGTAACACACATGGAAAGCGGTTTGATGCGTACGCTTGCAAGTTGGTGCCTTCGAAAGCAACTGAAGACAACGTGGTGGATTATCGCTGCGACCAGCGCAAACGATACAGCGTCTGTGACGCGGTTCATAGGGCCGCTCGATAACCCATCACCAGCGCTATCCTATCCGACAACATCTTGTAAATGCACCTGTCGTGTGTTTGAGCGCACACTTCAGAAATCTGGGTCATGGTTTACTGCATATTCACAGCCTTGGCCTAGTCCGTGGTGATACCAGCACATGCGATCGGCACATTGGCCCACACTATGACCCATCACGGTAATAGTTCGACCAGGGGCCTCCGCTGCCAGCGTAATAGTCCATGGGATACCGCCGTCCTCGCCATGGAACCCGACCCAGGGCCACCATGGCCTCGTATGGTGTCAGAACGGGGGCACCGTCCGGCGCCAGGTTTCGACCCCAGTCGATACTGAGCCGCGGACATGCCACCTGCACCCAAACGTCGATGCCGCTGCCGCTGAGCAAGCGCAGCTTCTCCGGTGTCACCTCATTGCAAAGGATCGCAACGTACTGCTTACAATCTTCCCGAAGCATGCCTAGAATTCGACGGAGGATGTTCAGGTTCCCCTGCCGCCCAAGAGTACCCAAAATAACCCCCCAGAGACGAACATTGGGCCGACGAGCTGCTTCGATCGCCTCCCATCGCTCCCGCACCATCGAGTCATGATCGTAGAATTCCCTTGTCAAGGTTTTCCCGTAGGGATCATAGCGGTAGAATGCTTCCACATGGGCATTTTGAATCATCACAGACTCTAAATGAAAGCGACCGTCTCCTATGTACAGGACTGCCCACGAGTCTCCAATCGAGGGTACCGTCTCTTGTGCCTCGTGCTCGGTTGATACCATCGGTGCTGTACAGCCGAGCAGCTCGCCTCGAGACAGCGGACGCGCTTGTGGTATAAAAATCTCCGAAAAACGCCCCCGTTCGCGCAGCGCCTTCGCAACAGTCCCCAACAGGCCCTGAAACTGAATCGTGCTCACGAGGTACAAACGGATCCTTTCAGAGCGCTCTTCGAACTCTTTCATAATACATTGGATCAAGTGCTCCGTTTCGAAGGACACGCGAACAAATATATACATGGTACGCACGCAGGCATGCTGGATCGGAACCAGACAACTATGTCCGTAATGTATGAGGAGTTCACAACCGCATCGTTGGGCTGCAAGGTCGTCCACGCAACAAGCTCCATACGTGACTTCTGCCAGAATCACGACTTTCAGGCAGGTATGGCTGCCCTTCGTTTGACATAGACGCTGCAAAATGTCCGCAAGCGTACATGCATAGACTTGGAGGCCTTCCGGCAGCTGCAGCGCCACGCTTTGGATCCGATCGCGGCGTATGCGTTCCACCGTTTTGGCGATTTCAAAGTCATAGTTCTGCGGCAGCGCGCTGAGTGATCGAAGAAGCAGCTCGTCTGCGAGAAGACGTTCAGCCTCGTCACTTTCGCCAGTTCGCCAACGCCTCGGAACAGGTAGCGCCTTGGTTGGTCGCTCTCGTGGAACAGCGGCCGTCGACGTGTCCGTGCACTGCTCCAGGTACTGCCGAGCGGCCAGCGCTGGGTCGGCGTTCCCTTCCATCGACATAGTTTATGAGAATCTTTCCCGCAGTCTATGTCTGTATACGGAGATCAAATATCGCAGAGTCCAGTAGACATGGTAACGAGCAGAGTACCCGTCCAACAACAAGGACGCTCCCGAAACACCCTCGACTGGTCGGCGCAAGGACGCTACAGAGGGCTCCTGGCGTCTGTGCGTCGACGGAGACGCAGCACCACGCAAGAGAGAATGCGCTCGGCCAGCACTGGTGCCCCCAGGGCCAGCCGATTGCGCATGCGATAGACCTGGCCTTAACGTCCACTAAATTGCCTTTTTGTCAAGATCTCTACCACCTCCCTACGGCGGCGTCCATGGGCTTGCGGCCGCGCAACCCCCGCAAGGCAAGGATAGAGCTACGACGTGCAGGTTCCGACGCTCGGAAACCTCGCTGGTGCTAAAGCAGCCGCCATGGAGGCGCAGGTCCCAGCTCGTGAGATTCTTCTCTTTAATAAGTGGTCACTGGAGGATGTTGAGGTTTCAGATATTGCCCTGGCTGACTACATCGCTGTGAAGCAGAAGTACGCAGTGTACCTGCCGCACACGGCGGGGCGGTACCAGACGCGACGCTTCAAAAAGGCGCAGTGCCCAATAGTGGAGCGTCTCGTGAACGCCCTGATGAAGCACGGAAGGAACAATGGAAAGAAACTTATGGCAGTTCGGATTGTGAAACACTGCTTCGAAATCATGCACGTTCTCACTGATCAGAACCCGGTGCAGATTCTCGTGGACGCTGTGATCAATTCGGGTCCACGCGAGGACTCGACGCGTATCGGCTCCGCGGGGACGGTTCGACGCCAGGCTGTTGACGTATCGCCGCTGCGACGCGTGAATGTCGCGCTCTGGCTTCTCACGACGGGCGCGCGAGAGTCCGCGTTCCGGAACGTGAAAACAATTGCCGAGTGCTTGGCTGATGAACTGATCAACGCCGCGAAAGGGAGCTCAAACTCCTTCGCCATCAAGAAGAAGGATGAAATCGAGCGTGTCGCCAAAGCGAATCGCTAAGGAGATACTGCACACAATGCATGTTACTGTGCAGGTGAGGAAAGCAGCGTGTGCGCTTTGCATGCTGCCATGAGATCATCGGCGCTAGCGAGGCTGGTTCTCTCTCCTATAGTCGTTTACCTCGTTGGAGAGTCACCGCTCGGTGCGTGTCATCAAATGCCGTTTCGCCGTTTATCGCAGATGTGTTCGAAGTGCGTTCATTTTCAAATATAAAAGACGTGGGAAACGTATGGACATGACAGTTGGGAACCATGAGGACCGCCGCCACCGGCTGCCGAAAAAACGAAAAAATCCTCATCTCGCCGACCATCGAGCGAAGATAAGCACGTGACGAGGAAGAAGATGACGATGAGAGACAGACAAGAAAAGGTGTTTGCCCGACCGGACGATGACAAGGCTGTAGTGGCACAGAGGGCGCTAGTTCTAGGAATCCTTGCAATGGTGAGTTCCATCAGATGCAATAAACGCATGCAGTTCGTGAACCGACACGTCAACGGCATCCGACGATGTGCGGTGCTGAAAACGAAACCCGGGGAGCTGGTACCAGCCAACTTTGCGGGACATCCTCTCAAGCTCCAAGTTTGCAAAGAGAAATTGAAACCGATAGCAGTCGGTGGGTCCAGAAACGTTGGGAAGCGTCTGCGCGCGGGTGTCTTTATACACTCTACCGTCGTGGGACATTCAATGTTTCGCTGGGCATTGTCCGAGCCCTTAACGCAAAGAACAGGCTGCTTTGATACCCGGATACGGAAGCAACTCCGCATGCGCTCTGGTAATGACAAGTCGGTATGTACGATCGTCTTAGCCGAATAGGAACCCCGGCCGGCACAGGACGCCGTTCCAGGCACCATGCAGGCAATGCGATTCGCGGATGAGACCATCAATGTGGGCGTCTGTCCAGCCTCGACAGATGCGAACGTGGCCCTGCGTATCCATCGGAACTCCCCGCATGCAGGCATGCACCAGGCTCTCGGTTTTGAAGGTGCTTCGTTGAAATGCCCAGCCCATGATGTGAATGCTACGGACCACCTGAGGATCGTTCATCGAATGACTGGGCGCGCGCATCAATCAATTCTGTTCTGGTTCGAGAAGATGCAGCAACTCACCGTCCTTTTCGATACAGGGCAGATACCGTTGCTGCTCACTTCGTGCCCGAGCTGCGGATCCTGTTCCGCACTGCGAGCGCTTGACGCATGTGGAGCTGCGCGTGCTGCCCAGGTTGTAGGCGACAGTTTGGGCATACGCGGGAGCTAGGTAACTTCGCAGGTCCGTCAGCAATAAAGAATTCCGTATTCAGCGTAGGCGAAAGCTGTAGAACGCAAAAGCGTTTCCAGTTTTTCGCGGAGCGAAGTAGAGCCTCGGAGCGTCACGAACATATTCGTGCTCCTGGTACCCGCGAGCACATGTTTTTTGGTTGGCAGCGCCTGTAGTGCCCCGGGAGCGGACCTGTAGCTCTCTACGCTACGTGCAACCGTAGCAAAAGGACCAGCTCATATGGATGCAAAACAAATCCCTGAAGAACCTATGACAAATGAGCACCGTGCGCCCAGAGAGCGCACAGCACCTTACCAGCAGCAACAAGCCAGGGCAGGACGGTATCCCGCAACGCGCTGCTCTGCACCCTGTACATAAACAAACATATACACACGTTGCTTACCGTGGCAACAGAATACAGTGCTCAGACTGACGCCACTGGCCCAGTCACCTGAGCAACACCAAACAGAGCTTGGGCGTAACACGCTGGAGGCAGCGCCAACGAGGCGACGCCTCGAAGAACGAGTTGCCGTCGCGTCCGGCGGGCATCCCTCAAAAGAGCAGAGATTTCGTACGTGGCGAGACACGACCAGGTCCAACTGGAAACAACGACGAACACTCGAAGCGTGCCGGAGCGTGTGTCGTCCCGACGTGATCCCGTTCAGCGCAGCACCGGGTGATAGTAAGCGCGCCCCATACCAGCACATCTCCAGATGCGAATGTTTCACAGCGCTGGCATGGCGCGGGCGCACATTGCACCAGCTCTACGTCTTTCCTCTTGGGTCTATGTAACTACGAACATACCGCTTTTGCAGCGCAGTCATGGCGTATTTGGTCTCTCTGTCGCGGTGGTGCCGTGCATGCCGGTTTCCAAAGCGCGCAATGCGGAGAAGCAGGGGTGCTCTGAGCGCACTTGGAGCTGCAGCCCATACCTACGTGACCGTGCGGGGCTTCTCCGACGACTCCGAGTACCGCATTCTGCGTCGAGACTCGCGCCTCACCCACCTGCTCACCGAGAAAGAGAAGAATCGACTTCATCTCTTAGGCGAGCTAGAGCGTGCGTTTTACAGTTCTTCCAGAGAGGATGCCTTCCGCTTGGCCGGTGTCGACGAGGCCGGACGCGGCAGCCTCGCCGGTCCAGTGGTCGCAGCCGCGTGCGTTCTGCCGCGCGACCTCTGGATCGAAAACCTCAACGACTCGAAGAAGCTCTCTCCATTCGCTCGCGACGAAATTTACGATCTTCTGTTGGACCCGCGCACTGGGGTGGACGTGGGCGTTGGCATCGTCGAAGCGGACGTCATCGACGCCGTCAACATCCTCGAAGCGACCGTGATCGCGATGCAGAAGGCTCTACAAGCGCTGCGGAACGGCTCGCCTGCAGTTGCCCTTATTGACGGATCGCTCCCGGCCACACTGAAACGAGAAAATGAGCGGAACGCGCACAACGCATCCGCCACAGAGTTCTTCGGAATCGTCAACGGCGATGCGTCTAGCTTGAGCATTGCCGCGGCGAGCATCGTTGCCAAAGTCACTCGGGATCGACTCATGGAGAACCTGGACAAACACTACCCCGGTTATGAGTTTGCAGACAACAAGGGATATCCGACTCCACGGCATCTGGAGCTGCTGCGTGAGCTCGGGCCCAGCCCCATCCATCGTCGATCCTTCGCACCGGTGAAGCAGTTCTTCCATCCGATGGGAATGAACCAGGAATGAGTACCGGAGGCATGCTGCATGCAGGCGCATGCCCAGTGAGACATTCCGGACACTGCGTCATAGCGCTCGTGGCAGCACGCATCCTCGGATGCATCCTGGAACTGCGCGTCGCCGCAACGCGCCTGCTGCGGAGGCGGCGACGCTCACTTCGATGCTGGCCCTCTGTCGATGCCACCACCAGTGCGTGCAGCTCCGAAGCCAGCCTGCGGAGCGCATGCACATTGCCGAACATACTGGCATGCCGCCCTTGCCCTTGAAGCCTGTATCCATTGCGCCTCCTACGGAGCGACATGCACTATCGGTACAGTAGTGCAGGATGCCGGGTGTCTTCGGTGCGCGCATCGTGACCCAGCTTTGCGTGGAATGCTTTGAGCCTCTGTTCCGCATGGTTCATAAACATCCGCAGGATAACGAGGCGAAAGGTGCCTGCGGATACTGGACGCCGCCCTCTGTGCAGCGTACGAACATCAAACAACGAGCATCATGCGTGCCGCTGAATCGCTCCGTGCACGCATCATCGTCGCTGCTGAACCGCAGCCTCTGCGATGCACCCAGCCTTACTGAAGTTTCGGAAGAGATTTTGGACGCTTTCGAAGAATGAACTACTGAATCCTGCGCTAATGGTAATGATTCGTGTTGTTCGTGGTGCTCTTGCTGAATCAGCGGTTCGTCGGCTGGCGGCGTTACCGAGAAGCGGCTCGGAGCGTGTTCATGGTGTACTGGGTTCGCGACGCGTGCCGCACCGGTATCCGTATCATCGGACGCGTCAACCTGGCAATGACGATGCAGGTTTCGTTTCCCCGTGAATATCGATGGCGATGGCGGGTAATCGTGCTGTTGTCTGGGCACGCGTCCCGGTCGGTCCACACTGCGTTGTGTGTTGGCTCCAAACGTTGAACAGATGCTGGTACTGCTGCTAAAACGACTTCGATGTTGCCGTCGCCGCCGTCAGTTCTGATGTTTCCCCCCGAATCACTCAGTGTCTGTCTGCTTGCGACGCGACACTGGCAACCTGTTGGCGAAAAGCGCGGCGATTTCCGCTTCTCGAGATGCTCCTCGACGCACGGGACGGCGGACTTTGAAGGCGAAGCGTCGTGCGAACGCCGCTTAGACGTGCGGCGCCAAGCCGTCTTCCACGGTGACAACCCCAGGGATATCGCGCAGGGCGGCACATAAGGAATCAAGTTCAGTTCGATTGATGACAGCAACGCAGTACTCCAGGTAAGCTGTGTTCTGCGTAGAGGTGCTTCGGGTCGACAGAATTGTGATGCCTTTTTCAATAACTGCCCGACTGACATCGCTGAGAAGGCCATTTCGATCAATGCAGGTCACTTTCAGACAAGCGGGAAGCCGTGCTGCACGCGTGGTCCCGCTACGCGCTGGGCTCTGCCACTGGACGGAGAGTTTGCGCGCGCCGCTGGTCTGCACTAGGGCGCGCTGCCCTACTGCGCATCCCTGTCGATGAATTTCCACCTGACTGGCACCGTCTGCGATGACACCGAAAATTTTGTCGCTCGGCAGAGGCAGGCAGCAGCGCGCCATGGACGCGGAAGCGATTTCGAGTCCGTCCTCGAAAACGAGTTGAGCAGGCGAGATTTGTAAGCACATATCATCGAGAAGGTCTTCTGGCTTCATGCTACTTAGGAAGCTGTTCACGGCGTCTTCGCTGCGCTGTGAACGATCCCAGCGGAACTGGCGTTCCTCATTAGAAGCCGCTTTCGACGAGTTCCCGTCGATACCTGGCTCACCATTCTTGTCGTTTGCGCTACTCCCAGACTCGAGGTCCGGATCCGCAGCACTCGTAAAATGTTTTGGAAGCTCCGTCTCACCTTGCCAACGGGCGAAAAACTGCCGCAGCGCATGCTGCGCAAGCCTCGTCTTCGCGTACTGGACCCACTCCAAGCTGGGACCTGGTGAGTACTTGCTCCGCACGATCTGGATCATGTCCGCATTTTGGAGAACGTAGTTCATGGGTACCATCGAGCCATTCACTTTCGCCGCGATCATGCGGTACCCGGCATCTGCGCTGATCGCGAATGCAACATCCACCACCGTGGACCCTCGAGGTAGATTCAGGATGCGGGTCGCGTTCTCGGTATTCGTATCGTTCACGAACACAAAAACCCGGTTGCCGAGCAATTCGCGTCTTACAAGTTCCACAAATTCGTGAGAAGACTGGATATCCAGATTCCACTCTTGAATGCTCGTTAACCAGGAGTTGGACGCGGCGGCCGTCAGTTGGTCATGTTCCTTGAAGTACCAGTGTGCAGCCATACCGTACTCTGCTGTGCGATCCATCGCCCGGGTTCGAATTTGAACCTCGAGCGGTGCCTGATCGGAGCCGTTGTCTACCACGACCGTGGTGTGCAGTGACTGATAGCCATTCGGTTTCGGAAAAGCGATGTAGTCCTTCACACGTCCGGGAACGGGGTGCCACAGTTGATGGACGATACCGAGCACGTAATAGCAGAGCCCATTCTCGTCATCGCGGAGCCGCGTTTTCTCGGCCTCATCTCGATCCATTTCATTTGTACCGCTCGTGCCGACTACGGACAGGTCCTCGCGCGGATCAATCGTCACCCGCAACGCAACCAGGTCGTATATATGATCCAGGCGCTGTGCGCGTCCGCGTTGTAGTTTCTGCCAAATGGAATAGATTTCCTTGGAACGCGCTGCAACCTCAATACGACTAACCGTGCGCCTGAGGATTGGATCGCTGCTCAGCGCATGCTCGAGGCGCGCTTTGCTCTCCTCCAGAATCCGTTTGTAGGAGGGCATGCGCCCCTCGATATGAGACCGAATCTTCCGGTACTCTTCGGGGTAGAGATAGAGAAAGGCGAGATTCTCCAAGTGGCTCTTCACTGACCAGATTCCTAGGCGGTGCGCTAGCGGTGCAAAGATGTCCAGTGTTTCCCGAGCGATTCGTCGTTGGCGCTCTGCTGGGAGCGTCTGCAGTGTTCGCATGGTGTGCAGGCGAGCTGCGAGCTTGATAACGATGATACGAAAATCGGAAGCCATGGCGATGAACATTTGGCGTAGGTTTTCAACGTTTTCATCAGCTATCGGACTCTCGGCCATTTCAGGTAGGCGGCTGACTTTTGCCTCGCCCTCAATGAGGCGCGCAACAGCATTGCCAAACTGCTCCGCGATGGAGGCCAGGGATGCAACGCCACTCTCCACGAGCTCCGTCAAGATTCCCGCGATAATCGTATCGCTATCCATTTGGAGTTCTGCGAGAATACTCGTGATCCCGGTGGCGCGCTCGAGGCTAGCTTCAGACACATGTTCTCCCTTGGCGGCGCGACTCTTAAGCACAAAACTTAATGCCTGCTCAATGCTGAAGCACGGCACTGGGCCCAGATAAGCAACGAGAGGTCCCAGGATTTCTCGCATCACTTTAGCGGAGATAGCGTCCAGCGTAGCATCGGCTTCGCAAGCATGTTTCCCTGTTGCAGACGTGTTCCCATTCTTTTCAGATTTCAGAGGCTCGCCAGTACTGGTGTCTGGGCTTGGGAAGGTCTGTTCAACCGGAGCGCTGTAGGCTGGCACGCGGGTTGTGCTCGACTTGGGCGCCGAGTGCTGTTCCGCTTGCTGCAGCGAAGGCGACAGCGACAGCGGTGACGCGTTCACCGTTGCCTGTTGAGGTTGCTGCTGATTCTGCTGCTGTAGTGGCAGCGGCTGCGGCTGATGTAGCGTTGGCGCTGGGTGTGCAGGTGGCGCTCGTTGCGGTGACGGCTCTTCCTTAGGTTGATTGACGCTTAGAACGCAGCGCTGGCCGCGACGCCTACGCCTCGGTGCGGCCGCAAAACCGTTCCATCCAGAACACTGTCTCTGTACTAAACGCCCAGAGAGCGCTACGAATAGTCCCGAACAAACCGGCGACACCCAGCTCAACTCGCCTTGCCGCACAGCGGTGCCGCTCGTGTACCCGTGCCGAGCCCCCAAGTGCAACTGCCCCGATTTCGCCAAGGAATCGCTACGGAACAAACTATCTATAGTATACTTATCAAGATGAAAAGCGTGAGCCGAGTGAAGAGCGCTCCATTCGACTTTTCTTTCGAATAGCGCCCACATCAGCACTGAACCGCGCCTCGCAGGACCTAGATGTCTTGCGGGACGTCAGCGCTGGTGCGAGACCGTGTATGCAGCGCATGATGCCCGCGAAACGGATCATCATCGTATATATGTGTACAAATAGGACTGCCTTTGTGTGATCTTTTGCCGTCCTTGGGGATGTGAGAGTCCACCGTTCCAGAGTGCGCGAAGCGATAACGCTCAGGCACGCTCACACATGGTGGGGCTGTCGTGTTCCATTCCAGTATCTCGTGCCCGACTGTAGTGTAATATGACTCTTGTTATAAACGGGACCCAGGAAAATATAAGTTTTGTGAAGCATCAAGAATCTTAGGCACGGAAGCTGCGTAGGAGTGCTTTGCCTCTGGGCCGTGACTTGAAACGTCTCTCGCGTGACGAAACGGGACAGTGCGTTGACCTCCTCTCAGTCTGGTCACGAACCCCTCGAAAACGTTACAGTGTACACTGAATGTCTCCGGTTCGAGTTTACGCCAGCACTGGCGCCGCTTGCTGTTGACGCCTGCTCGCGACGTACTTCAGTTGGCCGCAAGAGTCTCGACAGGTTCCACAAGTGGCTTCCAAGACGCTCATGATGTACGTTTGGACACTGGTAACAGTGCCCAACTCGATTCCGCTTCAATGTGAGAGGCAAGTGCCGAATTCGGACCCTAGTCGCGATGTATCGAGCGTAGAACGCACGCGTAAAGCTTGTCGTGCTCATTGTATGCCCTCTGATGGAACTGTGCCCTCGAGACTCGTCTTCAGATACCATGAATTCGTTCTGGAATCACTGGAACAAGAAGCACGAAACGAGCGTTCAAAGCACCGACACGTTATGCTTTGCAGGCATCCGATAGCTAAGCAGCGCTCGGAACGGCCGCGGCGCCTCCGCAGGCGGAAAGAAATCCGTACCGACTCTGAACCAAGCGCTATGCAATACTTGTACAACGAGCACCGTTTAGAATGTACAGGGGGCTTCTATTGCTTCCGAAACAAATCTCGACGAGCAACTGCTGAGCATTTGCTCACCGGCTGAAACGTATGCACCACTGAGCCAGTTGCAGTGCCCTCGTAGCATGCAGGCATCGAGAATATGAACCTCGGATGGTACCGCAAGTCCGTCAGAGGCCGCTATGACTGCATACTTGCATCTGATGCGCTTCAGGAAATAGACGAGGCGTCACCGAGGCTTGGTATACATGTGCAGAGCCCGAATGCGCGCAGACCTCTTCTAAAGTGTATTCGCGACACCATCTCGCTACCGTGCCGTAGATCAGAGACAGCCACGCACCAGAGCAGGTATGCAGCATACCCGTGAGCGAGCACGCGTGTGAAAGGCACTCGCAAGACAGGCAGCCCTGACGATTGTATGAATGTTCGCGTAGCCATGAGCGTATTCGGGCGATGAGCGTGAGCGCTACGCGATGATGCAGATTCGCGTGTGCGAGCGCCTACGAACGTAGCGCTAGTGCTTCAACGGGAACGGGATGTGTTCGCTAACCTAAGACGTAGATGCTCAAAGGATTCGCAATCGTGCATTGGCACGGCCTCGGCAGCATTCTCGTAAGCAGTTCGCGAGCGATGTGTCCATGCGCGTCGAGCAAAGCCAAGTAGTTGCGCCTGTTCCCGCCGTCTTGCGCGACATGAATCGGCGTATCGCTGGAGCCATTCCCGTTCAACCCTGCGCTCAAGTTCGATATGCTGCTCCTTCTGTCGCTTATGCGCTTCATCGCGAACGAAATACGGAAGATTGGTGTCCGTGGTGCGTCGTTCCCAACGAAACGCGCCTTGTGGCTCCAGTACAAAACTGGGCAGAGGTGCGAGTGCGGAGAGTATGTACGGTAAGAAAAGAAAAATCAGAAAGGGCATAAAGTGCCAAAACATGCCAAGTCGACGAGCATGACCCGCGTTTCCCGCTGCGGACGGGTGGCCACGTTGGCGCTGTTGTCGTGCTCGCGACAAAAACGCTGCCCGGCGTTGTGCCAAGTACGACATGGGCATGCCGGCCCCAAAGCCGCCGTAGAAGAACGCCTCAAAAAGCTCTTCGGCACTCATTTCTCCAGGTCCAAAAAAGAAACCGTCAAAAGCGTCCGGGGTATAGATGCGGGCACCACGTGCGCCGTGAAAAGATGACGAGCCTGTCATGAAAAACACATCCGCGTGGTGCTCTGCCTGAGCCTGTGCTTGTTGGTACCTCAGCGCAGACTGCTCGTCGTCAATGCCAGTCTGATCGTAGAGTCGACGCCGGTCCGGGTTGGACAACGTCTGAAAAGCGTGTGCAATGCGCTTGAACGCAGCGTCGGCGCCCGGCTCGCTGTTCTTGTCCGGATGAAAGCGCAATGCGAGTCGGCGATAGGCACGGCGAAGGTCGTCGTCAGATGCGTTTCGCTCCACAGATAATACTCGGTAGAGATCTCGAGCATTCAGTATTTCTGCAATATCTTCGCGTGAGGTCGAAGGTCGCTGCGAAGGAGATCGGCTAGAGCGCTGTCTCGATGTTTGGGCAGGTTGCGGCTTTTGCGTGCGCGTATGCGAAGCAGCGCTCGCTGCCTCTTCAGAAGCTGCCTGCGAATGACCGTTTGAGTGACTAGCACCTGTGTTCACGTAATTGTTGGATCTTGGCTGGTGCTTTGCGTGCGCGTCTGCCTCGCGCTTACCCGATGCACCAGCACCAGCAGCGTCTTCAACAGGAGCGCTAGGTTGCCCTCTGCGGTCGTGGGTGTTCACGGGAGGCACCTGGCCGGCACCCGCCGCGTCATCTTCTCCCGCACCAACCACAGCTTGGTCATGGTCTGCACTGTTCAGGACAAAACCTGTTCGACGAGCAGATTTCTCAAGCGTCTCGAGTAAACTCCGCGCTTCAGCGCTATCATGCAAACGACACGCTTTTCGGGCCCACTTGAGCGCGCTCACCAGGTCAGCGTCCCGGAGTGCCTCATGGGCAAACTTCAGACACGCATCAGCGTCTTCTTTATTCATGGAGCCCGGCGAACGCACACAGCAATGAGAACGCACGGGTTACCCAGAAGGACGCTGTTCGGGTGACACACGGCTGCTGGAGCGGGCGCAACGACATGCGGCGCACCGCGCCCGCAGCGCCACAGGCGTTCGATGCCTGCGGAACTGCGGAAGCGCTCCCATGCGTCGGGCCTCGTTCCCCATCGATAGGCAGGACGCCCGCACCTGAACCATCCCATCGTTGCAGCATTTGTCAATCGCAGCGTATTCATACCTTCATCAGGAAGCTCATTCGAGCGGCAGTTTTCCACACAACGGTGCTGGCGTTTCTGGCGCAGAGAAGCGCTTGCTCATACTGGAGTTTTGTTTTGTGGCATGCCTGGTGGCGCTGGGGGCGGACATAGCGGCCGTTGCCACACAGCGCAACGCCCAGCAGCGTGCTGGCGAAGAGATTCAACGATAGGCCTACACCGAGGCCTCCAAGCAAGCATGCGTATTCGTGTATACCACACGATCCCACACGACGCTACACACCAGAGTATGGATTTTCCACGGTATCGGCAAGGCGGATATTGCGATACCAACGCGTCGTTATCCACTGGCTTCGATGTCGCGTCTGGGGTGCTTTCTGTGGTGCGGGAATCATGCACGGCTTTCGTGGATGTGCGCGGTGCTTCACAACGCGGCAGTGCCGGGAAGAGCGCAGGAGCGCTGTGCCCGGCACTGCCGCAGAGCGCCCGCCCCGCCGCGCGAACGCAACATCGATAGACAGGCGCGGTACGTTATACTCGCGCAGGGATCGTGCGTATAACTAGCGTTGAAGCCATAGACACGGTAGGGCTGTTGCCTCTCAGGGAAGACCCCTTATGAACTTGATCACCAAGGCAGCGCGCTACGTTGCTGGAGCTGACCGTAATCCGGCCACCTCTGGTGTTACAGAAGCGCTCGACCTGATTATACACCGGCTGCATTGTGGGCGGTTTCCCTCTGAACGTCTCCAGTGTGTCGAGGTCCTGCTCCGACGGGTGACTGCGGCAGACGATAAGGTCGCCGAGCTCTTAGAGCAGGCTGATGCTGATGCCTGTGACGAGGTCTCAGAAGCGCTGCGGGTCGCGCTGAGCCTCCGGGAAGAGTTGGTAACGAAGGGCGTGCCTCTTCTGGGAGCTATCCTCGAGCAGGACAGGACGGAGTCTGAACTTATCCAAAGTACGCTCGCTTTGCTACAACTGCTTCTCTGTGCGCCGACCGTGAGTCTTGCGGGCTCGCTCGAGGACAGCACGCAGGCCGCCTCTTCAGAGAGGCGTTCGCTCGTGCGACGTCGAAGCAATACCAGCTGCCAATCGAAGGAAGCCGTTGCGCCGTTGCACCGAAACGAAGACATTTGGCGGAAGTGGAGTGCCGACACAGCGTCCACGATACGCACCGCTGTGTCTATGATGCTCGGTGCCGCCAGTCCACCCGTCACCGCTTCCGAGCGAGCGGGACTGGGTCTTGTACCGTGCCTGCTCGACTTGCTCGCAGACGGTGACTACTCCGTTCGGCTTCAGGTGTCCGACTTGCTGACGCATATCGCGAGGCATGCCCTGCCACCATTACAGAAAGCCGTTCTTCGCTGCCCGCGAGGAGTCTCGCGAATGATGGATTTACTGCGGGACCCGCGCGAGGTGGTACGAACCTACGGCCTCCGTCTCGTCATGGAGCTCTCGCGCAACAGCGGGGAAATCCAGAGAATACTTGCTTTTGAAAATATTTTCGAACTTTTGTTCGAAATGATCGACAAGGCACGCTATGAGGAAGTCAGTGTCCATGTCGATGAGCAGAGCGATGAGGTTCAGATATCTCGGAGATACGCACCTGCTGAAAACGGCGATGCCGACGATAACTCAGAAACAGATGATACGGATGGCTTTCCAGCATCCGGCCGCCCGCAGTCAGAGTCGCTAGCGAGAACATCTGCATCCGACGAGAGTCTACGACAGCAACAACATGTACCGATGGTGTTGGCGTCCACGTCAGACGTCATGGACTTGGTCACGCGAGACTGTCTGATTTTTATGGATATTTTGCTGGATGGTGATCCGGCGATCGCGACGCTCTTCGCCGAGGCTGGTTGCATCCCAAAGCTCTGTCCGCTCTTGTTCCTGGCTGATCATCCAGCGAAAGCACTGCGACCCGTGCAAGTGGACAACCTGATTTTGACGATTGGTTTAGTCGATCACTTGTCGCGCGCCGAGTCTACGAACAAGGAACCACGGACTCGAGCACTTTGTCTCCATTACGGTGTTACAGAGAGCATCGCGCGCTTGATTTGTAGTGCTCGCAACGCGGACGCCGTCGTTGTCCAAGGTCTTCTGACTTTAGGCCGCCTGTCTCGAGATCACGTCGCGACCCTATCATTCTTGCATGGACTTTGGGTTGTTGTCGCTGAAGTCGATGATTCCAGCCAAGCACGTACCAGCCGGGCACCAAACGGGAAAGAGGTGCATACGCTTTTTCTTGCATTCGTGTTGGACATGATGACGGAGCACGCATCACAGGAGCTGCGAGCAGCAGCGTTCTGCTTTCTTTCTATGGTATGGCTGGAAAGCGAATCAGGCTTGTGCTGGTTCACCTGGATGTTGGCAGACAAGCGTCAGACTTGTGGTGCCGTCGATCCCGCCTCCAGTAATCCGCACGCTTCCGAAGTATTGAAGGACGTCGAATCGATCGATGAACGCACTGCTCATGCGCTCCAGCGCGTTGTCTCTGAACTGCTGGGTGTTGCTGTCGGCTGGCCCGATGAAGCTGACCCAGCTGCTGTATTGTACGCGTGCTCGCTGTTGGCGTCGTGGATGGTACGCTGCTGTGCTCAGGGTTCATCGGTGGCCGACCAGGACCCGCTGCTGATGCCAGTATCTAGATATCGTGTCGTCCTAGGTGCTGGTGCGCTCACGGGCGAATGCTCAGCAGGTGAGCCTCTGTTTATGAAGCTGCTGCGTACGTTGGGGCGTGCGGTGCGCGAAAACAGTCCTCCATTAGTGCGACTAGCGCTGTTGCTGCTCCTGTGCTGTTGGCTGTATGTTTCAGACAGAGCACGCCAAAAGTTCTTGTCCACACCGCTGAATGTGCCGCTGCTGATGGACCTGGTCTCATCGTCGGGAAGCCGTGCTGAAGGTATGCTCTTCGTGCATATCCGCGGCCTCGCAGCGCTGGCGATCGCCGAGTGCATGGAACTCGAGTGTGCAGAAGCGGAATCGCTGGTGATATCGCCAAGAACCCTGGTCGGTATTGTGCGGAAACGCATTGGACTGATGCGCTTTGCTTCTTACTTGGATGATGTGCGAGCGTCGGCATACTTTGCAGCGGCGATCACGGGCTCTCCTGGACTGCTGCTGGAACAACGCTTCGCGAGAGGCGTCTTGACGACCGAATCCCGTCAAGGATCTGGTCTAGTTGAAGAACTTGGACATATGTATATCTTTCCTCAAGAACTTGTCTCCATTATGGAGCCTGTATATGACTGCGTCCAAAAACGCCTTCTTCACGAGTATGTGGAGCAAGAGGTTCCGCCTTCTGATACCGAGATGCAGGGCTCGACTCTCAAGTCCGCTGAGGTTGGGGTGAGTGCGTCACCTCGAAACGCAAAGGAGTTTGCGACGCCCGGCTCGTTATCTATCGATAACCGGCACTTCGATGACACCACAAACAAATCATCAAATGAGATTCGAGCCATGCAGATGCGAATCCGAGAACTCGAGGATATGGTGGCTCAGCTCGACGAATACAAAAGAATGATTCGAAAACAAGACGAGGCGCTGTTGGCATCCAAAGAAGAAGTTGAAATGCTCCGCAGGAGCCTTCGTGAGAGTCAGGATTATGCAGATTCGCTTCTGCGCGGCTCAGAGTCGCGTTTTAGGGAGGAACTGAGGCTCGTTCGTGACCAGTTAACTGAGCGCGAGGATTTGGTACGGCGACTAACGGAACAGGTGGCGTCGCTGGAGCAGGCATTACAGAGCCGCCAGCGCGATGTGGAGTCGATATCGAAAGCGTGCGAAGCGCTCGCCCTAGAGAACGAGCAACTGAGGAACGCTGGTGCACACGTCGATGACGGGTCGAGCGTTCTGCCAGCACAGCACGTGCATAGTGGAGTTTTCCGCGATCCCGCGGAGCGAACGACTGCGGATCATTTCCGAAGCAACGAAGCGCACGCGTACATCGACGAGACGTCAGAGTCGTCAGCATGCGATATCACTGATGTCAGGATATTGGAACGCGCACTCGCCGAAGAACGGCAGAAGAATGAGCGGTTGATGATTCTCCTGAACCAGTTCGAGGATGCAGAGCGAGGCGAGGATAGCGCATCGGAACTCGTGCGAATCGAGAATGCGCACTTGCGAGAGCGGTTGCGAGCGCTCGAGGACTACATCCAGTCCCAAAATCGTACGAATACTGGGGCTGACGGGGCACCCTCAGATGCAGTGATCGAAAGTGCCGCTGAAGACGCTAGCGGCAGCGGCTCCGCAAGTCCGCGCTATCCTGCGAGTGAGGCACCGCCTCTGCGTTCTTCGAGCGAGGATCGATTCGCTACCGTACTGCGAGCAGATACATCGTTCGACCCTGCTATCGACGCAGGCTCCCGAGAGCAACGTATCGCGGACCTCGAAACCCAACTTGTTTCACTGCAGAAAATGTTGGAACGATCCGAAGAAGATGCCTATGAAACACAGCAAATCCTTGAAGAACAGGTTATTCGACTTGAACAGGAACGTGATACGCTGCGCACGGAACTGGCGTCGTTGCGTTCAGCGGCAGAGCGGGTGACGACGCACGACCAGCACCAGCGACCTGACGTGGCCTCGACGGGCACGCAAACAGATGTGCTTGCCGCTCTGCAGCCCAGTGAATCGGAGCTCGAGGCAGCGTCTCGTGTGAGCGGTGAACGAGCAGCCCAAGTCGCATCAATGGTGGTATCTGGGCGTGTGCCGAGTGCTGATCAACCTCCAGATGCACTCATCGATCGTTGGGTAACAGGGGACAGTTTGCGGTGCGAGGTTGCACCGGCGAATGCGCTCGCTGCTGGTACGACAGCAAGTGGGCGTCTCAGCATCGCCCTCGATGCCCTGCACAACCTGTCCAATCGCTTCGATGGAGACCTAGTCCATGTGTTGGCCTCGTTGCGCTCCATGGAGGCTCGCGTGGATACATTGTGTACCCGCATCTGGCGGTGTAGCGCAATCCTGCCAGCACATATCCCGCGTGGCAGCGATGCATCTGTGGTGCTGTCCGGGAGTGCAGAAGCGAAGATGACGCTGCAGCGCACGACGGTCGGTGCCTGCACTGCACCAGAGGTAGGGACGTGTGTTGCGCCCTTGGAGGCGCTTCCCGAACTATTCGCTTATGCCTTGCGAAAGAATCAGGCAATCGCTCGGGAGCGTGCTGCTGGTTATGGTGCGTTCAGGGTAGAGGTTTTGATACTGGAAGAGATACTGATTAAAGGGCTTGCGCTGGGTGCGCTCAAGGACGCTGCGGTGAAACTGTTTGGATATCTGAAGCCTGGGTATGCCGAGGCAGGGCCTGTCTCGCATGCTGTTGGATCCTGGCAGCGTTTAGAGGATGCATTTGCGGAATTGCGTCGGTCTGAAACGCAACTCGCAGAACTCGAAACCCAGTATCGAAGCGTCTGTGACGAGCGAGACAGGCTTCGGAGCGAATGCGCGTCTCTCGGGCATGCGGTAGCAGCCCAGCAAGCAGCGCAAACGCAACTCGCAGAACTCGAAACCCAATATCGAAACGTCTGTGACGAACGAGACAGGCTTCGGAGCGAATGCGCGTCTCTCGGGCATGCGGTAGCAGCCCAGCAAGCAGCGCAAACGCAACTCGCAGAACTCGAAACCCAATATCGAAACGTCTGTGACGAACGAGACTCTCTGCTGGAGCATGCAAGTCGTCTCGAAAGTGTTCAGGAAACATGCACAAATCTGAAATCCGAACTGGATGCTCACGTACATGAGAAGGCGTTGTTGAACTCGCGTATCCGGTCTCTGGAGGAAGATCTAGCGCAGGTTTCCCACAGCTTCACTGTGCTCAGAGAGCAGCATGCAGACTGCGACGGACAAACTGCAGAGCTACAGAGACTCGAGGAGCTGGTGCAGCTCTACCAGACTCGCATCGAGGAATACGAAGAAGCGTTGACTGCGGCTACCAGAGACCGCCGCCGGCTCGAGGATCTGGAGGATTCCATGCGAACGATCACGCGAAGGTGCGAAGAGCTTGAGAGTGAACGACGGGAGTTGGAAATCTCTTTAGAACAGGCCCAGGCGGATAGGGAGAAACTTGCTGAACTGGAAGCGAGAAATCGCGAGCTCGAATCCAAAAGCGAAACGCGCGATGCTGAATTGGAGGAACTTAGCGCTCAGGTTTTACTCTTGCAAGAAACGCTTGCATCTCGAGAAGACCAAGTACAGCACCTACAGAGTCAAGTGCAGAACTTGCAAAATGCCCTCGGCCTGGAGCGTGAAGAAGCACTGGCGGCGGAAAAGCAGTACGAGGAAATCAGCCACGAACTGCAATCGCAGCTGGACCGAGTACTCGCGGAGCACGCCGAGACTCAGCTTGCGCACGATGAGTGCGTAGCGGAGCTTCACCAGACCAACCAGAGACTGGCTACCGCTGAGGAGCAACAGGAAGCACTCTGTGCTCGCATCCATATGATCGAAGCGGAGCATCATCGATGGAGACGAGCGCTTACGGATCAGATCACTGGAGTGATAGACGCGACCGCATCCGAGGTCAGTGCATGTGCGTCGACCGTTCACTTCTGGAGGGATAAGCAATTCGCCATAATCGACCGGCAGCTTGATATGCTCACTGATCAGCAGGCAACATTGCAAGAATGTGAACTTGAGTTTGACAACCTCCAGGCGCAAATCCGCGCTGTCATCCTATCAGCTGGTGCTACGGGTACCGAACAAGTCGCAGACTCGGAGGCGAGGCGCAACGAGCGCTCACCGCAGCCAGTTCCTGCGGTGCTAGCGATGCATGGTGAGCACGACCCCGATGATAACGATGGCGATGACGATCATGATGATGATGATGATCACGCCGAGTCAGCGATCAGGGCTGACAAAGCGTTCGCTGGAGAGCAGCATACCCATCAAGTACAACTTGTCCGCGATGCCTATGAACGGCAGTTAGCTGAACTTGAATCTAGGCACGAGGCCAGTATGCGTGAAATGATGCGGGTCCATGAACAAGTCCTCCAGGAACTCGAGGAAGAGATCGAACACCTGCGCACGATTGCGCTTGCGTCATCGCACAAGCGCGCGTTCGACGAAGCATCAGCGCCAGAAACAACCCAGTACCGAGCAAGTCCCGAAAACGATTCCAGCGCTTCATATGATGTGGACGGCCCAGCAGCGGATCCAGCGTCCGTCGATGCGCTACAGCGCTCTCTCGTGAAAGAACGCATGGCGAGCGGCGATCTTCGCCAAGAGAACATTCGTCTTCAGACCTGTATCAGCGCCCTACGCGCACGCTTGGCAGCATGGGAGCACGCCCAGCATCCAAATGCCTCTGGAACTCGTGCCAGCGTGCTTGCTGGGACACCCAACGACGACGACGACGACGACGACGACAACGGCGACGACCAGGTATCTTCACGAGAAGCGCTCACCGACACGAACCTGCCCCGACTGGAGCCAGCGCATCCATCCGACGATACCAGAGGGAGCCACAGCCAGCATATGGAGACGGCGGCAGAGTTGCCAAGCAGTGCAGCTGCACAGCGCGACCTCATCGCGCAACTAGAGAAACAGATCGAGGAACTCATTGCCCGCGAGTCACGACTTGCCAGCGCAGTCGAAATGGTGCACGATGAGAACATGTTGCTGCGCAAGCAACTCGCCGAGCAGCACCACCACGACAAGCGGGCGCAACCACAGCAACCCTGGCGAGCAACGCACGTCAACGAGCTGGACGCATCCGGTGCTGACAGCTCGCAGCACGCCTGGTTGCCGTCGTCAGCTTTCGCAACAGCATCAGCAGCAGTACCAGCAACAGGTGCGGCAGTGGTGAAAGCGCAGGAGCAAGAGCAGGACGCCACACAAGTCCACGTGGATCCGCGCGCTGCGGACATGGAGGCGGAGCTTTGGCGTCTTCGAGAAGAACACAACGAGCTCCTTATCTGCCTCGCAGAAATGGAAATGGAATGCAACGCCTACAAGGAGCGCTTACGCAAGCTTCTCCAACCATAAACGGATCCTAGGATCCAGGTTCCAACAAGAGATGCCCAAGCGAAGCTTGGAGCACGCCTCGGAGCATCCACTGTAGACCCGGCTGTATCGTCCGCACTGCAGACGCCTGCTCCAGGAGTCCTTTAGAAAGCTGTATGTTGATCAGGGAACGCAGGCGATGCTGCAAGCGAGCAGGCGGCCTCCGTCAACACTTGCTGGACGTCCTAGGCGCTGCCTTTCCGACACCGCATGCGCATTCGTCAGGTTTTGGGTGCGTCCCCTTGTGTCAAGAGATCGCACGGACGGATCCAGCGACCTGAGCGACACTGTTGCAGCACGTCTGCAGGACCTGGTCGAGCAGCTCGCGCTGTTTCGACCCTGCCGCATTGCCTAGCGCCAAAACCTGGAGCTTACTTTCGACAAGGCACCGAATCCGACACCGATAGGTATCGCGCTCTGCGGAAGATGTAAGTGTGTTCAGGTCTTTCGCCAACTGACGGAGAAACGGTTGACTGAGTTTCAGTAGCTTGCGCTGACCAGCACTACCCAGGTTCCATGCTGCTATCGCCTCGATCCAGCGTTCGAGAATCGGTAAGCGCCGTTCCACACTGAGGAACGCTACCGTCGGCATGCTGGTTGCCAGAGGCAGCACCACTGCCCAGCATTCGAGAAGTGCATGTGAGCGGAGCCCGTGCCTGCCGTCCTGCTGCATGGCCTGGGCGTTGGCGAGCATTCCGTGCAGCGCTTCCAGAATCGGACAAGCGAAGACAGCAGGCATGCGTCGGCCCAAATCACCCAGAAATGTCACTAGACTCGAAACAGCAATCGAACTGCGCTTCTGTGGTTCAGCGGAAACGACGCGACCCCGGGTAGTGAGATAGTGATTCAGGATCGGTTGCAAGAGCGCGCTAGACAACAGCTCCACCATCCGGGTAGAGGCTTGCGCTGAACGTGCAGCTTGCAACGCCAGCCGAATACCCGCATGCAGTGCCACTGCGTCGTGTTCGGTAAAGCGTACGGCGTGCGGTCTCGCGGTTGCCAGCGCTACGACCTGTTCCAGTAGGTTTTGGAAAGACTCGAGGAACGCACGCTCGTGCGCTGCTTCGACCACCTGGGATGCTGCTGCTGCTGCTCGTTGCGTGCGACCAAGAACTCCGTGAACGAGCCTTGTGTATAAGGCCGCGTCGGTACCCTGGGTCTCAGCGATAAAGTCTGCAGCATGATGAAGCGCACCCAGCAGATCCATGAGCGTTACCGGTGCGAAACCTGCAGCACGAGTCTGATACCGAATCGCGATCTGGACCAGGTCCAAGACCCGGTGGTGGAAGGCATTTTCCCGCAACCTCTCCGCGGCGTTTGAAGCCGACAACTGGCTTGTTCGTCGTCGCTCCCCAACGAGGGGTTTTAGAGCAGCCACCAGTTGCGCATCGTATGCCGCAAGCACTGCCGGCTCCTCCTCATCCATATCCAACTCGAGATCCGCCTGGAGGTCGACCTGCGGGCGGCTAGATTCCACATCCGAGGCATCCGAGGTATCCGAGGCATCCGTCGTGGCCTCGTCAGCGCTGATGCTAGGCGCATCGCTCTCGCTCGAGCTTGAGCGCAGGTCTGCCTCGGCATCATCAAGATCATCGGTGCTTGTGTCGTCCTGATCGGCAAGACCAGGGAGCTCACCCAGTACCACTCGAAGCACTGCCGCAGTCTGCTGCGTCGAAGCTATCATAGAAGCAAAAATCACGTCGACAGCACTCCGCACGCCACTGTCGTCGAGACGAAGCAACTGCAAGCAGAGGCGCGTGAGCTCGATCTCGAACATGTCGCCGTCTAGACCTGGAGTCCGCAAATGCTCGATGCAGCGGTCCAGGAATGGTACGCAATGATGCAAAATCAGGTCAGAGGGCTCGCTGGGCGTCCGCTGTGCCCCCTTCTTTGGCGATGGTGAAGGCGCACTCCACGCTGACACCGCTACAATGAGAACCAAGGCCAGCGTGAGAAGCGCGAGGCGACTTGCGCGGTGTTCCGACAGCGCGGCAAGGCTTTCCAGGTGTGCAGTACATACACATAGAGCACGTTCGGACTCGGGCTGCGCTTTCCGTTGCATACACCCAAGCAGAGATCTCATACTTCCAAGCCAGTCAGGCACGGGCTCGTTCGCAGCGTATTCAGACCAGGTTGCGATGAACGCTGCGACACTGAACAGTGGACCTCGCCAATGCTGTCGCTCAAGCCTTGAAGACGAACCCGATTCAATCAGAGCAGCCAGGGAGTCAAGCAGTGCCAGAACCTTATGCGAACATTCGGTGCGCTCGGCAGCTGCACCACGGCGAAGGCTCTCGTTCCATCCACGAACGAGTAACGGGAGCTTCGTCAGGTCGACCGACGACCTGACCATTCGAGCCAGCTCGGTCGCACGTAGATGGCGAGCGGCAGCCTCTAAGACAACAACGGCTGGGGACCCTTGGTGTTCACCCCGCGCTCGCTGCAGCTCCTTCTCCCACAAGATTTCCGCCAGAGATGTGCTCAGTGGACATCGTCTGCCAAGTAGCGCTACAAGCGCATCCGTCAACGCCTTGAGCAGCGGCTCCAGGTCATGAGCGTGCTTGCGATGAAGCGGTGAAACGTTCCAAAGGTGCTCATTCCAGTCGTCGTGAGCGAGCATAGCACGCCAGTCTTGCGCTTGGACGCAAGGCGAGCTCGCGGCAATTTGCAGAGCCTTCATGCAGAGCCGCAGCGCCAGCGCTACATGCGCTGGATGCTTGCTGGAGAATAAGTGCGGCGCCACGACCTGCTCGTAAAGCATGATCCACGCGGCTTTCGAGCTGTCTCCACTGCGATGACGTTTCCGAGCAGGAGCATTTCCATCATCAGAAGGCGTGACATCGGCATCCATTTCTGCTAGAAGCAGATCAAAAGCACGTGGCATCACTGGAGAATGCTCGGTTGACAGGTCCTCGATCACGGGTACAACGTACCTGCGGAGAAGCTCTGGGCTCCGGCAAGGCGATTCCTGGCCCCAGAGCGGACAGTCCGCTTCACTGGCTCGCAGCGTGTACCGATTTCGACAGAAAAGCATGACCGCAAGCGCATCAAGCGTCGGACGGCCCTGTCGTTGCCGGCGTTTCCAGTATCGCAGAACTGCTGCACGTGCGCCTGAACCTGCACGGAACAGGGAGCGATCGACACAAAGTTTTGCCACTGCCTCGCAGGCAAGACGCCCACACGCTTCCGCAAAGTTTTTCGTATCCTGATCAGCGATATGCGCTAGAACCTCAAGAATGCCGCCCAGCTGCAGCGGCGGCAAGGACTCGCAGTGCGACGGCTCCCATGAGCCGAGTACAGCACCCAGTGCGAACAGGCGTGCGAGGGCTATTTCGCGCGCATCACCGACATGTTTCACGTTCTGGAGTGGATCTGATGTCGTAGGTACGCCTTCAAGATCGTAAGCGCGATGCAATGCGTCCAGGATAAGCGCTTGTCGCCGGTGCCCGGTCGCTTCTACCTCAGCCGCACGCAGCTGCCGTAGACAAGCGCAGAGCGCGAGGCTGAACCCTTCGCGAGCACCCTGCACTGATGATACGAGACCAGCAACCAAACGCCTGCAAGTATACGCGAAATCCTCATCGGGCAAGTGCAAACTGCCTTGCAAAATCGTGGACGCCGCACGACACCGCACGTCCGCGTCCGCGGAAAGCAGCTCCCAAAGCGCCTGCTTCACCTCGGCGAGCGTCGACATATCCGGACACCCACACAACTTCGTCAACGAGTCCGGCACAAGCGCAAAGGTTGCACCTTGCACCGGAGCAGCACAGGGAGCCTCGCGTGCGAAAAGACGTGTGCGGACGGCGACGGGTATCGATCGAAACGATTTGCTAAGGGAAAGTATGACGCTAAAGTGGCCACCTTTAGGGATCGCGGATCCTTTGCGTATATATTCAGATCAGACAAGCTTTGCCTAGGGAGTGTGCAACACGGCAATAGCCACCCTTTAGGGATCGCGGATCCTTTGCGTATATATTCAGATCAGACAAGCTTTGCCTAGGGAGTGTGCAACACGACAATAGCCACCCTTTAGGGATCGCGGATCCTTTGCGTATATATTCAGATCAGACAAGCTTTGCCTAGGGAGTGTGCAACACGGCAATAGCCACCCTTAAGGATCGCGGATCCTTTGCGTATATATTCAGATCAGACAAGCTTTGCCTAGGGAGTGTGCAACACGGCAATAGCCACCTCTAGGGATCGCGGGTCCTTTGTCTAAAGATACAGGAGAGCAACGCTTTCGTCACAGCGATTACTGCAGAAGCGAGCCATGCGCTTCAAACATCCGCCCAGCGGCATTAAAGGCGGCGGCGACAGCGCATCTTCTCAGGATGCAACACGATCGGTAAAAGCAAGGGAAACGGACTACGAACCAGCTACTCGGTACGAATTTCGTTCCATCTCTACGGTAAACGTTGAAAAGGGGAAGCAATCTCCGTGGTCTCGTACGTTTACCTTCTAGGAGGAAGGCCTCGCGATCCGGATGAGTCTACTAGAGTCTGCTGGACGAGCGCTCTGTGTGCGTCAGCAGTGCCGGGTGCTGTGGCGAGACCTGAGCGGCTTGTGCGCAACGCAGTGTATCCAAAGACTAGCACAGGGTAAAATGCGTCCGAGCTTCGCCCTGGTGCACTGATCACGCAGCGACTTGCTTCGCGCTGTTGCAGTCTGTGCGTCTATCTGGGCAGCGTGCAGACTCCCAGAATGATCATGAGTCCCGATTCCTTATCGATGGAAGCATTCCTCGAGCCGACGCCCTCTGTGGTGCGGCCGAGCCCGTCTGTCTCCGTGCTGCAACCGCACCACCGGTATAGATACTGTGTCGAGAGCAGCAAGGCAGGTATTCTGCACCCGATCGCACGCAAGCAATGACCTGAATATTACAGAGGAAATTATGAACCGTGGAACTTGAACGCAGCGCGCTGCATGATAGACGCCTTCTCGATTACCCGTACGCAGCCTGCAGGCCGACACCCCGCATCAATGGTAACGTTTCGTCCACGCAAAAGAACATGTAACGGGTATCGCAGCGCTTCGCAGGGAATCTTCCGGAGGTCCAACGCGGAGATCGCGACGCCAGATGCGCGGGCAAATCTCTCGAACGCATCCGACCTCGAGCGATTCCGTTCGAAGCGTTACTTACGCTATCGACCCTTGGGGTGTTCTGTAATACCGTATTCGATTTGACGCTCAAGCTGCGTAAAAAAATGTTGACAGCATCACGCAGTTCCGTGTTCTTTCGTAGGTGGCTGAAGCCCGACGTGTACCCATTGGTGGGCGCTGTGCTCACGGGTGTGTTTGCAGCGGTCTATCAGTCGGTGCGGAAGCTCCAGTCGGGCCTCGATGTGCAGCTGAACCGCGAGATTCGTGGCAAGCATCCGTTTGATTATATTGAGAACCCGCCACCTGAACATATCGAGCGGAGCAAGCACGGTCTGATGTCTTTCACACGCGGTATGCGCGAGAGTATCTTTCATGCCGAGAGACGTGTTTACGATGCCAAACACGGCATGGCTGCGACGGGCGACCTCCACAGCAGTTAACGGTACTTGAAACTCCGACCCGGATTCGAGAAGACGCCTCGATGGTGTGGACCTGAGGCAAGAGATCGACGGCGAAGACGACACCTATACCCGTGATATCGTCCTCGAATACGCATGATTCGTGGATATGCGGTATGTGTGCTGTTCAGAGAGAAGTAACCAAAATTCTGTTGGAGCTGTGAACCTGCGATTTTCGATTGTCTCGGGTGCAGGGCGGCGGCGGCGGCACGATGCCAACTGAGGAGATGCCGCGGGGCGCTTCGTGACCATTGGCATGGCAGCAACTCGTCTGGATACGATCCGATCCGATGCGATGCGATGCAATGCGACGTCGCTCGAGTGTGGGAATCCCGAGCCGAGGCAGCGATTTTCCGCAGGACACTAGGACAAGCACGAATGCGTGCAATGCTCCCGCACGGCGCGAGGTCTCAAGCCCGAGCGCTGAATATGGCGCATTGCGGGCGAAGCATCCAGGTTTCTGACAATCCTCGTCGGGTCTGGAGCGCGACTCGCGGTGAGCATCGCGCGGCATCGAACAAGGAATCGCATTCCCGCAAGGACGACGATCTGAAGAAGAAGAAGAAGAAGAAGACGTGCACCACCGCCATTCCTGTACATCGCATGGATACGCGGGACACCACATCACCTGCTGCGGATGTTGCTCTGCCACCGGGTACAGTAGGGAACTATGCCTGCGTCCCAAGAGCTCCATCTGTGGACGACTGCTTGCGGCCTCTAGCTGCTATGAAGGGCACCTCCTCAGCGGCCGTGCTTTTGCTCACCAGAATCCTGCTGCGGGTAATGCTTCTCGTCGATGGATACTCGGGTACGAGTCTGCTTGAGCCGGAGCGCGGCACCATTACCGAGACACCGCAGGAGCGTGCGCGGCGAACTCGTTCGTGTCACACCCTCGATGTCTGCCATGGTACGCAGCGCAGTACTTCGGTAGCAAGTGCCGGGCACCAAAGGGCTTGCGAAACGCTATCGCGAACGCGTATCAAGTCCGGATATCGTCAAAGCGGTGCACCCAGCGCGATTCTCGCACTGTGCGCTGCACGCGAGAAACCATGCTCGGATAGATATTGAGCATGATCCAACAAAGCAGCGCGCGTATGCTGAATAGATGCATCGACCGCAAACGCGACATTTACCTGGTAACCATTGACCTGTATGGAGAAACCCCATACGCATCTCGAAAGGCCGCGGATCCCCTGCAGTTCATATGCATGCAATTCGCACACACACACACACAAGACGATGGTCGTGAACGGAGCTCTGGGGAGCAGCTTCAAAAGTCGACATCCCAGTTGCTATCATGCGAAACGGACCGCGTTCGCGCAACCTCGAGAGAGCTCGGACCCGCACTCGCTGGAGAGCGCCCCAGCTCATCATCCGTACTTTGACGCTGCGCGTCTGCCGTGCCAGTGCTGCTCACGACAGGTGAACCAGGGTCCAGGGCGAGTTGAGATACGTCGGGTAGATCGGAGACCAGGTTGACTTGTGTCCGCTTGTTCGCCTCGGTCTTTTCATCTGAGACGCTGTTGGTTCCGTTTCTGGCATCGGCCAATCCGTGATCGGCCAGTGGAGAGCGCGGTACGCCTGGAAAGCGTTCAGGATGCAACGCCGGATCTACCAGGCGCTCGGCTGCGCGATCCTCACCCTTGGAACGGAGCCATTTCTTCCATAACTGGACAGTCTCGGCAAGCTTGGACGGTATAAAACTGCGAGCAAACAGCGCAGCCTCTGGAAATCGCTGACTCTGAATGAGGATGTCCAAGCAGCCTTGTCGATCGTGCAGGAGCAGCTTCGCCAAAAATGCCGTATTCGATTCGCCTGCCCTGAGCGCAATCGAGGCAACGTCGCGGAGGCCGGCGGCATCGCCGCGCGCTACCTGCAACAACAGTAAACTGCTGGCATCGTGGGCGTTTCGCATGCAAATTTCGGCCAGTGGGAGATCATTGTTGGCCATTGCAGCTTCGGAGAGCTGGCGCCAACGAGTCTCACTGGGTGCTTGCTCCGCAATGGAACGTGCAAGATCCAGTTTGTTCAGAGTCAAGGCCAACTCAAAGCGATAGTCGGTATCCGTGGCAACCTCCAGCGCTGCCTGCTTGTATCCGGCTCTCTCAAGGGACTGGGCGAGACGATTGTGCTCGGCGTGCGGTATTGACTGGAGCAGGTCGAGCGCTTCCCTGAGCATGCCTTTCTGGATGTAGGACTTAAACTGCACAATGCTGGCGAGCAAAGCATATGAGATAATCTGGAGGTCACGATCGACCAGGTACACGCGATTGTCCGTCGGCAGATAGCCCATGAGGTACAGCTGTCTATCCAGGTGCGCGATGGTCGTGGATTCGGTCCCCACGAGGAACGCCAGACGCCCGCTATGTGTGCAGAAGACAAAGCATTCCCCGCTCCAACGACCCGTACCAATGCGATCGGCCTGCTCATGGAGCACAGAGAATGCGTCGTCTACGCCGTCCGCGCCAAGCACTCCCTGACTCGCTTCTAGAGCTGCATCCACTGTGGATCTATTGTAGCGAACGACGAAAAAGCTATCTGATGTTATAATCGCAAGCAGATCGGCTGTGTCGGACCATAGCACGTTCGTTGCAGCTACGTCAATACGCTGGACGATTTGTAACGAAGCCCAGTCGTAGAAGCAGATACAATCCTCACCGCCAAGGCCGAGCAGCGGTCCACCGTAAATCGCTTTGATCGGAAAAGGTGCGCGAATGACCGCCCGTTCCTTCTGCATTCGATTGAAGACGTGCACCCGGGCGTTGCCTTCACGGACGGCATACTCTCCCGGGCCATTATCCCAGACAAGCTCGTCTCCGGTGCCAAACGATTTGTTACGCCATGCCAACGCCGTATAGATCATGTACTCGCCATCGCCGCAAACTGCAATGAAACGGCCGTTCGGTGAATGACTGATTCGTTGCGGGTAGATTTCCGTGGTACCCATCTCCTTCAACGGTGCCGAAACGCGCGCACCATCCGCTACCTGATCCAGTTGTGCTTGACGCAGCGCTACGAAGAATATCTCGTTGTTTTTTGCGAAAACCACTTTTCCACTCTGATCCATGCTGTAAACGGGCTCGTCCTTTCCGATGCGCACGACGATCGTCCCGAGGTCACAGCCGATGGCGATGACGCTGCTCGATCTGAGACAAGCCAGGCTCCAGCAGCGCTCAAAGCCGTACGACAGCATCGTCTCTAGACGGTAGGTGTTGCTGTTCCACACACGAACGGTGCCATCCTCGCTGGCGGTGAGTATCAGTGGACGCACCGGGTGAAACTGTACAGCACTGACATTCGCCGTGTGGCCAACGAGTTCCTGTGCCGGGGTCCTTGTCTGCATATCCCAGACGATCGCGCGCTCATCGTCGCCGCCACTGATCAGGAACGGTTTGTCGTTACCCGGGTAGTAGTCGACACTGTTGACGCCCTTGCGGTGACCCTCAAGCGACATGTTCGGAACTGGGCTCGACAGACTCCAGATTTTCACGGTGCAGTCGAGTGACGCTGAGGCGAACGTGTTCGGATCCTTGGGGTTGAACACCACCTGCATAACGTAGTGCGAGTGACCCTCGAATACCATCGTGCAGTTCCAGTTTCTCTCCCAGTCCCACAGTTTGATAGCCATGTCGTCGGAAGCTGTCAGGAGCAGAGGGCGAGTCGGGTGCACAGCTATCGAACGCACATAGTCCTGATGCGCTTCAAACTCGCACACTTTTTCCATGGTGTTGTAGTTATAGACACGAACGTAGAGATCATCTGCGGCGGCGATAACCCAGTTCTTCCGCTCCACGAAGCGCGCACAACGCACCGGCTGGTCTGACACTTCGAACTGCTTCAACGCAACACAGCGATCGTAGTCGAAGATCAGCACCTGGCCGGTGTAGAGGGCCACCAGCACCCACGGCTCTCGCGAGTGTAGCTCTACACCCTTGACGCGCTCACTCCGCACCTGGGCAACTTTCACGGGATCAAGACGTAGAGGCATCTTATGGGGTGCACTTTTGGGCAAGTGAGCCGGATACTGGTCAAGCCGGACTATTTGCGTACCTAGATGAATGCCTGCCTACTTGTCTGTCTGTCTGTCTGTCTGCCTGTCTGTCTGCCTGTCTATCAGCCACGGTGTATGGGTACTTTCGCGTATCCTGCTCGCCGGCACAACGATGCCGTGAAACCGCCATGGCTAGGGCACGCGCGATCGGCCTTCAAGGCCGCCACACGGGCGCTCAGCGTCGTGCCAGCGGGCACGATGCGCTCTACGATGAGCGCTGCTTCCAGGAATACGGGATCCTCTCCCGAAGAACCGTTGTATCCAGGACACTGTATGGATGGCGAATGGATCATGAATTTAGGTTGCGGATGAAAATTCCACTCGTTTGCTGGATGCAAGCGACTCGCAACGTACGTTCAGAGCTGCGCATAACGGCATTGGAGTTACTGACTCGATGGAGAAACGAGTTGCGTCGCCAATAGCTGCCGTCACCCGACCCGTCGTGGAACGCTTGGTCACGTCAGCATGCGGGAGTACTGTGTATTTCTCGCGACGCTTCGCTCGCGTCGTTCTGGAGCATAGGCACAACCAGCGAGCGCAGTACACTGGAAACGACGCGGAATCACGTAACTGCCGAGGCTGCTCGTGGGCAGCAAGAGCGCAAATCGCTACAGAATATCAAGCAAGAACGCCTTGTGCATCATTCCGGAGTCACATAAAACGAAACGCCGCGCGCAAGCTCCGGCATTTGGCAACGATGAGCGCGCTCTCGGAACTGACACCAGCTCCATGGGGAGCCGAATGCGGTGCGTGTCGCACACCGCAAGAAATGCTCCGTTTCGGGCGGATACGCTGCTCCTCCGAGTGCCGTCGCTGACGGCTAGCTCGGAGGTAGACCCAGCGTAAACGTATTCCAAACGCTGCAACCGCGCATTTCGGAAGCTCGAGGTACCGTGCGCAACGCGCTGTGGTGTCCCCGCGCGGTAACGCTGAGTACGAAAATCCCCGTCGGCATGTCGACAGTGAGCGTGCGTATCGCGCAAGTCCAGATGCGTCTCACACACGCCTTGCTCTATAAGCACAAGCACGAATATGCTTCCGGTAAAATTCAGAATAGTTTCACACCGAGCCAGAAGGTGCGTTCACTGCGCACTGGTCGTCTGGCGCGGGCCACTGAGCAGCCCCAGTATGTCGATGCCTGTTCGCATTTGGCCATTTCTGTCGTCGTCTGCACATCCACGCGTTGTACCGTTGTCGTTTAAGGGCATTCACCTGTCTTGTTGCGGTTTTTTGCGGCCACGGGGCGAGCACAGCATTTGTTGGTTCCGCGGCTACACGTCGAATTTATCATTGCTCAACGCCAATGTCAACATACAATGAAACGGGTACACTTTACGCATTCCGGTGCATATACGAAAGTTTGGGTCTCGTCGCAATGTCATAAACGCTGGCCGATGTGAGCTACATCTGCAAATGTTTGCTTTGCTTCTCTCGAAGCTCTGGCTTTAAACCGGCCTGTTTCCCCTTTCCATCCAGCTTTATCGGCAGTAGTCGACAGATGTTGGTGGCAGCGAGGTAGCTCCGATTACACCGCCTTTGGTGGGAGTCGACGCTTGTTGTGCACAAATGAAAGTTGCGATCTGCGGTTCGCTTGTCGTTTTCATGTTCTTCGTGTACAGCCTGGGCGCGTAGATCGTAGCGGTGAAACTTGGACTGTGCTCAGGTGTTTCAATATACATGTATATAGGTACGATCTGGGCCGCTGCTCCGAGCGCTGCACTGAGGGGCAAACGCGCTCGCCTCATCGCTCAGCACAAGTCCATGACGGGTGCATGAGGCCGCCCTCAACGCCCTACTCCGCTTTCGAGTCCAGTGCTGTATCTTGAAATTACCGGTTACTTTTGGGTGATCTCTGCGGCGAGCACTCTGTCGGCTGCACGCGCATGCTATCCCTTTCGATAATTGGTGTGTGGAACGCGATGTTGACCATGGGGAAACGAATAGCGGGAACAAAATCCAAGCTGGTAAACAAGTAGTCATGGGACTTTTTCGATTTCTCCATCATCCATCCAGCGTCGAGGAATGGATTTGAAACAAGCGGACCCAATCATGAAGAATGCGTGACTCGAGCATGCTACTCGCAAGGAACAAAGACACATGGAGGCATATACCTGTGAATTCGATAGTGATATCAGTTCTTGTACCAACGCTCGTTCAAGAGCCCCGTGAATCATCTTGACAAAGATGGCATAAAGAATTCCATCGACGAAGCGTCGAAAGCGCCGCTCCAAAAACACGATGAAGTATCCTGAGAAGGCATTTGAATCTGTAAGCTTCTCGAGGTGCATAGCGAATGTCGTGGCTGGAAGTCTAAAAAATTTTGCAGGAAAAACTCATGACAGAAAGTACAAAGCGCGCAGTTCCCTGTTTCTATTCGAATCTGGAACAGACGCAGTGCTACAGACACCAGCGGTACAGCTCTCTGGACGGGAGATACCCACCGACGGCTATACCGACCATGCTCAAACTTTAAGTTCGTTTCCATTCAGTCCAGACTCTGGGCATCAGACGCTACGCAGCGTTCAAACTTGTACTTGTTCCCATGCGATCGCAGCGCCCTCCTCGAATAAATGCACCAACTGGAAACGTTCGGAAACATGATGGTGTCCGAGCACTGCAGACGCTCATGCTCGCATTTATTTCTATGGATAGCACCGAGGAATCGAACCAGAACGTCAAGGTGCGCGAGCGCCGCAGATCACACGGGCAATGCTGTCGGGCGCTCGGCACATGCCCGGACCCACTACCAATCCTAGAACAATTATGACTATTTAGTGACAAATATACAGCGCGCAGCCTGACACGTTGCTCGCAGCGGACAGATCGTAAGCGGGTGACTTTTTTCAGATGCCAAATAGGATATACCACACATTTTGGACAGGGCCCTGCACATGCCCCGAGGGCGCCTTCCAAACTCCTTTCGCAATTGTTGTCGCGCTGCACGCTTGACTCCGAGGCGCGTATGGCGACCCTACCTCCAGTCTCGTCTTCGGCGAGAGGATTGCAAGGAGGAGATACCCGCTCAGACACTTCTTCAAAACCGGAAAACGTGCCAGTGTGGCGAGCGCCTGGGTTTGGGGCGATTACCTCGGCGCGCTCGACTGTGGCTGGTGCTGCCGCGCACTCGGGCGGCGGACCCGTTCGCCGGAACTACGCCAACGACGCGGAACGGGAGCAGAAGTTGCTCGAGTTTGGCATCAAACCACTGCCGCAGTTTACCTTTGAAGAAATTAAGCAAACGCAACGAGATGTTTTGCGTGTCATTGCTATGGTCTATGACGCTCCTCGAGGGCGAACGCGAGCGGACCTCGAGCTCAGCCTCGCTGAAAAGCTAGCGGCCTACCACCCCGGGGATCCAGCCTATGATCTGAGCAAGTTTCAGGCCAGCGAACCCAAGAGGTTAGGGAACAATTATGTACAGAGACAGCTGGTTGGTGCTCGACCCTTCATTATGGACGGCACGTTTGCCGACATGACCGGCCGTGGTTCTGGTAACCGTCGAACGAGCACGGCGGCGGCAGCAGCAGCTGCTGCTGCCGCTGCCCAGACCGGTCTGCTGCACTTTCCAGCAGCGGTCACTGGTACAGACCGCCAGGTTGATCAGGCGAGTTTGCGACTTGCGCAACTGGTTCCGAACTTGCAGACACCGGCTGGCATCGCCGCTGCTCGCGCCACTGCGGTAGAGCCGGGCAATATCCGCTCCGGTGTCCTTCATCTGCCGGAACCCGAGGGTGATATCTTGTTGGGTCTCCATCCGTCAAGCCATGCAGCGTATCGCTGGTGTAGTCGCTGTGGCACGGATGTTTCTACTCGCTTCCACAACTGGTACCTACATATTCTGAAATGTGATCCTATTTTCTACCAGAATGAGTTGAGCGCTTTCTTCTCCAGCCGAGCAGGCGCTGGAACACCTGTGTTGCCGCCGTTCGGGTTTCCTGGTGGCGTCAAAGTCTCTGTTCCCGAAGAGCAACATGCTTTGGTGTCCCGGTCCAAGTACATGGCTGCGCTGAACGGCCTCGGACCCGATCGTGTCCCTGTGTTCGTGAACGCAGCAAAGTACTTTAAGACATGCGTTGATCCCAACGAGACCTTGGAGCGGGTAGAGGCTATCGCACGATGGCTGCGTAACACAACTCTGCTCAAACGCGTGTTCGAGAGCGTGCAACTCGTCAAGCGGTTACCGAACGCTATCAGTGATCCTGGAAATCGCAAAATCTTGGGATTCAGTAGTGTGAGTACTGAAACCATGGCCGTCACGGGCCCGGAAAATCCCGATAAGCAACTTTTTTATTTAGAATCGGGTCGGATGCTCGTATCAGACAATGCTAACCAGAAAGAGCATCGGCTTGGCGCGGGAGGAACCGGCGCAGCTGTTCCCGGGTCCAAGTTTTCCGCGAGAGTCCATCTCGGAAGTGGAGCGGCTAGCCAGAGCGCTGCGAGTGCCCTGGAAACGAGTACGCGGCAAGATGCGAATGCAGCAGCTTCTTCGGGAGGCCCCTCTGACGAAGATCTGCGAAATGAGCACCCTCGTGGGTCCATTCGCGATGAACAGCGTTTCGGCAGGATGATGCAGCACCTGGGACTCGCGCGATCCATAGATGAGGTAATCGAGGTGAAAAAGGATTTCGAACGCGAGTTTGGCGTCACGTTTGACACCCGCAGCCCTATCATTCGGAAGCGCCCGCGCATACGGGGAATCTCAGAGCCACAGCAGCAGCAGCAGCAGCAGCAGCAGCAGCAGCGCCCATTGCGTCTACTGAGACTCTAAACCTAGAATACCAGCGCCCAGCGAGAAACACGCTTGCGGGCATGCGTCGCAGAGCTCTCGCAGCCATAGACGAGGACGCTATCAGTCATGCGTCCGGCTAGTGCCCTGCACGAAGTGCACACCCAGAGCTCCAGAACATCTCTGCCCGGAGGCTAATGCTCCCGGTTCGACGTCTTTGCGCGTGAATCCCAGCTTGGGTGCTTCAACGCGCAAAAGGCAACGGGTCTCCGAGCGTTACCGTGTGAATCAAATGCGACGAGTTCCCAAAACGGTCATTGAAAATCGCGAACCTGGCAACGCAGCCGACACTCCCCCAGGACCTGTAATGGAGCTTGCGGTTCATAGTAGATATAGCGTCGAGTTGTGTAGACATCTAGGTCGAGAGATATCGGTGAACGCTACTGCTGCGTGAGATTGTCGAGACTGGAGCATGCAACGGCAGTGCCGTCTGCTCCTGGGCAATTCCGATGCTGCTACGTAACGGATTCGCTGCTGTTGGGCTCGAATATCGAGGATCCGAGCACCAGGCTTCGAGTTCCTGTACAATGTAAGCTGCATGAGCTTCTCGTAATGGAGTCGTGCTGTACATCTTCTGGTATCGCGGTTGCAAAGCGTGTACCCGAACATGTATTCCTGCATGTATACGTGGACCAGCTTCAGAGATCCTGAGAGCAAGTGACTTGCTGCGAAGCGTCCGTGGAGATCAACCTCGATGTGGAGAACGTTGCGCTAGTCTTGGCATTCGCGTCGGTTCCGTTCGGGAAGGTTTCATGATCGTGCTCTTTCTGTGCACGCTCGCAAAGCTCCAGTAGGCATCTCGCATCTTTCTTCAACCACAGAGGCTCCGTTTTACGTATCACAGTGAAGACGGTCTCATGCTGCGTGTCTGCGGCCGCCTCCATACAACGTCGTCTATCATCGTCGGCTGCAGCGTATGGGGCGAAACTCCCAAACCCGCCACGAGGCCGTCAGTAGCTACCGCCCAGCAAAGAAGCGGCTCGCGTCAGTCTTTCGAAAATCAACCCTATCAATGGTTTACTCCTTTATGCACTTCACAGTTCATGCATTCGGAAAGACTTTTATGTTGCAGTGTCTTTTTCAAGTGCGTCCTGAACGGCAATCAGTCTGTGAATAGGCAGCGCGTGCACGCGACGCTGAGAGCAGGTTTTCCGGCGCCTCTGACAGAATCTATAACCCACAACGTCTATGCGAGCTGCTGCACGCAAGCACGCTTGTGCAGCGTTGACATTGGAAGAAAAAGTCGGCAGCGCACGAGCACCGTCAACGAACGGCTCGGCGCATGCTCCCGCACCTCGTTCCGTCCGGGTCATACAGATTGCCTCAGATTCAACTCGACCAACGACTCCACGGCAACATACATCAAATGCACGTGGTACCCCCATCCTACAATATCCGAACAGAAGTCATCCGCTGCTTCATGGATCCAGAGCAAAAGCCAGAGTCGCCTGCAGCGGCTCAGATGCTCCTCGGGGCGCGGTCCAGCCAAGCGCACCCGTTCGCGAACCTGGAACGAAGAACTCCGTTGGCAGCGACTCTGTGACGGTTTATCGCTTTGTGCCTGTTCGTGGTGAACGGGACCTGCTTGAGTCCGCGTTTCACAATCAAAGCTCTGGGGAAAAAACCATGAACGATGATTCGAACTTTTCTCATCGTTTCGCAGTCGGGTCTCGTTCTCTATAGCAAGGCGGTGCTACGGCCTGTCGAGCAACCACGGCTTGTGGGCTCGTTGTTGACGGCGGTGATGGAGTTTGTCACGCGGCAAACCCGCCGCAACATCTCTCAGGTCCAGTTCGACGATATGCTCCTGACGTTGGTTACCGCCAAACGAGCGAGAATAACGGCAGCGCTTTTCCAGGACCTGTCTGACTCTTGCCAACTTGGACGTTTGGTCGCCACGAAGCTACTAGATGACTTTCTGACAATGTTTGAAGATGTTTTATTGAGCGGCCTGACCACGGACGGACAAGGGTTCTCGAGAAGTGCGACCTACGGCAGAAGCTACACCTCGGACGACTCGCTGAGCGCGCATGCAGCGAGCCCGTTGACCGACGGGGATGCCCCCGGACACCCCAGCCAGCACATGCGCAACGCCTCGGAGGTCTCCGGAGGCTCCCCGATACCTCGAAGTGCGCCTGAGCTGGTCCATCACGTGATAGACAGTGAGCTTCGGGCGGCAGCGCCGAGTCTTGGCTTCACGGCTAGTCCCAGGGGCGCTGTCACGATGCCGTCGCTGGTGCCCGGCATCTCCGGACGCAAACCCCCGTTTTCATCGAGGAGCCTTGTCCAGAACGTGACGCTTTTGGATCGTTTCCGTCAGTTCGACGGCGCCTTTTCAGACGCGATCCAGAAGAGCGCACTAGCGGTCGTGGCAGAGTTCACGCGCCTCCGAAACGTGAAGCGAGCGATTCTGCTGCGGGGCAACAAGGTCATCGCCTCGAATGCCACGGTAGACCAGGTCGCCCTGCTAGCGAATGTTCAGTTTCTCATTGATGACACGGAGCAGATTCTAATGGTGCAGGGTGACGAGATGCGTGATTTGCTGTTCGAAAGTGAAAGCGGCCTTGTTCTCATCCGTCGTCTGTATGTCGGCGAGAGCGAGGACGACGAAACCACGGACACAAGCAGCATTGGAGGGCTCTATTCCGTCGCTTCCATGGACAGCACAACCCAGAATAGCGCACTCATTTTGCTCATCTTCGCTCAGCCAGAAATCGAGGCCAGCGAATGGGAAAAAGTAGAGGAGCTCGCCAAGCTCATCGAAGATGTAGCGTCGCTGCACGCGAATTTGCGCATCGCGAGTTGATCATACCGCGCTGCGGGATAGGGTGTCACCAGTTTCGGCCTGGTGATGCGACCTTCGAAGCGCTACCGCTGGTACTACACAACAACGAGTACGTGGCAGTGGCGCGAGCGTCCCGCATGCGCGCTGGCGTTCGCCATAACGCCATCCTGGTCTGTGCGGTATGAGGGACCATTTTTCAGGGGGAGCATCGGCGGGGTTCCTGTGAACGCCGCTTGGCGACGCCAAGTCCCCATCGGAGCCCACACATGATTGTTTCCATTTTGGGGTGTTCGAGGCCTGGCCACCCACTTGCCGGCGCCAGTGTAATGCTGTTACCCTGATGGTCGTCATCGGGAAGAGCGTCTACGGCGCATGAAGATGTCCAGCGATGCCGCGCAACGCAACAGTACATGAAACAGCCACACCTGCCGATGTGATGGATAAGGCCCATGCACGAGATCATCGAGCACGTTCAAGGCTCCATGAGATGCTCTGGTCGGACGCTCCCGAGCTCATCTCAAAGTCGGTGCTCGAAATTGGCAGCGCATCGTACGCTTTCTGCGCCGCGGCAGGTTCGGAAGCAACCTTCTCGATCAGTCATACAAGCTGAGGAGAAACAACAGGTTTCGCATGCAAGATCATGCTGAGGACGTTGCGGGCGAGTTTGTCGCATGGAAATGATGCTCGCATTGTCGCGCTCCTGTGTCAGAGGCGAGCCGCCCCGATGGCCAACGCGCTTATTCGTGGGTTTCAGGTCCGGCGCCGTGTGACGTATCACCGATGCCTGCGTCCACCGGATCTGGCTCACCGGAATACCGCTTTTCTCGAAGCTTATGAGGCTGGGGTTTCCAGAGCTCTCGCCTCGGGAATAGTCCGTACCTCCGCAGACACGAGCGCAGTGCCCGCCAGGGCTCTCCCAGACTCCGCGGGTCATCGAATAGAACATTTATTAAATCGTCAATGCGTTCATTACAAGGATGTGCGACGATTTCAATATCATCACTAATCGCTGGGCCTCTGGGTGCTGCAGGCACGGACATGGTCGGCTCGAGTGCGCCAACGACGTCTCTGTTATCCCACAAGCACACCGAACGCTGAACTGCGCGTCAACGGCTCTGGCACCTATGCCCGCTCCAGTCGATCACAGCAGCAAGCGAGGACGCGCGGATAGGGCGTTCTGCTGTTGATCCCTGCGGGACTAGTGGCGAATACGCGCTGCTTCCCCGCTCGTTTACCGACGAACGGCGAAAAGGGAGCAAGTAGAGCTGACCGAAGCCACCGCCTCAACTCCCCGAACGCTGCCTAGCGTCGTCGAGCGTGCGATGCCGTGGACAGGCTCTGGGCGGGTTCATGATCTCACGCGCTGGGTAGCGGTATCGTCTTTCAAATCGATGCTGTTGTACGTCATGCTGCAGTGTATGGAAGGAGATCGACTTGCCGGGGCCATATACCGTATAGATCGTAGACGAATTGTCTATAGGATAGATTCTTTAATGAATAGCGCAAAGAGCACTGTATTCGCCCGTCGGGTCAGTCATAACACATTGCTCAGATCATTGCAGGACACTGAAAGGAAAAAGGATATGCGCTCCGTGCCAAAAGCCGATATTCTTCAAGCGCACTTGCTGTCAATCGTAGGAAAACGACCAGTTGGTCATTTTATGTGGCGCAAAAGCGAGGACAGTATCCAACACAAGCGTCTCTGCTTCACAACAGCTTGCTCGTGTGATCCTGAGAACACCAGGAGAGAGTCACAAACATAAACACCTAGTTCACGCACGACCATCTTGCACCGAAAAAGCGCGCAAAGAGTTCCTGGAGCGTTGCGATCTATAGAAACCACCGGATCATCTGTTTGTTGTTTTCAATCAATGTGACTTGCTTGGGACGAAACTCTCGGAGCGCGCACGGGTATTCGAAATGAAACGAATCCGTCGTCCGTTCGATCGAACTCGAGGAGAACGCCCACATCATCATCTGTTGGAGCTCCAGTGGATTCATTTGGCAGCTTCAATTCTCTCGTGGAGAAGGCTCGTCGAACAGTACCATCCAATTTGTCGAATCATTGAAGACTTTTCCCTGACGTCTGGCGACGTTTTTCTATTACACAACATAGGATTTCACCATTCCCCTTGCGTTCGAGCATATGCGGATTCCGTCAGCGTAGAGCTGCTTTTCATTGCGCCGCGTGCTACGTGGTCCGTCGCCATCGAAGAAGTGTGTTTTCTCTCATGAAACGCAATGATCGCTCGACTGGGTAAATCACTGAAGCGCACCGTCCAGTGACACCAGGGCGTTTGTCGTCTCTCTTCCACAGGTCCTTCTCCCAGTGGGAGGCTCCTCACCTAAGGGCATAAGCAGGTGCGCGCATTTTAAAAATTAAGCGATGACCTGGGGTGTACGTTTCAGAAGGACGACATGCAGCGAAAGCCGCGCAGCGCTTCGGCGATAGAAAAGCATGCAGAGCTGACAGTGCACCAATTGGCACAGAGGGCACGAGTTCGACGATTCCTCGCCATGGTGCGTTCAACCAGCGTCGATGCAGACATGGAGTTCGTGAACCGAGACTTGAACGCCGCCACCAATATCATACGATGTGCGGTGCTGAGGACGAGACCCGAGGAGCAGGCGCGATCCGACTTTGTAGTGCAGCCTCTGATGCTCAACTTGTAGACGCAAGAGCTGCCGCCGATACCGGACTGCCGGTCTAAAAAGTCTGGGAAGCGTCTGCGCGTGAGTGTCTGTATTTGCCGCCCATGGGTGCGAGGCATTGTTCGCTCCACTGATGATTTCCGCGTTGCTGTGTCGCGTCGCTTTAGCGCTGGTGGAACAGGTGCGAACAACTTTGTCGATTTCGTTGCAACTACGATCAAATATGGGATTTGTAAACAGATTAATTTGTTGGAAGAATCCAATGCTGCGAGGAGATCGATAAAATTCTCGACACTGTTTCCGACACGGGTGCCGGTACGCGCGCCAGCGATCCCGCTGCATTTTATCGATCGATAAGTGGAGAGAATCACGAACCTGAACGTCACTTGAACCATCGGGGACACCACCTTCAGATCTGACATATATATAGACTGGGATAGCGAACCATGTCGCTGTTTGTGCGCGTGCATCTGAGCAGTACGGACCGATGGACGCTCGCTGCAGCGTTTGCTCGTTTGTGGCGAGGCAGCAGAGTCATAGTAGGTCCTGAAAGCGATGTAGATTGAGGGCACTGGCTTCTTTTTACGCTTCGACTTGAGCCCGTAATGGTCTCACAGACAGCTATCGCAATGAGCGACAGCTATATTCGCGAGCGCGATACAGCGCATCGAGCGTCAGATGCTCCTTCGCGGTACGATGCGACGCTTCATCTCGTTAGCGATAACGGGACTTGCACTGCGGGATTCCGTGGTTGCGGCACTGAGGAATACCACACGACGCGCGTCCTTGATCGATGTATTTCTAGGACATAGGTGTAGCTATGGCAGAAAGTGGACGCTGTCGAGGCGCAGGGCTCAGAGCTCGTCATGAGGACGCGACGCGGTCCGATTAGAGGAAGCTGGTGACTGCCGACCTCGCGTTTCCCAAACTCGATCCACGTCACTATTATATTTGGCTTGCTCTGTCGGAAGCAGAGATGCGATACGTTGCAGTAACTCTGATCCCAAGGCGCTCCGACTCGGCATGAGAACCCGAACATGCACAAGGAGTTCGCCGTACGGAACGCGACCGCTTGCCTCATTGGGGGCCACGCGCGACGGCATACCCTCACCGGGTATTCGTAGTGTGTCGCCAGTCGCAAGAATGTCGGCGCTTCCATTGGAGATGCGCACATCGTGCCCATCCAAGTGTTTCACGACGCGCTCAAAGCCCATCATAGCCTCACGCAGCGTGATGCTCAGATTCATATGAAGATCCAGTGATCGACCTGCAGAGGCTTCACGCCAGAAATACGGATGCGGCTCGCTTTGTAAGATGAAGTACACATTCCCAGCGCTCGTGCCGGGACCCTCGTCGCCTTCGCCTTCAAATGGGATTCGGGATCCATCCTCTGCTCCTCGTTCGATGTCGATCGTGAGAAGCTTCTCCTGCTGCTCGAATTCACCGTGCGGACATGCATCGCAGGGAGTGCGAACTGTGCGGCCCTTGCCGCCACATACAGTGCAGATCGTCTGGATCTGCTGCACGTAGCCGGGTCCAAGTTGTCTCGTTATGATTTGCACACCGCGTCCGTGGCAGGCAGAGCATGTCGTCAGACACGATTGAAACCACTTTGGGCAGCGTACACGACGACGATGCACAACTTCGCGAACTGCCCCGTTGTACAGATCTGTGAGTGTCACCGGCAGCACGAGCAAGAGATCGGGTCCAGGCGGCAGGTCAGATGCGGCACTCTCACGGTGCGCTCCTCGCGGTTTGCCTCTGAAACCACCTCCGAACACCGAACCGAACTGCTCAAAGAGATCGAAGGGCTCGAAAAACCCGTGGCCCTCCGCGCCACCAGCGCTTGAAGCACCCTCGTGCGCTTTCAGACCAGCCTCTCCGTAGTTGTCGTAGATGTGACGCTTCTCTCGATCGCTGAGGATCTCGTATGCGGTGCTAATTTCTTTAAAGCGTTGTTCGGCTCCTCTGTCGTCGGGGTTCTTGTCGGGATGCAGCTGCAGGGCTAGTTTGCGAAATGCTCGCTTGATCTCAGCCTCATCTGCGGAACGCGAAACGCCGAGAACTTCATAGAGATCGCGACCAGTTACCCCCTTCGAATAAAAAGGTACCAGGACGAGCAGAATGAGTACCAGCAAAACCAGGTCACGTCGCATACCGGAAAGCAGAGCAGGCCGCCTTCAGTGCTATCGAAGCGGGTTGCACCAGGCTCCGCTACAGACAGGCCCGCGGCCAAATACGCAAAGCCAGGTGGCGGCCGCACGGAAACGCCTATGGAGCTCGGGCAGGTATTTGCTCCTATCGATGACTTTCAGGGATACCAGGTCATGTGCTGGGATCTTTCACAGAACGTATTGGAGCAGTGAGCGGTTCGCAATGCCCAGAAGCAGATGCAGAACGGTCGATACGCTGCGCTCTGGCGTGGTATACAACAGGAGCGGCAGAGCGTACCGCGGCAGGCATTTGAGCTCTCTCGCAGCTCAACGCGTTCCCGTATGACCCCGTGGCACGCGCTGTGTAAGTGTACAAGCTAGAGAACCTGTGTTTGAACAATCGTATGGATACGCGTTTCGGCGCTGCTTCCATCGATGCGCGAGCCGTGCAACGTGTGCTCTCGGGTATACGCTCGAGTGTGTGCGTACTAGAGTGCATACCAAGGCGTAAACTAGAGATTGCCTAATAGGTTACATACTAGACTACATACTAGAGCGCGTACTAGCGTGCATTATAGATAGAGTGCGTGCGTCGGTGTCATATTGGGCTGCGATTCACGACACTAGCGGAGAAGCGATTTTTTTGGCGTTCAGCGTCTCGAGAGCAGTGGTCTGCGAGCTGCACTCGTTTCTACTGAATGCAGACCGGCAGTCGCGAAGAACACCCGATTTGAACTTAACTCGACAAAGAACCTGTAGAGGAAAATATGTTCGATTCGGGTTTGGAAGACGCAAAGCCTGTCGTGGGGTGCAGTGTTTTAGAGCCGCCGTCTGGCGCCTGGTTTTCGGGCGCGCCTCAACAACCAAAAGCAGTAGCTCAAGAGCACAGTCGTCGCAAACCCAGGCAGCAACTTCCGCTGCAACGCGTGCCAAAAGTTGTGCGCAGATCCGATGTGGAGCGCCCCACCGCTGCCAGCAGTGTTTCGCGGGTTCCAGCGGAGAACGCCGGTCTAGGGTCGACGTTTTACCTCACTGAAGGGGAGACCGTTCGCCGTCAGCAGTGGGAGGAGCAGCGGCCGCAGCTGATGAAGGAGTTTAAGCAACAGCGGCGAGACGCCGTGCGGCGCCGGCACAAGACCGGTCGCGAGTACGACACAGACAGCTAGTCTGAGCCGAGTCGAAAGCCTTGGTTTGAATTGGAAACGCTCGCGAGCAAGCTGTGTCGTATGTGCGCTCGAAGCGACTCAGACACGATAACGGTCATGCCGCGGATACCAGAGGCGAAGAAGAGCATGCCGCCGTTTGGCATAGACTTTTCGGTCGGATGCCGCGCCCTCGATCGCTTATGTAGTCTGAGGTGACAGTGCGGAGCTGCATCAAACGATGGTAAGTTTACAAGAATATCGGTACCGGGTCGAGCGGATCTCTCTGGCGCAAGACATGTGCTCGTCCAAGTACTCGAAAAATGACCGCATGATTGCAGCACTTCGCAGCATGCGGCGACCTCAAAGAATGCCGAGCCCGGAAGTAATCAAGGCGCATCATCACCGGCGAATCTACAAGAGGCGCCGACTCCACCAGTATGATTGCACTGGGGTCAGTGTCTAATGTAGAGGCATCGGTAGCACAAGAACAGCAGCGCGGCTAGCGCAAAACGCGGATATCTCATGGAAGCATGTCGTTCCACAAGGAATTCTTGGCTACTTGAGCCGGCAAAGGGCAATCGAGAGCGACGAAGCCCCAGATAACACACGACACCTGGCGAGCATGCGCACCATAGATGATCATCATCATCAGCAGCAGCAGCAGCAGCAGCAGCAGCAGCAGCAGCAGCAGCACCATTTCGTTCGGCCTTTCCAGGAAAACTGGCCTGCGCACCTCTCGTGGATGGTGTCTGTGGCGCACGAGCCTATTAAGCGTGTTCCTGTACACGCCTTTCGAGCGCTGCGGCGATTGATCAAGCTCCATCGGATACCTAGAATAGAGGACATCGTCCTCATCGGTTTGCCGTCGCCCGCTGATCTCATCCAGCGCCATCCAGATGTAAACCATCGTCGCGATCGCCAGAGCGTCACTCACTTCCCAGGCAACTTGCAGAAACAGATGCGTTCATCTGAACATCACATAGAACCTCATTTCGGCGTCCTGTGCTATGACAGACATGCATGCGGCAATACGAGCATGAGTACAAACCGGACGCTTCGGGGTCCGGTCTGAAATGCCCGCAGCAGCCTGGGCGATTAGCGGTTGACTGTCCATGCGGCGTCCGGCATGGGCGTCGGCGTTGCGTCCTTTGTGCAAGAGCGCAAAGCCGCCGACTAAGAGCCACGCGCTTGCAAATGACACGGTGCAGCGAATTTCACACAACTTTTGTCGTGAATGCACGGCGGTTCAGACACTCAAGGTATACACACATCCGCGAACCGTCTGTGGGCCGTCATACGTTTTCCGTTGAGCCGTGGTTTACAGTCCGTGACATCGCTTGCAAGGAAGAACACATGGCGCGATGTTGAATACACCAAGGCGAGGCAGACACCATTCAACACATCTTAGAGACCAGGCGCATGGCCTCTTCGCGTTCACTGCGCAGCTCAGCAAGCGTTGTCTCAATGTATTTGCGGCTGAAATCGTCGATACGAAGATCCGAAACTATTCTATATTTGCCACCACGATGACACTGGACCGGGAACGCGAACATCAGACCTTTGTCGATACCATAGCTCCCATCCGAAGGCACAATCATACTGACGATCTCGTTTTCCGTTTGGGTGCCAAACATCCAGTCGCGCAGATGGTCGCCGATGGCCTTCGCCGCCGACATGGCACTGCTCAGCTTGCGAAGCGCAAGTACCTCAGCACCACGCTTTTGAATCAAAGGAATCACTTCCGAAGCGAGCTGCGAATCGCCTCCGAGTGCCGCCCGCATCTTTCCTTGTACAATCTGCGGGGTATAGGCATAGGTCACGTCCGGGTATTGCGTCGCTGAGTGGTTGCCCCAAATAATCACATTGTGGACGTCCGATACCGCAGAGTCGAGTTTCCTCGCGACCAGTGACTTTAAGCGGTTGTGATCAAGCCGGGCGAGCGCGGTGATGTGCTCCTTCGGGATTTTCGTGCAAAACTGCGAAAGCGTCCAGGCATTCGTGTTGGCGGGATTGCCCACAACAATCACGTGCGCGTCCGCTTTAGCGACGCGATTCAGAGCTTGCCCCTGATCACGAAAGATGGTACCGTTTTTCGCCAACAAGTCTTTCCGCTCCATACCGGGCTTGCGAGGAAACGATCCAAGCAGCACAACAATGTCTGCACCGGCAAAAGCCTCATCAGCAACGGACGTGTACAGCACCGGATGATCAAGAAGCGGATACGCGCCATCCTCAAGCTCACAACAGACGCCTTTTAAAACGCTCTCTGCTGCGGGCACGTCGAGCAGTTGGAGCTTGATCCGCTGCTGAGGCCCGAACACCGTACCCGACGCGAGAAGCGGAAGAAGCGAGTACGCGATTTGACCAGCAGCGCCCGTCACTGCAACAATTAGAGCGCGATCTGGATATAAAGGTGTCAAACGAGCCAGACTTTCCATGATGAACGCAAACTTCTCGTGCTGTTACGCGGCGATACGTCGTGGTACGAATTCGCAATGAACGTTGCCGTGCTGGCGCAGCGCGACTGGGCGTTTGTGGCAAAGGATCGCGTGTGCAGCGTCCTGGGCAGGGGCGCGAGGCACTTGACGACACCTCGGTGCGGCAGCGGGTCGATCCGCTCGACCTGGCTTCGGTGTGCAGCTCCGAAAGCACCATGGGAGCGGCTTGAGGTAACTTTGTGTTTCTATGCAAGCGGTTTGCAGCCTTGGTAGCTGTCGTGGGGTACCATCGTGGTAGAGACGTAGCGAGTTGGCGTGCCTGGGTGAGCGCGGAAGCCTTTTTTAGAGAGCAGGTGCATCGGAATGTGATCGACAGGTATCGTAGAGGTTGCACGGCTTTGTGAGTCTTTCAGTGTGTCAATGAGGTAATGGAAATCTTGTTTTGAGCGCGCAAGCTCAGAACATTCATGCTGCGCTACCGAATCGCGCGTTTCAGCAGCGACTGCTTTTGAATCTGCTTATCATGAAGCGATGATCTACTCGCCGTGTTCTTGCGTTGCGATTGTTTGCCAAACTCTTTCAGAGGCACGCCGTCGACATTTCGGTGAACAATAATAAGGGGTTACGGATCCATAAGTAGTTTTAGGATTCTGGATAGTGCTTTCGGAGGCGTGGGGTGGTGCGGCTCCTTCGACTCCTTGCTAATGAGATTCGTCACATCAACATCATCGGGGAGATTCGCGACACGCTGGACCAAGAGTTCGTAAGATAAACGATATCAGTATTGGGTCCGTGCGTATATACCTTCACGCTTCTCATTTCCGTAGGTGTCGCATGCTCAAATGATTCACGCTGCACGGATTCCGTCCCTCTGTTCCAAGGCAAGGTGTAGGCGCAGGTATTCCTGCCGCTCGATTGACGATGAAAAAAAGCAGGACGTCATCTCTTGGCGACTTGGTCACAAGCCGATGAGGAATGTTTGGCGAACCCGTCATATATAAAATTGGTTCCGTTCGAAAGGCAAGTCCTCGCTTCTTCGTGGCCGTCGATGAAACGGCATTCGCGATCAACAAGATACATGTCACTGGATAAGCTCCCAGAGGCTCGCGTTTCTTTTATTTACATGGAAAAGGGTCTCGGACGTCGACACCAATGAGCGATGCGATCGCTCCGAGTCTGGAGTGCGTCACCGCTTTGTTCGATGGGAGCACACAAGGATTGAAAATTCCCGACTTGCTCGTCAGCCTGGACGCTACTGTCGTTAGTTGCTTTATAGTATATAATACTGCGTTCCACAATTCTATTTGCGAATAGAAGCACGTTCGTTGCCGCGCGCAGCGGATAGCGTACGCACCGCGGGTATTGCCCATGAGAGGAGCGTGATTGTAGGGTACGGAATCGCGCGTGAAACTGGGGATGGCATTGGACGGGGGCTCCCGTACCCGCCAACGGCATGTACAGCGGAATGAAGCACGCGTTGATACTCCACACGACGACCCGAAGAGCAGGAGGACGTGTGGCGGTAGCTATACCGGACCATCAGCCCACAACCAGGCGTCGCAAATGCAAAGCGTACACTGGGGATTTGTACAAAAAAGATGAAAATGGCAAGCGATGCGTACATCGCAAATGCCATTTTTGCATGCAGTGCATTGAATGCAGACGAAAGCAGCGAAATCGGGACTTTATAACTACAATCCGTATCATTCGACTGCTGACGACGGAGCTTGAAGCAAAAGGCAGCATCTGCGTTCTTTAATGCAGAGGTGGGACTGATGAAGTGGAAGCGATCGAAGAGCAGCGCGCAAAGATTTGTATTGATAACCGTACGAAGCGACCCCAACGTGAGCATCTACGCTCGAGTCTCGTGTGTGGATCCTTCCCATCTTACCCGGAATTGAGTTTACCAACAGATAGGCACGAGTGCCGCTGCTTGTGCGGAAGCAACGAGATGCGTCGGCGGGCCGGGACATGGCTCAGGATGCGACCGATGCTCTCGGTACCATCGTCAGAGGGCCTTGGTTCTGTTGAACGCAGAGCGAGCGTCGGGACTCGGCAGTGCACGTTAATAACATCCGATCCAATCTGGCAAATGCATCGCGTCAACGAGGCTCGCACGGCTCCATGAGCCTTGTAAGCTGCAGTGCAAGTGCGGTTGGCGTTTGTCTGTCTTCAAGGTAAAAAGCATGCAATACTCATAAAAGCCTCTGTCTCGATTTCAATGAACACAAGAAACTCAATGTTCAGAGCCTGTGCATATACCAAGATGCCTGGCACCATAGCAAAGCGTCCCGAGGTCGGACGTTCGATGCATTCGCACGTGTTCAACTGATGACCGTTCCCGCCCAAGAGCACGTCCATTGTCTACCGGTGCCATCGCAACACTAGAGCCCGCACAATGCAGCTGCAATTCCTATCGTTATCAGGAAATCTCCCGGAAAGTAATACGCAAGAGCAAGAATCCTCCAGATGCATGCGTGCCGCTGATTTCCCTCAATGCAACGAGCACCACCGGGTACCGGGAAAATCGGACACTAACGCAGGCGCTACTGCAGTTCGTTCCACGTACGTCCGAAAATATCTACGTCAAGTCATCGATCCGTCATCCTCAAGACGAAGCTGCTGTCCAAAGAAGAAGCACATTCGGAAGATGCACACAGGCGCACCGATCTCCCGTAACGAAATGCATCGATGCGTACAGCAGCGCCAGCCTGCATCACACGACTAATGTGGCAGCAGTAGCAGCATCCGTGTACCACATCCCGATTACATTACATATGTATCGACATCGAGAGATTGCTGCACTTCACCTGCCATGAAATCGCGACAGAATACACCGCATGGCGCAAATACGGGTACGGCGGCGGCGCTTGTCGATCGCAACGGAGCGCCTGCGCTCCGGCGTCGAATGATAGATGATTCGCTCGTCTGCCGGGGCGCTCTACTTCCAGTACGCATCCATACACGAGAGCGTGCGTTTCGCGAACCTCGCACCAGCCAGTCATCGTGGCGACGAGACCGCAGTCCATCTGAGCTGAACCAATGAACGGCACCGTTGAGGTGGAGTGCCCCAAGCGGCCGGAAAGTCGAAACAGTGTGGCCGCGTTCCGTGAGCCGACCGTTCGTGAGCTTCCCCAAATCAAGGACAAGATTGCCCACTGTGTGGAGGAAGGTAAACGGTTTTATAGCTTTGAGTTCTTTCCGCCAAAAACCGAGCAAGGACTTCTAGGACTGTATGAGCGGATCGCACGCCTGTCGCGCTTAGAGCCGCTTTTCGTTGATGTCACCTGGGGTGCCGGGGGCAGCACCTCCGACCTGACACTGGAACTGAGTGGAAACATCCAAAAGTTTTTCGGACTCGATGTGGCCATGCATTTGACCTGTACGAATATGGAAGAGGGTATGGTCGATAAAGCACTTGAGGAGGCACGGAAACGAGGTATCCGGAATATCGTGAGTCTGCGCGGTGATCCGCCGGTTGGCCAGGAGTGGCGGCAGTGCAAAGACGGCTTTGCGCATGCGAGCGACCTCGTGCGCCACGTTCGGAAAGTCTATGGTGACTACTTTTGTCTGATCGTTGCTGGCTACCCAGAAGGACATCCAGCGGGGCTCCTTGACGGCAAACTGACATACGAACAAGAACTCAACTACCTCAAGGAAAAAGTTGATGCCGGTGGGGACCTCATCATCACGCAGATGTTCTACGATGTTGATCAGTTTCTGCGCTTTGTCCGGGACTGCCGCAGTATCGGTATCCAAGTGCCTATACTTCCGGGTATCTTGCCAATCCAGTCTTATTCGGGTTTCAAGCGCATGACTGGATTCTGTCGAACGCACGTCCCCGAAGCGGTCGCCGAGACCGTCGAGCGCCTCAAAGACGACGAGGAGGCGGTCAAGAACTTTGGTATCGAATACGGCACTGAAATGTGTCGACGTATTCTGAATTCGAAACTCTCACTAGGCCTCCACTTTTACACGCTCAACCTGGAAAAAGCCACGGTTTCCATATTAGAAAACCTCGGCTTGGTGCCCAAGTTCGAGTCAGTGCGCGCGTTGCCCTGGCGACCTGCCACGATTGACGGACGCCGCTCCGAAGATGTGCGTCCAATATTCTGGGCCAATCGACCTGCGAGTTACCTCCTTCGCACCGAGACCTGGGATGATTTCCCGAATGGTCGCTGGGGCGATTCTCGCTCTCCGGCGTATGGTGAGCTCAGAGAGCATCATCTGTTGGGTGGTGGAGGTCTCTACACGGCCGACCAACTTGAGCGCATGCGCGAGGCCCTCGGCACGCCGCAGAATCTCCACGACGTCTCCGCGGTCTTTGTCAAGTTTTTACGTGGTGAGACGAAAGCGCCGTTCCCCTGGGCTTCCGAGCCGCTTGCCAATGAGACGAATTTGATCGCAGCTGCGCTCGAGCGGATGAACTGGCAAGGATTTCTGACCATTAATTCGCAGCCCAGGGTGAATGGTGCACCATCTACGGATGTCACGGTCGGCTGGGGCGGCGCTGGCGGCTACGTTTACCAGAAAGCGTACGTTGAATTTTTCTGTTCTGAGGAGCGGATGATACAGCTCCTCGACGCAGTCCGCGGAAACACGCCCGAGTTCGGGTCGCTATCGATCTATGCGATCAATAGTCGTGGCGACCTGCGCACGAACGTCAGGAAGCCGCGCACAAACGCAGTCACTTGGGGTATTTTCCCCGATCGTGAAGTCATCCAACCGACTGTTGTCTGCCCAGAAAGTTTCAAAGTATGGAGCAAAGAGGCGTTTGCCCTATGGAAACAGAACTGGTCCTCGATCTACGATCCCGAAAACGGAACGCCGGAGGAGCGTCGCGCGTATGCACTGATAGAACACATCCGAGAGACATTCTGGTTGGTGAACGTCGTCGACAATAATTTTGTTACTGGTGATATATTCAAGCTCTTTGCCCGCATTGGATAGGCACGAATTTTTATCTGGCTGGCACGTGCAGGCCCTCGAGGCCAAAAAACACGTTTCGCCACTGGGACTGAGGGTGCGTCGCAGCAGCGCTGCTCGACCATGGAGACATCATTCGCTCAACGTAAAAGTCTGATTGCACAGCGCCCCGTGCAGCCGACCGGTACGTGATGCGCTCATTTAGCGTAGACGGCATAAGAGTGCCGCCAATGAATGTGCATGCGCTTTGGTAAGCCTGGACGTCACATCGACAACGTCTGTCGCAGCTCGTGCAGCCTATGCGGCAGCGTGGCGGAGCTGCCAGGCTCCCGGCGGGTACGATGCTCCTGGACGGTTCGCGTTATGGTGCTGAATCGATGCGTCGAAGTACAGACCTCTCGCGCAGAGGTGCGGCGGTTATCCGTATCCAGAGACAGGTGGACGCTATGGGTCCAGTGCTCGTGCGCTGCAGCGCGGGTAGCAAGGCGCGTTCGTAGTGGCGTTCACTGGTCTATTCAGAGGAGTATTGAGGGATCAGGGATTCCACGGGCGACAGCCGAGGTACATGATATTCGGGTATGCAGAGGGGAAAAGGGAAAACAGCGCCTACCGCCTTGAATAGTGGCAACCCGGCGTCGCAAGCTACAGAGCGCAGCTCTAGACACGGGTGGTGCCGCGTGCGCTCGGACGCAAACCAGATATCGGACTTGAGGACATGCTGGAACATTCACTCCGCAACATTTTCGCAGCTGGTGGACTGCGGAGCCGTCTTCCAATACTGCAGGGTGTTGCTGCAGCTAACCAGTGCGCAGTGAACGAACGCTCAGATCCTGGATCAGAACTCGATGAACGCGGCCTTTCATGAAAGCTTTGCGTACGCACTACTTCCATGCTTCTCACAAGGCGTACCGCTCTTCAGACATAGAGTCTGACATCTCCCGTTCATCACTTCACAGAATCTGGGAGAAGAATCATTCTCAAAAGAAAAGCACCAATCCCATGTTATGGGGTATGGCGCGCGGGCCGCCTCTGAGCGCCACCCCTGCCCGTGCCGCAGACGACGTGCTGGTTTGGTACGCCACCGGCGGCGGGGCGGGGTGCATTCATAAACCTTTCTTTCGCAGGGTTTGAGGTCCAGGTTGTCGAGGCGGCAGCCGCTAGAGCTCAGCGTTGCCCACGCACGCTCGCGGCTAACTGGAGCAAGCTCCACTTGGCTGCTACACTTCCGTCGGGTTGCTTTCTCTTGTTCTTGGTGCGTTGGGTTTGCACAGAGTGAAGCATGGTCAAGAGCAACACCAGGGAGCTGGCGCTACCGAAGCGCTCCCAGATCGAGCGCCTCGTAAGGCACGGCCCGGTGTGCACCTCCGAGTTAATTAGCTTTTTACAGTGTCTGGGGGCAAACGAGTTCAATGAGGCTGCTTGTGCGAAGGATAAAGCAGCGCTCGAGGAGTGCGTTGCACAAGCAAAGGCCAGAGCGAGCGCGACAGTCAACAAGAAGCCGAAGAGTACGGTCATGTATCATTTAAAGCGCCTCTATTACATGAGGAAGCGATAGCGAGACTTGATGTGCTGTGCGTTGGAGCAGTATGCCCTGGATGCGACGGCTTTGTCTCGATTTCGGGAGGTGCGGATGCGCTGCTGCCTTCGGCAATGCCTCTTACAGACTTTTCATCGATACCGAAAGGCGTCGTTGCGCTCTGACTGATGCAGAGGTGCGCACGACACAGACACGTGCTGAGAAGAAGAGACACGGCGCGGGCGATGCTAGCGCATGCGCTGAATTGGACTTTTTTTTTCTGGCAGAGGGCACGTTGGATGTCGCTCTGTCATGTAGGAGGAGCGTTTTGCGCGGAGATTTACGGTCGTTTAGCACGAGGAGGTTCCGTTCGGGTCATGGAAGTGTATTTTTGGGCTGCTCGCGCTCGCCTGGAACATGGGCAGGGCGCATGTCGTAGACATTACTGGGTGCGCGCGGCGCGCGGGATGCGTAGGAACTGCTGCGCGCGTGACTCTCGCTTCTGGCATGCGACGAATTTCTCGATCCACGAGAAGAGACTGCGATGATGCGCCCATAAATTGAGAGATCTTTCAGGAAAGCAGGTCACCGTCGTGTAAGGCGCAAGGCCTCGTGGTCTTGGGTGAGTCGCACGGCATCGCAATGTCCCTCGATTGGGAATTCGGATGCATCAAATCTCTCCGGAACGGGCCTGGTGTCATGCCGCTTCTGCGTGTGCCGCGGATGGACATTTCGGTTAAACGAATCCTTCCGTTGCAGGCGTCAGTGTCTCGAGCATGCGGGAAACCGGACAAGTCGTCGACCGTATTTTTTGTACTACGGTGATGTATGCTACATGTAAGCAACGTTATACGCAGATAAGTGCATTCTGGAATTCGTGTGCCAGCACACTTGTTTTTCGTTTTTGTTCGTTTCCCTCGCAGGTATTCAGCAGAACAAGTTTGGTTCTGCACATAGGGTTTAGGTAGCCGAAAGACTTTGTACTGCTATCGCTGGGTTCCGAAAACTGGCCTTACTCGCGGAAACCGGTTAATCTTTGGTCAGCTGGTAAATGATGCACCCTTCTTGAAGTCGCGATCTTGACAATCGTGCTGCGAAACCAGAATGCATCAGAATCTATCCACATCACTGTTTCCTTCTCAAGACACTCCACTCCAAATGTTCTGTTCGAAATACTATCCAGGAAGCTCGGAGTTGTGAAGTATCTATACCATTGGGAGCACCGGTGATTAAGACACACGTATGGGCAACCAAAAGCGCATGTCTCTGTGGTGGAGCGCTGTCCGATGCCCGGCACACAATCGATCTCGAGCGGGAACGCGAACGCGTGTTCCAGGAGAGCCTACCTTTTGTCTCGGGCGACGAGCATGCGCCATGGGAATATGGCAGACCTATCTATAAGTGTTCCAAGGACGGCAAACAACTGTTCACAAGGAATAGAAAACCGAGCATTCCGACAGCATCAGCTCTAGCGTGCGATTCAAGTTTCAGTGGACCACAAGTCGCCAAACGGGCGAGATCATTCGACACCAAATGCTTTGCTGATGCACTCCGTGGCTTCTCTTTGCCACATATTTATGTCCTGATCGTACGCAACATCGCTGTCCATGACCGTACAGCGGTCATGTAGTGCACAGTTGAGCTTGGTATCAAGTCATCCTACGTACCGAGGCATCCTCTCTGGATCAAATCCATCGTGGGCGTCTTCTCTGTTGTCGAACTATTCTTTTAAGCTCAAAGTTCCAAAGGCAAGTTCCTCTCTGCCTTCAACAGCTTTGGGCTGCTGTATTGCTCTGCTGCGCGTGCGCAAGCGGTAGCGAACCGGTTCTTAGGGCAGGATTGATGCATAGCATAGGAATTCCAGAGGCGGAGCTGCCATCTGTCTACATTCCTCTCGAATGTTTCAGTCAGATTTTTCGTGTGCCAACTGATGCTCGGGAAAAACGTTGAACAACTGCCTGGTTTTTCCATTGCTCGGTTGCATGGGATATCGAAAATCATGGACACCGGGAGACATACCAACGAGTGGAACGACGACGCAATGACCCATCTGGACGCGCTGACCGCCGAATCGAGCAGAAGCGAATGCTCCGTACGCTTCAGTCAAGTGTCGTCGAGCACCCAAGTCGCTGCTGCGAACGATCCTTAGCATGAGTTCAGGCGACTGCGCTGGTGTCGCCAACCGTCTCGGTTGTACGGAGGTAGGAATCGTGTATTCGCCAAGTTGCTCCGTGGGCTAGACAAGGATACGATCGACACGCCGCGGTGGTTTGTGGTAGACCATGGTGCTGGACTTTTGCTCCTTTGACGACGAGAACATCCTGCGAATCTAGGGGTCAATTCTATACGATTCCCATCGAAACTTACAGGACGTCATACATGCATCAAAGGCGTGAATGTCCGCTGTGAAACTTAGAGACAAAGCGCGTGAAACAGATCCAGATGCACGAGGTCGTATGCGGCAGGCCGAGCGAATGCCAGCTTACGAGGCAATGGGAGACGACAGACGCTACTCTAGAGTGATTCCCGCTGTAACCTTGCCCACATAAGTATCCTCTGCAAAGAAATCTCATTACCTCCACCGATATACGGAAATGACTCATGCATCTAGAACGTCAAGATGCTTTGACTCCGGAGAATTTTCGAAGGAAACGCTTAGTATTCGATCTGGTCATTGTCCCAAAACGACGGAGACCTGCGACGACCGAACTCAGTGGCCAGTAGAAAGGGCATTGGGTTTCCGCCTGCAGCACGGTATTCGTGTGATATGGTCGGAAATCCAGCAAGGCGTGACCGCCGTATATTTACCCCAGGAGCGGTTTTCTTGAGCATTTGGTGAACGATTATGGTGTCAATCGTGGGATGTTACTCCATCAATAAATTGAAAGACGCCATCAAGCCCAGCTCAAGAAGCGGTTCCAAAGGCGATGACCGGCGCCCGCTGGGAGCGTTGCGAATGCGTACGCACGATGGTTGCGTATTCGAGATGATGCCGCGATGGCACTGGAGCATCAACGCGCGCTCACGAATGTGGCAAGCGTATGGTATGCAGTACGTGTGCGTTGGACACCCGAACTTGCTGTACGCTATCGCCGGCGGTGCAGCGCGAATGCGTCGCGCTCCAGTTCGGGATCGAGCACAGGTATACGCCACATCTAGCGCTCATTGGATCGGATAATCTTATGTGCAGTATTTTGTCATGCATATGGCATATTGAAAGATGCATACCTAATATGCATTTCGTCACTAGTGCTCGCTCTATCTATGCTACACCAGCATTCATTACATGACAGGAATCAAGATGATTCACGTAACGCGTAAACAAAGAATCGTGCTATAACCGATCTGATCATCCGAGTCATACGTACAAGCCTGTACGCTTTTTCTTTAGAGTTGTGCAGCTTGCTCGAATCACGTACATGTCACGTTTTCGATTTTTCAGTTTCAAGGCAACTCGTTGTACGGCAAATCGCTCTACTGCATTGACGACGAGCAAGACTCTACGTCGTCCCCAGATGAATATTTCATGCGCTCGTGCCGCATGTTCACTGAGCTGGTCACGTCGAATGATCGATTCCGCCGAAAAGCAAATCTTCCGCTGTACGTGACCATCGACGAAACGGCATCCGCCAGCACCATCAAGATACCACTCACAAGATATGCATCACGAGTCTCTCATCTCTTCTGTGTGCCTGAAGAATGGTTAAGGACTCGGACACCAGTCATCGAAACGATCGCTACGAACGGAGCGTACATCCACTTTCGGAACCGGAAGCGCAGACTGATCGAAATTTCTAGACATGAACTCCAGACTGGATTTTCGTTCCGGTACTTTTTTCCATATGGACGATATGAGGAATCACAAATTCATGATTGCATGGAACAGCGCGCACTTGCATGTGCAACAGACCGAGTAGACGCCGTGGGGATCGCCCAGACAAAGCCATTGCTTGTAAGGTATAGCGCTGGGCACCAAGACGCAGGAGGGTATCGAGGCGAGGCTTTTGCACCTGGGAACGGTATGTGCTGGGTGCCGAAGCCAGCGTCGACACTGTACGGGGCGGTGCTCGCAGGTGGAGCAGGTGTGCTCGTGCACAAATGGGAACAGCTGACCGTAGTCAGGTGCGTCTGCACTGCGAACAGCGCATTGCGGCTCCATGCGAATAGATGAACATGGGACGCGGGGCATCGGTCGCAACTTCCGTCGGTGCATGCAATGCGTCGACAGCTGCCGTCAGCAGCCAACTCGGGACTCGAATGCCGCTATCAGGATCCTGCGACTGGTGCCAATGCAGCGGCATGACACGGAGAGGCCGATGTGTTATAAGTTGAGAGGTTAGAGAGTGAGGAAAAGAAGGTAGTTGGATAACGAGCCCGCAAAGCCTAGTGTTGATAACAATTGGAAGACACCTAGACTCTAGTGAGCAGGCCCGAGTTGCCCAAGTGAATACGTTCCAATTTATGCTGACACAGGTGTAGCAATATTCGAGTGGAAGCAGCTATGTCACACTGTATAAGGTTATATTCAGCTTTGTATTCGGATGAGCATATTGCGTTTTCAACACGACGCGATTCCTGCCTCGACGTGCTATCGGATAAGGCGTGGTCCGCAGAGCGTTATTCGCGGAAAATTATTTTACATGAATTTCCGGAACCTGAAAAGGGGATGCGGACTCCATCGAGAGCGCAGCTTCCAACAGGAACGTTATCTATGACGTTGCTGGATGTCGAATGACGAGTACCGCAATTTATTTGACAAGAAGCTTCCAAGCCGGTACCCATGTAGGTGCTGCGGGGTGTCCCCGCGCCCGTTTGTCTTTTCGATGAACTTCGCTGAGGCCATGAGTTGAAAAAAGGTTGACCTGGGCGGCTCGCAAATAAACGAAGCGGCTTGCGAATGCACTCAGTGGCTTTAATAAAACTCGTCTTGAAGAGACCGCTGTACAGCCAGCTCGATATGCCTCCGAACATGATTCTCTGGATACAGGAGTGGCGTTCGACTGCAGCACCTAGAAGCTGGAACTCGAGCATTGGGCACAATGCATGATTTCGTAAACTTTGCGAATGGGCCCACGCAAGTCGTTCCTGAAACGCGCCGCGGCTTGCGCAATACATCCGCACGAAGCGAGTTGCATCCTGCGAGATCGCTTCTGACGTGCACACCGAGATCATCCGAAACGAATACATTCGTGTCGTCACATTGCGCCATATCGGCATTCGGTATCACCATTCTCTAGGAGTGCCTGCTGCGACCGTGCTGGCATCTCAAAAACCATTCCGAATCGCTCTGCGTGCAGTAGAATCCACTGCACGCTCCATGATCAGGCACCTTGCGCCTAAAACCGAACACTGCGCATCATTGATAAGCGATATTTCCTTCATAGCTCGAAGCGCTGATCATCATCCGTCAAGAGCATACCGTATCGGAAATCTGATCGAACTCCATATCCATCGAGCGTGGTATCTCGAGCGTCGCTGATCCTCCCTACGCACGAATTCCAACGACCGATGTACGCTACGCAGATCATGATATCGAAGGACTCTGATTCTATCAGCGCTTCGTTTGCCCACTGAACAAGTAAACAGCAAAATCAACGGGGCCCTGTGGTGCTGGACTCAATCGAGGCAGCTCATGCTGTCGTAGAAAACGTCCTGTGTATTATTAACGTCCTCCTCAGCACAAGGAATCATTTCCACGCGCTCTGGATAGGATTTAATTCTCAAATACTCAGGAAGCACTCGTTCGCGAAAGTATTCCTCATTGGAGTATCGCCAAGCGCTTCGCCCGCCGAGTTCGATTTCCAGCGCCTCTGGGTCAAATAATTGATTCATCAGCGTCCGCATATTTTGTTTGGTGCCTTCTTTCGCCTTTCGACTGCAAAACTGTATTTTTGCGGATGTTCGCCGATCGATGAATGGTTTGACAATCTCAAAAAATGTCCAGAAAATTGCCGGTGCATCAATGCAAACAGCGAATCCTAAGCGCTCCGGATAGTAGTCTTGGAGAATCTTCAACGTCTGTCGCTGTACTTTAATAGACGGTGCATTTCGCAACGAATAACCGGGAAAGTCAATCACGAGGCAGATTTTCTCGACTGGCGGCATCATCTCCGCAACAGCTCGTTCGAGCGTGTACACAAGCTGCCTCATTTGTTCGTGAGCCGTTTTCCGCTCACTGGTGTTCTGCAGTCGCGGTTTCATGAAGACTGCTGGTCGACCAAACCGGTCTTTACCGTGCACATACAACTTGCCGGTCTCAGACTGGCGCTTGACGTCCGCGAGCTCGGGATCGAGCATCAACTGCTCTACCCCGAAACTGCGCCGCCACACAATCGTTTCGTGCAGCTGCCGGAACGCTTTTTGAACGTGATATCGTCGCGCCCGTAGAAACCGGGATAGGCACGCCTCATCCATCCAGGCCTTTTCGGTCGGCGTGAGATTTAGTTCGGCGGCAGAGCGCACCAGCTCCGAAAGCGCTTCTAGTTTCGCTCGTTGGGCCGCATTGAGCACCGGTGTGTATACGGTGCCCAGACCTTCAGCGCCCTCAGGTGCCTCTGATCCTTCACTCCCGAAAAAGGACTCGGATCCATTCGGTATCCAACTCCCAGAGCGCTCTCGCTCAGGCGAACTTCCGCTGAACGCCATTCTAGAGTCGAACGATGCCGACCGTGTACAGTAGTGGCGAGCGACGCGCCCTAGACTAGACGTCTCCGACTGACGTGCAGACGCCTACCCGTCTTTTTGAACCGGCCACGAACTTCTGCTTCAAATTTTGTCTCATATAGTTCGGCTTTCAGAGGTTGCCCCATAAAATTCTCTCGTGTCAACGCCGGAGGTCTTTCCTCCATCACCGCACATCTCCTTATATTGATAGCGGCATTACAGTCACGATTCACATACTCCATATGTTTCTTGCCGTCAATAGTTGTACTTACTAATGCGAGTAGTCCACGAACTTTCGCTCGCCTTTCCATTTGCTCCTCCGTCAGCAGTCCGTACTTTTTCATATCCTCAGGGTTCCGCTGGCGCTTTTCCATGTCCACTCTCTGAAGCGCACACCCGAGTTCATGGTGTGTATAGGACGTTCGGGACTCATCTAAAGCTATCGTAACGAAACGCCGTGCGCACTCTTTGTATGTTCTGGTCGTTGGAGCTGGCGTAGTCCCTTTTCGGTTCTTCCAGCGCCCTGCTCCGTACGCTGCTACGAGCCTCTGAATTTCATCCTCCTTCAAGGCACTCAACTCATTGAAAAAGTTCGCAAATGCACGCTGCTTTCCGCAGTACAGATTCATACGCAGACGAGCCCACCGGGGCTTGGTATAATCCTCCCACAGCGCATCCCAGTGCGCAACGCGAACTTCCATGAATTTCCGAAACGCTTCAAAGTCCGCTCCTCGGCTCGTCACCTCGCTCAAAGCTTCAAGGTGGTCCTTCATTCCTGCATTCCACGTACAATTTTCTTCCTTGCATTCATTATACCGGATTTTCGGAAGTATCTCGCTCTCGAGAACATCAAAAGACGCATGTCTTTCTGACGTAAGTTACCGTCAGTGCCATCTTCTGCACGCCTGGATGCTGCGATGGTTACGATTTTCGTTTTTCCAGGGTCCGCACTGACGACAAAGTCGTTCTCATGCACTTTCTGTGTCGAAGGATCCGCCTCCTTCTCATCTTCATGCTTCACCGCGTCAACGAACTAGACCCGTGTCAGACTAGAGTGGAACGGACGTCGTCTGTCTAATTCGGTGGTACACGCGAAACTTTTGGTTTTTCCCACTGTCACCGACGCCAGCTTGTGTGGGATTGTTTTGTGACAGTTTCTTTTTCCTCTTGTTATCTCTGGCTGCAAATACGCCGGTCTCTTGTTTTTCTCGAGCGCCGTCTTCAGGAATCGAAGGATGCTAATGGCAGCGTAAAGAAACCGATTGTACAGTTTCGCGCTGTTGTCGATGTCTTTCATGAACAGTCGGAAGATACGATCTAGTATTCAATTACCGTGCTCCTCTTCCTTGCATGCAGCTCAGGTGCGCTTTTCGCAGCCGGGATACCTGACTATGTTCAGGTGATCCCAAACGCCCACCAAATGTCCACCTGCGAGCACCGCCCCGTACAGTGTCGACGCTGGCTTCGGCACTCAGCACATACCGTTCCCAGGTGCAAAAGCCTCGCCTCGATACCCTCCTGCGTCTTGGTGCCCAGCGCTAGACCTTACAAGCAATGGCTTTGTCTGGGCGATCCCCACGTCGTCTACTCGGTCAGTTGCACATGGAAGTGCGCGCTGTTCCATGCAATCATGAATTTGTGATTCCTCATATCGTCCATATGGAAAAAAGTACCGGAACGAAAATCCAGTCTGGAGTTCATGTCTAGAAATTTCGATCAATCTGCGCTTCCGGTTCCGAAAGTGGATGTACGCTCCGTTCGTAGCGATCGTTTCGATGACTGGTGTCCGAGTCCTTAACCATTCTTCAGGCACACAGAAGAGATGAGAGACTCGTGATGCGTATCTTGTGAGTGGTATCTTGATGGTGCTGGCGGATGCCGTTTCGTCGATGGTCACGTACAGAGGAAGATTTGCTTTTCGGCGGAATCGATCATTCGACGTGACCAGCTCAGTGAACATGCGGCACGAGCGCATGAAATATTCATCTGGGGACGACGTAGAGTTGTTTTCCTCACCAGTCAAACAAGGCGATTTGCCCCGCCCATGAGATGAAACAAATCATAGATCGAAAACTTGAAGAATTCGTGCTTTGAGCAAGCTTTATACGCAAGTCATGGCGAAGCGTGGAATCTTGCACGATAAAATAGGATAATGATATCGCTTGTTTTACGATCCATTGTTCAAGGGCATTGCAAACCATCTTGAATCCGGTGACAAAATGAATCCCAGCAGCAAAGGGTCAGTAGAGCCTCTCCACAACAGGCGGCAGAGAATCCTGAAGTTACGTTTGTATTCGTATGCCCTCACTGGTGCGCTTCGAATGTCAAAGCTGTGCATCTAGAAAAGTTTGAGGGAGAAATCGAAAAGTAGGAACAGCGCAAATAGGCCAGTGCTCTATTCTAGCCTGACACGAGGGTAGAGCTCTGTTCCCATGGACAGAAGAAGGCGGACGGACCAACTACAAGTGCTCCAGCCTCTATTTCTTCGTAGACATTTTTCTTTTTCTCTGAAGACAATACAGCTTCCCTGCAACACTCAAAAACCCTTGTGGTCTTCGAACCTGCTCTCCATTACATTAGTTGCGGCGAGAGCAAGAGCCCTGACGGATACGCACGAGGGCCGTTTCCACTGCCCCGGAGTGCGAACGTGTTAGACACTACCGAGGTACCGCCTCGGCGCTCTGCCAGAGATGTGCAAGCCCCAGCACTTGCATCGGTGGTCGATACCTAAACCAAAGGCAACCTGCTTGTCAGTCGCAGCTCGCGCTCTGACGGGTGCTTACAACCGTTCCGAGCCTTTCGAACGCAGAACAACACAGCTGCTCAATCAAGTCGCAAGTTTTCCGCTCAGGGACTACCGAAGCTATTCATACAAGTCCCGCACTATTCGTAAACGGACGAGAGCTGTTCGCATCAGGCTTTACTGAAGCGCCTCCGCGTATGCAGTGCTACAGCACGCGCCTCTTCAACGACATCCGCAATGTCCTGGTCGTGCGGAAGCGTGCGCAGCGTTTCTCGCCAACCGTTGCCGGAGACTAGAGTTCACCGAGTCGTCGAGTAGGCAGTGCATACCGTGCAACTGGTTTAGAGAGTGCAGCGGTACGCAGCGGCACTGGCTCGGGCACCAATGACAGCGTCGGGACGCCTGCAGCACCAGCGCCTCGTTTCACGTCAAGCGACTGCGTTCGTGTACTGTGCTGGGTCGCGCCACTTTTTCACCAAGCGCTGGTCTGTAAACTGCTGTCAAGGTCGCGAAAGCGAACTTGTTCATCGCTATCAAGTTCGCAAGCAGCAATCTGCTTCGGTGACAGTTCCTCGGTTTGAAACAGTTTCCGCAGTGCCCAGCGGAAGATGCTGTCGTGCTTCGAGGAGCGCGTCTGGCGAAAGCGGTCCGGTACCAGCTGTACAACCACCGAAACTAGGTTTTGTGTGCACCTTTGGCACAAGAATTACCGTAGACTTGTTTTGGATTGGTCTGCTGAGCGAACTCGCCCTCTTTCCCCTAGGACTCGGACTGGGTGCGCTCTTTTCCTTCGATGTTCTTCAGCACACGAACTGGACGGATGTGGAGGCTGTTCGAGATGGCGTCCTCTACACTGTCCCATTCTCAGCGATTTTTTTCAGTCTCGACATATTGCCGATTCCGGCCATAAAGCGGCTGAAGCGTTTAACCGAGCTAACCGTCAGAAAGGTGTTCGGCGAACGCAGTGTTCTCGAGACGCTCCTGTTTTGCATGGCTGCCGGCTTCGGAGAAGAAGCGCTTTTTCGTGGAGCGATTCAAGGCCTACTAGATCGATATTTCGGGGTGCTGCCGGTCTCGGTGGCGGTCAGCGCGCTAGCATTTGGCGCCGCGCACTCCGCCAACGTCGCTTACTTCGTGCTCAGCAGTATGGCTGGTGCTTTCTTTGCGATTCAGTTTGAACTGGCACATCACAATCTAGCAGCACCGTCTATCACGCATTCCCTTTACGATTGGGTGACGATTCTAGCGATCAAGTTTTTTGCACAACCCCCAGATGCGCCGGCCCCGAACATCGATGCAAACACAGCGCAGCCAGACGAATTCAAGGCCGGCACGAAAGATCCCCCGTAAGACGTTTCTTTTTGCGCATACATCAGAAGCCGAACGTCTACGGCGTCGTCGGCGCTTTCGTGAGCACCATTGGATGCTCCAAATCGCTCTGGAAATGTGAGCGTTTAATGCAGAAAGGATATATGCATTCACAGGGAGCGAACTCTCGTGCAGCGTACGGCGTTCATGCCTGCGTGCGTCCATGGCGAGGCGAGACAGAGAGCGAGCGGAAGCGGTACCCCAGCGCTGAATGCGGACCCCCTGAGAGCGATCGCTTCGCGGCACGATGCTGCCAAGAGGAACGCACACGAGGGTTTTAGGGGGGGGCTTTTGTCCTGACCAAGCCACGAAACGTTCTGATTGAGCAATGCGTGCTCAGTTCATGTTCGTGGTCGTGTTGGGCGCCATCAAAGATAACCGGATTATAAATGCAGCGTCCATGATACCAAAAATGACCCAAGACCATGGAGGGTAATTGTATGTACGCACGCGCAGACGCCTCCGAGTCTTTTGTGACCAGCCGCCTGCTGTCGGTTTCAGTTTATCAAGGCACACTTCGAGCCTGAGAGGCTGCTGCACAAACCTGGATTATGACGGGTCCTCGTGTCTCGTCTGTAGCACCGCACATCGTCTGATATCGATGGCAGCGTCAAAGTCTCGGTTGATGAACTCGTTGCGTGCAGTGCCGCTGGCTGAATTCACCAGTGCAAGGATTCCTCGAATGCGTGCCCTGTGTGCCACTACAGACTCAGCGTCGTTCCGTGGGGCAAACCCCTTTTCTGGACTATCTCCCTACTTTTTCCTCGCCTTTCGCTCTTTTTCGCTCAGTGGTCGACGAGATGGGGATTTTTCGGTTGTTGTTTTCCGGGTTGCCGGCGATGACGGCCTTCCGGGATCCCCGACTTACATCTCCATGGCTTTCCCTCGAATTTTTTAATTCTTCAAACGAACGCACTTTGAATGCATTTGCTATAAGCCGCTAAAACGCATTTGATGACCGCACCTGGGGGTGCACAACACCACTGGGGTGAAAGACTATAGGAAATTGGTCGCGGCGTACATGGGCCTGAATACCATTTTCCTTTACCCTGAATGGGAAAGCTCCGCGAAGAGATTCACAAGCACTCGCTGGTGCCTGTTTCGGTATCATATGAAATGAGCAGGCACAGGGCATCAATGGGCATGCTCTTTTGCGTAGGCTGGGCATATCATCCCGCAGTGACGCTGCGAAAACGCGAAGAGATGATGGAGCGACAGGCGCGTCCCGCTTCATTTTAAAATGCGCAGGTTGCGTTCCAGCGCACGTGAGCATGCTATCAAAGAGGCCACCTCCAGCACTACCAGTGGCTTAGGGACGTTCATCTGCCTCCTTGGGACGCTTGCTCTCACGGCTTCCGGTACCAGAGGGTCCATTTCTGTGGCGCTTCTTATCGTCCGCCTGGTCCGCAGAGGTGTGGGCCTTATTCGCGGCCGCAGGTCGGAAAGAGTAGCCGTCGGATGGCAACGCATCATCGCCAACTCGATAACTGCGTTTTTCCACCGGCGGATCATACCGTGACGGCCGTGAACGGGTGCTGTCAGCGTGTACCGTCGCTGGATACGATTGCGCTTGACGTCGACCAGGCGCACGGCTCGACGCTGCGCTCTCCAGTTGCCGGAGACGGCGTTCAACCTTTGCTCGGTTCTCCATTCCAAGCGCTACACGTGCCGCGGACTCATCATCTACGGCTGTGATTTGCTCGACATTTTCATCTCGTTCGGTAAGCGCATCTAGGCGTACCGCGAGCGCCGTCTTCGCTGCAAGGACTCTGGAGATTTTGCCTTTGATTCGAGGTGGCGCTTGACCAACCAAACTCGCATGGTAAATTAAGCCGTACTTTGGTGTAGGGTGCTTGGTCTTCAATGCACGAAAGAGGGCTTTCTCAGCGCCCAAAATCTGGATCGTCGACGCTGGGAACTTGGCCAGGTTCAGCAGGCTACCCGCGTGTGCAATCAGGCGAGCACCGACGATTTCACCGACCATGGCTGTGAGGTTCGGAGCGATCGCCCGCATTCGATTACAGAGGTACGCAAAGAGCTCTGCGCGATATTCAGACAAACTCACCACCTGCAACGCAAGCTCCTCGATGTTCCGCTCATCTTCGTCGCTTATTTCCGTGCCCATGCTCACGCGTGCTGCGGACTCTACAGCTTCCCTATGCACTTGGTCCCCAAACTGCTCCCAGTCGATGCGGCTGACACCTCGTCGAGTGCCCATCTGGGCGATCAGTTTTGCATAGAGGGCATTGTCAGGGACCAGTTTGGAAAGTTCCGGGAAGTGCCAGCCGAACCATTCTCGCAATCGCATGGCGTATGTGTTGATTTCCTTGTCTAGGTCATCAAGGAGCGCAATTGCTTGTACAATCATGGTATCGATCTTGTCGGGTGAGAACTTAAGCTTGTATCGAGAAAGCGAGTGCGCCAAACCGAGCACCATGGGACGCTCCGTTTCCAGTTCCAGCTCCGATCGGAGCAGATCCGAGTACCGCGCACGTAAACCTCGCATAACCTCGTTCAAACCCGGATCATAAACGCACTCCAGATCGAGCTTTTCTTTCACTATGCCGGCGAGTTTCGGTTCGCAAACCGCCACGGCATCGCTCTGCTCCACATTCCGTTTTAAGAACTTTTTCAAACTCTTTGACAACTTGCCCTCCGAGAGCGCAGCCGCCGCGGTCAAAGCTTCAGAGAGATCCTTGAACTTTTGAAAAGCTTTCAGTTTAAGGAACTTTCCGAGGCGCTCCGGATCTGACTCGAAAATGGCGCCGAGATCTTCTTCGGTCGCCGCCCGCAGGCGTGACTCGTGGCGAAGCTTGAACAGGGCAAAGCCTGTGGACGTCTCAAGCAGAACCAACATTGGTGCTACCTCCAAACGGAAGAGCAGCGATAGTAGTTCTCTCGCCGTCACGCAAGTGCCAGCCACTTGTTGTTGACACTGGAACCAACCGTAGTTACGAGCACTGGCTGGGGAAACGCGCCCACGGCAAGAAGTACCGGTGGCGCTGGCAGCGTCGCTGCCGTCCCAGCATGCGGCGAGTCTGAATGATTCATATTTATGGAGATATGAACGTATAATTACATATATGTTTCATATCTAGAGGAGATCATACACAATGACTAATATCGTCCTGGCCACGCGAATGATGGCGATTCGCGGCTTTGGTGCAACAGCGATCAACTGGAAGTTGTACACCCTTCCGTGTATCTTGCTATCGTCGGCGGGAGCGTTGGTAAACAAGTGTGGCGTTTGTGAAGGACGCTTTCCCGTGTAGCGACTTGTATACTGTTGCTGCGGAACAGGCTGCGTCGCTGCACCGAAAACAGCGGGAGTCCACACCTCAAACCTTCGCGACGTGCGCAAGCGTCGACGTCGAGGCTCACACGCTCCGCGTGGCCGACGAATTGAGCAAAGCGGATCCTGATTAGGTATTTTTTGAGTGAGGAAACATCTAGCGCTGGACTGGAGCTGCGTAGCTGTGGAGCCGTGGTTACTTCTGGGTAAGAGCCGAGCCACCGAACTCTCTAACAGATATTTTAGAGCTCAGAGCGCGAACGCAGCACTTTTAGGATTGCTTCTCCCGGCGGCTGGCCTTGTGGAACGCGCAATATAGCAGCCATTAGAAGCATCAGTCGATCAGCGACTGTTCTGAAGAAGGCTTTGCTGAGAAGCTTGACGTGGACAGAGAGCTGCAACCTGTGCTCCCGAAGGACTCCAGCGGGTTCTCGTGCCAATCGTTTCCGAGTTTACTATCACAGTGCATTGTGAGTCCTTGGCTGCCTGCTGGATCGAAATAGGAAGCACAACAGCGCTCCAGACGAACGACGTACCGGGGGAAGACGGGGTTTCGCGCCAGACTCGCCACGTCTCTGGCGCGTCGCGCACGTTCATCGCCGTTGATTTTTCGGGTAATTCCTCGATACCAACATATCGTCTTCATGCGATGATTCTGGAATCACGAACCGCTTCTTTTGACGCGACACCAGAGATCGTGGCTCATCCGAGAAGCCGCAAGCCGACCACGCGTGAGCTTGCGAGATTGGGCGGTTCCGTACGTGCCGCGCGACGACCAACGTCGAGAATGCCGCGAGTACGGCGACCCCAGGAGCGAAATAGACCTGAAATGCTCCAGCAGCCGGCGCATGGCAGTGTAAGGAAAAGGCTGCTTTCTCTTGCACTGGTTCCGCTCATGGTGATTGTGCTGTTCATGGTACAAGCACGCATGACTGCAGCATTACCGGTGAAAAGTCCGAATCCGGTCTGGCACAAGCAGACGTTTGCATCGAGGCCTAGTGGTCATATTGCGCTGGAGAGCACGCACTTGAGCCGCTGGAGCATCCAGCGGCAACTCGCTGTCGTCACCGGCGTGTCCGCGCAGAGCGCACAGAATCGTGGCGCGTCACGCAAAGTGCCGCGGGAAATATACGGTACGATCACTGGGAAATGGATGCTCCCGACGACAGTTTCTCAGTCTGGTGCAAACGAGCCAAGTGCACCGTCGGGGAATGCGTCGCTTGTCGTGGAGAACACCAAGCACACAATTACGGTTCCACGTCGCGACGTCTACCAGCTAGGGTTGCATGAGAGCTCCGGCTTTGCGTCTTTGTCGCTCATCCAACGATTGGCACCGAAACTTCTCGATGACTCGAATTCGGGCACTAGAGGTGGTCAGGACGCGGGCGCCTCTCCTCGAGCAGCAATTGATGTCGTCCTTGGTGACATATTACTGCGAGACGGGCGATATCGTAGCAAAGGCGATGTGTGGATGAATGTGCTGGGTCTGTACAGCTTTCCGGACGGCACGCTACTGCTCGCTGGCGATACCCGAGTCCGGCCTCGAGGCGCCATCAAGCAACTCTATGAAGCGTACCTAGACCTGCCTCAAATGAAGGACGAGCGAACCCCGCTAGATCTGGCTACGTTCGAACGAACAATAGTGGAGGCGCTGCAATCGCCCGCTTCCGAGGCAGCGGGCGGGCCCCGCGTCTCCGAAAATGGAACACTGGAGACGTTGAGCCGCACGAAGGACGCCCTTCGTTCAAGAGAGGCGTGCAACTCGGAGTCCGTGTCGCTGGACGCGGCGAGGTTGCGCCTGAACGCCGCGAACACACGTGCCGCCGTGCTCACGAATCGAGAGCGTACAAAAAGTGCTAACGAATCAGCTCAAAGTCAGTGGTACAACCCGGCCATCTTGTGCCCAATCCGAGCTGTTCTGCATGTGGACAAGTACTCGAATGAGCACAATGGCCGCAATCACGAACAGCGGCCCTTGAACTCGGCCGGTCTCGCCGAGGCAGTTCTACCCCAGTTGTCCATGATCGGTGACCTGGACACCAGCGATGCGTGCCGGGGTCGCGCGCGCTTCCAGCTGCGCCTCTCGACGGCAAACACCATGAGAATCCTCTCCGCAGCGCAGAAATACTCGCTTGTGTCGATTCTTTTCGCTATCATGCAGATAGCTGTCATTCTGAAGCAGATGGAATCAACGAATACGCAGGCGTCAGCCGCAAAAATTAGCATGCTCTCCGTCGGCATGCAGGCGATTATGGATGCGTACATGTGCCTGATGCATCTCGTCTTTGGGGTAGTCGTGCAGGCTCTCTTCAACGCTTTTGCAACTGCGTCCTTCTTCTACTTTGTGATATTTAGCGTATTCGAGATGAGGTATTTGCTGATGATCTGGAAGGCTCGAAACTGGCGGGTGAACAATACTGGCTGGGACACCGTTCGCCGAGAGCTTTCGCTACTCTATTCGCGCTTCTACGCGGCACTACTGATCGGTGTTCTTGCCATTTATCACATGCAGAATCACCTGAATATCATCATTTTCGGAATGTATTCATACTGGCTGCCGCAGATCCTTCGAACTGCGTACCTGGATGCACGCCGCTCGTTTCTGCTGCCCTATGCACTTCTTTCGAGTAGTGCGCGGCTGCTGGCGCCTCTGTACTTTTTGGGATGCCCATCCAACTTTTTACATTTGCGACCGCGGCCGCGACTCTGTATTGGACTCGTATGCTGGAGCTTGCTGCAGATTGTTTGGATGGAGAGCCAAGCACGCTGGGGTGGTCGCTGGTTCATTCCCAGGCGTTTGCGGCCGCAAAAGTACGAATACAGTCGGCCGTTCGCGGTGCATTCGCAAGGCGACTGTGTAATCTGCATGCAAAGCCTCGAGGATGAGGAAACAAGTGCGGTTATGGTGACGCCCTGCGACCACGCCTTTCACAGCGAGTGTCTCCTGAAATGGATGGAGATCAAGCTGGAATGTCCCACGTGCCGGAGGGCGCTTCCCATGCCCTGAGGAAACGACGCTCTTTGGTACGATGGGGAGTTTTCCGATTCACGAATGAGCGCCCGTGGCATCCCGCGACGCGGGCGCGTCTTCGCACCTGACAAGATCAAGCATGCAACCTGATCCACGAGTCACAGATATGGATTGGGTCATAGGCACGAGGGTGACATCCGCGACGCCAAACGCGTCGGGCTGCCAACTTTCGCAGAGAATCGTGCCCAATGGAATGCGTCAGCAGCGCTTTTCTGCAGCGAGTCGAATGAATGCATGAATCGGGCCGTTTGCCCTATGATGGGCGCGTGCTGTCAGCAGCCAGGGCCGAGAACAGTGCGCCCCTACACAAATCTCTGCATTTCACAAGCAGCGGAAGAATCTCGGGCAGTTTTTCATGGTGTTCAATCAGAGCGGCGATGGTATTGATGAAGCCCGGACGTGTGCAAGGCTGTACCCACACCATCTTGAGTGATTCGCATATGCGACGCAGCAGATTGACGTCGTGGCGGCCTTGTTATGCCACGGGTCCGTGCTTCATTCCTCGTCCGTCATCCAGTCGAAGGGGAGCACTGCAGAGCCGGTGTCAACACCATCTATCATTGAGCAGGTAAAACCCGTTCATGTGGGAGCTTCCGGTACCGATTGATTGCCGCATGCATCTAGTTCACAGCTCGGGATGCTGCTTCCGCCAAGGAAGGTCTTCCGCGTCACCCTTAAAGTCGGAACCGATCGAATCCTTTATACCGGAGTTGTTTCCGAGATCAGACTTGCTAGTGATAAGAGATGAGCGCTATGCAGAAAGATTTGCGGAATCGCCGCTTATGAACTGGCGCGTGTGCGAGGTGTCATCCCCGGTACCTAGTCCTTTCCGTGGACACACGCTCACGTCTTGACCTGCGACGCCCGAGGCCCAGACGCTCGAACAACGTTCAGAAGACAAGGCTCGAGTGCAAGACTAGCCCAGCGACCTCAACGACGATACCGCTGCATACTTAGCGCCTCCGAAGCTGCACTGTCACTCGGTCGCATGTAATCGCTTCACGATCGAGTGCGTCCGCAGACGTTCCAAGGATATCGCTGTCGACCAGGTGCATCGACAAGGCCCTCTATATCGACCTGACTGGACAGCACTGGACTTGGGGCTGGCGCGCGGCGGTCGCGTTGCGCTCCAGTGCACACTCCAGCGCCAACGATAAGCGTTCGCGTGCGTGGCAGGCCCTTCTGGAGCATAGCGCATAATCCTTGAAGGTCCAGACACGTTTACGTGCAAAAGTCTAGTCTAGCAGTTGTGGTGTTCCTCTGCACAGCACGCGCGAGCGGCTTGCTGAGCATTGGTCATACAAGAGCTGCGTAGCGCTGCAGGCGCTTTCCGGGCGAAATGGCAACACCACGCAGGGGGACGGTGCGCTTTCGCAAGGGGGCTCGGTTCTTCGAGAACGACCTGAACCCTTCCCAGTTTAGCGAGCTTGCACAAGTGCTAGATCAAGGTCGCTATGATTCTGAGGTCTTTACGACCTTTGCTCTGAAGACGCTGGACAACTTGCGGTGTACAGCCCGGGCGATCCAGACGCGGTACCCGCCGCGTTTCGCGCTACGTGACCCAACATTGTACACCGGCGGTGCCGGTATCTGTATATTCTTCTATCACGTTTGGCGAAACCTGAAAAGGATCTCGCAAGAGCCGAGTATGGACGAGTCTCTGCGGCAGGCCATGCAGGAGCTCGCAGAGTCGGCGCTTGCCAGCGCTGCAGAGTACGCATCGTTCAGTTTGCAGGGTCTTTCACAGAGTCACCAGCGCGGCACGTTCCGTTGGGATCAGGTTGTTGCCGAACGAGGTCCAAGTGTGTTCTGTGGACAAGCTGGGGTCTATCTCGCAAGCGTGCTCGTGGAGAATGCGAGGGCGAACACGGAAGCCTGCAAGGCGTACATGGAGCAATTTATACGTATGGGACAATATGCTGTACCTGACACGCAACATCAGGCGCCGTCTTGTGCCGACGAGGTACTCTACGGGAGTGCCGGGTATCTCCTCGGCTGGCTCTACCTGCAAAGGGAGCTCGGGCCGAATGCGCAGTGGCTCGGGCAAGATATTGCAGAGGATGTTGTTGAGTATCTGATGATGCGAGGTTCCATTCTGGCGGACAATTGCCAGCCCGGTGCGAATATCTTGCTCTACCAGTGGCACGACAATATGTACATGGGTTTCGCCCATGGACTCATGGGTGTGACTGCAGCGCTCTTGGAGGCCTGTGCGGCACTGCCGGAGAAGGCGCGCCCCACGCAGAGCGACGCACTTTTAAAGAACACGCTAGGGTTCATTTTTAGTCATCGTGAGCCCGATGGCTTTTACGACACTCGGGTCAAGCTTCAGGAACGAAGTCGTTTTCAAGAGCTACGTAGCACTGATAGCAAACGCCTCGTGCAATGGTGTCATGGATCGCCCGGTGCGCTTTTTCTCTGTGCTGCTACACAGCGCCGATACCCGCACTTTCCGAATCTGTCGGAAGAAGCTTCGCTTGCGGCGCGCGTGACCTGGCAAGAGGGATTGCTGCGAAAGGGTCCGGGGCTGTGCCACGGCATCGGCGGCAATGCCTATGCCCTGCTCTGTTGTTATCAGATCGCGAGGTCATCTGACCCGAACGCTATCGAATATTTGCAACGGGCGCTTGCGTTTGCGGACTTTCAGGTATCCCGCTCGAAAGCTGTGCCTGATGCCGGCATGGCAAGCGCCATTGATCGAGTGCCTTGGCTGCTATACGTTGAAGGCACCCGAATCCCGGATAACCCATACAGTTTATATGAGGGCATTGCTGGTTTCGGATGCCTGCTGGTCGATCTTTTATTGCCGCGAGAAGCGCGCATGCCGCCATGTTAAAGCGGTTCGGTACCGATTGCATCGCTGGGCGCGATGCAATCGGCAGCGGAGGCTTCAGCGCAACGCCCAGTGTCCGTCACGACGTCCTTGCATACCCTGGTTCTGGGTGAATGCTCGCTTCGAGCGAGGCGAGGACAGCAGTGCGCTGCCGACATCCTGCTGGGAGACGATCCTGCGCAGTGACCCGCGCTTTCAGAGGATGATGTGGATTGCTTGCCCATCGAGATATTCTGGACGGCATTTGTGAGCATTCGTTAACACGCCTACAGCATAGGCGATGATCTGCTGCTCCGGAGAAGATTCCCGGCAACTGCACCAGCTTTGAGGGCATAAATGCTTCCGGTTCTCGGGCATCATGCCACTGGACGCCACGTCGCCTGTGCTTTTGCCGTGCGACGTCAGCATCCCGCCGGACACGGAAGCTGCGTGGCGGCACGAGAACGCGCTGCTCTCGCCGCTGGTGATTCCGAGCCTGAATCGCAGCCCGCGTACTACACCTGCGACTCGCCTCGACTATTCGGTGTACAGCGTACCGGCCAGAAGCGATCGCATCGAAGACATCAAGCCCAGGTCACGCAAGCTGCCCAGAGACTGTTGCACAAAACTCGACTTGGCATCGCTCTCGACGGTACCATACGATACGCGTTTTTCCGGCGGGTAAGGGCAATGAATGTTTATATTCGGTAATACGTAAAGGTGGAACATGATTATCGTTTACCAACTGGACGTGGAAGCGTTTTACGGTGCGTGTACGCAGCGTCCCGGTCTTTCTGGAATTTCGACCCCTACCATACCGCTGCCTTGCTCCATACGAGAATGCAATTGCCTCTCCCGTGGCCTCGAAGTTTTTTAATGCAAGTCTTCATCGCCTCGACAATTGGCACACTCTCAATTCTAGATGCTTCTCTCTAAAATTTGCCTGCTATACACCCACTGGACGCTACTGGAGTAAAACATATTTCGGACTCTTGATCGAGGCGTTAAACATTCGGTGTAAAACAAGTGCTTGCGCACAGAATCTCTGGTGGAATCACAATACACCAAGCCGCTCGTTTTCGATCGCCTCGCCATCTGAAGTTCGTTCATTTTACCGTGTACTATCTCATGCATTCGGCTCTGTCAGACGCTCCTCTTCTCAACTTTTTTCATCATGCACAAGTGTTCGGTATGCGTGGATGCCATCTGGAACTCTTGGATGGGAATCGTGCGGAACCGATTCCTGCACTCGTTAAACGCTCGGCTTGAACGAGTGAGAGTGCTGCTCTCGGGTATCACAGCACATAGAACGCCACATGCTATTACGGAACAACGCGATTTTGCGTTCGCATGCTTTTCCAATTCACAGACCGAGTTACGAATGCACGATTCTTGCCTTCGTGGAACAGAGAGCATTGGCGAGCGCAGCGCAGCGCAGTCTCATCTGCTTTCTCCAAAGATCGTTCGTGTGAGACATCTGGACGCTGATCTACTGCATGAATGAAGCCTAAACAAACGTGCTTCTCCGCTCGATGTGGTGCTCAAAGCGTCGAGATGGATCCATGGACAGGCACTTTGTATTGTTTGTGTGCCTCCCAGAGTCTGAAGCGCCCGACTCGCAATCATCGCGAGTCCTGGAAAATTTGAGCGACTTCATCTGCTTTCCGTTCAGGTCTCTGGCACCGTCCTCTTGACTTGGAGGGACGGCGACGCCCGAGAGCCCTTGGACTCGGGATTCACGCCCGCCACATTGTCTCCATATTCGTCAACCTTGAATGAATGAGCATGCGTCCCGGTGCTCGATACAGGCCCAGATCTTTGCCGCATGAACGCAAATCGATATTCTATCGATCGCTATCGTCCATGAGAATTTCTTTCCATGTAATTCGCTGCAAAAGGGATCCCTTGAACGAGCTACGCGAACATTCTTCACAGAGTTTTCTAATGCTTCATAGTTGCTTGTGGAGACCATGGTTAGCCATTAAAGAGCATATACAGCACAGAATCACTCGTAATAGTACCATATGTGTGGATTGGCCATATCTGGACCACATCAAATGGACGCATGTGGAGACTTGGGCGCACGGATCCGGGTCGGGCGTGTCCCATGCTCTGTAGCGCCATCATCGCGATAACATAGTCGATCAAGATCAGAGGAAAGCAGATATGGCATTCCAATTACGCCTTGCATACTTCGTTGGTAGCTTCGGGGTTCACAGCTGCGCGAAGCGCTTGGACGATCCAAAGCGACTCTCTCGCTCTCGCTGTGGCTCCGCTTCCGAACTCGATAGCACGTCGAGCCCATTCGCCATCAGCTCGTTATTTGCGCCCATGAACACCCCGAGCATCGCTCTGTCAGTCCCGATTTTTCTTTGCCAGCAATATGAAGGTGGCGTGTCCAAATGCTGCACCTCATGAAGTGCTCGAGACCGACCTGCGAAAGATTCTGGTATTTCAGGTTCGTTGAATACTTGCTGGAACCTGCGCTGTCTATGTGCCGATTGCCGAGGTGGCACGGCGACATTCCAAGGGATTCTTGGAAGCGTATAGGCAACGCTGTGATGCCCCAGTCAAGCAGTACTGCTTCTTGTTTGCCGAGGAGCAATTATGGCCGTGCACGCAGCTTTGCTCCATAACCTACAGCGGAATGTGTACTGCGGATAGCCCTGCGTGGGGAACTCCTAACATCCGCTGCGCGATGAGGTCCATCAAGGCGAGTGTAGAGAATGAATTGTCACAGAAGCGCCGTTTGCGCTTCCGTGTCACCGATGCGAACGAATCGTCTACGAATCCGTAAGCGCAAAAACGGCGTTTCGCAGCAGAGAAATCGCCTTGTACGGGATTGAACCAGGGAGGACTCGCTCCCATGAGGTCGAGCTCCGCCTTCTTCTCAACCGCGAGCTGCTTTACCGCTTTTGAGTGATGGAAAACCACGTTGTCTGTGAGCAGGTCAGAAATAAGGCAGGAGGCTCCTCGAGGAAGATTGAGGTATTGAAGAATCCTAACCGCGTAACAGTCTGTAGGCGACCACGCGATTGAATTCCCGATAGGGATGATGTTGTCCGCGTGCCCGCATAGCTCTTCTTTACCAACAGCACATGAAGGCTCTTGGAGAATCAATGTACATATCTACTATATTTGCTCAACGATATTTCATCGAGTGAGCTGAAGACGCATCTCTCCTGTAATCAGCGTTCTTGTTTAGTAAGAAAGACATAGAAATTTTGTTCAAGGTGCCATGGTCTCATGTAATGGCGGGCGCTTCTCGTTGAGCATCGTGTCTCCTTATTATCGTTCGTATGCTCCGTAAAGAAACTTCATGTCCTATAGATTCTTTCGTGGTACTTGTACGAGAACTTCGGGGTGAACTGGATTGACTTGGATGCAGTCTCGTAGAAAGCGTTTAAAACGTTCTGTTTTGGGTGCGCGACATCCAGCACAGGGACTAGTCGCGGGTCGTCGATCTACTTGCTCAACGTGGAAGCACTGACTTGCGTAACTAAGGCCGATTTTCGTACGATAGCAGCGACAGCATCGAGTCTTTCCGCGACAATTCTCTTAGGCACAAGATATGATGCTCTTATTGCGTACATGCGAGGAAAACAAACAAAATCAAAAAGGCGTGTTGGTGCACGTGTTCTAGAATTCGCTGCTCGGAGTGGAACGCACTCGATTCGTTCATATCGATCATGCAGATAGATGCAGCGATAACGGCGCCGCCGGAGCGCAGCGGATGCCGTGGCGTTCCATTTTGTGCATAGCGTCGTCCATTGGACGGTTCGTATTGGTTCTGACCCGCCACCGACATTGGCAGCGCATCAGGCATGGCGCTCGAGGCATCAGCGCATCGTTACGGGCATTGGCATCCACGCGTACGCTTCCCAGCGCTTGGGTGACAGATTCGATCGCGTGCGCTTCCACTAGTCAAGCACGTAAACGGTTCCCGCCTTTAAGCGATGAGACGACGGCATACAAAGCAGAGCCTGGAACGCCTACAACGCAGTTCGCGGTGCTACTTCGGATGCCGACGCTCGCTGCAGCGCGCACGATGGATCGTCGAACGCAGCCGACGTTGCCGCCGATGAAGTAGAACTGGATGCGTGTGTGGATGCATGCATGCATGCATGCATACGTGCGTCCCTGTTGATATGTGTGTCTAGATCGAAGCGCTCAGCGACAGCATCAGCTGCGATCGCGTGTTGCTCGAAGCGGCACTTTGGCTGGCAACGTGTCGCAGACACGCAGACACGCATGGATTGCAATGATGGCCCATGTCGCAACGGTGCGCAGTACGGATGCGGCAGCGTCGGCGGCCTGTAACGATCACGAATGAGGCATCGGCATCCGCACAGCAGCAGGCGATGCCTCGATCCCGCTGCGCGTGGGTCATAGCGGAGGCTCGCTGGCTGCTGCTGTCGCCGATGCCGATGCCTCATTCGAACCCAAGGCACAGTTGGTAGTCGCGGGCACCGACGCGCTATCCTGTCTGGCACCCGAGTTGCAGATCATCGCGTCCAGCTCCAGTAAGACGCCGTCCGCGTCATACACCTGGAACGGGCGATTGAAGGTGAAGCTGCAGCGATCTGAACCTGGTTCGTCTCCGTCGATATCGACTGCTGCATCCGGATCGGTGGCGATCAGCAGGAACGGCAGCCGAACAGCCGAATCGCCTTGTAGCGACGCGGAGCGCGGGCGCCCGCTGCTCGCCACCGCCGCACCGCGCATATTGCGTTGGACAAGGCGCTCGAGCGCTCGTACAATTGTGCGGTATCGCTGGATCCGGCCGTCCTTGTCCCGCACACTCGAACTCAGACGGCTCAGTTCGTTCTCGAGGAGAGACTGCTCTCGTACGCTGGCGCGAGGTAGACCATGCCAGCGGACAGCGCGACGATCTTTGTGCACCACGCCGATAGCACACAGCACATTCAGCGCATCGTAGACTCGACGGCGCACATTCTTCTCTTCACTCGCCGGATCACGCGGCGCTACGCCATTGTTTCCCTGCAGCAGTTCGGCGACCAGCTCATCCGCGACCTCATTGTAGGTGGTCTCGCCTTTCTGCTCGACTTTGTGGCAAATACGAACGGCAAAGTGACGGAGGCCTTTTTCCTCACGGGGCCGCCCGGATCTCATCCAAGAGCTGAACTCGGGAGCACAGTATTCAGCGCGCCCAAAAAAAAATTGGTCGACACACAGACCACGAACGCTGCCTTGACACCGGGAGCGTTGTGCACTCGTTTGTCGTCCCGTCACCCGCGTGATGTGCGGGTTCACGTTCGCTAGTGTCGACTCAAAGACCCGAGCTCGATACTGGATCCTGAAGTCTGGACAGCGTGTTGCGTCTGGTGCGGGGTCCTCGGTAGGTGCAACCTTGCGCGAGGTCACCGGTGACCACGTGCGCTGTCCTCGTCAGTTGCAGCAGGCCGATAGTCCTCGACTCTCCAGGTCCAGCTGGAATAGCGCAAACTACCGATGCTGGGAACTGCGGAGTTCTCGTTCCACAAACTTGATGCAGAGTGTCTGCAAATTCCGGTACGTTGTCAGGCGGTACTCGAAGTCGTGCTCACTTCCGTGACGAGACTGCTGCACACAGGCGGCGTCACCAAGGTGCACGCCTGATGGAATTGTCTCGCGCGCTGCAGCACACTCACCTCAATAAACGTCTTGTTCCCCGTTCTGTGCTCAGCAGTTGATCAACGGAACGCCAGGTGTCGCCGACCCTTCCCTTGCCCGTAGATGGAAACACCCGCTACAAGCGCCATCACAGGCGCGTGTTCGCAGATATTCCCTGATCATCGCTGAGAGCGCGCATCGGCACGCGACGCCTCGGACTGGATTGCGCTTCCCGCGCAGTCGTCGAAAGCGGCGGCGGATGAGACGTGTGCCCGAATGGGTGCCGCGTGTGCCCGGCACCACGGATGTGCAGCGCGCGCCTGCACGGACTGGATCAGAGGCGGCTGGGGCACGGACTTGGACATCGGCCCTAACTGTACATTGTTTATCAAAAAGGTCAGCGTGCGTCCATGAGCATGGTGCGCGCTGTCCGAAAGACACGTGTCAGGTTCGGCAATCTGCGGACATCGTACCCAGCGAAGATTACCGCAGACCATGCACTTTGACTCGTATGCACGCGCGAAACATCAGGTCTCTGCGCACTGTCATGAAAACGATCCCTTGCGGGTCCTTTCTGCAACTGCTTCCCTTTCCTCTCTCTTATCTCCCGCATTCTGTACGGCGGTCTCTCTTCTCGCTGTAGCTCCGTTGTCAATTGTCGAAGAATATTGATCGCAGTCTTCAAATCAAGAATGTATCGCTTCCGATTGTTGGCCAGAAATTTCGTAAACGGGCAGATGTTGCAATCTGCGTTTCCTTCGCCATTATCATCTTCTTTAAGTTCAGCCACAAAACGTCCTTCGAAGTGGTGGTATATGGCTATGCCCGAGCAATTCAATAAGTGCACCACAGCGCTGCTTCGAGCGCTGGCCTGGTGCGCCCGAACGCCTGATTCATCGCTCGGTGTACGCCCCTGCCGAGTAGAGGAGTCCATTCTGGTTGCACTCTTCCGTCCCCGCGCCCTGTGCCGCACGCTACGGTCAAGGATAACTTCTGGGCGGGCCCCTGGGGCGCGCAGGCTATCCGCGGAACACGAAAGCGCGCACTGTTTCATTCCTTAGAGGATTTATGGGGCGCGATATCGTCTGTGATGGACCAAGTACCTCTAGGAGTATCCTGAACGGAGAACAATTCGGAAATTTCGGAATGGATAGGTACACTGCATCTGAAACGTTGACGCACTCTCCTCTCAGAGCAGTGAATGCAATGACGGGAGCACGGGTCCCAGTCATTGTGCAATGCGAACACAAGAGAGGTGAGGTTTTCAGAGCATACCTGCTAACAGACATTATGATGGCATCAAAGGCCGTTTCTCCGATGGTTATATCCAGAGAAGGACTTGTCCTTCTAACGCGGCGGATTGTTTCATATGACAAAATCAGTGAAAGCTAGGCATGAAATTGTATAACGGCATTCTACAGGCTTTTTTGGAAACTCATTTCTTGTTTAGGTTGTGGCGCGAATCGCTCTACCCACAAATTGCCTTGAACCAGAACATCGAAAAACTCGCGAGCACCTGATTTGAACATGTGACGCGAAAGGAAACAAGTCGGGGCGCGAGCACGTGCATTGAATAAGAATATCGGCCGTTCTTCGATGCCCTGTTCGAGGGCGGGGCGAATCATCTCGATTTCTGTGATTAAACAGGCTCCAGTGGCGAAGACGGCAAGAAGCTCCTCCATTACAACCCACGAGAATCATAGAAATTCGTATGAATGCCGAGACCCCAAATGACGCGTTTCCAATGCCGAGGCTATACATTTGATAAAATGGAGGAAAACATGGAAAGCCGGGTCCAGACAGCACACTTTGTTCCTCTATTCTATTCTGACTTGGATGCAGAACTGTATTCAGTCTCCGGAGGGCAGAACGGGCACAGACTTTGATATACGTTTGCAAACTCTCGACATAGAACATGGATATCTCGTTCATGAATACATAGGAAACTCCGGTAGGATCCCACATCGACAACTCGCTTTTGTAATGAAGTGGATGGCGCATTCCAGCGACATTCGGCAGTGTTTCCTGGCGGCGTCTAGTGGTCGAACGCTGTGCTTCTGAAGTGATTCACTAGCGGGACGGCATCCTTACAGCTTCGGGTAGTCTTGGGAGCAGTCAATAGTCAGTTGCCGCGAGTGTTATCCATTTGTAAGTGGTTCTTTCGATGCATTGGTTGTATCAATGGTCGCGCACTCCAGTCGCCCGTTGAAATCCCGCAGATGAGCTTCCGATATGTATCATCGCCTTCCGGAGCGCCTGTACAGACAAACCACGAGGCCAATGCACGACCTCTTCCTGTCGAATGCACGGTACGTCAAGGACTACTTTCAGAAACACGCCCTTACGACATGTAGGGCATCGTCGCCAAGGCAGGCCCTCTCCGGATCATAGCCTCGAACTCAAGCCCACAAAACAACGAATAACCGTACTATTTCGGAACGACGAGCACCGCAGAACAGCCAGTGTGTAGCAGGTAGCGCCTATGGCAGGGCACAACATCCCCTGCATGGCTCTCTTGTTCAAGCTTCAATCCCAAACAGACGCATTCATCAAGCGTTCATGGAATATCGAGTCTTGTGCAGAGCATGGCAGTCTCTTGCTCCGTTTCCAACAGTAGATACGCAGCTTGCGATGCTTCTTGCATTCATGCACTGTGCTGCATCCAAACCTCCAGGTCACAGCATATCATGTATCATGGGCGAAAGTCGCCTGCATACGCGTTTCGCTATCGCCGGCGATGAGATCCTGTTTCTTCCGCTTTCTGTGCCGAGCGCCGGCGCGCCACCGCACTCACCCGGCAAGCTGCAGAGCGGCGCAGTGCGCCAACGGCCGCGGTGATGCCTCCGACGCAACCGGGTATACACACCGCGTCGCCGCCGCCAGGTACCCGCGCTTCGAGCGAACAACCGACCTGTGCATGCGGCTCGGTAAACAACTGAGCACACGCGTTGAGCGAGATCGCTGACGTGCCTAGCTCCCTCTACTTATATGGAAACCGGTGAATCTCCGTCCAGTGAAAGCCTCGAGGAACTAAGTGAGGGAACGGAGGCTTCGTCGCCCTCTGGATCGACGATATACTCTTCTGCGCTTGCTCTTCTTCGAGGCGAGCGGCACGTACGGGTTGGCGCTAGCGAAACCGAGCTCCGAAAGCTCCTAGCTGACGAGATAGGACCTGAGAGGCTGAAAGAGCTGGTAGAGGAAACAAAGCTGGACGAGGAAACTATCCTAGCTACAGTTTTGGCTTCTATCCTCGAACGAGGCTACGTGCGTCCAAAACTCCCTGAAATCAACACCCTATCTGATGTGGTGTCGCTGCTTCGAAATTCCGAGAACATCCTCGTCTTGTGTGGTGCAGGGATATCAACTTCACTCGGCATACCAGACTTTCGGAGCGAGGGCGGCATCTACGAACGGGTTCAGGCGCGATACCCTTTCCTTGACGACCCTCAGATGCTTTTCGATCTGGACCAGTTTCTGGTTGACCCGCGGCCTTTCTATGAGTTTGCGGCTGAAATTTTCCCACCAGAAGAGGCGCTTCGAAAACCATCTTTCTGTCATCGGTTTATTGCACAGCTTGAGCGATCCGGCAAGTTGCTTCGATGTTATACACAGAACATTGACGGGCTCGAGCGTGCAGCGGGAATTAGCCGAACGATATTCTGCCACGGTAGCTTCGATACGCTTCGCTGCGTCAAGTGCAACCGGTCACGTGCGATATGTGAACAGGATCGACATCAGATTCGAAGAGGCAACGTGATCTATTGTGAGCGATGTACCGGAGAGGAAGCGTTGCATGCTAATGACAAGCGCTCAAGCTTGGATGATGGCCTTGCATCTGACAGCGAAGACTCGTGCGGATCCGACGGTTTCGACCCTGAGCCAGTCATGAAGCCGGGTATAGTGTTTTTCGGCGAGCCGTTGCCGCAGGAGTTTTTCGATTCAATCGAAGATGATCTTCGACGAGCTGATATGCTCCTCGTCATTGGAACATCGTTGCAGGTGGCGCCCGTTGCCGATATGCCGCGCAGCCTCGACGCAAGCGTCCCGCAGATTCTGGTGAACAGGGAAGTAGTCGCACGAGCAAGAATCCAGTTTGATGTGGAGCTCCTTGGTGACTGTGACTTTATCGTTCGATTAATAGCAGAGCTTCTGGGCTGGTCGGACAAAATAGGTGATACGGAGCGATGTTCGCTGGCTGGCGACCCAGAACAGTACTTTCAACTGCCAAGTCGCTATGTGTTTCCGGGTGCACGACTCGACCCCGACGGAGCCGGACATCGACTGCAAGCCGATGACATGTCGCAAAATCCCGAATCAGGTGCGACTTGGAATGGATTTCAGTGAGCTTTCGTCTTTGATTTCATGACATGCACCGACGCTGGGTCCAGGTTTGAGCGCGATGCACCGCATATGAGCAAGTGGCTGCGCGAGAATCCTCAGCGTTGTACGCATTGGTATCGCGCTCCATGAGATGTCTGAAATTCTGCGCACATACTGCGATCGTAGGTCGTATCAGGCTGGTTGATGCTTTCGAACATGCTTTTCTGGTATAAGGACTACTGTCCATATGTGCTCTGCACTGGAGCTTCGGCGCTTGTCGCAGATGGGCGCTGTGCACCAGCGCCCATCTGCAGTTTTGCTGCACTGCCGGACAATCATGTGAGAATCGCCCGGCTTGCGCCCGACGCTCTGAGCAGGCATCGGACGAAGGTGTCCAACGGCCAGATCTCCGGATACAAGCACCTTGGATTCTGTGTCGGGTACACAGCGGTAATCGCCAATGCCAAAAGCCCTGAAAACAGTGGCCATGCAGCACTGTCAACCTCAGTCGCATACGGACTGCCAAACAACATCGACAGTCCCTGGGCAATGCTTTGATTCCTGTCCCGCAAGCTACCGTACGTCCGGTTGGGCCCTGCTTCTGCATCATGCGAGCGAGCAATGGCTATGCGGAGCGAGCAACCCAAGGCCTCAGGTCGCGCTCACGGGTAATTTGGGCTCGTCGGCTACCCAGCACTGCACAGGCGCATACGAAAGACGAGACCCGTGACGGCAGCGTTCTCTAGACCTCCCTGAGCGCGTCAGCTGCGGCCCTGTGAAGCGCAGTGTGCGCCCTCGCTAGATCATTGGACACTTCAGATTCACACCCGTTCAGCACCCGCTCCTGCGCCGCTGTTGCGATCCCGGGTGCAGCTGATGCAAACGCACACACGCTTCGTCACGGAATGTGCGCATCAATCGAATACGCAACAATGTGCACGGCGATGGCCGGAATGCGTAAACGCTCGCGCGAAACGCATCATGCATCACCATGACTGCATGAGGGCGATGCGCGTTCAACGCGGCCTCCGGGATCACATGCATGCATATATGCATGCGTGTATGCAGGCATGCGTGTCTGGCGTGCATGCATGGCAAGAATTGCATGCGTGTTCGATGGGTGACGTAGCGCTCTAGAGGCTGTGAAATGCGTTCTGCTGTGCTTGTTGGCCTTTTTCCACACAAGCACGGTCGCGAACTCCGAATCAAGAACACCAGAGCGGCGGATCGATGCAGGCGCTGGTAGGCGCTCTCCGCCCGACGCTCGCGGGACCGCTGGACCAGCACACAGATATCCGGGATCTGCTGCCCGAGCAGGGAGGCTTTTTCGATTGGAGGAAGGTGCTTGCTGGGTTCTCGAAAACGCACCCACCAGCGGACAAGCGCGACTCTGAACCGTGTCCCACGGGTGTCGCATCTGAAAATCGGGGCGCTGCACACTGCCCGCACAGCGTGTCTCCTGTTTCTGTTGCTCCGGTGGTGGTGCGATTCCATAGTCTTGATGAAATGGTAGCCTGGGCGTTTTCTGCGCCACCGCGGATACTGTCAACCGAGGACCACACGACCTGGAATGTGTCGGCGATGCCGAACGCAGGTCCTGGCCCGACCTCGTCCAGGCGGGCGCAGGTCTTCGTTGGCGACCTGAGTGGGAACGTTTCCGAGCGAGATCTGGTGGATTGCTTCTCAAACTACGGTGCGGTTCGAAGTGCCTACATCAAGAGAGATCCGGTTACCGGCAAATGTGTCGGATTTGGGTTCGTCGAGTTTCAGCACAGCCGCGACGCTGAGCGTGCCAGATTGCTCGCGCATCGTCTACGCATCTGCTCGCGACGCATTCGGCTGGGGCCCGCGTACCATCGCCGTAACGGCTACGAAGTCGTCGCATACGAAGCACCTCGAGATATGACCAACGAGCGCCTACACGATTTTCTGGCGCAGCGCTTTGATGATGACGTTTTCGATCCACATGGCACGTTTGTGGTTGAACCTGAACGCCTTGGCCCGTTGTGGTACGGCGCGGAGCGAGTGGTGCGGATTCGGTTTCGGCAGTCGTGGGTCGCGGACCTTATCGTCCAAGCGGGATGGATCGAGTGGTCGCCTGGCGTCCGTTCGCCAGTGCACGCTGCTCAGCCGTACTCCATATGCCGCAACGGTGTCGAGTTACAATTCGGTGATGGCTGGATGCCTCCCGATGCGCTCATAAGGCCGCATTTCGATGCTTTCGGGGCTCCGATCCAAGCCGTGCTCACTGTGCCGTCCCGACAGGTGGCCTATGTGATTTTCGAGGCCTCGTGGCGAGGCATCCATGCCGCACTTCATTCGATGCGCAAAGTTCGGACCATCTCAACGAGACAGGTATGGTGTCATCATTGCAAAGTCTCCACCGAGTTTCTTCTTGCCTATGGCATGGCTCTGGAGGACTGGAGGCTGCGTCAGAATGGACGCATTCCTCATGATTCCCATGTCATTTACATTGGCTGCCCGGCCACTCTACCGGATCTATTAGTGGATCGACCCTGTTGACATGGACTTGTATTGTCGGCGCTCCCTAAATATGTGCAAAGGCGAATTCACGCAAAAAGCACCTCTAAATTTGTGCAGATTCCAGCTTTGATCCTGTCCATTTTTTTGTTTTGTGATCGTGCTCCATCCTCTTCATGAAGAGGCGAAATCGGCGGTGGACACGCACCACAACGCTGCGCGCTGCTCGAATAGCTCCCGGGGGCAAAACAACCAACGTCAATTGCAATACCTGGAACGCAATCGGTGACCCTCGGACAGGAATGCACCAGGGTCGCCGGTTCCGCGCTTCAGCGTAGCACTGGTGCAGCCAGTGCCCCTCGTTGGCCTGTCATGCGAAGCACCCAGGGGAGAGCCGTTTCTCCAACAAGTATCCACAAACATAGATCCCCTAAATCGTCCAAAAGATACTGGATGAAGACGCTTAAAGCGCGAGTCTTATCAGGCCTAGTTCAAAATTTCGTCTGATACCTGAACTGTCAGCGCGTTCCCGTAGCGTGCCAGTGGACGAGACCTCGCTCTTCGTGTGAAGCTTTGAACCACGCTTCATCCTATACTACACGCTCCGCCCGTGCAGAGGAGCAAAACGTCATGAAACGATCCCACTGAACGAGATGGGTGGCTCTCTGGCAGCAGCCGTCCATGACAGATGCGAACCAGTCACCTACTCGTCACATCATAACACTGTACATCGACGTGCGTCAGCAAACAAGCACACAGCGCATATGCCTCCTGGAGGCAGGTGCGCCATCGATTCACTTGCCTGGTAGCGGTACATCAGGCTGCGGTCCCATGTCCATCGATCCGAGCACACTTGAGGACCCTGCTGGGGCATCCGTTGTCGCCGAGCTCTGCGCTTGCTCCATAGGCGAGTCCGTCTGTCCGGATGTCGGGTTGCTGGTCGATGTCGAGCGACCGGCGAACGTGAATGGCTCGCCGACCGCACTTTCGTACGCTCTGCTGGCGCGACGCGCACACAGCGTCCAGAGGCAGCTGCGAAACCTGTCGACAGCATGGATGGTTTCTGTACATATCGACAAAAGTTCGCGTTCCTGTTGCGCTTCAAGCTCCGCGACCAGGTTCAGAGCGGTGTCCACGTGTACGTACTCGGATCCCACGGCCAGCAGTCGTTCGCGTAGGACACTGACCAGCGTGCTCGCCGGATACCTCGCCACGCGCAGGCTCTGCGTCGACTGTGAGGCAGTGGATGCTGTGGCCTGCTCTGCTTGTCGTGTATCGCGAGCTCCGCACGCTCCCCAGGCGGGGCTTTCCGCGGTCTCACGATGGGATTCCATTCGGCCGCTCGCTGGGGCATCCTCGGAACGCGACCACTGAGAGATTCGCGAGGCGAGCTCCGGTGAGAAATGACGTCGCAGGCGGAAGGCCTCATAGTTTGAGTCACGCCCTGGAAACACGTCCGGCCGCGCAGGCACGGGTCCGAGCGATGAGCCGACATACCCACCTGGGCCGTACACAGCCGCGGGCCAGCAAGCACCTGCTTGCGGGTTGAAAATATCCGGAGACTTGCCCTGGCTGGGTTGCCAGTTCGCCTGCGGTGGTCGCCACGCTGCAAACCCCGGTCCTGGCCACGACGACGCGGCCTCCTGGTTCGACGGTGCCGCAGACGGTGACGGTAGCTGGGCCTTGATGGCACCGGACCCAGCCGTTGTCGGTGGACCAGTGTCAGGGCTCACAGTAGGGAGGCTCGGAGGTGTCGGCTTTCTATTCGGCCTGCGTTCTATTTGAGCCAAAAGGTCAAAGCGACCGCGAAGAAAGTTCGGATTCCGGTACTCGAGGCGAACGCACGAGCACTTGTTGAACGCGTACTGATTCAACTGTCTAACGAAGCTCGAAAAGTTGTGATGTTTGAAATAACGTGGGAGAATCTCACTCGTAAACCGACCCGGTTCCAAGACAACAAACGAGTCACCGTTTTCCGTCCAGGTGCAGAGGTCGTCTGTGCTCGGGTCCGAGACCAGCTCGTACAGCTTCAGGATAAACGGCGTTGGCTCCGAGCGTTTTGGACGGTCACCAGTCGACTTTCTCGGGGAGCTCTCCGAGTCTTCTCCAGCAGTGCTCGTTTCCGCCGCTTTTGCCAATAAGTCCATCTCTTATTTGACCCGGGAAGCCTTCTGAAAACAGTCAACGTTGCGTAGCTTCCCAGTTCGAGTAACCGGAGCTCAGCGCTATGCGGCGCGCTTCGAAACTTCCATTCGCCGATATCGACCAGCAGCGTTCCAAGTCGACCTATTCTGTACAAGTCTGTACAAGTCATACCAGTGTGCATCGATCGCTGCATCCTGGCCACAGAATCTTATTCGGTGCGCGCTTCTCGAGAAACGGCCTGAGATTCTAGATGCCTTCGCGAAGCTTTCGCCGCAGCGCAGCGATCCACTGGAAGTGTAGCGGGCTCTGCGCAGGACACGTACCTAGACAATGAAGATCAAGTATGTATTTTAATGTATAAATCAGACATGGCACCCAATCGAGATCGCCAAACTTGGACAAGATGGTCCGGTGGCGGCTGGCTCACCATCGCCCGTGCAGGAGTCGGCACTCGATTCGACGCCTGCCATGAAGCAGAGGCACTCGGCGATCGCTGGTTCGCTCACAAGATTCTGCACCCAGACGAATCCATATAGAGACGCGTGGGTGCCTGGCCCTGAAGACACCAAAGTCGCGGCATCTTTACCGTTTTGTAAGCGAATCTGATACGACGTATGGGCCGTACGCCATGGAAACACGAGTGAAGGATGCTGTGCACGAGGAGCAGCGACCTCGCACCCACGGAAGCCGTCGTTCGACGCCCGCAAAAGGATGGCAATGTCGTTCGGTGTCGGGAGGATGTCTGGAACGCCACAAATGGCGCACATGGTATGCTCGGTGCCCAGGAGATCGTTTGAACGATGCATTATTTCGGGAGAAATGTTCGTTCTGGGGCCAATGGACCTGAGCGGGTCGGGGTCGGCGCTGCGACGGGCTCTGCGGTTGCCAGTAACCGTCACGCATCCGGGAATCTCTGGTTTGCATCGTCGATTCTACTTCAAAAAAAACTGTTGAATGCCGTCGCTATACACAGGCGGTTTTGTAGTTCGCGGCGATACTTCACTGTATCTGTCGCTCGTTCCGGTACGCTCTCTAGTCGAAAGTGTAACTCGAAAGCACCGATACCATCATTCCCTGAATGAAACCAAGTCGATTTGGTGATTATGATGCATCATCCTCCTGTTTACTGATAGGCTGTTGTAGCAACAGACGCAGTTACGCTGCGCAGGCATGCGCATTTCTCAAGACGGCGAAAAGCCCAGAGAAATCGGCGGGTCCTTGCGCACGGCAGCAGGAGCCCATGGAGGCTTTCCTGCTCCGCGAGACCGCCAAGCCACTGACCATAAAGTTCCCGAGCACACGCTCTGGTGCCTGCGCGCGCCCTGCTATGCTCTATTCACGGGCAGTAGTCGCACGCGCTCGTGCGTTCTACACCCGTATCAGTATAGAATGGAACGTATCCTCTAACTCGGGCGTACACGCGAATGCCTGGGTCTGTTTTCGCTGCCATCAGTACAAGCCCTTGCGGACTTGTTCTGCGACTGCTTCCTTTGTCTCTCCTACCCGCGGCTTTGGATGCGCTGGTCTGTCTTTTATCGCCAGCTCAGCTGTCATCATCCGAATGATTTCCATGGCAGCAATTAAATCCCGATTTCGCCGCTTTGGGCCGGTGTCGACACATTGCATGCACAGGCAGTAGTTGCAGGCTATGCTTTACTTGTCATTTCCATCTTTTTGTATACAGCCTGAGTATGCTCTTCGCAGCGATGACACCTGATCGTGGTCAGGTGTTCCAACATGGCTACCATACCAACTCCTCCGAGCGTGACTCTGTCGCGCACGAACGCTTGCTTCATCGCTCGGTAGAAGCGCTTGAAGCGTACAGCAGGTTCCCCTCGATGCCCTTCTTCGTGCCTCTTGACCCAAGCTGTACCCTGATATCATGGGCTTCTTCTGGGTATCTCCTCGGTGCATACGCTGTACACTCCATGCGCGAGGGCACGCTCTTCCATTCGTTTGAGGATTTGCGGAACGTGATGCTACCCGTGATGAATCAAGGACCAGAAAGGAACCTAGGCTAGGCGGGGCGTCGAAAAATTTCGATCCATCTACACTTCTTCCACGCGAAGCGATGATATACTCGCGATAGGAAGCGAGCGCTGCGATGACCAAGTCCGAGCCCACTACCCTTCTGCATGCTAACAGAAGAGACCGGAGCGCCCGAGAGCATACCACGGAAGAGGCATCGTGCTGCGGTGGAATGCCAATTCGTTGCTCGCCACAAACAGAGGAAGATTTTTCTTCGGAACGGAATCGATTATTTGACGTGGAAAGTGAAATAAAATATTCGGTATCAGCTGGTGAATAATGCGCAAAATTCGACACCGAATGTCTTTTCACACCAATCCAGCTAAGCGGATTCCTGCGCCCGCGAGTCGTCTTGAAAGCGCAAGCTCGAATACTTGAAGCAGGCCGGAAGCCAGCCAGTCACGCGCAGGTCAAGGAGAAGAGCGGAAGCTTGCATGTATAGATGGAATCAGTGTATGGTATATGTTGCAACCACTTGCTCAAGATCGTCGATAACCGTCTTGATTCCGGTAACGCAACAAGTGCCAGCGACAAACGCGTCGAAGGCACCACTCGGGAGCAACGACCGAGAATCCCAAAATTACGGATGAATCCTCCAGCCTCTCCTGATGCACTTCAACGCTCGAGAATGTACATCCAAGAAAGCTCGGAAACAATGCGCAGACCAGGATCAGAGCAAGCACTTGAGCGTTCCATGTTCATCTAGCACGGGTATAGACACGGACGAGGCCAATGGTCGTCAACCGCTCACCTCGAGAAGACGCATGAACCGGCGAGCAGCACTGGTGTTGCAACACCGTTCACCAGTCGGCGGCCTCATTCCTCGGCTCAGTGCGGGCAGCGCTTTCGCACTCGGCGCTGCACACCGGAATCCGCCGCGTTCGGCCCGACACCGAGCCCCGAGGTGCGGTGACGTCGCCCGACGCAGCGCTGCGCTGCACTGCACTGCACTGCACTGCACTGCGGAGAACGTCAGCCCCTTGGAGCCTCTCCCGGAGTCTTGGTTACGAAATAAGCTCCTCAAACGCCTGAGAGCGCGCGTGCAAAACGCATGTTTGCGCTTCCGCTGAGCCGCACTTGTTGCTGTGTTCGCGTTGGACGCGCGACTCCTCTGAGGCACTTGACGAAGCCTCGTGGGTATGTTGCAGGGAACACGTTTGCCTCAACTGTCCATAGGGAAAGTTTGGCTCATCTGCCGAGAGCCCGGGCACAGTGCAGGAAACATTGCTCCTCTGCAGGGCTCTTGTACGCCCGTGCAGAAGAGCCGAAGAAGGCCTCACGGCCTGAGACCGGCACTGCGGGTGCCCTGCCCCCAGCGGCGCGGAAACTCCCACCGGATGTCGTCGAAGAGGTGGTGACAGAACAGCGTGTCCGCTTCGCTGAGCAAGTGGGTTCTCGGAAAATGGCCATTGCCTTTACGTGTGCGCGCTGTGAAACCCGAATTCGCAAACGTTTTAGCCGACAAGCGTACTGCCATGGAATCGTGATCATAACTTGTCCGGGTTGCCAAGTCCGGCACCTCATTGCGGATAATATCGGTTGGTTCAAGGACGTGCCGCGGTCACCGGGGCGCGCGGGGTACCACATCGATGACTTTGCCCAAGTGGAACGTGTTTCTGCGGAAGTATTCGAACTCGAAGAGTCATTCTCACGTTCCGAGGAAACAACGCACGAAGCGCTGCCCGATGATTGACGCATCATGTGAGTGCGAGCAAACCCGATCCACGAGGATATGCTGCGAGTGCCATCTGTGAAGCGTTTCGCGTACGGGCAAGCTACACATGCGGTATGGATAGGATGCATGGATCTCTGAGATTGGTTAGTGAAAACGTACGTTCGTCGGGAATCTATTTGACTGCAGGAAGCTCGGATCTCTCCATGTAAAGTAGCACGGAAGCGTGCGACAAGGCAGTGTACCTGATCGCGCTGCACTTGTGCATGAGCGTACCAAAACGTCCGTAATGTGCTGGGCGCGGAGGCATCGCGCCGAACGCCAAACAGCGCGGCGCGCGCACTGCTGCATCGCACGCGGCATATTGTCGAAAAGCCGTTTTCCCTAAAACGTTCACAACGGACACCGTGCTCGAACTTTATTCAACTTTCATGCGGGGTTGGACTCAGCGCCAGAGAAAAGCGTTACTACTCTGCCTCTGCGCACTTGGTCTGCTCTTGGTACTAGTAATTCGATCAAGGCGGTCCTCCGACGACTTCCGTGTCGAAGAGATCTTCATCGGAGGCCAGACACGTCGCCCCCTGTACTTCTTCATTGCTGGCATCGAGGGCGCCGGGCACGGCACTCTCCGCGAAGTCTTGAAACCCTGCGCAACAACCGAGGTACTGGATCCGAATTTGCACCTGGATGGCGGCGACGACCCGAAGCACCGATATGCCAAGTTCTTCTCCGAGTCGCTGGAGCTGGCCCTGCAAGACCAGCACTTGGTGTCTGCCAGCCGACGCACCCCGTGCATCCTTGATGCAGTGAGTACGTTTCCCATTGGGCCGGAGCGGGAGCCAGCTAGGCGCCCGGATCTCGAGGTCTTGCTCGACTTGCACCAACGAGGTGTGCTTGACCTGCGAATCCTGGTTCTATGGCGCGATCCACTGCGCTGTATTCAATACACATCCTCTCGAAGCAAGTCACTGGATCCGCTCTATCTGGCGCGAGTTGCGGAAGAGAGTCTGCTGTATCTCAGCAAGCAGTTGGAACAAATGCCAAGCGATATATGGGATATTATCAACTACGATGAGTTCGTTCAGAATCCATCTCGGTTTGAGAGTACGATCGCAGCACTCCTGCCGAGAGATCTGTACCGCCGCACATCGATCATGAATGAAGACCAGATCAAGAGGCTTCATGCGAACTATGAGCGCGAGACGCTGTCGTTCTCTGAGATTGGCGACCGTCGGTGTTGTTTACCTGAAGAAATCTGCCAGGATCTCGACCGGTTGCTGTCTGAGTTCTTGGAAAAGCGGGAATTTCTATGGGCACCCATGGTTGAGTTTCTGTCGCATGAATCGAGGTCGTTTCGTTAGGGGATGCACGTCCACCGTGCGCGCGAACACGCATTCGTATATGTAGACGCATATGCACCGGGATATGCACACAAAGGCTCGTATGTGCACGTGCACGCGCATATGGATACCCGCGGCCATACGACCTGGAACAGACACGCTCGTAGGAAGTGCTCGCATGCCTGCATTTGCGGGCATGCGAGCAGCAGGACAAACGAGGAGATGAACCAAGGAGCGTAGGAAAGTGCGGCTAGATGCATCGGTTGTTGTTTTTGGTTTCGATGAGGAGCCAACAAGCTTGGACAATTAGGGGCGATTTCTTGTAATAAGCTGAAACATGGCGTTTCTGAGGGGTCCCGGTAGCGACTACACCCGAACAGCAACCATCGGTGACGAGCAGCGAACGTTTCCGGTTCCGTAGCGATACAGGGTTGCGGCAAGCGTGTGCAGTCGCCTGGACACGCTTGGACTCCCTGCATCTAACCTCTGTTCCTGGGGAAAACAGTGCTCTTGGCCAGTCGCACGTGCGAGCGTGTGCGGGAGAGCTCGGGCCCCTAAGTTGGCGACTGGTAGCGTTCGCACATCAAGAAACCTCTGCTTCGTTTCATCTATCCCATATTCTCAAATAGTACTTCGAGTGACTGGTAAACGCTTTAAGTGCCTATTTTAGATACCTGATGAAGCGCTCTGTTTCAGCCTATATGTGGCGTCATGTCTATCGTCCGTATTATCCGCTCACGACATTTCCAAACAGCGCATGTGTATGCATGTCACCTACTTGGAGCGCTGCCATTCTCTGGCTCAGTTGATGCAAATCAAGCAACCGATCCGGTGCTGCGAATCCACCAAATGTAAATCAACACGAGCGGCACAGGTCTCGGTGTCGGTGTCGGTGTCGGTGTCGACTGAGAGCACTTGCTCACCTCAGTGGCCCTTTTTCTTTCCGGTCGCGCCTGTGTCTCGTTCGAGACGATTCAGTCGCTGCTCGAGCTCAAATAGCCGAATCTGGGTATTGAGCCGCTCCTCTAGATTTTGTAACCGTTTTTCCAGTTCGTTCACGCGACGCAGAACATCAGGACTTGGAGCGGGTGCGGGTGCTGCTGGCTGCGGCGGTGCAACGTACTCGCCGCCTGCCCTGTACGCACCCGAGCTAGGCACCGAGTAGGAAGTCCGCCGAAACGTCGCTGCGCCCGCTCTCCCGTAATGCAGCCCAATACCGATCCCGTATCCGAAACCAACACCGCATCCAACGCCCGGTTGTGCACCGGGGAATTTTCGCAATACATTGCGTAACAGGTCAAGGACAAAGTAGCCTCCGGGAATGCCGCCTAACATCGAGCCCAGCGGCAGGGACGCAAACGCGCCGGAGCCACCCAGGCCGCCGCCCGCTGCCGATGTGGAAGCTGTGATGGGCATCCATCCCTTACCGATACCGGCACCACAGCCGACGCCCAGACCAAGCCCAGCTCCAGAGCAGAGACACACTGGGCCTATACAGAAGAAAGTCCGTGTGTAGAACGATGGATCAAAAAATCGTTGCAAGTGAGGAGGTGGTTGAGGTAGGCGGAACATAGGCTCCGCCCCTGCAGAGGGTGCAGGGCCATCCATGTTGGAAACCGAAGCAAGAGACGTCCAGGTGTCTGCAGTCTTAGCGGGAAACAAATGAAATTAAAAGTTGACGAGTTCCAGGCACGGCGGTAGAAAACAACGCGCTCCCGTTACCGAGAACAGAATGTAAGCGAGCGAGCCGCCAGTACGAGGCACCACACTGTCACGAGTCGACAAGTGCTCTAAAAGCACGCACACACACAAACCAGGCCCTGTCGAACTGGTCTTCTTTTCGACACACGCTCAAAGACACAGGTACCCGGCTGCAGCAGAGAGTCTCGTGGACGTGCGCGAACGTCGCAAAGCGTTCGCACAAACACGTCGATAGAGCTCGAGCTCACCGCAGCCCTCTATCCGTCCAACACGCTTCCCAGCAGTTTATCAGAGAGTGTTTTGGTTGAACTTCAGTTCCCGGATCCGCTGCACCGGTGTAAGACGCTTGTGAGCAAGCGCTGCGGATACCGTACCGCACGCGGCCGCAGCTGAGGAAGCGCTCCACTAGCTCCGAGACGAGGACTGTCTAGGCCGCGCAAGCCAACGGGTGCACGCTCCTGCACAACCTCGACGGCAGCGCTCTGAGCCTCGGACGACAGCTTGCAAACACTTCGCCCCGACGTCCTCTGTCCTGAACGAGAATCCAACTCCAGGACTGTCCTCCTGAACGGTACGTAGGCCGCCTCCCAGCTACAACCAAGCGTAGCGTCCGCGGACACTGGCTCACCGCCGCCGCGGCATTCCGCAGCCGAGAACAAGCGAAGCGCTACAGCGTTCGCACCGGACGTCTCGTACTCGGTATTGTTCCGCAAGCGACCGTCTTTCGCGGACTCTATGGGTAACGGGCAGTCAGCCGAGACTCGGAAGGTTTCTACGGACTCTTCCACAGTGAAAGAGAATGGCAGGGCAATAGAAAAGCCGGAAGCTGCGCTGTCGGAAAAACGGGTCTCAGGGGAGGCGGCGCTACAGCAGCAGCAACCCCAGCGGCCGGTGCCGCCGGCCCCACCGGACCGGAAGCACCAGGGAGAAACGGTGCAGTCCCAGGTGCGCTCTTCCACTGGTGGAACGGAATTGAAACGTGAACGTCGAGTGACGCTGCCACCAGGGTTGGATGCCGGAGACATTGTGCTTTTTAACCGGCGCTGCCTGGCCATGGCGCCGCTCGGAGCGCTAATCTGTGCGGTGGCGAAAGCCATGTCCAATTCTCGGTGGGACCACGTCGGCATCGTTGTTCGCAAAGAGGACGGCTCGTTGCACCTTCTCGAGGCGAACCTTTCTGGCGTAACATTGCGACCGCTTGACGAGAGAATACGGCGCTCGCGCTCGAACGAGATCGCGTTCCGAAGACTCTCTATTATTCGCACGGAGCGCTTTCGCACCGAGCTGCTGCACTTTGCGGAACAGGTACTCGAGACGCCATACAAGAATGATCTTGGCGCTATGCTGGTAAGCGTGATCCACCCCGCCGATATGCAGGAACGCGAGCGACTTCATGCCTTGCTCGTGAGTCGTCGTGCGCAGCGCATGGAAGTAGAGCGCGAGCTGCGCGAAGCTGCACTCACTGCATTCCAGCGCAACTCGCTTCTCGAGCAACGTCGCATTCTCCTGCAATCGGAGGAGAAGATTGAAGAGGTTCTCCGTCGCGAGCTTGCCGCTACGAAAGGCGGCTTCTTCGAAGGCTCGAACGATCTCAGTCGTGTATTTTGCTCGGAACTGGTGGCGGCGGCGTATCAGCGGCTAGGACTGTTGAGCTCCTTTCCGCCGGCGGATAGCTACGTACCAAAAGATTTCAGTACAGAGCAGGCGAACCCACCGGGAGTACACCTTTTGAAAAATGCTCGTCTCGGGAATGAGGAATTCATTCGGCGACTGCCAACACAGAAACAAGGGTGGTTTGCCAGCTTGCTGGGCTCCGACTCCAATCAAGACAGGACTACAACCGAGGCCACTGGCACCAATCCCGCAGACGAGGCTGTACCCGGAACCGACGCGAATGCCGCAGGAGCAAGCCCCGTGTCGGATGCAAGCGGTCAACCCGCATATCCCCGAGGAGAATCGCGTGAACTGATCCGTGACGCCCTCAAAAGGACCCCGATATTCGCTGCCTTGCCTGATGAGTACACGCGCAATCACCTCGTGAAGAGCTTCCGGCCAGTCATCGTCGAAGCCGGAGACTACGTCTTCCACCAGGGAGACTATGGCGATGCCTTCTACGTGGTCGAAAGCGGATCACTTGATCGCTATATCGCCAAGGACGGCCAGGAGCCCATTCAAGTATCTACACTGGGTCCGCGCAACTCGTTTGGCCTTACTGCGCTTTTCTTCAACGCAGCCGGGCGTTCGAGCACAATCCGAGCCCGCGAGCGCTCCTTGCTCTGGAGACTCGATCGCGCCACGTTCGAACGTTTCGCCTTGGACTTTGGCGAAACATCCGTCATCGAGAATGCCGCGGAGAGTCGCCAGCTCCGCGCCCTATTGAAGAAGCATTTCCTCTTCTCGCGACTCGATCGTATTGGCCCGAAGGAACTCGAGAGTTTCTTCACGGTGAATTTCAGACCCGGTGAGACCGTCTTCGAACAAGGAGAAAAGGGTGATAACTTCTATATCGTGAAAAGCGGCGTGCTGGAACGTTGGATCTCCAAACCAGGACACCAGCCGAAACTTGCTGGTACGCTCCAACCTGGCGACAGTTTCGGTGAACTCTCGCTCATGTACAATGCACCACGTGGAGCGACCGTACGCGCACGCACTGACGTAGAGCTCTGGGCCATCAGCGCCGAATCCTTCCATCGACTTCATTTAGGAGGCGGAGCCTGCTATCTAGAGCGCATCTTCAAAGAATACGCGTCTGTGAAGCGCGAAAAATCACAGCGTACGGATGATGGCGACCCCTATGAGTACTTTATGACCCCCGAAGACTTTCTGCGATTCGCGCGAGCGGATGCCTTTAAGGAATCACCAGAGGACTACCGTCGGCTATCCAATCTGCTGCTGCGTCTGGTGAGCAACAACAACAGCGGCTCACTGACGGCGCCACAGCGGAAGACCTCGCAACAAAGCGCACCGCTGATCGACTTTTGGGAATTCGTCCGATTCGATCTACTACTGAATCAGCCAGATGCCGAAAGCCAGCTCATATTCCGGTTATGCGATCGCGATAACACCGGACAAGTCGGCATGCAAGAGTTCCAGGAGATGTTCCTGGAGTACGCCAATGGCGATCGCGAGATTGAAGCCATGGTTGAGGATGGATCACCGCTGCTGCGTCAACTCTTTGGAAAGCGCGGTGATCGAAAGCTGAACTTTCGGGACTTTACCGCAGCAAGCGAGGGAAAGCTTCCAGCAAAGTTCCTAGCCGATATTCATCGCCTGAAAGCACATATGCAACAGCAGGCTGCGCGTGCGCCGTCGTCGAACGCCCTCGACGACGAGATCCTGCTTTCGACGAGCTCGCTGCTCGCCGGAACGCCACAGTTTTCTGGAATAGCGCCCACACACCGCGGCGTCCTGATTGGTCATGTGGCCGGTGTTGCCGTTGCTGGTGTACTGGCGAGAACCCTGGTTGCACCACTCGATCGTCTGAAAGTGCTCATGCAAACCGAAAGTATCGTGGTCAAGGTACGGCCGGAGCTGTTGAAGGATGAGCGCATAGCTCCGAATCCGCGATCGAAACGCATTTATTCAAGCGTATGGCGAGGATTTCGAAACATGATTGCTCAAGACGGTATCCTGGGCATGTATCGAGGCAACGGGGCCAATGCTCTCCGAATTCTCCCGGCGACGATCATCCAGAGTGCAACGATTGCCCTAGCGAAGGAGTATATCGAAGCACACCGCCCGGAGAATGCACGACGATCCCTTGGCTTTGCCGCCTGGGACACGGTCGTGATTGCTGGCCTCGGTGGTATCGTTGCAGCAACGATAACGTATCCACTGGACACGGCGCGAGCTCGTTTAACCGTTCAGCATCGGGGCATTGCCGAGCGCTACCATGGCGTACTGCAATGCCTGCGAGAAGTGCGCAAGCAACAAGGCGTGCCTGGCCTGTACCGAGGTCTCCTGTCAAGCACCCTTGGTGTCTTTCCCTACGTGGGAATTAACTTTGCAGTTTATGAGACGCTGCGTCCGATTATGCCCCGCCGCAACGACGGCAGCGGGCGTCCGACTGCTGGCGGCCTGATTCTGTCGGGATTCATCGCCTCGACGCTGGGCCAGATGGCTGCCTACCCGTTCGATACGTGCCGTGTTCGCATGCAGGTAGATGAGGGCAGCGGCGGACGCTTTCGGCAGGTGTTTCGAACCGTGCTCAAGGAGGAGGGTATTCGTGGCCTCTATCGCGGCCTCGTTCCGAATATTCTCAAAGCATGGCCTACCGTGGCCGTATCGTTCTATGCATACGAGATGCTTCGCAAGCCGCTGTCGCAGATGCTTGACAGCGTCTATGCACCGGCGTCAGGGTTGAAGCCCACAGCGGCCGCGCAAGGTGCTTTCGACTCTCGCTGAGCGTGGCGGCAATCGAAAGTTGCGCGCGTAAAGCAGTCGCTGTCGCACGCCTTTCTGCCAGGATGCTCTGGGATCTTTGCTGAATGAAGGCATATCCAGAAAACCAGGGATGCAGTCTGAGATGACTACACGGTAAAAGGCGCGCTGGTTTTGAACCCCCAAGACATGCTATCCATCGTAATCGCAGCGGCCGCGGCTGTCTAAAGCAGGATACCTGGGTGCATCGCCACGGCACTCGTACCTGTGCCTCGCTCCTGGCCAACGAATCAATGTGTTCCCCGCGGTAGTTATCGAGCGCATACAGCGCCTTTGCCGCTCCTTGTTCCACATGGGGCAACACATGTCTGGTAACGCGGCAGCGCCTGGGCGCTCTATGCCTGTACCTTATCTCCGCGTTGTCGTTTTCGACTCGGTCCATCGAACGGGCCTACACCCATGCGCTTCCACACGTACTCTGATTGAATGCTGCACATGCTTGGACGCTGCTATACGCGACATGAATGATCGGCATTTGATGCGTATCGAGGTGCCGGGCTCCGCCACGAGAGCGTCAACTGCGCCACGAGACGAAGCATCGTTCCGAGAAGAACAGCTAGCCAGCGAGCTTGAGCGCATCTAATATAAACCCAAAAGTCAGACCGACCTGGTATGCATTCAAAATTCGAATGATATTGCTTGGTCGAGGACGGCGATAGTACTGTGTAGCAATCCATTCCATGATAAAGACGATGACGGCGCCAGCTATGGGATCCCATTCGGCGAGTGCACCGACGATCGTTGAGATCGACGTAGCCGAAAACGCTCCGAACAGCAGCGCACACGAGCCCCAGAATAAGAGATTCTCCTTTCGGCCAAGAAATTCGTCCACCGTGCGGTAGAGCCGTCCTATCTGTTGGAACTCCCGGTACGGCACATCCGCGAAGAAGCTGCTATCAGTGACGTCTCTCAGGAAGCTGGGCGTCAACGACGCTTTTTGGTTCGTCGAAGGTCGCGAGTTCGCGCGGTTGCTCTTGTTATTTTCGGGAGACGGGGCCTGCAGACGAACGCTCCTGTACCGAGTTCGCTGTGCGAAGCAGGTCGATGTACGAGGGTGCGCTCGCGGCTGTCGACGCGTTCGCCACGAGCCGCGGTGCGTGCGCGCAGCCCGCCAGGGACGCTGAGCAGCGGCACCAGCAACATAGGTTAAAGCGCGGGTATAGGCCGAACAAGCCATTACTTACCCGTGAAGCTCTTGATCTCGTTCCGTGTCAGCAAGTGGATTTACATGCTTTGAAAGATGCGCAGTTTCATAGGTAGATGAGCGGTGGATTCCGAATCGAATCCATGCTGGCGTTTGTGCGTAACGCGCGCGTCAGGCGCAGTGCACTGAACCCTCGAGTCCAATGCGTACAGCATATTGAATGATGTGCGCTTATCCCGAGTTTGGATGCTTTCTGAATCGTTTAGATGTAAAGCATTGGGATTCCGAGAGCAGCAACCAGCAATGATGGGTGCAGGGGTGGTGTCGGCAGTCCGGGTCGGTGCTTTGGCGTGGCTACTGGAGCTATCTGCAACGGGACGTTGTTATGTGACCGAAATCACCATCATGTGCAGCGTCATCGGGCAAGCACTCGTACGGGAACCAACACCAGTAGCCAGTGCATACGTACAAGCGTCCACGCGTCTCTTTTCGGTACGCGTAGCATGCTCAGGGCATGCACGGCTCAAATGTTGAGCCCGGGTGTTTCAACGCAACTAGGGGGCGCAGCGATTCGTGCTCCTAGACGAGCGACGAAACACACTCGATATTGTTGCTCGACGGGGCGTTCTTTCATACGCGTATGCTGCTGAGCGCTCACTCAACTTGTCGTGGAAAAAATCGACTCCGCTCGAAAGGCAAATGCTCCGCTCTTGGTGGCCATCGACGTCACGATATCCGACAGCACCACCACGATACCGCTAACGTGGTACGCTCCTAGACGCTCCTAGACGCTCCCAGAAGCTCCGAGAAGCTTCCGTCTGCACAGACAGGGGATACGGACTTGCGCTCGAGTCACAGCAGCGATCACATCCAGGGTGGTGTGCGTCTCAGCTTTGCACCAAATGGGTATGGACACATCGGCATTTCTCGACTTGATCTCCACTGTAGATTCACCTACCTTCCTGCCAGTACTTGGCTCGCTATGTACAATACCGTGTTCCACACAGACGCTATCGAAGCGAATAGGGCGTGCACTTGCACGCCCAACATCCAGAGAACTCGTCGGTGACGTCACCTAGAAGACGCTGGTCATCAGAGCGTACGGCACAAGGTGCCGAAAGGAGGCAGCTTGTATATGACGCCACCTCCTATACACATCAATTGCATATATCGAGCGATGAAGCAAGCGTTCACGCCGCAGAGGCGCGCCAGCCCCCAGTGCAAAAGCTGTGATGGACATACCAGCGTACTGGATCGCTGGCAAGCCTCACCGCACCGAATGGCGTACCCAGACTGCGAGCAATGCAGATGAACGCTGCAAATGAAGCATCGATCGCGACTTTGGTCTCTATATCAAACGCATAACCAGCGTCCGGAGGCAGCGGAAGCGGGACTTGCGCTGCTGCTGCTGCCACCACCACCATGCCCCCACTGCTCATACGAGAGCTCGAGAGAACAAAGCGACGATCGTATGTAAAACCTGATCCAAAAGCGAGAAACAGAGAGCAGTTGCAGATACAACCAGCAAAATCTTGCTCTGATAACAACGGGCCTAGACTTGTACGAGTAAGTATGCTCCAGGATACCTGTACCTACCTGCTTTATCCAAAAAAACGATCCATAGGCTCATGACGCGCTCCGCCAGCGCTTTTCGTATCGCCGCCTGCGCGTGTCTGGAGGCGCGCGCGAAAATCCAATGACCGGACGGCGTGTGCGGCGCTGTGCCTGCTTTCTCTGAGCGCTGCTCTGGCGCTTGCTTGCCGAGCAGCGTCTACCTCTTCGCGGAACGCACTTGAAAGGCGCATATTCTGTCCCTGAACGAGTCTGTTGACGGTGAGGCCTGCACTTCATATGGGTAGAGTCGGTGTGAGGTCGAAGACGCAGGCCCAGCAGGGCCCGCCGCCTACGGCAGTGCTCAAGATGCGACGTGCCTCCCGGTTGGGTACGCCCCGCCTTCCAGCAGCGCTGGTGACCTCCAGTGCGGCGCCTGGTCAACAATTGGACACGGACAGCATTGCGGAAGCGTCTGTTGGACGCAAACGACGCTTGTCTCGGACTGAGGAGCGACCACGCCTCGGAGCCTTGGGGTCGACGACCGAGAGCGCCGGACCCAGCCGCCAGCGCACGATTCCAGAAGTTCTCGAGCGTAAAGCCGGACTCGTGGTCAGTACACCGAAACTTGAGCTCCCTCGATTGGACTTGATAAGCTGGGGCACGACACCGCATGGGGCACGGCGACTCACGCCCGAGGCTGCCGACATCGAAACCCCGGTCAACAGTGCCGAGTTTGTGGCGACTCCATTCCTCGGCGAGGGCGCCTCCCGGGACGCAGCCATGGGACTAGATGCTGGAATATATCGCACACCAACGTTCACGATTGCAACAGCGGTCAATGCGAATTGGATGAACTCGCAGGCGGCGTCAGCAGCAGACGAGGACTCGAACGCGTCGAGTACACTCGCGCCGGAGCAGGGCGCGGGCGCGAGCCAACCTCCACCATCGCCATCGCCTGCGCTCAAACGGCTGCACCTATTAAACGGCAGTGCAAACGGCCGTTGGTGTCCAGCTCGAGAGAGCAATTTCTCTGCACCAAGACCGCCTCTACAGAGTCAGCGACACGAGTACCAAACGCAAGCCGTAGCCACCGCTGATATGGACGCTCCCGAGAGCAGCACCTTCTCATCCCAGATGCATACACAGACGTCCGTCTTGTCTCAGGATACACTCGGGATGCTACTGGCACGTCGCAGGGCAGTTCAGGCAGCACGAACATCGACCGATGTGGTCGGAAGAATTACCTTTAGCCAGGCTGGCGACGATGAGGCCGTAGCGAACGGCAATAGCGCACCAGGTGGGTCGCTCAGCGAGCTACGTCCCGTGACAGCAGGAATCCCAACACTTGTTCGCGATCACGCGATGATGATTACATCCCAGGTGCCGGCGCGATCAGCCCGACGTCCGACTGAGAACCCGCTCTGGGCGAATACGGATGCGCGCACCCAGTCGCAGACGGAAGCAGGTCCAGGAAACGGACTAGCGGCGGAGCGCATCCACCGCAGCCTGTGGGGATCAAGGCGTGCACCTGCTACTGCTACTGCTGCTGAGCTCAGGGATTCCTTTCTTGCCATGGGTGATGTGATCCAGTGCACAGAAAATGGGCGTCATCGCGAAGCACAGCCAACGAGTGCGCCCATTATCAATCCGTTTCTGGTTTGTACGGATGAACCCGAGACGCCATCGAAAGCGGAGATGTCGTCCGCGCAGCTGCGCCCGAATCAGCTTCTCCCAGAGGTAGCCTCTTCGCCTTCGCGTTTCCTTCAACAGTTCGAGGAAGTACAGATCCTCGGGTCCGGTGTCAAAGGCCAGGTACTGTTGGCACGCCATCGTACAGACGGATGCCTGTACGCCGTGAAACGCACCACCAGACCGCTGTTGAGTCGCACCGATCGCCTCGACGCGTTGCGCGAAGTACACGCCTTGGCTGCCGTTGGTGCCCATGAGAATATCGTTCGCTATCACACGGCCTGGTTCGAGGAGCACGATACGCGTCTCTACTTGCAGCTCGAGTACTGTGCTGGTGGCAGCATGCAGCTGTCCGGCAGAACGCGTCTCACCACAGCATCCAAGCTACCGCATTATTTGCGACTCGTCCGTCTGCTGGGGCATGTAGCCGCTGCGCTGGCACACTGCCATGCGCACGGCATTGCCCATATGGACGTCAAGCCAGAGAACATGCTCATCGGCAGCGTACGGAAGCCGCATCAGCAACTCCAGCTCCGGAAGCAGCCCACGAAACAGGAAGTATTCAAGCTCGCGGACTTTGGGCTTGCATGTCGTCTAGATGGCGCGGACTTTACCGGTAGCGAAGGCGATTCACGCTATCTCTGTCAAAGTGTTCTGAGCGAGGCGCCGCTAGGCTCGCTCGTCCCCGTCGACGTCTTTGCACTTGGCATCTCAATATACGAGCTGCTTACCGAGCAGCCGTTACCAACAAAGGGAGACGAGTGGCAGGCACTGCGTGCAGGCAGACTTGACCGCCTGGACGCACTCACTGCAGCGCCTGGGGAGACCTCGACCGATGCGAACCTGGTGCTGTCGTTTCTTATCGACTGGATACGGCGCTGTGTGCAGCCGAGTGTACAGGAGCGACCAACTGCAGCAGAGGTTGCCCTCGCTTGCGAAACCTGGCTCGTGGAGCACGCTAGTCTCTCGTGTGATGACCCGTAGGGCGCGGCTGGCTCGCGAGCGTCGCGCAAGTTGCGCTCATATACCGCAAAAAGCGCTGTGCTCCGTCAAGGGTGTCGTTGACGACTCGAGTACCGGGTCAACGTTCTCGCTATTCGGACGCTTTCTCCCGCAACGATAAGTGCCTCACTGGAAGTCAGCCAGGTTCCGGCAACATCGTCTGTGCTTCCACACGAGACCATGGGAAACGACACCCATAGGCACTGCTGTTGTTTTTGTTGTTGTTGTTGTTGTTGTTGGACGTCGTCAGCCTTGGGGAAACGTGCGCGACCTCTCGGACGCTGGCGTTCTGCTGACGACTCGTCGTCTACCCTACGAGCGTAGCCGCGGTCCGGCTGGCGTCATGGTTCAGGTTGCTCCGTCACTCTGGACAAGACTGGTGCAACGGGTTGCGCCCTACGCGCAGCTTGCCCGCTGGGACAAACCAACTGGTGTCTGGCTGCTCTACTTGCCAGGAGCCTGGAGCATCGCACTGGCCGCTGGACTCGAGTCGACAACGAGCGCAGGCCACGGCACCGAGCCGCCAGTACAGCCGACTACTTCGCCTGTGGGCAGTCTCCGTCTACAAGGCGCGTTTTTGGCTGGTGCATTCCTACTACGGGGTGCCGGCTGTACCATAAACGACTTGTGGGACCGGGACATCGACAAGCAGACTATCCGAACTCGCCAACGACCGCTCGCTTCTGGACGCCTTCACCTAGGCCAGGGACTCGGTTTCGCGGCTGCACAGACGCTTGCGGGGTTTCCGATCCTGCTCTGGATATCGACGCCAGCTCAGCAGCGGGCTCAACGCTTCGGGGTGCACCAGATCCGCGACCTACTCCACTCGACAACGTTTCTGACGGGTGTCACAGCGTTGGTGCCGGCGACGTTGTATCCGCTGGCGAAGCGGGTCACCATGTGGCCTCAGGCTGTCCTTGGACTCACCTTCAACTGGGGTGTGTTGCTGGGTTGGTCTGCGGCTACGGACGGGTCCATGGCGTGGCGCGTTGTACTCCCGTTGTACGGTGCCGGCTGGTGCTGGACCCTGGTCTACGATACCATCTACGCACACCAGGACAAGTACACGGATAGACGGCTGGGTGTAGGCTCCACTGCGCTGCGTTTTGGCGAAGTGCATGCCAAGACCTGGTTACGGGGCTTTGCTGCTGGCATGGTTGCAAGCTTGACGCTCGTTGGGGTAGTTTCTGAACAGCCGTGGCCGTTTTATGCGGGCGTCACGTTGGTAGGTGCGCAGCTTTTCCATCAAATACAGCGAGTTCGTCTCGATGATCCCGCGGATTGTATGCGACATTTTCGTCGTATGCCGCTTACTGGACTCGTGCTGTTGCTGGGTATCGCAGGCGCCAATGCATGGCGTCAGCGAGTGCCAGTGTCGACGGATACAGAGGCTGTCGTTGGCACCCAGAGTTCCGGCTAGGACGCGCGGTTTGGCGTAAAATGGAATATTGAATGATGTGCGCTTATTCCGAGTTTGGATGCTTTCTGAATCGTTTAGATGTAAAGCATTGGGATTCCGAGAGCAGCAACCAGCAATGATGGATGCAGGGGTGGTGTCGGCAGTCCGGGTCGGTGCTTTGGCGTGGCTACTGGAGCTATCTGCAACGGGACGTTGTTATGTGACCGAAATCACCATCATGTGCAGCGTCATCGGGCAAGCACTCGTACGGGAACCAACACCAGTAGCCAGTGCATACGTACAAGCGTCCACGCGTCTCTTTCCGGTACGCGTAGCATGCTCAGGGCATGCACGGCTCAAATGTTGAGCCCGGGTGTTTCAACGCAACTAGGGGGCGCAGCGATTCGTGCTCCTAGACGAGCGACGAAACACACTCGATATTGTTGCTCGACGGGGCGTTCTTTCATACGCGTCTGCTGCTGAGCGCTCACTCAACTTGTCGTGGAAAAATCGACTCCGCTCGAAAGGCAAATGCTCCGCTCTTGGTGGCCATCGACGTCACGATATCCGACAGCACCACCACGATACCGCTAACGTGGTACGCTCCTAGACGCTCCTAGACGCTCCCAGAAGCTCCCAGACGCTCCCAGACGCTCCGAGAAGCTTCCGTCTGCACAGACAGGGGATACGGACTTGCGCTCGAGTCACAGCAGCGATCACATCCAGGGTGGTGTGCGTCTCAGCGTTGCACCAAATGGGTATGGACACATCGGCATTTCTCGACTTGATCTCCACTGTAGATTCACCTACCTTCCTGCCAGTACTTGGCTCGCTATGTACAATACCGTGTTCCACACAGACGCTATCGAAGCGAACCAAACGGCACTGGATCAGCTTGAAGGCACCTGACCAACGCGACGAAGGCCGCTTATCCTCCGCAGACGCCTCTGAGCAGCACCGGCTCGAGACAACGCCTCCGCGATAGCAACGACGATGAAGAGAGCGTGGTCGCGTGTTGGGACGTGTTGTCGAGGCCGGCCCGAGCCCGCACTGGATCCTCATTGAGCACCGAATTGTCGTGTTCGGGTACCGCTTCGACTGACGCAGATGTTGGATAGTAGACGTGCAGTCATGACAGCGTCTCGAGCGTCACCAGCACGAGCAGGAGGCGCTGCGAGTCGAGGCACAACCGGAACAAGAGCGCCTTGGCTTGCAAGATAGACTTCGAAAGCAAGCTGCTTGTGCTGCTGCTGCTCGTGCTGCAAGGCTTGTTTTCTATCTCGTGAGCGTTTCCGTTCTATCTTGAGCGAAACACCCGCCGGTGATTATACACGCGACCTAGAATCAAACGAACAGAATTGGTTGAGGCACTATCCAGTGAAGGCAGGGCGTGCCCTGCTATCGTGCCTGGCTCAGTAGCCTGGTGCATTAGCCTGCTCCCGATGTATCCGCGTCTCGACAAGACGAACTGTGCGCTTGGAGTTCAGACGATGCCGACGACCGAGTGCAAGAGCCTGTACGCGACGAGGCATCGAACAAGCGCAGCAGGTGCGTACCAGGGTAATCATCCTGGAAGCACGGCATGCGGAGCGGTCGCCACTGGATCGTACTTGGAGACCATGGGGTTTTCGCAGTGCACCGCTTTTCACTCATGGACATGATGGAACGCGTTTCACACAAAGAATCAGGCATTTATGGAGCAGCGTGACGCCCATAACGCCCATCAGCAAGTTGCCTGCTGACGTGTTGGAAAGCGTTTAACAACAGGACGAGGGTATTCATCGAGCAGCTCAGTATCCGCTGCAACGCCCGACCTCAGTGTCGCGTGTGCTGAACATGAAGGACAACAGCGAGCTACTGTGGTGGCGAGCAAGGCAAAAACTCCCACTGGAGACGCGAGTCGCGACCGAGACACGAGGCAAGCTACCAGATCCACGCTCCATGTGCTCACAGAAGCAAGATAAAAACACATCTGTGTGTATGTGTGTATCTATTCTTTTGTGTGTGTTTGTATGCAGGCCTCTTGATGCAGGATAAGCGCAACGGCAATAGCCCTGCCCCCTTTCGTCCGCAACCTGCTCGCTTGGTCTTTCGGTGGCGTTCGCGTTCGACCCGGTGAACTTCCAACGACACATGCTGCATATATACTAAACCGACGGTATATCCTGCTGCTGTTGCCGAGCTTCCCGTTCTTTCTTCTTCCGATTCTTGCGTTGTGATTTGGTCAGGAACGGCCCAGACACGAGACTCTGAGGTGCCTCGTGTTCGTGGAGTTTCAGCGGGGGCATCGAAACACCGTTCTCAATAACCTGCCGTCGAAGATGCGGTGGGATATAGGCGCCACTCGGACGCGTCTGGTTTCCCGCTACTGCACTGGCGACGGAACCATTTCCCTTTTGCGAAGCATCCGTGTTGGCAGTCATCTGCTCTGCCATTTTGCGCATACTCGTTAATACCTGCGGAGACACTGGCCGATCCGGAAACTGCTCCGGGACTCGTGCTCGCCACTCGACCTGATAGAGCTGTGTGGTGGGCATTTTGCGCTCATAGACGAGCGTGCCATCATACTTGAAAATGCGAAATCCATTGTCGACCTTCATTCGCGGATAACAAACGCCCACGAGGAAAAAGCGCGAACACGGAGACCACTGCCAGTGCGTGGTGCATTCGGCCTGAAACTGACCGATCAGTTTCTTCTTGTTCCGATCCCATATCTGCACGTTCCCTGACATGCTGCCAAACCCGGCCAGTGCTAAGAAGCGCCCGTGTGGTGACCAAGAGACACGGTTCCGAGGTCCGGTTCCAAAATCAAAGGTTGCCGTGCCTGTCCCGTGAAAGAGGGTCGCCCGCGCCGGCGTTGTCCCATGGACGATCACAAACTCGCGTCCAGTCGGTGACCAACCGATGTCGTGGATGGGTCCCTCCGGCATCGATGCCGGATCTCTGGCAGGCTCCCTGCTCTGTTCCGATTTATTCCCCAGGTACAGGAAGTGGGCGCTCGATTCGCCGTAGTACGAGCGACCATGTACATCGTAATCGTGACTAGTGCGTATCACCAGTGACGGGCTGCTACCAGAACCGTAAACTTTCGGTGACCAGTAGAATTCTACATGTTGTGCTCGGTATACTCGCCGACTCGCAACAGGAACGGCGCAGCGCGCCTCTTTGCCGCTAGCCGGCAAGCCGTCCACTTCTCCATGTCGAGAACGAATGGCACTGCTGGACCCGATCGCCCAGACCTGAATTACAGCGGGTGCCCCGTTCGCACTTTCGGGAACAAAAGTAGCGACGTACGCTAGGTCCAACGCTCCGACCGCAGCAGCAACTGCCTCCGGCGCGACGGCAAACTGCACAAGACCAGGGATCGCGATGCGCAACAAGGGTGGTTGCTCCAGCTTTGAGCCATCGTAGACGTCAAGTGCGTTGGCGACTGCGTGCAAGGCATACCGTTCGTCGGCTGTCCACTGGACGTACGGAAACGCAGTAGCGCTGTGGTGTCGATGCGGAAACGCCCGCACCGCTTCGCCAGTTGCGCACCGCCAGATCCGTAAGTTTCCGTCTGCCAAACGTTCGTGCGGCCGAGACCAGGTCACCAAGAAGGCCCCGCACGGGGAAAAGGCGGCATCCTGTATAAACTCGTCCTGGGCAGTGCCACCGACTCGGGTCACCGGCTCGAGCGGCTCGCCCGGGGCACCAACTCGAAAAACGGTACAGGCTCGGGTGTCGGGGTCGACCCAGAGCAACAAGTTGCCGTCAGGTAGTGAAAACTGCGCTACCGTACTCGACGCCAGGCCAGGTGGCACACCGGGTAAGCTCGTTGCCGTGTCGAGCCCCGCGTCAGCGCTGAGCTGCAGCCGCGCTGCGTCTTCCTCGATAGACGCGAGTCGTCGCAACCGCACTATTTGAGCGGACTCGCGACTCCTAATGAACAGCTCCGACGCGACTGGAGGTACGCTATCCATGCCTTGAAAACGCTCTCAACGGACGCCTCTAGCCCAGCGTGGTATCACCGGTAGCGCGCTACAGCTTGCAAGCGCTGCCGCTGGGCAGCGTGCATGGCAACGAGGCCGTCGGCACTCGCCCAGGGTGCGGGTGCTTTCCCGATGCAGCCTGCCACTGGCGCTGGATGCTTTCCTCGCCCAGGGTGCGGGTGCTTTTCCGATGCAGCCTGCCACTGGCGCTGGATGCTTTCCTCGCCCAGGGTGCGGGTGCTTTTCCGATGCAGCCTGCCACTGGCGCTGGATGCTTTCCTCGCCCAGGGTGTGGGTGCTTTTCCGATGCAGCCTGCCACTGGCGCTGGATGCTTTCGTGCGGCGGCAGCAGTGCGTTTGCCGCGGCCCCGGATCACCGATAACGCAATGAACATCCGGGATGGGAGACGCGTCCATCATGATGCATGCTGCCTCCAAGTTGTACGGTCCATCGCTCGCGTCGACATACTGGTCGTTTCTGACGTTGTATTGTGCGCCGAGTCCGCCGTGAGCGTCCGCGTTCGTCGTTGTTGTGGTGGTGCAGCATTGCAGCACGTCGATGCGACGGCATTACCGCTAGGCAAAGAGGAACAGAGACGAAACACTTGCGATCGATTCGAGAAGAATTTCGTTGCACCTCTGAGGTGAGCGTTGAAAGGGGGAAACGTTTTTCGGTTTTTCGATTGTTTACCTTCTAGGCGGCAGGTCCGGCGAGCCGGACGAGTCTGCCGGGTTCGTGCTCCAGGTGCCTCTGCGGTGCCAGACGATAGAACGAGATCTGAGCAGCTCGTCCATTACGCAGTTCACGCTGGGATTCGGAGTGGTAAGGCTGCGTCTCGGCGTCGCCCTGGACGCGGTGGACTCCTAGCGTATCGCTTCGCGTAATCGCAGGCAGTGTGTCCGTCTGCGCAGTTTCCAGGCTCCCAGAAGAAGGATGAGTTCCGACGACCCCATGCCATAGAAATGATGCCTCAAGCTGACGCCTTCAGCGGTATGGCCAAGCCGTTCCGTCTCCGTGCTGCATTCGCATCAGCAGTCTAGGCACCAAGGCGGGTGCAGCAAGTCAGTCACACTGCGAACGATAGAACGTATGAAACGACCAGAATATCCATGGCAACGTATGAGTGATGGAGCTTGAACATGGGGTGTAGCATGATGGATGCTTTCATGAATGCCAAATTCCATCCCGAAAGCCGCCATCCATGGTCCCTGGAAACGTTCTGGGAAACAGAAACGTGCGGCGAGGCGTTCACGCAGAAGCGTGCGGGTGCTTTACCAAACGCGCCTCACTGAACGCCATCGAAGGCGCGCACGGGCTTTTGTACAACTCGCGTTCTTAAGCGAAAAGTTGGTTGGCATTTGTGCTTCGAACGACTTGTATGCCTGTGTTGGAGTTTCTATACGCTGTGCCTGTACCGTCTAGTATCCTTGAGTCGTAGTTGTTTTTAAGGAACGAGGCGTGAAGCCGCGTCTGGTTCGCACGACATGCTGCGTCCTACACGGGGCGTGTTAGCGGGCCCTGCTCGTTTCTGGCGCTCGTGGCTTGAGCGAACACAGGAAAAGACACAAGCGCTCCGTGAAAAGGACATGTTCCGTACACAAATGGAGCACTTGTCGGCGTGTGAGCGTTTCGGACCGGACGAGTACGGTGCACTCTTGCGGAAACTGCGGGACGCCGCCGGCTTTGGCAGCAGTCTCTGGAATCGACTTTCGAACGCCCAGAGTGATCCGTTTTTAAAAGATGTAAATGAGCAGGAAGAGCTCATCCGGCTTCTAACTGCTGAACAGAAAGCGCGTCTATTGCAGATGCGACGTGCGGAACGGCGTTCACTGGCACAGGCGATCGGCAAGGAGGAACACCTTGTGGAGACTCTAGTGGATAGACTAACGCAAGCTAAGTTCTTACACGACTGGATCCGGGCGCGACTGCAAGAGGGTTTGCCATTGCCTCAAAACGCACAGCAAATGGAGTTGTTCATGCTGAATCCGAACCAACGACGAGGCCTCCCGGGCGTGCGACCGCGCATCGTACGTCCGCGTCGCTGAGCGCGTTCATGCGGGTGTTCCCTACATTCGTGACTCAAGATCCAGCGATTATTCGGCTTCTCGATTGCATCGTCGCGTGACTGGGTTAGAGCGCTCGCGTGGTACAAAATGAACCGGTCGCACGAGTCCGACGCGTCATTGGCGTTACATTCGGACGCAGGCTCGTAACCGCTTGCCGTGGCGGTGTTCCTGAGGTCCTCGGTTTCAGCGAACAGGGGTATATGGCTGGTTTCATAGCGCGCATTCTCTAGCAGTTGGAAGCTCTGAATCTTCGAAGAGCATTTCCGGCATCAACGCGATGCATCTTTCGATACATTCGCCAAAACAGTTGACGTGCCCCAGTCCTTGCGCAAAGCACATTACCTCGTGCTGGTCCGGTACGCACTACCACCCTACATCCCAGATACGTAGTGTAAGTAAGATGTGCGCTTTTCAGTGCCGTTTCGCTGGTGGTTGCATGGCTGGTATCAGCCGGACTGCACGCCAGCCGTGCGATCGCTCTACCGAACATCCAATAAAGAATGGATCCCGTACATGATGCTCGTTGAAGGCAGATGTATCCGCATTGTTGCGGTCCACGACGTGGCTGGTCGGTTCAAAGCCTCGACTCTTCACCATCGCTAAGGACGCACGCGAAAGCCGCCAGAGGCCACCTTGATTACCGCTATACGCAAAGCGTATTGCAGTAATGGATGACATGCGGCGACACGCTTCGTTGTTTCGTTTATTGTTTTCGTAGGTGTTCAGCAAAAGGAATTTATCCAGTTGATTGGAGAGCGCGCTCGTTAAGATACTTTATGCTATCACCGCAAATATGCGAAAAACGACCTTGATTCCACGCGTTCGCCAATCTACGAGCGGTGGGTGGAAGAACCACGCTTCGCGCACTCCTTAACGAGGACGTCATACACCTACATCTGAACTTGTGAAACTCTGCCTACACGATCGTCTCCACATCAATGGATTCCAAGCATAAGTTCTCTACAGAATTCTACCAGAGTTGCCACATGCTCTGAAGTCTGCGTATCGTTTATCTGGGCGTTGATGAAGAGAGAAGGATGGACATAGGGATATGCACGCTTTTACGGGCGACCGCAGTGCATTCAACAACGTCCTGGAAATTTTGTGGCGAATCTCAAACACTCATGAAACGAGCGATGGGCTCTCGTCTTATTCAATGAGAGTCTATGCGGCAGAAACGGAAGACTTGTACATAGGTACTTACAATGAAGAAATTCCGCTGGTTGCAAAGAAGAGACAAGCGGGTGTTCCAAAAACATCAGCACCAGCGGGATGGCTTTGTGTGGTCGCGTGCGACTCCCGAAACGGGAAGCCAGGCTCAGGAGCTCATTCGTCGTCGAAGCACTTCCTGCCTTCCCCGTGCCAGATTCTTCTCTCTTGCTCTTAGACAACGTCGCTTCTCATCAATAAAAAGCGGTCCAAGAATACATCGCTGAGATTGAGGTGCATGTGCTGTTCGTGCCAACTGACCCTGTGCGGTTCCCATCGGTCCAATGGGTCTTCTCTGTCGTCTAATGCCAGTTCGACATTCAAGGATCAACAAACACGTCGTTCATATTCGTATCACCGTCATTAGATGAAACTTGTGTTCACCTGCACCAGCCCTGACGTGCCCTGTTGCTGGTGATATCCTGCTGCGCGAGCAGGAGCAAAAAGGCTGACTGCGGCTCGAGCGCGTGCACGCGACGCATAAGGTGACGTTAACGTACCCGGGGAACAGTCCAAATGTACATTCACAGAGGAGGCAAGTCCCGGTCCTAACGCCCACCAGTACATCTCGATCTAGAGAAAAACACGAATATGGAGTATAGCGATCACATCCATGGAACCGCGGTGAGCAGCAGGCGATGCAGGTGCTGGTCTCTGCGCATAAATATGAAGCACTCGGACAACTTCGCAAAGCGCATTAGCAGAATTCTTCCAAGTTTACTTGTTCACCAACCGGAAATGTTAACAAGCGTACAACCAGGATATAGACTGTTCGAATATCAATCTACACGCGGTTTGCGAAGCATCGGCCTGAGTTTAGCAACGAGACTCATTTTCATTCATTCGCGGCAGATGAAAAGAAAGAACTCGTTAGCAGCGTGGGTCCCGTGTTCCAGTACATCATGGCAGTCGCCATGCCTCTAAATCAAACGACAGTGCCAGAGACGTGAACGAGAAGCGTCTGAAGCGGCTCAAGTCTCCCCGGGATCGGCGTTGTCGAGCGTCAGTCATGAGCGATACCAGGAGCCAGACCAGTGATTGGAATGACGGTGTTCGGACCCGGTTCGACGCAACGGGCTCCGCTATTAGCAGAACGGCATGCTCTGTACACATTATGCAGAGAGTGCAAGCGCTTTTAAACGCCTCAAGCGGACCTTCATTGGAGGGAGTTCGTGAGGCCGCGTTCCGAGCGCCGACCACGTCCACTGAATGGAGGCAAGAACCATATATACTCATCATTTTTGTTCAAAGTTTTGGGAAAAGAAATAACCGACTCATCGCTTTGCTCATTGGTAGCCTATGGCGATGGAGGTGCTACAGAACGCGCAGGCTGCACTCGTGCTCCTCCAACGAGAGCGTACAACGAGTCCAGAAATCGATTCTACACGACTCCTACCGGCAACTTCAGGACGGCATGCACGTATCACGAGCGCAGGGGAGCGTTGTTGTGACAGGTAGAGAAAAAGAGCGTCAAATACGGACGGAAGCATGAGATGGTGTACGGTAAGCTGAGCGCAATTCAAGCGGCACGCGAATCGAAGGCGACAGGATTCGCAATGCTGTCACGCCACAAGCAGCGATATGTGGAAGCGTTTTCTGCACCGAAACTTGAATGTCGCGGTCAGCATTCGGAAATGCCTTATGCAGTCGAAGCGGCCAGCAGCTTTGCATCGAGAGAAATTTCCATTGGCTCGTTTCGTGCTCTGTTTGGACATTGCACTGAAACGCTGAAGACTTTCGATGCGAAACAAATCAGCAGCCAAGGGAGATAGAATGCGACGGCCCTGTGCACACCCTCTGGTAACGAGTTTCCTCGACAATTGGTTGACGATCGTTGTGTTCCATTCATCGATATTCCTACGCATCATTTCGAACTTTCCTAGCTTCAAAATTCCTCGTTTACTCAGCGATCTGCATCGGAGATACCCAGCCTCTCCATGCTCCACATAAGACGCGCACCAGCCTGAAATGGTTGCAGCGTTGTGGACGTTAGCATCGATTCAGTGCGGGTTTCGGGGGTACGCTGGGGCTCACGCTCGGCGACGCTGTCGACGAGGACATACTCGGGAATCGTGCGCACTGCCTCAGGCCAGTTCAGAACTTGAACATACTCCGTGCTCGGCTGGAGTCCGTAGAATCTCGCACCATTCTCTGCAGCGAATCGTTCCAGTCGATCGAGCATACCGGCTTTGGCGAACGCTTCCGCGTAGAGCTCCATGGCGGCAATCGCCGTGAAGCAACCCGCACTGGCACACGCTGACTCCTTGCGGAAGCGCGGGTGCGGCGCCGAGTCTGTGCCAAGGAAAAAACAACCTCGGTTATCCTGGCGAATAGCTTCGATTATCGCCAAACGATCTTGCTCGCTTTTTAGAACCGGCAGACAGTAGAGATGCGGTTTGAGTCCTCCGACAAGCAGATCGTTTCGGTTACAAAGCAAGTGCTGCACTGTAACCGTCGCTGCGGTGTACCCGTTGGCGTTGTCGAGCACCCATTTAGCCGCAAACGCCGTGGAAACATGCTCCACGACGATTCGGAGACGAGGGAAGCGCTTTCGAACGGGTTCAAGTTCATGGCGAATGAAATGCTCCTCGCGATCGTAGACATCTACGGCAGGATCTGTCGATTCGCCATGGACACAGAGGACAACGCCTAGCGTTTCCATAGCCGCCAGTACGGCGTTCAGTCGCTCTATCGACCGAACGCCTTGTTCGGCATTCGTGGTTGCACCTGCAGGGTACCATTTAAAAGCGAGAATAAAGCCGCTCTCTTTCGCCTGTTGCACGGTTTCCACGCTCGTACGCTCGGTGAGATAGAGCGCCAAGTAAGGTTCGAAGCTGTTCGCCGGGTCTGCTGCTCGCACGGTAGCCAGAATGCGTTCGCGATAAGCGCGCGCCTGTGCCACCGTGCAAACAGGTGGAACCAGGTTCGGCATGACCAGTGCTCGCCCAAACTGGCGCGCAGTTAGCGGTGCAACAGCCCGCAAGATAGCATCGTCGCGAAAGTGGACATGCCAGTCATCCGGTCGACGCATACGCACCCGTAGCGTTGCTTTCATGGCCATGAGCTACAAGCGAGACAAGCGTTCTGTCAGTCGGTTTGCAGACTCACTGCACTCCCTGTTTACCTGTAGGCTATGCAGCGATGTTGACGCTGGGGCGTGAAGGTACCCGCAAAGCCGACTGAAGGTTCCCCCTACTTCAGAACAGCGAGGAACGCATCGCCTCGTCTACACGACACAAAATAGGCTCTGGTCGCCGTCCTTGGTCCCTAAACTGCCGCCAAGTCTGCACTGTACCGCCGAGCAGCAGCAGCAGCAGCAGCAGCAACACAAACGCCTGGCGTCGCTGTCGCAGAAGCCGCGTCAACCGCAAGCCCAGCCTCGCGTCCTGGCGGCTGCGGCGCTGTGCCGGGCCGTGTCAGCTACCTGCACCGTGGCGTCGACGAAAACGAGTGCTGTCTGCTGGGTTTTCTCCAGCGCTATCTGCTGAGGCTGTACCGGGCACGACCTGCTGGGTTCCGTCTATGGACCTGGGCGTGGATCAAGAAGAGAACGCTGAAAACCTCAAGTTTGGGGAGCTATTTGGCGACAATGAACACTGTCAACCGTTATTGATCTGCGAAGTTGCGGAACTGCTACGGCAGAAGCGCGCAGAGCTACCAGCCGAACTGCAGAGCTCGTTAGGTCCCATCTTCGTCAAGTCGGAAGCCTATGTCGAGCGTTTTAACCAGTTCCGGTCTGCAGAGGTTGCGAAAGTTGTGCGGGTGCGACTCGAACGCCATCCCGAACTGCACCCGTTCGAGCGTGCGCAGCTCGCAAACCTGCTGCCGGAGACACCTGCAGAAGCGAAGGCCATTATTCCGAGTTTGAAGGGAAAGTTGGACGATGACGTGCTGGGTCAACTTCTTCGTGACTTGGCAGCGCTCGTTGAGTGAACGTGCGAGCCTTGTTAGGTTTACGTGACGCTGCCGCTGCTCGTCGCGACGGAATGGCGAGCCCATGAACCAGACGTTGTAGCCTTTTCGCTGAGGTTTGGTTGCCATGGCATTGGTTCAACGACGTGGTTACCGGGTTGGTACATTCGGAAGCCGAGACTACCTGTTTCGTTGGAACTGATCCGAGGAACATGACCCGATCTCAGTGGAGCATGCTAGCAATAGGCAGCGTTGAACTGCCCCGGAACGCTCGGACCTGAACACGCACACGGATCCTTTCATGAACCCGTTTGCCACCAGCCTCATTGTCTGAAGCAGGGGATCATGAGTTGCTCCAGCCGAATGTGAATCGCCTACCGAGCAAGCGAGCGTATTGCTAAACGATCTTTTTATGGCCTAAGATCGATGCCTCTAGCCAGCTTGCGCTCGATGCGCGGTTGCAGTCCCTAGGCAGGGTAGCGTATCGCGTAGGAAGCTGCAAGCGAGCTGCAGCGTGAATCAAAACCAGTCTGACACGACTCGTTCACGATGTGCCTGCATGTTGTCGACCTCGAGATTCAGCGACCAGGAATCCCACAGAAACCCACAGATTCTCGGTAAGACGAAGCAGAGGTTGGCTTTGAACGGAAACAGGTGCTTCAGGATGTGCGCGAAAACAAGAGCTCTTAGACGCATTACCGGGAACTTTAATATGTGGGTGAAGTCGCCGTCTGGTAGCGCTGCACGGCCAGTCGATCCGGACATAAACAGACCCAGCGCGTTTGGGTTCGGAATCCCCAAAATGACTCGATACCTCGTTCTGTTTTTCGTCCAGGTCGCAAGCTGGTGCACGCTCGCCACCACGCCGCCCTACTCGAGATGGTTGAGCAGTATCCGAAGAACGCGTGAGCCACTCAAGGGCGATGTCGCTTCCCAGATACATCGCAGTTCGGCCAGAAACCGACCAGGACAAGCATCGATAAGGCAACGTGTACAATGATTCATTGCTTTAGCGGTTGCTGTTCGACTCGAACGGGCAGGACGTCCCGATGTAAAGATTCCGTTTCCCGACAGAATCCTCTGGTTGCTTGAGGCCTGACAGATCTACTGGAACCTGGTTAGACGTCATGAACGAAAATCCAGTCATGATGAGCGCCTTACAGCGTGCGGGCAGATGTCTTGAGTCGAAAAACTCGACAATTTAGATACAATTATCACAAAACGGTCCACATCGTAAGCCGTTCGAGTTCACTCGCCAGGCGCCAGTGTTGGTTGCTTCACGGGGCGTCAAGGGTGCGTATCTCGACGACCCGGTCGTCTCCTCTCGTCTAGTACAAAGGTGACGATTTGTTCAGCAGCGTTGTGTCTCTGGTCAGATGACACTCGTGCATTCTTTGCGCGTTTTCTTGTCGAGGCGCAGTTTCACCAAAGAAGCTGCGAGGCGTTTGCCTCGACACGTCACCAGCATCGGTGCGTTTCCGCGTGAAGAGCGACTGCTGGCGCGTTCCAAACAACGCATTATAGCGCTCGTGTGCGGCCAACAAAGGCGCGCACTTGGTCAGCTCGTGCGAAGTGCTCGTCCTGCGGTAGACACCGAGTCACCGGCGCGAGCGAAGCGACGCGTTGCTACCCAAGCGACACCATCCTACGCTGTGGTGGAACACGAGTACGACGCTGTTGTGCTGGGCGCTGGCGGTGCAGGCCTCCGAGCAGTTATTGGCTGTGCTGAGGCCGGTTTGAAAACCGCCTGTGTCACGAAACTGTTTCCAACGCGCTCCCACACCGTTGCCGCACAAGGGGGTATCAACGCTGCGCTTGGGAACATGACCGAGGATGACTGGCGCTGGCACATGTACGATACGGTGAAAGGTAGCGATTGGCTCGGAGATCAGGACGCGATTCACTATATGTGTCGAGAAGCGCCGAAGGTTGTCATCGAGTTAGAGCACTACGGCGTGCCTTTTTCGCGTACGGAAGATGGCCGTATCTACCAGCGGGCGTTTGGTGGCCAAAGTTTGAAGTTCGGGAAAGGTGGACAAGCATATCGCTGCGCTGCTGCCGCGGACCGCACGGGGCACGCGCTCTTGCACACACTCTACGGGCAAGCGCTGAAACACAATGCGGATTTCTTCGTGGAGTACTTCGGTCTAGATCTGATCATGGACGAGGAAGGAGTCTGCCGCGGTCTGATGGCGCTCTGTCTAGAGGACGGTACGATTCACCGTTTCCGGTCCCATGCGGTGATTATCTGCACTGGTGGCTACGGAAGAGCGTACTTCTCGGCAACTTCAGCGCACACTTGCACAGGCGATGGTAACGCCATGGCTGTCCGTGCTGGTATACCACTGCAAGACATGGAGTTTGTACAGTTCCACCCGACAGGAATCTACGGCGCAGGTTGCCTCATAACGGAAGGCTGCCGCGGTGAAGGCGGTATCCTGCGAAATGGCGTTGGTGAACGTTTCATGGAACGCTATGCACCTAGCGCGAAAGACTTGGCAAGTCGTGATGTCGTCTCGCGTGCGATGACCCTCGAGATCATGGAGGGTCGCGGATGTGGACCCCAGAAGGATCATATTCAACTGTTTCTGAATCATATTCCCCCAGAGATTTTGAAGGAACGTCTTCCTGGTATTATGGAGACCGCACGCATCTTTGCTGGTGTCGACGTCACCAAAGAGCCGATTCCCGTCCTTCCGACGGTTCACTACAATATGGGCGGCATCCCGACCAACTGGCGAGGTGAAGTCCTGCGCCCCACAGCATCGGATCCGGACGCAGTCGTGCCGGGTCTTCTCGCAGCTGGAGAAGCCGCCTGCGCTTCTGTCCATGGCGCCAATCGCCTTGGCGCAAATTCCCTGCTGGATATTGTTGTATTTGGACGTGCTTGTGCGCATGCTGTGGCGGAGCAAGTTCGCCCGGGAATGCCTCACAAGCCGCTGCCGGCGAATGCCGGTGAAGACGCTATCGCGAACTTGGATCGCTTTCTCCACGCGAACGGGAGCATCAAGACCGCGGACTTGCGTCTGAGAATGCAGAAAATCATGCAGAACCATGCAGCTGTCTTCCGGGCGAAAGACACACTGGAAGAAGGATGCAAGCTGATCGACGAGTGCTACTCGGACTTGAATGAGGTGCGTATTGCCGATCGATCCCTAATCTGGAATACGGATCTGATCGAAACATTAGAACTGCAGAATCTGCTCCAGAATGCCGTAGCCACGATGCACAGCGCAGAGCAACGCAAGGAGTCACGAGGTGCGCACGCGCGCGACGACTTTCCCAAGAGAGACGATGAGCACTGGATGAAGCATACACTGGCATGGGTACATGCACAGGACGCGCTGCCTGCGAACGCGTCACCAGTGCGGATAGGCTATCGACCCGTCCACGACTGGAGCCTCGACGAGAGCGAGCAGACGCCTTTTCCACCGGCGCAACGGGTTTATTAACTTGTGGTGTACGGTGAAAGCTTGTGATCTGCGTATAGGGGTCAAATTTTATACCAAAGTTGATCGAAAAGCGCATGAAACAAGATAGAGTCTTGATTGCGAGCTGTTGAAGACGAGCGCTGGACGTCGACACGTCTTAGCGGAGGCAGGAAGCGCGGTACCTGCCTCGCACTCGGAGACGCGGCACCCGGAACCTACGTCAAGTGAACGCGTTGCGAACCCCGCGGGCGATACGATATCTCGGTTGCTTCGGAAGCAACACCTGGTGGACACGGCAACAACGGCTGGATCATGATGTCGACGGTAAATATTCGTTATGTCAAACGCGGACTTTTCCAAGGCTGAGCGTATCGAGGTCGCCCGCTGGCGTCGTCGTTGTCGTTGTCGTAGACGCCAGGATCCCCAGAGCCTGCACAACTGCACATCGCTCTTTACGAGGCGCTTGTCGGGACGGTTTGTGCTGAGCGTCCTTGTTGCTCGGGGGTTCGTTACGGCATGCCGGAGAATGGCGTGCCAGTGTGACGCAAAGTATACTGGGCCGCTCGCTGGGTCGGTGAAAGCTTTTTACAACGGCCACGATCTATACACTCAACAATGGTGCAGCGCCGGAGCATTCGAGCACGCTTGTGAGGGCGCATGGAGCTTCACAAACGTTTGGCAAGGCGGTTCACGACAGCCAAGCGGTTCGTATAGGTAGCTTATTAGGGACCCGCGTCACTTGGACAAAAAAGAACGAAGAGAAAGTTTCGGAGTTCCACGTCAGGTGCACATCCACATGCGGCTTTGTGTTGCGGGCGCAGCGCTGAAGGTTCAGGCGCAGGTAGCGGCGCCTGGACGACCGCCACAACTCGCGGATCCGTGTTTTGGCCCAGAGGACACCGCTCTGAAGCGCTCACGTCTTGAGTGTTAGCGTGGGGTTTCAAACATGCGCCGAATCAAGGTGTTGGCCCGTGTCATCGACCAGGTTGGCTATTCACACATGACGATGGTGCAGTTGCTTGAAATTAGCGCTTAGACACAGTTTGCATAGCTTTCGAATCGCTGTCGAATCGTGTAGTTAACGACAGCCGTGCCAAATTCCGTCATCCGTCGAATAAATGCGGGAAAAGAAAACTTCCCAGCAGTTTCGCAATAGAAGCGTCGGCGCACGCTCCCCGGTACGACCAAGGCAAGGAAATACAGCAACCACTTGAGCACATTCCAGACGCTGAAGCATTGCTATGTGCTGTGTACAGCCAGGCACGCAAGGCTCGAACGTTTCCCGAAAAACCCTGTACCGCGGCATGTAGGCTGAGGACCTGGTTCGAGGCGGTGCCTCCAGATTCGTAGACACTGTGTCCAGAATCATCGGTTATTGCCATGGAAGCAGTACCTGCCGCAGACTGTAGCCTTCGTGCATGTCGCCGACCAAGGACCTGATCTCCACTGTGGAATTTTTTGTTCAAGATCGATTCTTGGAACGGGAGTCCTCTGGATGCAGAAACGCGCTCGCGAAACAGCGAACAGGCCGCCGTTCCTTCCCGATAATGACTGCGGTCTATGGATCATAGACCAGTATTCCCGGGAGAGATAGACAGAGTCCCGGATGGGTCCAGCGGCTCTCCGAGTTCTGGAACCTGCCGTGGACGCGTGCCGCAACACCGAATGCGCGGTTACCGCGGCCGTCGTACGAAGGGAGAGCAGCTTTGTAGTTGCGTTTTATGCTTTGGAATCGATACAACTAAGCCAGAATCTCCGAGAGTACGTGCAGGTTATCGGCATCCAGAGAAGCTGCCATCATCCCGCTCGGAACCCGGCGTGGACCACGAATCACGAGCCAGACGTCCCTGCGGAAATGGCGGACAGCTTCGGGATGCCTTGAAGAACGCTCGCCTGCTCAAGGCATCGCATCATGGAGCGCATACCTCGAGCCAACGCTCCCAGTGACTTCAAAAAGCGGATCGTTTTCCGTGTTGCGTTCTCTCCGGCACTGGAGGCACCAAGGTGAACGCTCACAGCAGGCTCGGCGTTCGATACTATCTACGAAACGACCACGATCTCCGACGGGAACTCGACATATGGGAAGTGGGATATCTATGGAACGAAGGACGCTTCCCGATCGCTGATAACAACGCGCGCAATGCCAGACCTCTGGTCCATGGAAACGTTCTGTCGATCGAAAGAGATCGGAAGGATGCCACCTGCCTATCGCACCGCTGCGCAGCGAAGCGACGTCCACACACCTCTGGTCCATGGACACGTTCTGTCGATCGAACGAGATCGGAAGGATGCCACCTGCCTATCGCACCGCTGCGCAGCGAAGCGACGTCCACACACCTCTGGTCCATGGAAACGTTCTGTCGATCGAAAGAGATCGGAAGGATGCCACCTGCCTATCGCACCGCTGCGCAGGGCACAATCGCGCTAGCGTGCACGCGCAGACACGCAGCATCCCCGGATGCAGATCGATTGCCACGTCGGCTGCTACGCTCTCGAGCGGCGATCGCGGCAAGAAGGCCGGCCGTAGCGGCGCGCTGATTTGTTGCATGCACGCAGCGAACGATAATGCGTGCTGGTCGACAGCAGCGCATACCAGCAACAGCTACAGGTTTCCACGGAAGCTGAACACCTACTCCACTAGCGTAGAGCATTTTGGTGTCCAAATCAGCGCTGATTGCTTACAGCGGCTGATCAGTTTCTCTTCCAGGGGCTTAATTGCCATTCATGGAAACGGAGTCGCGGGGTCCGCGTCACGACAGCGGTGGAAGCGGCGCGTTTCCGAACGGCAACGCCAGGCACGGCGATGAGCGTGCCAACAGGAGCCAAGCGGACGTACATGCTCCCAAACTATCCGGTTTGAGATCTGACGGGGCCTCTAATACCTCAGAACCCTATGATACGGAGCAGGTGAGCGCTGTGACGGAGCAGTTGGCGCGGGTGCAGGTGCGCGAGAGCTCTTCGCGACGCTACTACGAACGAAAAGAGCGCGGAATGCTGCTGCAGGGAAAGAGTTCCAGGAAGACAGGAGCTCTGCAGCGACCCACCCCAGAGAGAGCGACGCTGGAAAGGTTGCGAAGAAAACGTGTCGAAGTGCTGGCTCGGGGGGCGGCACTTCGCTCCGCGCTGACGTTCACGGACTCGTGGAACGTTTCGGCGGAACACTTAAAAAGACAAGTGCGACGCTTCCACGAGCTCGTCGCAGAGTCGTCTTATCCCGACTGGGTAGCCGAATACGAACGAAGATCGCGGTTGGCTCGGCATTTGCGGAATGTGGCTTCCTCTCGGTTTCGCGGATGCCGGGTTGACGTGTACGGCAGCACCGCGACGGGCGTGCTGCTCAAAGGCGGAGATCTCGACGTCAACTTTGTGGCGCCGATGGCTCCTCTGGAAGTATTGCGCGCCCAATACCAAGACGAGGAATACTCTATCGATGACTTTCGTCGGGACGTCGTAGGTGACCTGGGACGCCTCCTTCGGCGTCGACGTCACGAGTTTGTCAATGTCCAGATCATCACGCAAACTAGGGTGCCCCTTGTTAAGTTTCATGATTTACGCAGCGACATTGAAGTCGATGTGCAAGTGAACAATGACTTTGTGGTCCGAAACACGGCCTTGCTGCGCGCATACGTGCGTCTGGATCCGCGCGTTCGACCACTCGCGATCTTCATCAAACGCTGGGCAGTGGCGCGGGATCTGAATGAGCCTTTCGCAGGGACCCTAAGCAGCTACGCGTACCTCATGCTTCTTATTCAGTATTTGCAGATTGTGAACCCGCCTGTGTTACCGTGTCTGCAGGCGTTGCGTCTTGAACGAATACCAGTTTCGAATGGCGGCAGTGTCCAGCACATAGAAAAACTAGTGGAACACCCTCAGGAGCCCGAGGTTCCCGACGAAACCCTCGTAGATGACTATTTTTTGGATCGTACGGATATTCAGATGCCAGTTTGCAACGAAATGTCTGTCACGCTTCTCCTTGCTGGATTCTTTTACTTCTACGGATACCAGTTCAATTACGATGAGATGGTGGTGAGTGTTCGCTGCGGGCGCCTCATTAGCAAGAAGAGAAGAGGATGGGATCAATCCGATCGCGTCCAAACCGATCAGAACAAAGCAGATGATGTTGTCGACGGCATCGGTGATCCGTACACACACGCTAGCGACGACGAAACGGACCATGAGGACGTGGCCGAAGAGCTTACCGTCGATGACGCTGAGGTCGGCACCTGCAATGGCAGCGAGAGGCGCCAACGACGGGTCGCTAGCATGTCCGCTACAGAGAGTGGCACTGACTCAAGCCATTCGGGCGCTGATGAGGAACGTACCTCACCCGAGCAACCGCTCAATCATCAGACGGTTGAACGTGCTGTAGATCTGCAGTCTGCCTCAGTGGACCCATCCGGTGATCATGCGAACGCACCTCTGCAGGAGCTGACAGCGCCACGACCGCGAGCGGCAGTCACGTCGCAAGCCCAGCGAGAGCGATTGCGGCTGCAGCGCCAGCGACGACAACGCGAACGCGCAACGCACGCAACGCAACGCCACTTTTTTTGTATCGAGGATCCTTTTGACATGACCCATGACCTGGGGCGGGTCTGCAGCGAGGATTCGGTGCGGCTGCTTCGGCACGAGTTTCGGCGCGCATTCGCGATCATCGCGCAGCAGCTGCCACTCGATTCGCTGCTGCAGTCCTATGTTCCAAGCGAGACGCCCGCTGAAGAGCCATAGTCAGGGCAGGGACGTTTCTGGCGCTACTGGAGTATCGGTGGAATCGCAGTTCCAACTTGCAACACGGAATCCGCGCTTGAGCCGCCCACGAGCCGTCTCCCGCCGCATGGCCACGAAAAAGCCGTTCTGGCTGGGTGCGACGCCCGCTGCGGTGCTACAGGCCCCGAGACAGGGGTGCATGCTGTGCGCGACACCCGGAGGATCGCACGGACTTGTCATGATACGTCCGGAAACAAGTCTGGGAGTTAAAAGTGGAACTGGCAGGATCCGGAATTGAGTCGTGGCCGCTTCCCTGGGTACCGATACCAATTGTGCATCGAAGGGGATCCCTGCTTAGACCCATCGATCATAGATTTTACGAAAATGCCCGAGCTGCACCAACACCCATGATGAAGCGCGCTGGTCGCCCCGTCCTACGTGTTAGCGGTCACTGGGCACGTTCTACAGAGCCTCTGTGTGCAGAAATGATAATCAAGCAATGAAACTATGCATCATCACATGCGGCCGCTTCAAGCATACAAACCCTCCGCTAACGTAACGAAATTGCATAGAACGTTAGAATCGTTCTAAAATTTCTGTTGAAACCTGGTGCTGTGAGAGTCTCTGCGGCGAGGATGCAGTTGGCCGGTATGCGAGCCACACGGATGCGCTGTGTGAGCACTGCTGGATGGCACCGGGATACTCACCGCCGCTCTCGCTCAACGCTTTGTCCCGAATATCGAACGCTGCGCGAAGATACCGGACACAGTACCTGTATATCAACCGTTTGTTACGTGTCCTCATTATAGAGGCATGCGCTGGGCGCCCTGCACGCCCAACAACCTCTCAGACGGTGCAGCGTCAAGGGGTCTATCGACTCGTCCGGGCACCCGACAACATATCAAGGAGAAGCGTACGGGAAAGCAGTACTTCCGAGCGAATGAGCATAAAGCGCCCGAGCGACGAGCGATACTCTGAACGGCTTTCCGCCAGACCCCCGCTGAAGCGTAGACGCCCTCAGAAATGTTCGAGCATGCGCCTCCCCGCAATCTACGAGCAGGCTGTGCAATGCCACCGCCCGATGGTGCAATGTGCGTGCCCCGGCGGCACTGCCGTGCATCATCGCATCCTGCGTGTTGCTCTGCTGCCGATGAAAGGACTATATGGTACATTCGTACCAACTAACTTATCTACCTATCGGCCTGCATACGTGTCCAGCGCTGATCGCAGCGTCGCACCGCTGCCTGCAATCGCTGGAACGCATGGCACGCGTAGGCCAAAGCGATGCGTGCCGCCAATCTGCATGCCAAATTTGGTGTGTATGCGTGTGTGCGCGCGCGCTCCACGCCTGCAGTGCCCAGACGATGCGCCTGCCGTGCATCCGAAATCGCCTGCTGCTGAAGGCGCATGGCGCATCATCGCTGCGATGCCGCTGCGTGTGTGTTCAATCAACATGCGCAAGAGGCGCGCACGCACGCACGCACGCACGCACGCACGCTCGCACGCATGCACCATCGCCGCTTGAGGAAGCAATCCGAATCGGCATCGCTGCAGCCGCTGGACAGCATCGCTCGAAACGGCGGTGCTGCTAACACAACTACTGCGTTTGGGGTTGTTGTCGTCGTGTGCGACGTCGTCCCTCGACGGGTAAAGGAACTAGGCCAGGTGGACATGGCAACACGCAGGTTCAGTTACAGGCGCGTAAGTATATGGAACTGGGCACTCGTTGCGGTTTTGGTGCACGTGTGCTGCTGTCTGTTCGGTCGAGCAGTGTTGGTCGGTGCGAAAGACGCCAGCAGCGGTGGCGGTAAAATCGAGGGTCCTGTAATCGGCATAGACTTGGGCACAACCTACAGCTGTGTCGGTGTTTTTAAAAACGGCAAAGTCGAAATAATAGCAAACGAGCAAGGGAACAGGATTACGCCGTCGTATGTCGCCTTTACGGACAAGGAGCGACTCATTGGCGACGCTGCAAAGAACCAGCTGGCACTGAACCCGGAGCGGACGATTTTCGACGTGAAACGACTCATCGGAAGGCGTTTCGATGAAGAGACTGTCCAGAAAGATATAAAGTTATTGCCGTACAAAGTCGTGAACAAGGACGGCAAACCTTACATTCGGGTAGAAGTGCGCGATGGGGAAGTGAAGACGTTCTCGCCCGAAGAGATAAGTGCAATGATCCTAGGCAAAATGAAGAAAATTGCTGAAGACTATTTAGGTAAGCCTGTGAAGAACGCGGTCGTCACCGTGCCGGCATATTTCAATGACGCACAGCGGCAGGCTACGAAGGATGCAGGCACCATCGCCGGCCTGACGGTTCAGCGCATCATCAATGAGCCGACCGCTGCCGCCATTGCATACGGGCTCGACAAGGGCGGCTCTGAGAAGAACATTCTTGTTTTCGACCTAGGTGGTGGTACCTTTGACGTGACGCTACTTACCCTCGATGACGGTGTCTTTGAAGTGCTCGCGACGAACGGCGATACCCACTTAGGAGGCGAAGATTTTGACCAGCGGGTGATGGATTATTTGGTGAAACAATTCAAGAAGAAGAACGATGGCTTGGACTTGCGGACCGATAAACGTGCGATGGCTAAGCTTCGGCGCGAAGTGGAAAAGGCGAAGCGAGCGCTCAGTTACCAGACGCAGGTGCGGATCGAGATTGAATCCATCATGGATGGGAAGGATCTCATCGAGGAGCTGACACGAGCTCGCTTCGAAAACCTGAACATGGATCTGTTTCGCAAGACGCTCAAGCCAGTGGAGATCGTCCTCAAAGATGCCAAGAAGGAGAAGAAGGATATCGACGAGATCGTTTTGGTTGGTGGCTCCACGCGCATTCCCAAGATACAGGAACTCATTACGGAGTTCTTCGACGGGAAGCAGCCCTCGAAAGGCATCAATCCTGACGAGGCTGTCGCGTACGGCGCGGCGGTGCAAGGCGCGATCTTATCTGGCGAGGGTGGGGAAACCACCAAAGACATCCTGCTTCTAGACGTGACGCCCTTGTCGCTTGGCATTGAGACCGTTGGTGGTGTCATGACCAAAATCATTAACCGCGGAACCACCATCCCAACGAAGAAGAGTCAGATATTTACGACCCATGTGGACCGGCAGAGTTCCGTGCTCATTCAAGTGTACGAGGGCGAGCGCGTTGCAACCAAGGACAACCATCTGCTGGGTAAGTTTGAACTGACGGGCATTCCGCCTGCTCCGCGCGGTGTTCCACAAATAGAAGTCACGTTTGAGATCGACGCAAACGGCATTCTCCAGGTCAGTGCAGAGGAGAAGACGGCAGGCAAACGCGAGAAGATCACCATTCGAAACGACAAAGGACGCCTCAAGGACGAAGAAATCCAGCGAATGGTTCGTGAGGCAGAGGAGTACGCCGAGGTCGATGCCAAGCTCAAACGCAAGGTGGACGCCAAAAATAACTTTGAAAACTACATCTACCAGGTGCGTCAGATGTACGAGGACAAGGACAAAAAGACCAAACTCAGCACAGACGATATAGACAAGCTCAAAGACAGTGTTGAGAGCGCTCAGGACTGGCTGGACGAGCACGGTGAAGCCTCGGATGCGGCCGCCATCGAGGAACGGATGAAGGCCTTCCAAGACGTTGTTCAGCCGATTATTCTGAAGACCTACGAGTCCGCAAAGGGAACCGGCAAGGACTCGTCAGCAGACTCGTCGGCAGATGATGATCGGGATAGCGAGGAACACGACGAACTGTAAAGACGAAGCGTCTTGATTCGACCTGCTCCATGGTTATTGCACCGCGTGCACGCAGCGAGCACAAGCCAGAGTCACTCGACCCGAGTATATGCAGAGGCTTGGGTGTCCATGCGCTCGTGAGGCCCGGTGCCTCTCAGACATACGAGTGTGTCCCTGGTGCGACTCGAGGGCGGCACCAGCAGCACCAGCAGTATGAAGTAGCGGCTGCGGATACTTGTGGCCTCGAGGCGCTCACCATCGGGTTCGTGTCGTCACCGCCACCAGTATACTTCGTGAAGCCCCCAAACAGAGATTCGTCAAGTGAGCGATATCATCATCTGGTTCGTGCGTAGAAGCCTCCGACCGTGTCCTTTCCTCATGAATAGCATGTTCAACTCATGCATTCTTCGAGATTTTGAATGTTTCTGTTTCAACGCAACTCGTGCGTGCAGCGTTCTCCGCCGCTGCACTAACGACCAGAGCATCTCGACGTCGGGCCTTGTCGACTTGTTCTCAAGCACCTGCCCAAAAACTGGTGAACTTGTCACCTTAGATCATGGATTTCGTTCAACAGACGAATCCTCCTCTCCTTCTGTTCATCGACGAAAAAAGGAATTCCACGCCAGCATGACACCTGTTACGTGATACTCTCTCAGAGGCTAACGTGTCTTCCGTTTGCGCACAAGAGTTTCTGGGACTCGACCGACGATCCCCGCAACAACTGATCCCAATGGACCGTATCAGTGCTTTGCGGGAAGCGCGCTTCGACAAATCGAAATTCCTCGATTTCTGCCTGGGCCTGCATTTGTCCCTCAGAAACTTGGGTTCATTATGGACAGTATCGCGCACCACGAATCCTCTCCTGAGCGGGGCAGCGTGCACTTGCGTGTGCGGCAGATGGAGTTCTCGCTGCGGGGATCGCCCAGACCAAGCTCGCGAGCGTCGGATACGGCACCGGGCGCGGAAACAGAAGAGGATATCGAAGTGAGCCTTCTGAACCCGTCATGGGCGTGTGCTGACCGCTGAAGCAGTCCTTTACGTGCCACAGGGCGGCGACCGAACGCCAAGATATGGTATACACATGGGAACGCTTGCACTCGGCCCGATGGTACCGCTGCAACAGGTGCACCGCGGCTGCATACGAAGAGCATAGAAATGACATGCGAAACGTAGATCGCAACTTCTCGCTGAGTGTACCTCAGGAGAATAACGGGAGGAAGCTGCGACATTGGGGCTTTAACGCTGCCGTCAATATCTTTCGATTGCTGATAACAAATCTATAGGGAAAGGAGAACTCGACGTACTGGAAGCCGAAGATGTGAGAGAGGAAACCGAGGCAGTCGCAGGAAGCGCCTGCCATAACTGGTACTGACAATCAGAGCATGAGAACCAAACCTGAGCGCGTACACCCGGTCCAGCCAAGTGGGCCTATGCCATTCTTCACTGAAATAAGTTCAGAGATGCACAGTTTGTAATGGCAAACGTTCGATGATTCGAACGAGCAGCTCCACCCACGAGTGCTTGATGAGCGCAAGGTGCGAAGCGCTCGCCACGCCGCTCCTGTCACCGCTCCGTTTCACTGACCCCAGACCAGACTTCCGTTCGGGTTACCGGCTTGATGCATCCAGTGAGCTTTCGTGTGGTCAGCGTGCCGTGAACGCTCGACACGATGCTGAATGCGTCGTTGGACGGACTCAGAACCGGTTTGCGGCGTCTCAGCAGGCACGTCTGCTCGTGGGGCGCGTCGCAATGCGGTGCGGCCCCAGCATTGACCGCCTCTCGTAGAGACGCATGCTCCGGTGGCATGGTTGCTGCATCGACGCATCACTCGAAGCGCAGGATGCACCATTACAGCTCAATGCTCCCTGACAGCAACAAGTGCGAATTCCCCTGGAATACGATGCCCAAGCAATACTATATGTTATAGTTCGTAAAACGAAAAACGTTTCCAGCCCATGACGGGTATATATGCATCGATGCGCAGACGCCTCTCGCTTTTTTGATCGGCCGGCTGGTGTCGGTTCCAGTTTATCCAGGCACGATACGAGTTTGAGAGCATGCCCCAGAAACATAAACGGCGCCAGCTTCGCGGGTCTCGTCTTTAGTACCACACATCGTCTGATATTGATGGTGGCATTGAAGACTCGGTTCACGAACTCCTCGCGTGCATTGACGCTGGTTGAACGCACCAGTGCAAGGGTTCATCGAACGCGCGGCCCCTGTGCCACTACAGTCTCGTTATCGAGACGTGCAGCAAACACCATTTCTCGCCTGTCTCCCCTCTTCTTCATCTTTTTCGGAATATGTTCCTCTTCGATCGAGGGTCGGTGCGATGAGCATTTTTTCATGTCTTCGTAGAATCTGGTTAGGACGGCCCGCTAGGATCCCCGACTTGTACGCTCATACATCTCCCTTGGATTTTTATTTCTTCAAAGGAACGCACTTCGAACGCATCTAATGTAAACCGCGAAAACGCTTTTGATGACACTCATCTGGGGGTCGAACACCCTTCAGGTGAAAGACTAGAAGCGCTGGCGAAGGTAGCAGCTATTGCGCGCAGCTCTGCGGGGCTCAGAAGCGGCTGCCCAGCGCTCGTGCCGCCGCCTCCAGCGACGTTTTCCACAACGACCCATTGACCACGCTTGTTTCGCGTCAGCGGCACGCCCTCTTCAAGCATGATGCAGCGTTTCCGCTCCAGCTGCGTGCTTTTGGGGTCTTTAACGCCCATGTAACCACCGAGCGTCCGATCTGCCGCTACGACACGGTGGCAAGGAACTTTAGGAACGCAGCCCTCTTTCCAGTAAGGATTCTTCCGCAACGCAGTGCCAACGGCTCGAGCAGCTCGCGCGCCTTCCGTTGGCTTAATCACCTGCGCTATGGTGCCGTATGTCGCGACACGTCCCGGCTCGATACTCGCGGCCACGTGATAAACCGCTTTCTCAAAGTCAGACAGCGTCGCGTCCAGGCAAACGCAACATGACTTGCGTAAGCACTTGGAAAACAGAACGCTTCCCGAGGCCAAACGCCTACGTTTCTCCTTAAAAGAGGTCCCAGTAGACCTCGCCATGCGTTGGCACTGAGGAACAAGACGCTCGCCCCGATATCTCGAGCCGCCAACGGTGTTCATCTGGGCAAAGGCGGCATGCGGGTGCTGGCGCCTGCCCTTATTTTGCAGGACGACGCGCCGAGTGAGCACACAGCTCTCCGGAGCCAACGTCCTCGAGTCAGCGTTCACACACATACACACACAGAGAGAGACAGAGACAGAAACAGAGACACAGTGTTGCTCTCTTGTCTGCGTACGGGAAAGGTGGCGGGAACGCATCCAGCACCGAAGATGCTCCCAGATCGATCACGCTTTTCTTACACGGGCGACTACGGAGCCGAGCAGCGATGACAAGCTTCAAGCACCGATAAATGAGCTGGAGTCTCTTCCCACGCTCTATCCATGCACATATTATCGAGGAATCTGCGTCCATTCATTGTTCATGCACCTGGAGAGAAATCATTGCCGCTGGTGAGCACACACGCGTTCATGATCGAGGAATCTGCGTCCATTCATCGATCGTGCACCTGGAGAGAAAGCATTGCCGCTGGTGAGCACACACGCGTTCATGATCGAGGAATCTGCGTCCATTCATCGATCGTGCACCTGGAGAGAAAGCATTGCCGCTGGTGAGCACACACGCGTTCATGATCGAGGAATCTGCGTCCATTCATTGTTCATGCACCTGGAGAGAAAGCATTGCCGCTGGTGAGCACACACGCGTTCATGATCGAGGAATCTGCGTCCATTCATTGTTCATGCACCTGGAGAGAAAGCATTGCCGCTGGTGAGCATACACGCGTTCATGATCGAGGAATCTGCGTCCATTCATCGATCGTGCACCTGGAGAGAAAGCATTGCCGCTGGTGAGCACACACGCGTTCATGATCGAGGAATCTGCGTCCATTCATCGATCGTGCACCTGGAGAGAAAGCATTGCCGCTGGTGAGCACACACGCGTTCATGTTCAGGCGACTAGCAGCGGCGCGGGGCCAGCGCGCACTTGCGCTCTGCCGGACGCCGGTGCACGGTGCCATCGATGCCGCCTGCGTACCCGGTCGCTTGCTAACGAGGGCGCACTTGCCGTGCTGCTGCTGCTGCTGTTGCTGCTCTTGTTTGCTTATAGGGATGACGCACTGAGCGAGTGAGTTGATGCTGTCGATGACGATATGCAAGGGGAAAATGTTGACCATGCGCAGCCAATCTCCACGTGGAGTGCGGAACAAGAGCTGCACCTGGTCGTTTTCACCAAGCCTCCGATAGCGGGCCTGACGAAACAGCGTTTGAGTCGGGAGATAGGTTCGACACTTGCGACGCGCATCAGTGCCGCTCTGGTAGAAAACACCCTTGCGACGGCGTATGACTGGTTGCAGGGCCTTGATCTGCAAGCTGGAGGAACAGGCGCCGTCCACCTATACTATACCCCAGTGGAGAGCGAGCAGGCGAAGGCGGAGTGCGTAGAACGCTGGCTCGACGACTCGGTTCGTCATCGTTACCCGGCGTTTCGGATCGCACCACAGAAAGCCTCTAAAGTGCAGAGCACTGGTGATCAAAAGCAGGATCCGCTAGGCTCTCGACTCATCCAAGCGTTTACGGAGGTGACAAGCCTGGTAGACGAATCGAGGGATGCGCACGTTGTGGTCATCGGAAGCGACTGCCCGGCGCTTGATACCGCGGTGCTACAGCAGGCATTCGCTGCGCTCCATGCCGGTCATGGAGCGGTGATTGGACCAGCGCAGGACGGCGGTTATTATTTGCTCGGTTTAGCATTTGCGGCAGCAGAACGAACCCGTTGGGCGAGAGTCATCTACGCTGCGTTCGGCCCACACCTCGTATTCAGTCAGAATGATGTATGCGCGCGCACCGTCGAAGCTCTGCGCAATGATGGCGTCAGGACGATATGTTTACCGGTAACGCTCAACGACGTGGACACAGCGCAGGATCTGGTGCACTTGCCGGCATCAATGCGACCGCGAGAATGGTTTTCGAGCGCAAACGCGAGGCTGCACAAGACAAGTGATTTGGTGGAGACAGCACCGGCGCCCGGCTCGACAACATGCGATGAGGAAGTGGATGCGGACAAGTTGGACCCGTCGGTACAGAACGTTTGCAGTAGACAAGTGTAGAGTGAAGAGTGTTTTTCAAGTGTCACTGGCGCTAGGGCTGGTGATGGCGAGCCCTGCTGCCGCAACGCATGCATCTATCGAGGCTTCCCGACGTCGCACCGCAAGCACGAAAAAAGCGTCTCATGATATGCGTCTCAACGCAGATCATCAAGACTCGCGGGTGGATGACTGGTGCCTCACGTCCACGTACGTACATGTGGCGAATCAGAAGTTTCTGCGGGCAGTCACGATCGATAATCTAGTAGCTTGCTCGACAAACCCTCGCCAGATTCTCTGCTATTCGGCGGAAGCTTCGCTTACACGAACGAGTTGTGAATACGCACACCGGCACCCGTCGCCAGTAGTGTATCGCATGCGACCAGCGCTTGCGGCGATACTAGGCGCGGTGCCACTTCATCGGTGGCGCCTGGCTGGTTTCCACCAGACTCGGTCTCGTCGGCGCTCGTGGTTTGAATATGTGCACGATGCGCTGTGTCGCTGGCTGCGGACCCAGGCATGCACCGGCTCGAGCGTAGACGAACATCACGGATGCCGCTCTCGGGCGGAAACAGAAACTGGCCATTTTCGCCACACTCGTTGTCCGCTGCGCACCACAACGGTAATAATCGGTGCCCGTGCATATACTGCGTCAAAGGAGCATTCGTCTAGGCAGCGCGCGCTCGCGTCGAAGCGCTCGCAGACATCCTTCCTCGAGAGGCCGCTTGCTCCGCACCGACTACTCCGAATCGCGAGCCGATGTCCCTAAACGAGCCGCGGGGCCGTCCTGTATCCCTCAGGCGACAGCAGCAGCGGCGCATCGGGCGTCCAAGCAAGCGTTTGGGATAGACGCGCCACGCTCAAAGTCGCTGGAGGCATGTAGTTGCCATCTCGACCGAGGGAATAGTCGAAGATCCATCGTACACGGAGACGTCTACGGGGATGCGATGGTCCTTGTCCTGTTTACCAGCAGCGTTTCCATACCCCTGGATTCTCGTTTTACGCATCGATCGTACACCAGAAATAGACGGATCCTGCAACGTGGACACATCCCAGCGGTGCTGTCAGTGCCTCGACGTGACACGGCATGACACAGCGACGAATCAATGAGCGATAGCGCTGGCACCTGATCCGTGCGCGTGCACATTCACCATGTTCAAATTTGTTCTGTTTCTAAAATGCGTGCACTTTCAGCCGGGCAACGACGCACGCATGGCACAGCACGCAGCAGCACGCGCGCTTTCCGTTTTCATCGAGCACAGACGCCCCTGCCCCTGCCCCTGCCCCTGCCCCGGGAGATACGCATCCAATCCTGTGGCGTCGCGGGTACGGGGCTCTGCTCTGTTCGTGCGTGTGCCGGTGTGGTATTAGAGACATTTGTGGATAAATCTGGTATCGAGGCTGGTGCATGCAGAAGGTCGCTCGCGTGCCCTCAGCGGTACGATGCGTTCAGGGATTCGAGCCAGAAAGGGCTGAACCATGTAACATCATGTTCACGTGTCGCAACAGATGCACTTGTGTCGGTTGGCTGCTGCGTTGCCTCGCTGGTGCTGCCGGTGACGCATGCGCTCGATAGCGACCGGTTTCGCGAACGCACTCGACAGAGAGCGGCGCGGGCCTGCATCTCGGCTGGGGCGTTGCTTGCTCCAGCTTTCGCGCCATAAAGCGCGTCGGCCTGTAGCGAACGCGTCATCCAGTCGGGAAGCAGCGATCTAGCGTGGCCAGGGAACCATGCAGTCTGCGGAGTTTCTCGACCAGGTGTCGATTCCGTGCAGTTCGTGGACTGTCGTCGCCACACAGCTTCCGTTGCATGGCGCACGGCAGACTGGTGTTCTAGCGCCCGATCCAGGCGCTCGAGGACTGAAATCAGATCCTGTATCTTGGCTTGCTCAATTGCCAGGGAATGTTCCATATCACGAAACAAGTGGCTGAGCGCCTGCGCCGGCAACGGGCAGTCCACGGGCGAAGTCGTCCTTGTGGTGCTGCGATCGTCGAGCGCTTCACCAAGCGTGACCACGCGGCGTTCGAGAAGGGCCCGGCTCCAAACTGCAGTGCGACACGAGGCGGGCGCTCGGTCCAACGCTTGGCGCCAGAGTGCCCGATCCTCACCACAAATCCGATCCAGGAGGCGCTCCAGAAGAGGACTCGCCTCCAGGGCCATTTCTGCGGCATGCTCGAAAGCAACATCCAAGGCGTCCTCACGATAACCCGCGTCGGACCCGACCTGTTTGTCCAGCATCAAGAGCAACTCAATGTGCACGTGCCACAGACCGTATCGGTTGACCAGCCACAACAGAAAACCTGAGAACGAGCGATCTTCATGCACCGCAGGGGCATGCTTCTGAATAAGGGCGAACAGATCTGCCTCGTTGCCTTGCTCAGCGAGCAGCACTGCTGCCCACTGCAGCAACTTGATCGCCTCATGTTCGTTATTTGAAAATGATCCATGCTTTCGTTCCGCAATCGGGGGCAAGACCAGAGCGCGCTGCAAGATCTGCTCTCGTAACTGAACTTGCGCTGTGGAGCCCGGTTTCATCAGCCGATAGAGGCGCCCGTACATAGCATCCGTCGCTGACTGGTCTCGTAATACACAGGGTTGCGATAAAAACGTTTCCGCATCAGCACCGCTGCGATAGTCTTGGAGCGCCTTTTGTAACGATTCGAGGGCGCCTGTACTGAGCGTGTCCTCTTCTACAAGAACACGTTGCTCGACGTAGGCGAGTACCATCTCGGCATCGACAGCGCAATGTTCAATCATTCGTTTCAGTGCATCCTGGACTTGTAAAGAGCGGCAGCGAGCGAGGTAGAAAGCAATTTGCTGCTTGCGGATTCGTTGTGCTTGTAGATCCGCCTCCGTGGCTGCCTCGTGGATTCCACCCAGTTCACTGAAAAGTTTCTCTGCGTACTGAAGAAACACTACATCTTTTTGTTCGGTCGTTTTGCAGTTTGCTAGCGCTTCCGCAAGGCGGTATCGTTCGACGAACGCTTCTTGGACCGCCTTCAGTACGTCGCCCGAGACACGACAACAGTACGTTGCGCGACTCGTCACGAGCAGTCCACCAGGTAGAAGCGCTAGCGGTCGTCCGTGCTCTTTTCGCACGGCCATGCGAGCGCGCAAACGGCCATCTACCAGGGAGTACAGAGCAATGAATCCAAGCACCGGGTCGACATCCGTTGATGCTGCCTCGCTGCGAGCGTCCAGCGACACCTGCTCTGTCCTCGTCCCCGTTGAGGGCAAGGCGTGCTCGAACGCTGCGCAGGATACCGATGAATCAGCTGACACGGCCTCTGGGAGCTGTGGATCCGCAGCGGGTGTTTGCGTGAATGCGAAGGTCTCTGATTCAAATGCGGCGTTGCTATCGCGAACCGAAGGCAAGACTGAAGAACGCTCAACATGAGTGATGTTCATGCAGTCACCGGGACTGATCTCTGCCGTCTCTGCGCTTAAAGAGCGATCAAGTTGGTCCACCGATGAAGTCACACTTTCTAAAGCCAAAGCGCTATATGCTCGTGTGTTTGGGTGCAGCTCATCTGAGGTACACGCCTCTGATGCAGAATCTCTTCCACGTGTGTGACCACGCTCCGAGCTGGGAAGCACCCGTACTCCTGAATCACGCTCCTCTACGAAACACTCTTCTGGTGCAGCGTTTCGACTTGGTGTCGGAGCGTGCTCAGTGATCGAACATTCCTGCAGACTGGTCACTAGCGACGGTTCATTGTCGTCGCTGACTACGGCTCGCTCGCCTTGCGCTGGAAATACTGCACCATCGGCGGCAGAAGCACTTTGGATTCCAAGAAGAACGCAACCAGGCTCTATGTCGACTGCCCCAAAGACCGCATATGGTTCCTTCGATGCAGAGAAAATCCCAGACAAGTCGATCCAGGATTTTTCCCAGACCACTGGCAACTGCCCAGCCGCTAGCGCCGAGCGATTCACTTGAAAGTGCAAGATACCGGTGCGACTTAACCAGTTCCAGTCCCCAAAGAGGGATCCGATCTTATTCTGCGGGATGCTTTCCACCATGCCTGCTGCGGTCATCGTTGCGTCTGCGGATGCACACGGCGCCGTCTCCATGAAGCGATCCAAGTTGAGCCGCTCGCGAGCGCTCTCCGATACCGAGAAGGGATCCATGACGTAATACAACCTCGTTGGTGTGCTGAGGATCAGAAGCTCGTGGCCCGGAGAACCCGTACGAGCAGCATGCAGATAGCGCAACCCGCAGATCGGCTCTGCCCCGGAACAAGCCGTTGTTGTACTCCAGATGGCAGTCATCTTAAACTGCGGCACCAAACAGCTATACAGCGTTCCCTGCGCCGTACCAAGCAAAAGGTGCAACGAAGACGTAGAGGCCTGGGGCGTTCGCTCAAACCTGGTAGGCGACGTGCGACTCTCCGGCTCATCCGCCAGTGAACGGAGACTCCCTGAGACCACTGTGACAGCGGTTATGCGTTCGTTCCATGTTGGGAGTTTCACGCTGCGCCAGTGACCAGCCACGAACAAGAACTTGCAGTCTGCCGTCTGAGCAAGCAGACCGTGTTTGCCCAGGTGTACTAGAAAGGCGACTCTGCCAGGAGCGCGGAACTCAGCCACGATCCGCCAAACGCTTCGGTCTTTGTTCTGCACGCCAACAGGGCTTTCTGAACCCGTTGATGAACGATCTAGACCCTCAGCCGACTCCCGGTACCATTGCTGCACGGTCTCTCGATTAGTGCTCACCCAACAGTGGCAAGGGCCCGCCGGTGCAACCAACGCTACCTCTACGCTCTCGCAAGGCAGGTGCACCCCCAAGCACTCCAGAGAAAGCGTCATGGAACGCGCGACGTTCAATTTTTAGACTTTCCACATCACACTGTCAAGTTAATTCATTGATTCATCGTGCTGTCTTTGCCTTTAGCACTGACATTTCGAACGGGAACACGGCTTTCGTCTCGAACGCCTCGAGAAGATGCGGGGCGCACTCCAACGCAACGCAACGCTTGTCAGCAGGTCAGCAGGGTCGGTTGTGCAACAGCTGCAGACTTCGAGTCTGCAGACACGCTCTACCCTGAACACTGTCGTTGGCACTGTTGGTTCGACTGGACGTTGCAGCGTTGTGTCGAAAAAAGCGCACCTTTCGGGAGGAGGATTGTCTCTGCAATCCGCTGTGCGAACTCTCGCATCGAACAGGCTTCTATTTCGGACCTAACGTTGCAGCGTCGTCCGGAAACGCGCTTCTTTCAGGTGGAGCAGTGTCTCTGCAAACCTTAATTTTAGTACAACTTGTCGAGAACGCATTTGTCACCCGCGTGCCAACCTGGAGGTACAGGAGGAGGCGTGCGTCCCCTGGGGAGGTCCGCTCCCGAAACGTAACGGACACGACCTGCAAACGTAGGAGTCCTAGTTCAGGTTACAGCAATGACGGTGTCCAAGTCAGCAAAGAACAGCGGCAAGACGGTGTCCGAAGAGGACCTGGGGGTAAAATGCCTCACGGGCAGTAGCCAGCAAGTGGAAGCAAGCGCAGACGACCTTGAACGACCGCAAGTAGAGAGCGGGCAGCCACGAGGTCGGCGCAAGAAGCGTCTGCCAACTGCGGACGATAACTGGAGAGCGCTGAAGCAACAGCTGAATACGGGACAGGCCCCACGACAACTGCATCGGTCTTCTGCAACAAGTTCCGTCTCCAAACAAAACAGTGATGCAATCGGTAACTTGGGAGACTCGGGCACTAGCAACCAATCACTTGGCGAAAGCGTGCCAGCTGCAAGTCCAGCTCAGGTCAAGCCATCGCCTGAACGCCACCGCTCTTCTGACCGAGTAGCGACAAGCGTTCGCACGGATGGAACGAAACAACCAAACGACACGGAGGGTTCCTCTTTGGAAAACGTCCGAGCAGAGCTGCACGCTCCAGAAAAGGAGCCTTTGCGAAAAGCCGGACCTCTTGGACTCTATCCACAGGAGCGAGCAGCACCTTTGGGCTCGATTATCGCTCTTGACGGTGAGTTTGTGGGCATAGGCCCAGGCGGGTCCACGGATGCACTTGCCCGCATATCCGTCGTTGACTACGATGAGGCCGTGCTCTATGATCGCTTTGTGCAGGTGGATACCCGAGTGGTTGACTTTCGTACTCCCTACAGTGGGATCCAGCCTCATCATTTGCAAGATCCGAGCTGCGTCCCGTTTGCGGAGGCACAACGCGCAGTAGCCTCGTTAATGAAAGGTCGGATCATTGTGGGTCACGAGCTTCGCAAGGATCTCACGGTTCTGCAACTGAGTCATCCTCGTCGACACATTCGGGACACTGCCCATTATCTGCGGTTACGGAGGCTGCTGCCCATGCGGACCTTTCGAACGCCGTCCCTTCGAACGCTCGCTGCAGAACTCCTGGATCAGGTAATTCAGAAGGGGACCGCCCACGGGCCGGGTCACGATTCCGTAGAGGATGCAACCACCGCGTTGCGAATCTACAAGCTGATGGCGGACATCTGGGAACGCGATTTAGTCAAGATGGAGAAACAACAGCAGCAACGCGCTGCAGCCAGGTCGACAAAGAAACAGAAGCGACGCGCTGCCCGGCTGCGATCGGCTGAGAAAGCCGAACGACAAGCGAAGTCGTCTAAAGGAAGCAACCCAGACACGGAACAGCGATTGAGGAGTAGCGGTTCGCCGAGTAGCGAGTCTCCGAAAGAGAAGCAGCTACTCGAGAATGCAGATGACTCAACGGGGACGCGTAGCGTGCCGGCATTCGTAGATGTTGCAAGTTGAGGTTCCCTGAGCGTTTCGGTGAAAATGGCCGGCAAGGATCGAGCTAGCAATGAAGCAGGATCTTGGTCTGTACGCATGAAAGGTATGCAAAGCATTTCGGAATCGTAATCGTTTGTCTGCCGTGCAGATTCTTGTAGTACCAGTAGCCGTTGATCCAAGATCGAAGGGAAATGGAACTGGTCTACTAGCGGAGCGTACATGCGAACGTTTGGGACACTTTCCGCTGTCAGGAAAACCAGCATTTGTGGGTTTTTTGCGCGACGGATTGGTATTCCTCTGGTCGAGCTCCGGCTCTCAATACGCTGGTCGCTCGGATCCCTACAGATGCATTTTCAGCGGTCAAAGGATATTGATGGCAGCTTGCAAGTGCCTAGTGCGTAGCTTCCGGCTGTTTTCGACGCATTCCAAGCACCGGCAGTTGTTGCGATCTGCGTTTCACTTGCCGTTTTCATGTTCTTTGCGTGTAGCTCCGTCGCGTGCTTCGCAACGGTAACATTTGGCTCTGGTCAAGCGTTCCCAGATGTACACCATACCTGCTTCTGCGAGCGCTGACCTGTACCGCATTGACGCTCGCTTCATTGCTCGGTACGTGCGCGTGTTAGCTACGGAATGCTCCCATGGTTGCGCTACTCCGTAACTGTGCTCCATGCCGGACACTACGATCATGGGCTTCTTCTGCGGGATTCCATTGACGACTTTGCTGTCGGCTGCATGAGCAGTCGTATGCTGTTCCATTCGACTGAGGAGCTATGAGACACGGGAACGTCCTTGATGAGACACGTACCAGAAGAAAAATACAAACTGGCCAAGTCGTCAAGATATTTCGATCCGTCTACGCCCGCTTCGTGCAAAGCTGTGGCGCACGCTCGACAGGAAGCGATCGTTGCGATGACGCATGACCACGTCCACGACACGTTTCCATGCACACAGAAGAGAAGTGAGCCTCATGGAGCATAAGCCGTCAGACGCATCAGGCTGTTTTCCAAGGCCGTTTCATCGATGGTCACAAAGAGTGGACGATTTGTCTTTCGAACGGAATCGATGATTGGACATGGGACGTTCAGTGAATGTTCTGCATGAGCCTGTGAACCATGCGTCAATAGAAGACGCTGTGTACTTTTCCTTGTCAATCCAGCGGAATGAATTCCTGCGCCGACGACGTGCCTCGAAACAGAAAGTTCGAAAACCCGAAGAATGCGTGATTCGAGCATGCTGCTTGCAATCAGAGCAGAATAACGGAGGCTTCTAGGAATGTATTGGATAAGGATATTGGTCACTTTACGAACCTTTTACGAGGACGTCGAGAATCATCGCGATTCCGATGACTTGACGAATTCCAGTTCTAAAGCGTCGAAAGAGCCAATCCGAAAAAAATGACCGAGAATCTCAAAACGACGCATGGATCTGCAAGCGTTCATGGCAGCACTCGGAATGCGGGGTCTCGACACCGAAAGAATGTCTGGAAAAATACGCTCATGGCGGGAACCGGGCGAGCAGTTCAGTGTTTCATTCAAGTCTGTAACGGGTATGCGAGGCTCTGAATAGAATCGCGCACGATCGTATTTGTGGATCTTGGCGCTGATACGTCTCAATTTTCCTCAAAAAAAAACAGGTGCTCTGGATACTCAGTGAGCGCCCTGTTCCGCTTCGAATCAAGCCCTGATCGTTGTCGGTGGTCTCCTGTTGCATCTAGCAGCGCACTTCTGGACGAGCACCCGCAACTTACCATGGAAAGCGCTAGAATACAGAGACCAGTCAATTTTCGAAGCGGCTAGGGCGAGAGCGATAAATTCCGACTTGGCCCACATTCATAAAATGGCTTTGCAGTGCCAACATCGAGTTCCGAGACGAGTCAGAGGAAAACAATGTGTGGCACCGGGAGGCTGTAACGCGCCTCGACCGCCATTTCTTGACATGCTTCCCCTCTAAGACCAAAACTTTTACTTCTAGAGGAAGCTCTTGAGCGAACACTACTGGTTGAGTCCAAACGCTCGAGCCCAGAGCACCCAAGTTGCACCTCCGGCAATACTGTTTACGGTGCGCAGAATAGCCGTGCTGGCTTTGGCAACCGCAGGTGACGCCTTTTCATAAATGAAAAGCTCTGCCGCCGTCACCACCTGGTACCGAGGATTCGCGGAAACGAACATGAAACTTGCCCAACCCAGACTCATGATGAGAATGGGAGGCATTCGGTTTTCCGGTTCCTTTCCGGTGAGGCGCTTCCGTAGAGCCAATAAAGCGTAGCCCATGGAGGTGCCAATCACACTGGCCATGAAACCGGCGATTGCAAAGAGCGATCCCTTGTAGAGAAAGGCAACCGCTCGTTGACTCCATGAGTAGGACGTCGCTGACGATGCTGGTGCCAACGCACATGATGGAAGTGTGCGAAAATAATGTTGCAGAGCGCTCACTGGTCCTGCATTTGACGAACTCGATAGATGTCTCTGATGAAGCGACTGCATCGTTGCACTGGGTGCGAGCAACCACAGGAGCACGAAGCTGAGCGCTGCGCCCACCAGGGTGTCGATGAGCACAAAATCTAGTTCTTTCATGAGACGATCGCCACGAGCAAGAACGACCCCAGTCAGACAGAGGCCCATGCCGACGGTTTCCTCCATGACAAGTTTGAAGAAAAAGTTCGGATCAGCGAGCATTTTCGCTTGCCATGCGGGAAAGCGGTCGGTGAGGAACCGAGGTAGGCCGCTTGCCGTTGCTACAAGGTACGTTTGCGCAGTTTTCAGGTCTAGAGTAAAGAGTTCCCGTGGCACAGATTCCACAGGGCGGTTCATCTTTCGCAGCAGCTGTTCGTGGTCGGACGCGTCACTCCCGGTACCGGAGCTCGCGTGACCGGCAGCCTCCTGTCCTGGTTGCTCGAAGCTCTGGTGCTCCGCATCGCCGTTGTCCCTTTCATCGGACGAAGATGCGTACCCACCAGCTCCCCAGCGATAGTACCATCCTCGACCGGGCGTGCTGATCCGGCCCCCGCAACCGCCATCGTCACCAGAAGCAACAGCGAGCGTCGGAGCTAAGTCTGTGCCCCTGTCGTTTGGGACTTGAAGCTGCTGTCTTCCCAAGGGCGATTTCTGCGGCCCCAAGCCTTGCAACTGTAGGAGCAGCGTTTCAAGGGCAAGTCCGTGGCGTCTGACTCGGCCAACGCAGCGACTCGGTAGGCAACGTGTCCGAGGGAAGCGCACTGCCTGCTGAGAACGCGCTCGATGCAAGTCGCTGTTTCCAGAAGTCGAGCGGCGTGAGGAATGATCTCTAGATGAAAGGTACCAACAATTCGAAACCGATAAAAATGCTTTGACTGGCCTAGCCGCTGTCATTCTACACGCAGCAGTTGCTTGAGAAACCGGAGGCAACGACAACGTACCAGGAGTGGTCAAGACGGCATGGCGTCGTTTCGCGAGCACATCCACTGCAGCATCAGGCAACGTTTTTTATCGGAATTTGTGCCGAGATCAATACAAACAGCTCTGGATGAGGCATGATGTGATATTCGGAGCATAGGGGAAGGAGCTGGAGCCAGTGCTCCCAACACGGGATCGGTGGCATAGCGCTATAGCGCTGCGCTGTCGAGTTCTACACCCATTGGGCATTCACATGTAACACTGTACTGGTCGCTCTGTTCCTGCCTTGACATCTTTTTCCGAAGATGCTTCGATGTGCAGCTTCGAGATTCAAAATGCAGCAAGGAGAGCGTACGTATATATATATATACGTAGTTTTGGGGAATGCTCGGGTGTCTTTTCGGAGAGGCTCCGTCCAGGCTTCTTCGCTGGATTTGGTAACGCTATCGGAATCAAGATGATTCGCGTCAACCTCGAAAAAACTGGTTCATAAGAGAACTGATGTATGGATCCTATGCATAGGTGGAAGCCTGCAGACGTTTTTCGTTCCCAATGTGCAGTATGGTCAAATCATATGGTCTTCAGGTTGGTCGGTCGTACCGTTTCAAGGCAACACATGAGTGGAGCATTTTGCGTCGCTGAATTGACTATCAAACAATGTCGATTCCGTCGCTCGACGACATCTTCACAAACACATGCCACAAAGTTGCCAGACTTGTCATGTCAAGTGATCGATGACGTTCGAATGCCGAAATTCCCCTCTTGTATTGGTAGCCATCTACGAAACCGCATTTCACAGCAGCTCGATACCTCTTACGCGATATGCGCTCAGGCGCCGCCCTCTCTTTTGTTTACATCGAATAGGGTCTTGGACTCGGACTTGCTTCGTCGCATCGCTCACTCCCAGTGGAGAATGCATCAGCGCTTATGCTCGACGGGAACGCCAACGGATCGAGTTTTCTCTACGCAGTCGCCAGCCTGGGTTTTCTTCTCGGTACTTGTTTCATTGTGGACGACATCGCGTTCCACAAATCCTCTACCGCATGAGACAGCGTGCGTTTGCACTAGCAGCGGACGGCGTACATTTCGAGACGATCGGCTAGAAGAAGCGCCCGTCATCGTAGGACGCGGTACTGGGCGCGACTATGGAGAACGACATCCAGGAGCATCTTGTTTACCCGTCAAACGCATGCGCCAATCGATGAAGCAAGCGTTCACGGGCAGCAGGGCAGCCTTCAGGGGCGGAAAATGTCCGGCGGCTGCATGGGAATACCTGATCACAGCCAGATATCGCCACTGCGACGTGCACACTGAAGGCTATACACGAATAAGTCAAAACGGGTAAGCGAAGCGTAGTGCACGACTAGCGTCTTTGCGTGCAGTGTGTCGGGAACAACTGGAAGCTGCGAATTTGGGATTTGAATGCTGCCATCAAATCTCGAAATCGACTGCTATGAACGGATATGGAAGAACCGGGGAAACCGGCGAATTGAAAGCCGCAGATATAAGAAAAGCAAACGAGGCAGTCCCAGAAATAGCCCCGCAGCAGCCGGCGCTGATGACGGTCAGAGGAGACCCAAACATGGACTTGTACGTCAGTGCGAAAGGACCTGTTCTATGCCAGTTCGACTTGGGCGTAGCGCGGGCGGGACTTTGACCAGCGTGCTTCCCACTGGCGTGGACCAGCGGGACAGATCCATGATCCATAAAGATCGAATATGCGCCATTCTTTCAGACTCTGGCCGCTTCCAGAGACCTGCTCGCCCAATCTATGATATCGGACGGGTATCGTGAAAGCTCCGTGGTATCCCCGGAAAACGGCGAGCAGGACTTCTTGGACTGGGGTGCTCTACACAAAGCCCGAGGCTTGGTAGCCTACTATGTTTCTGGTCACGGTTGGGGGCACTTGACTCGATCCTTGGCTTTGGCTTGTGAGTTGCTCACGCACCAGTTCTGCGTACTCCTCTGCACGCCTGTGTCTCCAGATGCGGTTCATGCACAGCTGCTGCTGCTCCTCGGGGCCTACCGAACGCACGCCGTCGAGTTCCCGCAAAGCTTACGTCCTGAAGAGCAGCTGCGCGTTCGCGCGGTCAAGCTTGACGTTGGTTGCATCCAAAGCGATGCACTCACGATCGACGCAGCGGCTACACTGACGGCTTATCGAGAGATCAATGAACGTCGCCAGACACTCATCCGAGTCGAGTCTGCTATGCTGCGGAGGTTGCAGCCGCAGCTCATTCTTGCCGATGCCGTTGCGCTTGCAGCGGCTGCCGCGAAAGCTGCTGCGCTCTCCGATCGATTCGTCTTTGTCACGAACTTCTTGTTCAGTGCTATTTATGACCAATTTCTATCAGAAATCCCGAGCCTGAACACGCCTCAGAACCGGGCACTGGTCGAGCGCATGGCCATGGATGAGTCTGAGGCACCCGTTTGGGTTCAGCTGTCGCCAGGGCTGGTGCCTCCGTTGCGGTCATTTGGCGGTCGATGCTTCTCAGCTGGGCCTGTATCGCGTCCGTGGAAGTCGACAAGAGCTGAAACGCGTCGTCGTCTGGGCATTTCGCTATCCGCCCGTGTTTTGTTGGTCTGTTTTGGTAGTTTCGACTGTAAGACGCTATTCGGGGAGCAAGGCTGTCCGTTGCACTCGTTTCTGGAACAAGTGGACCTCATTCGGGAACCGGGCTCGCCTTGGCGAATGATGCTGCTCACCGAATACGACGCGGTATCATCATCGCCCAGGGTACGCTTCGTACATCCTAGCGCAGCGACATATGTACCGGACTTGATCCAGGCAGCGGACGTGGTACTCGGTAAACTCGGATACGGGATCAGTGCGGAATGTCTCGCAGCTGGTACACCGCTGGTGTATGTTCGGCGACCGCTCTTCTTGGAAGAAGAGGCGCTCCGTCGCGACCTCCAGGGACTATGTGTAGAGCTCACCATCGAGGAGTTGCGTTCCGGATGTTGGCGAAGAGCTGTTCACCAGGCGCTCGAGAGCAAAGGCAGTACAGCACGAGCAAGGTTCGGTCCCGAGCATCCGCTGGCGAGCATCCGGCGCCTTGGTGCCCTCGTCCAGCAGTGGATGCGAGGCTCACAGTAGTGTCCCTGACGACTTGGCACGTTCTGGATAGATGCTATGGAGGCAGCCCGGGTGCATCTTCTGGGGAGCATCGGGCGCCCTGGTGCTATTGTCCAGCACTGCACACGTCACTCAAAGCAGTATTTCTGATGAACTGACAAGTTCTGGATAGGTGCAAAGAAGGCAGACCTAGAACGGTGCTCTTGCGACCATGCTGGCAGTATCCCGGGCAACGTCCAGGAGCGCATGCTCCCGCTCGTGGCAGCAACCGTTTCTCATCGTAGCGAACTTGATAGGAAGCGCGACGCTCACCTCGATACCAAAACAGATCATTTCCAAAGACGACTTCACTATGGATGCGTTTTCCACCTATCGTCGTTGATCCGTAGTCGGATTCGGCGCTTGTCGAAGGTTTTGCGCATGTGCAGCGTGTTCACTCTGAGGGAATCGCGCGCTTATGAGCGCTACGCTGCAGCAGCGTACTCCAGTTGGGAGCCTGCGCAACGAAAGCGCCCGGCTCGTTTCAGACGAGAGCATTTCGCACGATACGGTGTCTATGGACCTTGGACGTAGCGCGTGCTCGCATCTGCGCAGGCAGGTTGGCTTGCTTAGAGGAACATCCACCGCTGTTGCGACGATGCAGCAGGAGGTCAACGGAAAAGAATGTGACTACCAACCTGAATCGCAGGTTGTGAGCCTGGGTGAAAGTTCCGCCGCCGGGCGCTCTCGTGGACGCAACAGGATCACAGAGCAGCAAATTTGCTGCCGAGTCCAGCGAAGAGTGTGAAAACGCTTCGAAAGTGACCTGTTCTGGACGGCACCAAAGCATCATTGGAACGTTCGTTGTCTATCGTCATTTCGAAGAAAGCATGCCTGGCTAGGAGCGCTCAAGTAAACGTGCAATTTGGTGCCGCGATTCTGCTTACCCGCTTCCACAAATAAAGGCTCGAACGACTCCTAAAAAGCCCAGTGTCATTGAAATATCGTTGCGGAACAGGTCATCCAAAACGCTTTGCTCGTTGCTGAGCAGGTCGGCGGCAGAACAGCTGCTTGACAGGTCGTTATACGAACGCTGCTAGACGGATGCAGCTGGCAGAAATCTCTTCTATTCGGAGTACGTCGAGTACTTGGTTGTTGCTGCTCGCTACCGTATCTGCAACGCGCTTCAAGCTCTCAGTACGCTGACACTTAATGCGGCTCGCTCGGAACACTGCAACCCCATTCACTGCACGCTTTATGCGAGTCTGCTAGTGGTCATTGGCCTGCTTGTTGCTCGAGGCGCCCAAGGCCTTTTGCTGGCGCTCTGGTCTCGGGGTGGAGCGCTTGCGAACGCGAACAGCACTGCGTGAACCACCTGCCACCGCTGAAGCACCCGCATAGTCCCGCGCTTACCAACGGAACACGCCCGCACAAGCACCTCGATAACCCCCTGACGGAGCTGCTTTGATCGCACGAGCTTCACGTTGGTCCTAGAGTTTCGCGAAACAATGAAGAGTCGGTCAACGGAGGCGTCTGGGAACGAACGCTGCCGGGATAGGGCGCCCCCCTGTCGACTGGTCGACGCCATGGCCCCAAATCCCGAAGGCTCAGCGTCCTATTACCCTCTGAATCATACTCGCCCTGTAGAAAAATGACATAACAGAGACGCCACAGAGCCAAGAATACGTAGGTGAGCAGAAGCAACGCGACGATGAAATGTAGAGGTGGCGCGAAGCCCATGGACTGCGCTCGAACAAAGACCGCAAAGGGCATGCAGACTCGCCAGGCTCGAAATAGAGATAGCAAAGCTTCCCGGCGATCTCGAAGGGCATTCTGCGTGAAAGCGTCTATGTACGGGGCGCCAACGATCCACACAATGATAAACGGTGCAGCTGTTTTCCAAACGATCGCATCCAAGATGAGTCTGCCGCCATAAAGCAGACGCAACACGCTACTCGCAACCAAGAGCGCAATCAGATCACCAATCGCAAGCAGTGGCCGTGTAAAAAGGTCTGGCCATGCGCCTTTGCCTCGCCAACGGACTTCATGGATTGTGGCGGGCTTGGGATCACGGTAGAGCACCATGAATGCACTCCCGAGTTCCAGGTCCTCGAAGGTGGCGCGTGTCAAGTCGGACAGCAGAGGAATCCCTCGCGCTTCTATTGCCGCTGTCATTTGCTTGTAAATTTCCTCGTCGGGGGCAAGCCCATCGATCTGAACAATTCTACCGGCGTATTGAGCCTCAAGCTCTGACTCTACGACGTAGTACGTTCCGAGTAACCATCGCGCCAGATTCTCATCCTCATCGGTGCGGTGAATCAATCGCGCTCTGAGGGCTGCATCATCTGCTGAGGGCGGATCATATTTCTCATGGAAGTAGCGACCGGTTTCCGGGTCCCAGAGACGTTGAACCATTCGTTCTTCCAGATCTTCATGTGGTAAATAGAGCAACAAAACGAGATCAGGTTCGATACCTGCATCCAGTAGCGAACTGGCTTTCATGATACGTCGCGGCACATCGTCGAGCAGCCATCCGTGTTGCTCCACATCTGCGGCGGCGAGGCGCTTCCCAAGCACATGAGCGACCAGATGATCCGGCACCAACTCGTTATTCTCCAAATGCTGCCGGATCATGAGACCCGTTCTCGTCTGCTCTGCTGCTGCTGCATCTCGAATGACTTGTTCCGTAGAGATGCGGATACAGCCGAGATCTTTACAGAGCCTCGCGGCGTACTTTTCCACTCCCGATAACGGTGGTCCAAGGAGGATGATTCTTGGCGGCCTCGAGCGCTTCATCTGCCAGCTACGTCGCATTCGTAGCATGCCAACTGCACGGGTAATATTTTCGAAGACTTGCTCTTTTGAGCGACGCCCGTCGATCTCCGCCATAATCGCGCCATATCGTTGCCTTAGCGCATCCACGTTCTCCCGGTAGTTCTCAAACCTCACGGCAAGCTTTTGCACATCATCATCTGAACGCTGGATGAGACGATCTAAAAGGGCTTTGTCCGACGCTGGCGGTGGATCGAAACGCAGGTGATAAATCCGACCAGTTTCCGGATCCAGCCGGCGACCGGAGACCCTCTCCTTGAGGATCTCGAAGGGCACATCCAAGCTGATCACCAGGTCAGGTTCGATACCCGCCGCATCCATAGCTACAATCTGCGCAGCGGTTCGAGGAAAGCCGTCCAGGAGCCAACCACTTGTCTGCACATCAGGCGCAGCCATGCGCTGTTGCATGAGCCCTATGACAAGCTCGTCGGGGACAAGCTCCCCCGCGTCCATGTACTTTTTGGCAGCGAGGCCCAGCTCACTGCCCGCTTCGACGGCAGCCCGAAGCATATCCCCTGTAGATATATGTACGAGACCATACCGTTCAACTAAAAGAGCAGCTTGGGTACCCTTTCCAGAAGCCGGCGGGCCAGCCAAAATGATGCGCAGCGGCCGGTGCTCGCTCACGGGCTCTAGTGGCTTTGCCGAGTTCGCATTCTCTTGAGCGGAGTGCAGGGAGCTTGTACCCCTGTGAGATCGGTATTTGGCAGTGCGTTTGTGTACGCCGGTTGTCAGACCGAGGCCACGGTGTCTCCAGCGCGGCAACAACCGAGAGCCTGGAACCTGACCAGTGTTCCCTGGGATCGCACCGCACGCGAGTGAAGCACTCCAAGTCTTCTCTGGACGCGGAGTGTGTCGAAGCGCCGGGTAAACGAAAGCAGCGTGCTCCACGAATGCGAATTGTTTCATGGAAACTCACCTACGCAAAAAATAATCGTAACACAACGCGGTCGTATATCGAGCCTAGGGGAGCTCTATTGAACGCCGGCGGCCGGCGTGTCGGTGCCCAGCGCGCTGCATCGTTGATGCGAAAAGCAAGCAAGGTAGCACGATGAGGTAGCGTTGGTGATGGAGTGGAGGATCTCTTAAAGGTACTTTGGGGAAGGATAGATGATTTCCCAGATACCGATGCCCATTGCGCAGTCGGGGATATCCAGGATCGTTGATGGGATCCTGCATCCCGGACACGTTTCGATGATTCGAACAGACGCTACAGTATGTTCAAGTGCTGCTGCTGGTGCTGCTGCTGATATGCGAGCAAGAGATATCCGTTCGTGCGCAGAGGCTAACACCTTCTGTAAGCTCGTTCCAGATTTTCCCTCTTCGACAGAGTCATCAAAGCTTCAACGACCTATTGGCGAGCCCTGAGCCTGCCCTAGGCGCTTGCTTCGATCCTGGGTGCGCTGCCTTCGCGGTCGCCGAATGGTAACAGGACAGTGTGGCGGGGCCCTTGCGGGTACCTCCACAAGGCGTATGTGTGCCAGGTTCTATGGATACGCTTACATGCATGTGAAACATCGCACGCAGACAGTCCAGCAGGCTTTTGCGCTGGCATTCGGCTACTTTGGGGTACAGGTAAGCAGCAGCATACAAGGTCGCCGTTGACTCTATCCACTCGGAAACAAAGCATTCTCATAGCCTCTGGTTCATTTGGAGCACACTGATGCAACCCATGCGATGCTGCTCGTTGTGGGAAAATCGTTCCCAAATCTCTCCTTCCCAGCTATAAAACAGAATAAACAAATGCTTGCCACGATTGCCTTGGTGCAGGTATCCGAGACCGCATGCGAAACGAACGCTGATCGCCGCTTCAGGTGAACACGTCATGAAACCAGACACTGATTGCAGTGGTTCAACGACTATCCCAGCTCCCGGGTGATACCTTAGCATTTGTCTCATTGATATGAGGTGCAATCTTTTTTGAGGCACACACAAAAATCTTTCTTCCGCAACAAATTGCTTGAATCTTGTACAAATGTGGACTAGCTGAATAAACACTAGTGTAGTTTGTAAAGCGCGCAGCGTCGGTGTCGCTTCACCGTGTCAGACCTTGATCGGGAGTCGAACACGTACTCCTGGTATCATAGTCGTTGCTGATACTGGAAAATGCTCGTCGCATTCGTTGCAGGGACTGCTCGTCGTGCACCGGCCTCAATGAAGGCGCACTCGGGAGAATCACATGAGCGCGCCCGTACGAAGCTGGGCGCTCGCGCCGCTGCAGCAATGCATCGCCAGCCGCTGAGCGACAATTTCGATCCGCTGGTATTCCCTGCACCCCTTGATACGTACTGTGTAGGGATAGGGAGTCGGATCTTCGTGCCGAGCGGCTTTAGTTGCGGCATTGACAAGTGCCATAAAGTGGGTTGGCGATAATTCAGCGGTTTGTAAAGCGAAAGAGGGTTTCAGAACGCGTCAAAAAAGGCGGTGCAGCGTAACCGCTCGGTATCCGTGAGGTTCAGCAACTACAGCTGCACGGCGGCGGCCGGCTTCGGAGCGTTCGGCATCCGAGAACGTCCATGAAAGAGCACTCGTTTTCCGAGAATAACGATCTACTTCCAGACCTTTTTGCTGAGAACGCTGAAGAGCTTCCGGCTGACTCGGCCCTGCGACGTCTGATACAAGGCGACGAGACCGCTGATGAGCAGGCCGAGCTTTTGCGTCAACGTGGCAACCAGAGATACCGCCTTGGCTGCCGTCTACTCGACCGCGGAAATGATCCCGGTGCAGATTTAACACTCCCTGGCGGTGAGCAAAGCGTGGCGACGTTACGAAAACGTGCTCACGCGTTGTTCCATCAGGCGATGGCGTCGTACACGGAAGCACTAGCTTTACCAGGAGTCTCCTCAACCGTTCGAGGTGCACTCTACCTAAACCGAGCGGAGGTACATCGACGACTTGGAAACTATGCGCGAGGCCTGCATGATGCACAGCAGTGTATCCGTTCGTGCGGTCTGGAACACCCGAAAGCCTTTTATCGGGCAAGTGCGTGTGCTCTAGCTCTGGGCAAGCTGCCTGAAGCGCGAACATTTTGCGAACAGGGCTTGGAACGCACCAAAGCCCCGGAACATGTGCTCGAGCGCAGAGCGCTTCAGCGTCTCGAAGAACGAATCGCCGAGGAGATGGTACGTGCCCAGCGCTTGCTCGCTGAGAAGGACGCCCTGCTCCAGCAGCGAGTCGACCAGAGTCAGCGCTTGCTCGATACCCTAGAACGCCAGCGAATTCGCCTCGGGATGCCGCTATTTGCGCAACAGAAAAAAGTCTCAAACTGGCAACCGAAACCCGTACCCGTGGCACGGGACGAGCCCAATCCTGATTCGGAAAGCACTGTGTCCATCAAGTTCAGCTGGCCGTTCATGGTGGTGTACCCGTTAGTTCAACAAAGCGATTTTTTCGAAAACGTTGACGATGACGCAGAGCTGCAAGCGCTCTTTTCTGATCTATTACCCGTTGAGGGACCGCCTGCGTTAACCTTCGACCCAGAAGGACGATATCGCTGCGATCGAGTTGCTTTTTGGTAAGTTTCTTCGCATCAGGCAGCGAGCATGCTGCCCAACTGGACCCCGTTCGAGGATGACGGACTTGATCATATCTGACCCGTGAGTAGAGAACGGGTCCGTGATGCGTTGCGCAAGTCTTTTGCAACGGGCGCTTCGACGCGCGTTGCCCTCGCACCCCGAAACGCCGTTTACCCGTCTGAGAGCGAAACGTATACTGTGATGCTCGTAGAGTGACCACCGCGATATGCAGAACACAGAACTAACCGCCCAGTGAGATGCACTTCTGCACGCCAGGTATGCAACGCAATGGACCCGAACGCTGGTCGATGTCGGCGACCCAGCGCTCTTACGTGACCTGACAAGAGTACAGGATAACGAGTTTTGTGGCTCCCTGTTACCTCCAGAGGAGCAAGGCACTTGGAAACAGGTTCTTCTTGACGATATCGGACTTGATGCGGCACGGTTGCCACGCGATACCGTGTGTGTCCGAACATTACGTGATCTTGTCACCCAGCCGGACTATATTGTGCCCATGTTCCCAGTGCTTTTTGTGGCTCCCCGAGGAGCTACTCCGGCTCCATTCTGGTTAGCGGCAAGCTTCTCTTGATCATCGGTGTTTCTCCGATTCATGCAGAACGGCATGGTCCAGTGCGTGGTTAGCGAGGATCGAAGCACGTCTTTCGCGGTCGTATACGCATTGGGTAGGAAGAAATCATCGTTGCGTCCTTGATGGTTGGCACCTGGACAGTTTGCAGCCTTTCGGACGAAAAGCGCCCCGGACAACCGGCAGTATTCCCTTCAAAGTAAGACGCTTTGATGTTTTATTGAAATATCCTCACCATGTCAGTTTGGTTATCGACATGCTAACAGGTGTCGTTGCGAAACCAGCATGCCTGTTGCGGCGTCGTGGAATGCCCAGCGAGCGTGGTGGCTATCAGCCGTACCGTCAAACACGATTGTACTTGGGGAACAGCATTCTGGAATGCCTGTACTAGCAGGCACTTTTCTTTTGGTTTGTTTATGATGGAATGTATTCAACAGAAGAAATGTACATTGCAGTTGGGGACATGTCGCGACGAGACGTTATGCTGTCACTGCTAGCTTGTGGGAGATGCCCGGACACTTACAATTAATTTGTTCTACCTTCAGCAGGTAGCTAAACCGTACTTTTCCTGGTCCCTGTTCTGCCTGTCGTAAGTTAAAAACGGAAGGTATGAATCTCTGTTGACACTACGATCTCCTGATCAGTTCATTCCATTCCATTTATTCTCGAAGAAAGGCCATGAAATAACCCATAGAATGTAAAGTTTCCGGGCCTTTGATACGATCGGTAATAGCAAGACACGGATGAACAAAGAAAGAAGCACGCTTCTATAACTGATGATCGCGCTTTGATCAACACGCTATCGATTTCGAATTGGAACGCGAAAATGAGCACAGGAGGAACGAGTCTTCGTCTCACTCGATGAGACCTCATCCAAGGGAGATGCTTGTCCTGGAAATGGATTCCCAAACCGATACAGATCGGTGTTCGTTAAGAAGCGACAAGCGAGCCGTACGACAAACATCAGCCTTAGCTAATATGCAATCATATAGTCCTCCTCCAGAATCGCAAAAGATATTGGATTCGTCAAAACTGCATCGTTCATTGAAGCAGTTTTCGGGGCTTCCTCTATCCAAATTCCTCAATGATGCTTTCAGACAAGGTCGCATTTCGTCACTCGAGCGTAGTCAAGGAACACGTTGCTCGGATCGACGTTGAGCTGCTCTCCGCTCCAGTCTATTCTCCATAGCACAATTCAGCCACAGGCGTCTTCTCCGATATCGAATGCCGTATGAGGCTCAGGAGCTCGTAGACGGGTCGTTCGACATCATGACGCCGAAGATCGCAGGATACGATTCCAGATCGCGAAGCTGCTTATCCGCGGAACGCTCTACTAGACTTCCTCGCCTTGAAGCCTCTGTTCAAGCAACTGCAGGTGGGAGTTCCGGGCCCAGAGTTGCCCGCTATCCAGATTATTCGCAAATTTTTCAATCAATTCCTTGCGAGGACGCAAAAGATGCCCTAGAAATAAGATGCCATACTGCCAGATTCGATGACCAAAGAAAAGCCCTGGTGGTTTCCGGAGCACCCCTGAATCGTAGCTGGGCGACGTGGGCGATCGGAGCATCTGGAGCACAGGTTCCAAAAAGTATCAAATCAACCTCAGACACTACATGCCGGTGAATATCGAACGCCTCACATGGGATACTCTGAAGACGTTGTAGCATCACGCCGCGTGTCCAGAAAAATGGGGATTGGTGGAATGCATCTTCGGGATGTCTATTCATGCAAATGATGGGCTAGTGGCGGCGGTGGAACTAGAATGTGGCGACTTTGGACGGCATGTTGTGACAAGAGCGAAAGTCGCTTCGGATCATCCGAGCTTATGGCACTGTTCGCGGCCTCGGATCGGCGGACGTGGCATCCAAACGATGGATCAAACATGATGTTTGCCTACCTTGCTTGCACCTTGCGATGCTGCGTGTTTCTGATGATAGCTGCCCAGAGCAAAGCAGACTATCTAAGTGCAGTATGCGGGCGCCCTAGCCTCCCCAAGGTTCTCCATTCGATGTTGTCGGTATGTGTGAGAACAGTGCCCATGATACCGCCAGCGAGATTTGTGTACTTGACTATATGGACTTGCCAGTGAACGATGGATGGCCTCTGCGGCCAAATACGAAGCACTCAAACCGCTTTCCAAAGCGTATTCGACGAGCTCTATCAAGGATCTTCATCTACAGGGAGGAACTCGACAGCAATGTACATGGCCCATGGAGAACGATGGAATATCTATCTGCATGCACTTTATGAAACCTAGTTATAAGAAAACCAACGAAACTCATGTTCAACTGATCCAGGTAGATGAAGAGAAAGATTTGATAGAGCGTAAAACTCCTGAGTTGAAAGATGTCTTGGCCGTTGTCGTACTTCTAAATCATGAGGACGGACCCGAAGATCTGAACGGGAAGCAAATGATGCTGCTCTTCTTTTCCATGCCAGGATTTTGTCGGGAGTCACGCATGCACGACGCCAGCAGGCATATTACCAAGCGGATAGGCGCACTCATTGCCCATCTAGACGCTCGGAGCACCGTACTGAGCGAAGACGGATGCATTGCATTCTTGATTCAAAGCGAAAACGAGCGTCGAAATCGCACATGCGGACGATCTTTGGTAGAAAACCATGAGACCGCGCTGCGGTCGAGAACTTCTTCGGTAACGCGGAAGCACGAAACGCGTATTCGCCGAAGCGTTCAACGTGCTGGCTAAGAAAATGACCAATACGTCGCGTCGTTTCCTGGTATCGTATTGGGCTGGACGTGCTCCAGCGCGCACAGGCTGCACTCCTGCTCGGACGAGAGCGGACGACGATGACGGCGACTCCAGTACCCGATTCCGCAGGTTACCTATCGAAAAATTCTGGGCGCCATACATGCACCACGATTCCAGGTGTACATTGACACCGTCACAGAGACAGAGCACGAAATAGAGACAGGTGCACGGGAAGGTGTGCAGTGAGCTCACCGAATGACAGATTATGAGGCAAACGCAGTTCAGTGGCTTGTGATGGTGCGGTTTCTCTAGCAACTATGCGCGCAGGCACTTTCCGCACCAGGACTCGAACACCTTGGAAACAACATTCGGAAATTTCACATGTATCCGAAACGTCCCGCGGTTTTGTGTCGAGCGAACTTTCGCGGAAATCTCTAAGCAATCAGTAAGTGCATTTTGCTAAAATGCTGAAGACTTTTGATGAAAAGGGATACGTGGCCAAGCGCCGGACAACTTCTTCTCGCCCGGAGCAATCCTCTGGTACAGAATGATCAACAAACCAGCAAGGATGCAGTCCAATATACATAAACCGGGAACGCTTTGCTCAGAAAATGGACAAACGATAATGCTCTTCCATGATTCGGTATTCGCGAGCATGCCACATCGTTCCACACTGCATAGAGTTCCAGCTAGGATGCTTGACGCGTGTGGTGTTACTCCTTTGTCGTTCTCAGACGTGAGGACGGCCATTCGCAAAGTTCGTCCACTGCTATGGTTCCCGCACTGCCTCAGAAGCCCAAATCGGATGATGTTGGCGAGACAGCGGGAATTTCGCAGATAGCGATCACGATTGCCTGAATTAACTAGATATACACCAAGGCTTGATTCCGAAAGACTCAAGCAATCGATCGCAGCAAATGGAAACTTCTCGCTCGTCGATGTTTGCCTCCGTCAAGAGAGTCTTCAATCAACCGGCAACGTCGTTGCGCGGCCACACAAGCGTGACACATATTCCGATATCAATTGACCAAGGATGCGAAGCAACCCGGTCACAAGCGCAACGCACTGTGAACAAGTCTCGAAACGGACCGCTTGGTGCACCAAAAGCCGCCTGGATGCTTTACCGCTGCACCAAACGAATGCCGACGAGCCGTAAAGAGTCTTAGTAAGTGCCTCAGAAGAAACGACGGCTTGAGGAGAAACGACCAAGACTGCGTCGTACCAACCTCCTCCGCCGGGCGATCAGAAGCTAATGGCAGCGTGTATCGTGCACCCGTTCCCGATAAGCTCGGTCTGCACGAACGTGACGCCAAGTCACACTGACGCCCAAGCATTCGTGTTTGCATTCGCAGAGCCCCGCTCAAAACCTGCACTGAAAACCCCTGTGCGGTGCGCGTCCACTGTAACAGCAACCCGTAGCAGCACGCCATACCCGTTACCCGCAGACAGTGCCGTCCAGCAGACACCTTGCGGGACGCGGCGTCACGCGTGACATCATACCAACTCGTGCAGCCTGCAACTAGAAGAGGATCAGCGCTAGCAAGTCATATCCATGGCTCCAGGCACCTGCGCGTACTGGATAGACAGAAGCAGCGTCCGAGATGGTATCTCCAGGCGCAGGTCCTATGACTGCCATGACGATGTGCGTCACGGATGCGCATCGGCTAGATAAATCTGTCAAAATAGATTCAAAACTTACCTTTTATAGAAGATACGACCATGTCGCATCAGCTGTGCCGGAGCAGCGCCGTATAGGCGCGCGTCGATGCCAAAAACGGCATGAATTCCATATTTTCTCCTTCGAACAGAAGCAGGGCACGGTGAAGCTGCGAGCTACACGAGTTTTCTTCATGAACGTACAATACGAAAAGAACTCAGTGACACCTCGGAAAAACTTGGGTACAACGAGTGAAACAACTGATAGGGCGCTGCGAGCAGGTTTACCACCCGGTGACCTCACTGGCACGAGCGCTTCTACGCACCCGGGCAGGGCTCCTGTTCCGTCAGGAAGCGAGGTGTCCGATTGGACCAGAACGTCGGCACCGGGGAAGCCGCTTCAAGCAACGACGCTGGGGAATACGACGAAGAGACTGACACGCAAGATCTCCGCGGCGTTTTCCTCTGACGTCGAGGCAGCGGTTCTCAAAGCGAGCAAGCCCAAGTACACCGCCCCGAAAGAGAAATATGTTCTGACGCTGTTAGCTTCACTGCAAGGGTGCGGTGATGCCCTTTTTTATTTGCTTGAGAACACGCAGACCGGTGGGACACCCGAGGCGCGAGGCACCGACGCGCTGACCCACACCACGACTGGTGGCGTGCCGCTGGAGCCGGGCCCCGAAAGCAGCAGCAACAATAGCAACAGCAACACGCCTGCCCCAAGAAAGACTGCGGTGGCGATCTTGAGCACAAAACCCCAGTACGGCCTCAATAAGGTATCGACATTCCACGTCCAGCGGCTTCCACATCATCGTCAACGGAATCCCCCGACGGGTACCTGGTCCAGCGACGGCGGCGAGCGTGCCGAAGACGTTGCACTCGCCGTCGAACGCATGCTGCTCTGCGGGGACATTGTTCGCAAGCTCTGGCGACACGGCCAGGAACGGGACTGGCGGATTGTCTGTAAGGTTCTGATGGTGGCGCATCGCCTCATGCGCGATGCAGCGCATTACGCAGATAGTGTGGCGTTTCGCCTCTGGGCGACCTACTACGAGCGGCTGCAGCGTCCAGCGCGCATCCACGACGTCGATTCGGACGACGCCTGCAGTCACCCGGGGGCGACACGTTCTCAACGGACAGCGAGCGACTCGCCGATGCTCAACTTACTGGAGCGATTGGCTGCGCATTCAAGCGGCGTGTCCCCTCGCGGACAACGTGACTGGACGCGCCGTCTGATCACGCGCTCGAGTCAGGCTGGTGCAGCGACCGCCAGTGGAAGTAGCGTTTCTAGCGAGACAAATGCTGAACCGTTGCCTGCGGTTGCACATCATGTCATGAGTTTGGAAGCTGTGGCGCGGGCATTCCGCGACGAAAGCCGCACCAGGCCCGAAGCAACAGCGTGCTCGCTCTTTGTCAGAGAATACGCTCGGTATCTCTGGACACGATTGGAAAGTTTTCGCATCCTCTACCTGGGCGAGCGTCAGGAATCGAAAATTTTGGATGAGCTCGGCGATCGTTTCGCATCGTTACCTCCGGCGGCAGAGCGGACGCCCTGCTGTGTCGATGAAATGGGGGTCGTGTCGTCGAGACTCGGCGAGGAGCTCTCGGAGCGCGTCCCGTTCGAGAGAGCGCTTCGAGAAGTCATCCCAGTGCTGCTCTATGAACTGAACGCAGTCACAGAAGTGCGCCTGGAGAGCGTTGTAGAGGTGGCGACAAGTCCCGTGCCGCACGCGCACGTCAACGAAAGCATGGCCTCGGTGAACGTCCATAATGAAATCATGCAAGAGGCTGCGCGACTTATCGTTCACGACGCCATGCAGCTGTTTGCAACCTTGAATCAGATGATGGAATCTGTGCTGGAACAGCAGCTCTTGCTCGGAAGCAATCACCTGGCGCTGATGCGTCGATCGCGTGCCCTCTATCGAAGCTTTGTGGACGCGACCAATAGACTTCGAGAATGGCTTGCGAGCATTCATCGATGCTTGCTCGGTTTCGATGCTGCATCCGCACACGACAAACGACACGGTCGGCGTGCGCTCGGCAACGCCGCTGCGGATGCGATGCTTCGAGGCGAACTCGAGCACGCGCCCCTCGACCTCATCGCGCGGGGCTGGTGGGCGAATCTCTCCGATGAAAAACCAGAAGAAGATCATGACGGTAGCGGTGACGGTGATCATCGGTGTCGAGCATCGGATACTGGAAACGTCCGCACTGCAGAGCGCAGCGAAACGAGAAGAGAATCGTCACACGCAGCGGCAGCGGAAGGGCGCTCCCGCGGGACACAGCAGCCACGCGAGCGTACCTATTCGGCACAGGCACCTGCGTCGGGCTGCAGCTCGCTGTTCCTGTCGATGGGTCACGAACCGTTGCATACAGCAACAGGATCAGTGGGCGTTTCTTTGAATGAGGACAGCGGAAACGCGATGAGCAAAACACCCTCGCTACGAGATATGATGAAAGCAATGGAGACGCTGCTGCGTGCCGGCGCCAAAGCGCAGGAGCAGAGTCGCGCTCTTTGCGAACGTGGACCCCATATGACACAGGTAATTGAGGATGAGCTTCGCGTACTAGAGCAGACCTATGAGTCGTGCAAGTCTGCGTTGGAGAAACTTTATCAGAAGAAGAGAGAAGAAATACTCACTCGGCCATTGCAAGTACTCCGAGTCGCGGATGCACGCCGCCCATCTGTTTAGGAAATCGAAGATGTACAATGTTCAGGCGGGTACACGCGGGTGGTTTATAGGTACTCGTAGACGTCAGTGGCGAGCCTAGTCACGGTATCCAGAGAAGGATCTCACATAACGCATATTCGCGAGCATGCTCAGTGCTCCGGGTGCGACCACAAAGCGTCACCTTGAAGCGAGAGCTCTGTTCAGGACCAGAAACTCTAGCATGCGGCTTCTGGATTCCAGCGCAGAGAGGAATCTCGAAACCAGAACGCTCTCTGTTGCAGCGAATCCAGCAGGTTGAAACGGCCATTGCCTATCCAGTGCATGAAAATGTCGAAGCGGTGAGCCATCGACACAGGTGGTATCCAAGCGTCCTCGCATTCAGCCTGTTGGAGCGCTGGTAGCAGCTGTTGTTGCCACCTGCTCAGCATCTATAGGTCCATGGTCATGTCTGTCTCGTGGCTGATCTCGTGTGGTATCAGGTTGCAGAGGATCCCAGAAGAGGCGGCGGCTGCTCGACGTGTACCTGCACTAGCGCCGACGCCCTGTCGACTAAACCGCTTGACTGATTGGAGTCGGCGATTCGCAGTGCCGAAAAAGTCGTTCGTAAACTCGAAAGCACCCCACGATGGGGCTACATAGTCCCTAACGACCCAGTCACGGGGACAATCCGCTGGCTGTCATACTTGGCTGCGACAGGTTCACTGATAGCGACTACTCGTCCGTGCCGAGCTCGTCGCAACACAGGGATGCCGTTCTTTCTGGCGAAAGATTGGAAAAACGATCTAGCGCGGGTGCTGCAACTCACTGGAATCGAACCGTATCCGAAGTATCAAAAGTGTCCAAAGTATCGTGTATGCGTGCAGTTCATGCACGGTCCGCAGGTCTCAATTCCCGGTAACTGAGTAACTCGAAGAGCAACAGGGTGCAAGCACTTTCCGCATCCAACCAAGGTGCACCTCACCCGAAGCAGACTTCAAGCTGCATCCGTTGCTCTGGTCAAAACGTCGCGTGGCGTTCGTAGACGCCACCCGTTGCGCCTTCCGGTGCCTGCACCGAAAAAGTGCCAAGCAAAAAGCGGTCCACGTGAGCTTCCCAGGTCTGCAGTCTAAACAAGTCCGGACAGCTCTTCAGCTTGCCTGAAAAGTGAATCAAATCCAAGCGCTGGTCTATGTCGCGGCTAGGCTCGTTAGCACCCTCGACGGTCGTCGACCGCGGTAGCCACGGGAAAGCCCCGCATCGAAAGCTGCATCGTTGACCAGTCCATGTTGCGCGCGTTGACTCGGACACGACTCTCGACTTGGGCAGCGAGTGCAGCTTCCAGCTCTAGACGTTCCCGGGAACGACCGTCTGACAGAAGACCGTATGCACGCTGCTGCTGCTGCTGCTGCTGCTGCTGCTGCTGCTGCTGCTGGGGAGGTTACGGACCTGCACGACCATGCGGCCGGTCTCCTGCAAACCGGACCATAGCCGCCTCGTATGGCCCTCTGACCCCAAACCGCAAAAGTCGCTTCACAAGCCCTCTCTGATCGTTTCCACAACGACAGCAGCAGCAAAAGTGCGCTCAGCACTCGGCAGCGCCAGAACACAACGGGGCATTCGGTATTGCAGCGCGTTCAGCGAGCGCTTCGAGCTCAAGCCAGATACCTCCCGGTTGCCTCGCAAAGTTCCACTGGACGTGCCGCTACAGCGGCAATGGACGGTAACCGTTCCAGTCCTACACTGAGAAAAACGACAGGGAGCCGTACGCCGCAGGAAAGAGGAGCTGAGGAGCTACGAGCGCGCAAGCACCGCTCCAAAGCGTCATCAGCTGCAGCGCCAACGCTTTTGCGCTTGCCAACGAGTCATGGCGCCGGTGTGTTGCAGCCTACGCACGCAAACAACCCAGGGACTGATCGGAAGGCCCAAGCCCGCGCGGAGCATACCCGCGGTGACGCTAGTCAGGGCGGTGGTCTCGGACCTCGCCTTGATCGCGTGCAACTGCGAGTGGACGTCGACTTTGCCGAGCGCAAACTACGCGGCCGAGCACTGCTCTATTTCCAGGTACCGAATGCACTGCGTCAGCCAGGGACGACAAAATATAAGGGAGACGCATCCGATACCCTAGAACTGCGCATAAACCTCCGGTGTTGTGCGATTCAGGCGGTAACCGTGAACGACCGCGCTGTGGAGTATCGCTTGCAGAGTCCGCTCGACGGTACCGAGGTTATGCAGGCTATTGCTGATAGAATCTACCCTCCGCCAACAATGGAGGAGCTGGAAATGATGCTCTCACGACAGGCTCGTCACGCCGCCCATGGTGAGCTTCTGGTTTTCGTTCCATGGTCGATATTGGGAGCCAGCCGAACCGCAGAGCCGCTGCCACCACCAGGGGATCCCACTGCTGCCACGAACCCCGTGGACGTTACTGGAACATCTCCGAATGATCTTTCAAAGTCGTCGTCCGAAGCACGAAGCGCATGCAAAGATCCACAAGCGGAGCCAGTTTCAGTGGCGGAAGCGGACGCGCTGGTGGACCGCATACCTCGCTCAGAGACGGAGCCGCGCTCGACAACGGCACCACTGGGGACGAAAATCGACGCGACTTGGACCAAACCGACTGTAAGCATAGGTCTCCGTCTGCAGGTAGAGTATACGACGCTTCCAGAGTCACCAGCGGTGCATTTTTGCGGACATGCTAACGGAGAGCCCCTTGACGTTTTCGATGGCAGCGGAGCCGCTGAAGATGCGCTGCTCTTCGACCAACGCCTGCCGGAGCAGCAGCAGCTGCTGCTGCTGCAGCAACAGCCTCTACCGATTCTCGTGGAACACATGTACGTGGAGTCGCACAGCGGTTTGGCGTCAACGTGGATGCCGTGTCTGAACCCGCCGAACGCAGTGCTCGCCAACAGTGGAGTGCGCTGCGCCTATGACCTGGAGATAACCGTGCCAACTGGGATGATTGCGGTTGCCTCCGGGGAACTCAAAGGCAGCAGCCTAGAAGAGAGCACTGAGGCGGGTCGAGCATCTCGCACACGTTTTGTTTTCCAGGTTCCGGAGCCAGTACTTGCGAGCGATATCGCGTTTTCTGCCGGCTTGTTTCGGGTGCTTCCCGATCGAATACGACCTCAGAGCGTCACCTATTTTTGTTTACCTGGCTTTGTTCGCCAGTTAGTGAACACGGTAGACTTTTTGCCCGCGGCAATGGAATTCCTCGAGAACTATTTTGGTGTGCCCTGTCCCTGCGCTTCGCTCAAGTTTGTCTTTGTGGATGGATTCGGCATGCATCTGCCGAGTGTGTATCCCGGTGGAGGTCTCGTCGTGCTTTCCTCGATTTTACTGTTCTCGGATCGAGTCGTGGATGACGTGTTTGACTCGCACCGGCGCATGGTGACTGCGCTGGCATCCTTCTGGATGCGTCGCTTGCTGCGACCACTGCATACTGCTGACCTCTGGTTGTTTGTGGGTATCGAGGAATACGTCGGTGCGCTCTGTCTCCGCAAGCTCTTCGGGAACACCTGGTTCCGTCTGTATTTACGGGACGCGATGAAGTCGCTCGTGGAATCTCCAGGCTCGCTGCGTTGGTCGCCCGCCGAGCAGCCAGCGGCCGAGTCGCACGAGCCTTCTCGACGCTTTAGTATGCTGCTGATTGCGGCCATCGATCGCCGAGCGGAGCGCAAACTCATCCAAGTCCAGTCGACAAGCGGAGCATCGACAGGGCGCAAACATCACGCAGCTCGGGTCGATGTCGGTGAAGGTATCCGCTCCACGCTGCACAGCTTGCTGGTGATGCCTCCTCGCCATCATGCCGTCGGTTTGAAACCTTTCCTGAAGCTCCTTGAGCGACGGACTGGCGTGGAGTTGCTCGCATTTGTTCGCCAGTACGTTGTAAGCAATAGTATGCCGCTTTTTCATTGCGGCTATCGATACGATCCCAAAGAGCACAAGATCGAGGTCGCTGTGAGACAAACCAATCATCGTCGACAGAGCGGTGTTGTTACGGAACCGCTGGTATTTCGCGGTACTCTGCGCTTGAGCATACGTGAACCCGAAGAGCACTACACCATTGATTTAGAGATTCAAGAAAGCGTTCACGTTTTTGACGTCTACTGCCGTACCCGCAAGGTAGGTCTCGGTGTACGTGGGCGAGCAGCTGCAGCGGCGGCAGCAGCGGCAGCAGCAGCAACCAGCGTCGATCACCCGGATATTGGCGGTACCAGCAGCGCTGACGCAACAACGACAACAACGACACCCGCTGGAGAGCGACTCCCGCTGACCCATGATCCGATTATGTGGATCCGCGTCGACCCTGACATGGAGTGGGTCAGGGGGGTATTCTGGCGCCAGAATGAGCGAGCCTGGGTTCGTCAGCTTGCCGGAGAACGCGACGTATCAAGTCAGATGGACTGCTGTGATGCTCTTTATCTGCATGCAACCGCAATAGGTGTGCGCGGTCTCGCAGAGCACGGCCTCCTGAATGAACAGGTTCACTATCGTGTGCGCAGCGCTGCAGCGGCAAGTATTGCCCGCTGGGGTGGTAGCGAAACCCGCTTTCTCGGCCTTGAAATACTTGTAGACTTTTACGCGAATCGGTACCTTGTTGGTGAGGACCAAGTGCTTCCTCGTTCGGATGCCAAGGAGGATAACCATTTGGCGAACGTCGACGCCTCGGATGCACTGGTAGGTAGTCAGGCAGACGCAGCGACGACAGCGGCAACTGCTCCAGGGCGGTTGCAGGAGAAGCGAGCAAGGCTCGGGCGCGAGTGGCTGCAACGACTTCCACGACCGCTGGATTTCAGTCGAAATCTGGCGGAATATTTTTTGCAAAGAGCTATGTTGCGAGCCCTCGGGGGCATTCGGGTCGCGCAAACTGGTGAAGGCGCTCAGCGCACGCCTACCGATCTATTTGCGTTGCTAGATCACGTGCTGCGTTTTCATAACAACGAAGCGAATATGTTTGACGATGCGTATTTTCTACGGGATGCTTTGCTGGCTTTTGCCTCTGCGTCCAGTACCAATGAAGGCTTGCGCACCATGGAGGTGGCACGCTGCATCGAACGCTTTCTGAACCGTGATCGACTGTTCCCGAGTCATCAGCGAGCGCTCACTGCCGGTTGTATCGAGGCCGCAGCCGAGCTGGTCTCCATCCAGCGGCAATGTGTAACGTCCGACCGCTCGTCATCCGAGGCAGTTCGTATTCAGAACGATTTCGAGCGTCTCGTTTGGAGTACATTGCTTGGTCCAGTTAGAGTCGAGCTCGATCGGTTCGATGAGGCGCCCACTCGATCTCGATTCGAGCAGTACCTGGCCCGCGTCTGGTGGCTCCATCGTCCGTTTCGAGCGGCAGTCGAGGGTCTCGTGCGAACGGCCGGTGATCGTCCCGAAGTGGTTCGATCGCTGCTGGTTATTGCTGCGGTGGCACCGGAGCCGCTCTATCCGGTGTTGGTTTTGCGAGCCATGTGCAAGTTCGCTTCTCGAACGACAAAGCTGGCGATTTTGCTTCGCAGCGAGCACGAAATGGCTGCGGTGGCGGTTCGTCAAGTTCTGCGCCTCTTTGCGAGGTATCGTCACCCGGTTGCGAGGCAGGCTGCTGTGGAATTCTTCCGAACCATGTGGGGCTTTGGGGAACCGGCGCCGCTGTTAACTCGTGACGAGTACGGACGTCGCTTGAAGATGCGCTCCCTGGGTATGCACGCGCATGATGCAGTGGCGGGGTCGCGTGCTAGTCTGATGCCCCCAGAGCGTTTCGAAGCACCGTTGATTATTCGGGTCCCGGCTGTAACTTCCAGGGAAGCTACTGACGAAGCGCCAGCAAACTCGGACCGGGCTGGGCAAAGATACCATGGCTCAGCGGTAACCGCAGATGCCGGATCGGTGCCGGCGGGCAGCGGCGCACCCGAGCCCGTGGTCGTTGTGCGGCTGCCTCCGATGGAGACCTCGGGAGCGTCGAGCGTCTTGCCAAACTGCGATTTCGAGGACCAAGTGTACTTGAATTATGCGCGAACGAAGCTGTTCGGTGAGGAGTCTTCGACCAACGATCAGGAGACATAGTTTGTTTCGTGCGGCAGCTTTGCGGTCGAATGCAAAGTGCTTGTCTGGTCGGCATCGGATGCAGGCGCGCAGGAACGGCGTTGTCCGCCGCGCAACCGCCATCGTCTGCTTCTCTTGGTAGCCTTGCGATCTTTCGTGGAATGCTTTTCCTCGATGTGTAGAGCATAGAATCATGAAGAGTAAGCATGTGGCGCTCGATGGTACTGGCAACAGAACGCAACACGCCGAACGGAGTCAAGCTGTGTTACACGCACGGGTATCGTGCTGGATCCTAAACGAGCGACAAACGGCGCTCGCTGCGTGTTCCTTCATTGTTGTGAGGAAAGGAGCGCACCAGCTTCCACACACGGGATGTGGATTCGTGTTGTCCAGGTACGCCGCTGTGCCAAAGCGGAAAACGAGCCAGGGACAGGCCTCAGCTCGATAGGGCGCTCAATGAAAACCACTCGGACCGCAAGTCGTATGCAGGCTGTCCAACCGCTGTCAACGTGCTTTGTTCAGGTTCAGAGCGGACACTGAATAGTGTGTGTGTGTGTGTGTGCTTACGTACACGTTCGCATGCCGGGGCGTTCACGGAATCCAGCTGTTCATCCCGGGGCAAGAGGTGCCTGCAACACTAGCAGATCAGCGTCCCGCTGCAGCATGCTGAGCGTCTACGGTTACAATGGAGTATTCCAGGAACCCCTGGTGCGACGAATTCTGACTGCATGGTTACGGTACCATGTTCACGTCAACAGGTGCAGAGCTGTCGAACGAACGGCCTTCAGGCATAGGTTCGGCACCATCGACCTACGTACGTGTCTTCGTAGATGCGTGCATATGTATAGATGCGTGCATGTATACGTGTCTGCATAGATGCGTGCATATGTATAGATGCGTGCATGTGTATATATGTGTGCATATGTATATACGTGTCTACACATACATGCGTGTTCGTCAACTGAGCGATCATCATGCACGCATGCCCCGACATGCATCATGGAGGAGCATCCGATCATTTTGATGACACGCTGCATCGCGATATTCATCGTAAGGCGAACTTGTTGGCGTTGTCTAGCGACAGTTCGAGGACAACACCAGCATCGTGGGATGAGTCGCTCTAGTGTCGTAGAGCGGGCCCGCTCGAAAACGACCGAGGTATTTCACCCGATCGAGGAACTTGAACAGCAAGGTGTGCTCGCGACAGATGTGAAAAAACTGCGCGAAGCTGGCATTGTGACCTGTCTGGGCGTTTTGCAGCGTCCGCGGCGCTTGCTCCTTGACATCAAGGGCCTCTCAGAGGCCAAGGTGGACAAGATCATGGCGGCGGCCAGGACAGCCGCCGGTGACGTCAGCTACCGCAGCGGTACAGAGTGTCTGGCGGTGCGTCAGCGTGTTTTTCATCTCCGAACGGGCAGCGATGCACTCGATACGCTACTCGGAGGTGGACTCGAGTCTGCTTCGATTACCGAAGTCTATGGAGAATATCGCTGTGGTAAGACCCAGCTTTGCCACACGCTGGCTGTGACCGCTCAAGCAGCGGACGAGTCGCATGCCGGCAGAGTCGTCTACATCGATACCGAGGGCAATTTCCGCCCGGAGCGCATCCGCGCGATCGCAACGCGCTTCAGCATCGATGCCGATGACGTGCTCGAGAATATTGCGCACGCGCGCGCCTACACCACTGATCAGCAGCTGGAGCTGCTGCGCGAGGCAGCGGCTCTCATGTGCGAGTCGCGCTTCGCCTTGGTGATTGTAGACTCGGCGACGGCGCTCTATCGCGTGGACTATAGCGGACGTGGGGAACTCAGTGCACGCCAGCAACATTTAAATCAGTTTATGAGTACGCTTGGCAAGCTCGCCGAGGAGTTCAACGTCTGTGCCCTGGTTACGAATCAGGTACAGGCGTGCCCGGATGGCGCGGCGGCTATGTTCTCCTCAAATCCATTGAAGCCGATCGGCGGTCACATCATGGCACATGCATCGACCACGAGACTGGCACTCCGGAAAGGACGCGGCGAGCAGCGCATCGCAAAGCTGGTGGATAGTCCTTGCCTACCCGAAGGCGAGGCTACTTTCGAAATAAATGCCGGTGGTATTGCGGACGCGGCAGACTAGTTGGCCATGCGCATCGCGGTGCAATCGTGGTCAGTGTGTGCAGGGCCGGTGCGATGGCGCAGCGACGACTCGGGTCGCCACCTCACACTACCGACCGGTAGTCTCGAGTCGGCGCCAGCGACGGTGCGACAGCCACCGCCGGTGGCCTCGGGTACGAGCCATGCGCGGCGCCAGCACGCTACGTGCACACAGCCGCCATTCGTCTGTTCGATGCGCAGCGTTGTGTATAGTGCAATGTCCACGAATAGAATCGGAACTTGCGCGAGGCATAAGCGCCTTCTGCAAACGCGAAAGAGGCTCCCGCTGGACCCCGCAAGCCTCTGCAATTGACCGGCTCAGATGCGGGTTCCAGTCCCGAAGACAGGAAACATCGATCCGGTGGCCGCCCGGAGATGCCGCCCCCGCCGCTGTGGTGTGCGGGCGCCGGCGCCATGCGCGAACGCATCAGTGTCCATCATGGAACATTTTTATCTATCGTGTATAGGATTCCAATGCGGTCGCGCGCACCCCGGGGCTCAGAACCTGCGTCCTATTTCAAATCGCCTGCAGGTTTGGCGCTCTCGCCCAGCGACTTGTCCGAAACGAACGCTTGGCGCATCATGCTCACTCCAGAGGACTCTGCTGTACTACGACGACTCGCTAATATGACGAATGATGAATGCGTACCGGAAAAACACCTCGATTCTGAGGATAGAATCGTTCAACGGCAGCTGGAGTTCTCGCTCTTGACTCCGGAGCGCAGGGAGCGCGAACATAAGAACTTGAAGGAAACGCGCGGCACTAGAGCACCCGGGAACCAGTGCACCCTGTCCAATACCCGTACCGAAATCGAGTCGTCGTCAAACGCGAGGAATCACGGAAAGCGTCATACGTCACGAACCGGGCGTGCAGTGCTTCGAGAGCTGCAGAACCAACCTTCGGAACTCGCGCCGGCGGGAAAACCCGCAACCCCAGGAGGCACAGCCTGTTTTGCAACACCGAGCCGCCCTGGAACCAAGTCTCGGAAAGCCTCGGCCCGCAATCAGCAGAGTCGACGCCGTCCAGTCCGCGCACCCGGGCAAGGAACGACCAAAGAAGCCGTGGTGGTCGCTGACAAGTCCCGATGGTCCCGAGCGCGCACGCTCGAGGAACAGGGTTCACCCGGCGACTTTCGCTCCCTCATCGAAGAGAGCCCTCGGCATATTCTGAGGAGGCCCTTTGAGCCGTCGCATCCACATTGGGAGATTTTGCGCTTGAGAGAAGCACTCGAAAAGGAGAAAGAACGAGCCCAAGCCCAAGAGGCCTACGCTGCAAGCGAACGTGCAGAACGCTGCGCCACCGAGATGGCGTATCATCGACTCTTTCAAGAATGTAACAGTTTGCGCCAGAATGTGAATCACCTTGAGCAAGCGTTGCAAATATTACAGGTTGATTTACAGGAAGGCTTGAACGACCTCGTCCGGTGCCCCGAAAGCTATCGAACGACCATCGAGCATCGCCTGCGAGAAATGATGGATACTGTTCAGGTAGCGATCTATGCACTGCGGAACCAAACCGCTTACGTGCGCCAGCCGCTCGCTGCGTCACAAGGCATGCGCTCCTCGAGGACGAGAAACGATGTGACATCCCCGGATCACGCACCTCTGGTTTCCTCGCCTCATGATTCTGAACCTTGGCATGTTTGGTGGCCAGCACAGCAGCTGAGTCCTCCTCGAGCAGCAGCGCATCTGGATCCACGTGAGGAATCGTCGCCAGATGCTTCTAAGCTGCGCTCATCCGGATCGCCATGTGCCGCGCAAGTCTCTCGACAGGCAGTGAAAGCTGATGAGCGCAGCGTGTTATCTACTGCGCAAGCACATGTACACATGGAGCCTGTGGATCCTTGCACGAGTCGTGTTCCGTCGAATAGGCCACATGCAGCAGCGGGAGCTAAGCGAGAAGGGGCACCGCTCGTGATGCCTCCTCCCAATCAAGTCGCGTCACCGGAATCATCATGTGACGGTATGCCGGCCCCTGAACTGCTCCTTTTCGGAAACGTGCAGTCTACAGCAGCGCCCCAGACAAAAGAGTCCGGTTCAAAAAGCGATACGCATAACATCCATGGACTCTTGGTACACCTCGACGCTTCGTAAAATGTATTTGCAGCGACAGGAGTCTGGTGCGCGCCGCCACCCAGCTGCTGGGCAATGTTCCGATGCAGTTGCGATTGCCTCGTTGCCCGGCATTCGAGTCCATGAATCATGCGATTGGCCTGCCATGACAAGAGATGTCGTCCAAGTGATCTGCAGAGTGATTGACCACAACTAGGCAGAACGGAAGCGATCTGACTCACATTCCATGGTGACAGATGTCGTCCGAGTGATCTGCAATGTGAATAATCGCATCTAGGTAGAATGGACGTGCTCTCTATCGCTGCTGTCAGCAGCAATGTCTATCGACTGCGATTTTCGCGGTCAAACATGCAAGTAATCAGCATTTTGCCATAAGCGCCTGCGCCTCCTGCGCAGATGCCGCTTCAAGTTACTCACCAGAGCAGAGCATTCGTTTTGCGCGCTTGCAACAGAGCTCACTCGCGCAGCTACGATCAGTACGCTTCACCATGCAACCCAGCCACTTTTGAGGGAACAGTCCACGGGGCCAAAGTGGCAGAACCTCGACACGCCCATGCTCATGGTACAAGCTGCACAGGCGCAACGACTAGCGCACACTTTCACACTTCGAATAGCCGCTTTATTGGGCGCCCGTCTCCCACAGCACGCACCGCTACGCGTTCATGCCCCAGGTTCGTGCTCATTCTGAGGCGACGTCGATGCACGCGCAGACTCCAGCACGCGACGTAAACGCTCACGGATTTTTCTTCGGTTATACGGAACGGAACCCGGTGAAGGTGCATCCGGCAAGAGTCGAGCGTCAATCGTTACGTTCGGTGGTATCTCGTCCATGCTGGAGACGCCGAAGAAACGCTGTAAGCGCCAGGCTCGCCATGCGGCGGTGTCCCTACCTTCGCGAACCGCCAGATCCCGATCAAGTTTCGCAAAGAGGTAGAGCAGGTCCCTAACTGTAGCGCTTTGCGCCACTGCAAGCGGGTTTGGATGAACACGGCCTCGGTAGCGCTGCACCAGGTACTGCAAGAGGCGCACCGTGAAACTCGCGTCGCGCTTTGCAGGTCTCCCGTCACCGGTATCCAGCGAGTCTTCGAGCTGTAGATCCGGAGCGCCCAGTCCCCGCCGCAGCTCGTCCAGCGGTGCAGTCTCCAGCGTTGCGTCACCTGCGCTTGTTGCCGAAAAGCCTCTGATCGCTCCCGTGTTCGATAAAACGCGCCCAAGAGGTCGTCCCTCCAGGTCACGCTGCACGTATCGCAGCAAGCTGCTGTGGACGCTAGATGCAGACGTGCTCGCGCTGGTTAGCGCGCAGAGACTGGGGGCTCTTCGCCTGTCTGCGTGCGACAGCGCCACCGGGACACGCTGGGTTGACGGGTGCCTCGTAACAAGTCGCTCACCTATCTCGTACCGCAAATCCGCCGAGCGGAACCAGCGCATCAGTTTCATCGCTTGATGTATGAGCTTATTGTCCAATAATATGGATCGCTTCTGTTTTTGTGAGAATACGCCAGCCTGAAGACTCGTGAACGTAGGTGCTGCGGTCTCGCCGTACATGCAACACGCGCCGCTCCAATTGTCGCCGCCTTCGACACCAAAAACAGACGAAAACGGAAAAGGCGCTTTCGACTGCGTTGCAGCAGCGTCGCTTCGCCTCGTGTCTCTGGTTGGGCGGGCCCCAGTGGACTCGCTGTGGTGTCCCGTGGCGGTTCCGGGGTCAAAGTCGACGGGACAAGCGCTCCAGGAAGCGCTTGGCCTGCTGTGCGTAACGGGTACGACGTCAGCGCATGGCGGGTGCGTCTCCGGTGCGTGTCCTGGTGTTCAAAGGGTTTCCCGGTGTCGGGAAGACGACACTGTCGCGTGCGATAGCAGAGCGTCTCAGAGCGCCGCGCTTTGACAAGGACGACTTGAAAGATGTGCTGTACGGCGCGAACGTGCTCCCCGAGGAGCGCTGCAACGATCTCTCGAAACAGTTACTGTGGAGGCTCGTTGCGGAACAGGTGCAATTGGGTGTGCCCTACATACTCGTAGACGCTCCGTTTCGGTTTCGTGCGGATTTAGTCGCCCTGATGACGGCGATAAGGGAGCGCTTGCGACCTTCACTTGTCGAAGGGAAAGTTGCGAACGCTTCTCGAGTCAGACGAGTGGAACTTCGCATTGTGAACTGCCAACTCACAGACGAGGTGGAATGGAGACGTCGAATTGAGTACCGGGGGCGCCAGTTGGGCCCTTCGGAGACGCATCGGCCGTGTAGCTGGGAAGCCGTTCAGAAGCTACGTAATGAATCAGATTCATTCAAGATACTGGAAGACGATTTATGGACGGGCGGTTCGGGAATAAACCGCGAGAACCAGCATGCTGACGAGAACCGTGATAACGAAGGCCCAGATGGCCCGATTCGCTTGCTCTGGTTGGAAATGGACATGTCGAGTCCAGCACTTGATATGCTCCTGGCCTGGTGCCGGCCCGAGGCAACTGCGGCAACGCGAGAATCACCGGATCCGTAGACTTGGTTCATGGGACACTGCGAGTTTTGCCGACGCTGACCAGAGCGTCTGCCGGCAACACATGCGATACCTGTTCGTCGCCGATGTTGCTGCTGCATGCGCGTAGCGACGCCAGCAGCACCTGCGAAGGGGCCTTACATGGTGATGTCGAAAATCGTGCATACGGTACTGGTATGCAGCGTATGCGTGCCCCATGGAAGGTCCCGCCATAGACGATGCACAAATCCGGGGGGCGGGTGAGGCCTCGGGAACCTGGCCTGGACTGCGCAATGAGGACCTCCCGCTGCCTGGGGGTGTCGGGTTCTGACGATGAGCAGATGCCGGTGACGCTCCGGAACGATACATCTGAAACGAATAGGTGCTACCGCGTATGGACTCGAAATCGCGGGCAGTATCCATGGCGCTGGTCGCGAGCTCCCCGTGACATTGAGCCCGATGACCTTCACCCTCGGCATCGCCGCTGCGCATGCTCACCAGCGACGTATCAACGCCTCTTTGGGCATTCAAGTGCGCGTCAAGCATCGAATGTATTGTGCATCGGCTATCGAGACGTGGATATCTGCGATCAACCTAGAAAACAGTACCTATTCTCGATGGAGCGTGTCATCGCTGGTGCCTGACTGCACTTCTCGAACCGTCTCGCCTACGCAGCGCCAGTTCTCGGCTGGATCCGGTATCGAGTGAGCGCCGTACTCTCTCGGTATCGCATTGTATCATGGCGTTTTCGCTGGGGTGTGCAGGATCACTGACGCGAACCCGGGATTCCCTATAATCGCAATGCGTATCGGCACGCTCGTTTTTGTTGAGCGGGCGTGCGCGCACACATGGATCCAGAGCATTGACGCCTTCGCTGCGAGCGCGTTCATTCGGAAAGTGTGCAGCTGCTTCTGAGCCTCTTTTGTAAACGAAAGCACTACCCGTGAGGTGCATACGACTCTCAGCCACGTTCGAAACGAAATCAGTCCCTCAGAAGCTCTTTTCAAACGTGCTGCAAACTCAGTTGGATGCGCTGTGCGACACACCGCAGCATGCGCCTCCTGCAGCACATGGACCGTTGCTTGGGTAACTTAGACCCCAACTCGGCATGATCTATGCATAGACGACACTTTTCCAACGCTGTAAACATGATGCATACATGGATCCAATATCCGAGCGTTGGCTGTGTCTCGATCCGTGATGGCAGTTGACGGGGACGCAGCCGGGATGTAGTTGCGAGCTCCGCCGTCGCACCCGCTAGTTTATGTAAAAATTTGAGCTACCGTATGAATTCTGGATTCTACCTACCCGCTCGAACGGAGCGAGTTGCTCGACCCTAGTCTTCCATGGTACACATGGATGCTACGAAGCACTTGCCAGCGAACGCTCTACGGATAAAGAGGCACGCACGCATGCACGCTGTGCAACGTGTGCGCATCGGAGGCGGAAACACGAGCTGACGCCCCCTGTGTGTGGTACGGCAACGCCGCTCTGTCTCCGTGCAGCGACCGCACCGACGCTATAGGCGCTATTGCGGTCGCTTTCGGCAGGCACTTGGCACACACAATAGGACGTGTGAAACGACCAGAATATCCGAGACGAAGTATAGGTCAAGTAACATGGAAGTAGGGCGTTTGATGGATACCTCACCGCGCACTGAAAAAAAAGAAAGAAAAGAAAAAAGCGCATAATCGGAGAACGCTGGCCTAAGGAAACGTGTTGTCCATGAAGAAGAAAACACTGGAGGCGGAAGTACGATGCGGGCAGGGCGCGCGCCACGCGGCAGTCGCCCCCGCAGCGCCCTGGAACGTGTCGATCGCCCGCTTCACCGATACCGTTACTACTGCAACGCCTGGCGCTGCGTCTATGCAGACGCTGCTCAAGCTTATCGGAAAGGAGTCCCGAGACTTGCCCTATCGCGTGACACGCACCATTCCTCTTGATGATCCGGCGCAAGTCTGGACTGTTCACGATGCTGTTTCGACTCGCGACGAGAACGCTCCCCCGGTAACGCTGTTTCGTTTCGAGCGGCGACGACACCACGGAAGCCGGGCGGACGTCTGCGAGCATCTCGCGAGGGCAGGCGTACAGCGGCTTCGAACAGTGAGACATCCGGATATTTTGCGGTTTGTTGACTCGTCGGAACTATCAGCTGGCGCAGCTCAGAGCGAGTCTCTGCAACTGGTGACAGAAGCAGTTGTTCCGTTGCAGTTTGTGTTGCGTTCTGATCCAATTTCGCTGACCGCGGAGACGATTGTATGGGGTTTATTTTGTATAGCGAGAGCTCTGCACTTCATTCATACAGAAATGAAGTCCGTTCACGGTCGGCTATCGCCGGCTACGGTTTTCGTGACAGCGGGAGGCGACTGGAAACTCGGCGGCCTGGAAGTTCTCACCGAGTCGGCGCAGTGGCAACGCCTGAGCGAGGCGCGGCACTTTCAGTTCGCCAACTACTGGCCTCCAGAACTTCATACGCCCGTCCCGCCTGCTACCGCGATACCGACGCACGCGTTGGACGCATGGGCTTTTGGATGTCTCATGTATGAGCTTTTCTCGGGCGGCCAATACCAAACAGTAGACGATTTGCGTCGTATCCAGGTCATTCCAGAGAAGCTGCGTTCCGTTTATTCGCTATTTTTAGCGGCTGATAGCGCGAAACGCGCAGCGCTCCAGTCGTTTCTCACACAAGAGCACATTTTGCAGATGCCGTTCGTGCGTCTCAATCTAGCGCTCGACCGTCTGCAGCTGAGCGAGCACTGGGAAAAACGCAGCACCATGGAGTCTTTACTAGAGTCACTAGACAAACTGCCGCCATCGTTTTGTGTCTACAAGGCAGCACCACTGCTGCAGCAGGCCATTGACTTGGGCGTTGCGGATCCAGCTGCCATACGCGTGGTGTTACGCATTCATCGTCGTTTCGAGAACCGACAAGGACCGGAAACACGTGCATTCATGGAAGCGGTTGCACGCTGGCTACGCGCCAGTCCGATCGACGTCCGGAATGAAGTTGCCCAGGCACTGGACTGGCTGGTCGAGCGTGCAGATACGAGTCAGTTGAATGAGATTTTGTTTCCGGCGATGGTGGCCAACTTGCCGCGCCAAATCACGATCCAAACAGGGACAGCGTCGACAACATCGCAGAGCACGTCGGATCCAAGAGCGGGGTCACCCAGCGCGATGGAGCAGGTCGTACCGCTGGCTTTGCGGGACATGGTACTCAAGACGATCGCCCGGATAGCTCCGCGTTTGAGCGAACGGAATCGCAATCACGTCCTGATGAACCATTTCGCCAAGTTACAGCTGGATCCGGAACCGGCAATACGAACGAATACTACGATTTGTTTGGGCAAGATCGCGACCCTTTTGAGTGCGACGACGCAGAAGAAGGTGCTTGTTGCGGCGTTCACGCGAGCGATGCGCGACTCATTCCCGCCCGCGCGCGCTGCGGGCATCGCAGCCCTAGAGGCGACCGCTGACCTCTACGCTCGGGATGATATGGTGAGTCGAATTCTGCCGGCGCTCTGTCAAGGACTCGGCGATAAAGTCGCTGATGTGCGCGAACAGGCGTTTCGCGTCACAGACGCCTACCTGCGGCGTTTACGCACCATGCATGAGCAGGAGAAAGAACGAGAGGATCGCGAGCGCGTCGCCGAGATTCAGCCTGGCACGAGCACGGCGAGCGCGCTCGGGGCCAGAGCCGCCGCATCGAAAAGCGACCGCGCAGGATCGTGGCATTTCGCATCGCTCGCAGCCTCGCTGGTCGACGTATTCGATGCTACGAAGCAAGAACACGCTGCGGGCACATCGCTGAACCGGGCGAGCCAAGCGAATCACGCCGAAGCGGACAGACGCTCCGCTGTTGCAGGTGCTGCTTTGAAACCCAGCGCGCTCAATGCCGAAGACAACGCGCTACTGTCGATCACGCGTGAGACGCAAGCCAGCTCCGCGACACCGATGAGCGCACGCGATCGAGGGACGCGGCCCGAGGCGCCTCCAAATGCAGCGCGCCTCTCAGCGGAGCAGTTTGCCGCACCGATCGCATCGCCCAGTGCGGACACGCATCGACCTGCGGCGCTGTCCAGTACAGCGGTGCACGCATCGATGTCCAGTTTGTCCAGATCCACACGTGCGCCTTCGGCATCGCTCTGGGAGGCGGCGCTGGCGGAGGAATGCATGCGCACTGCGGAAGCGGCACGTTGCCGCGATGCGCCAGCGGCGATGCGTACGCGCTCGAATGCGGGCGCGCCTGCTGCTGCTGCTGCTGCTGGAGGCGCAGCAGTGCAGCAGCCGCAGGGACCTGCAACGGAGCCGCTGGCGTCGGTACCGGACGCGAACGACTGGGCGCTGGTGTTGAACAGCGCGGACGCACGGCGACGGCGAGCAGTCAAGCTGGGTGCCATGCGGCGGTCGACGTCGTGAACGACTTGCGTAGGCACGTGGGGGTGCGTCTCTGGTCGACAGGGGCGCGGTGGCGTACACCGAAGCAGCTGTGGCGGCAAGTGCTGACTGCTGGGTCGCGTTTTTGTGGCGTGCATCAGGCCGCAATGACTTGTATGCATATCTGGTGCAGCGAACGGAACCGCATACGTTGGCGAAATACCCGCCTGGTGCCCCGCTCGCCCCAGACGATGACGCTGCGTACGGAGACAAGCGCGCCGCCCGCTGCTCTGTGTCCAGCGACACGCAACCCCGGGGGGAATCCCGCCGCATCTCCTCCAGCAGCACCTGCCTGTTGTCGCGCGCGCGACGTTCACGCTGCGCGGCAGACTGCAGGAGCTGGTGCCGCTAGTGCTCGGATCCAGCTCGCTATGCGAAACAGTGCCGATTTCGCCACGCCGACTTTGACTGGATTGTATCAGCCACTGAACAGCGGCGCCTATAGCTGTACCAGGGGCATCAGGTGCCGGTCTTTGAGCAACGCGCTCCCTGAACGCGGTGCATGGGCGTGAGCGTGCTCGAGACCGGGCGGCGTTTCGAAACCACCCGTCTATGCCGCCGCGCCGTGCCCGAGTCGCGCTGCGACCTCCTGGCCTGTCTGTAGACAAGAGGCGAATGACCCTGGATTACCTCGGGATGCGGTTCGTACCGAGTAGGTTACGGGGCGCCGACGTTCACCGCTCGTCTGAGCATGCGGTTTCTAGTAACGCATTGTCGTGAGAAGAAAACGCCTTTCCTTTCTGTTTAAACGGTAGTACGTCGTGAATCTCACTATCAGGGGAAACCAATGCACTGCTGCTGGCAAAAGCGCTGCACTGGGGAAGCGGACCGCGAGGGCGGTCGGTCGGTCGGTGCTCAGGCTTTGCCGGCTGCTACCAGGTCCGCCCGAATCTTGTTCAAGGCGCTACCGTGACGGAACCATTCGATCTGAGCCTCGTTGAACGAATGGTTGACTTTGAGCTCAAGCTGCGACCCATCCGCCTTTTCAACGCGTAACGTTAACGGTTCATCTGGACGGAACTTGGTCAGTCCGAGGATACTGACCCGATCAGAAGGGTCGATCTTGTCATAGTCCGCGGGGTCCTGGAACGTAAGCGGCAGCATACCCTGTTTCTTCAGGTTGGTCTCATGGATACGTGCAAAGCTTTTCGCGATGATCGCGACTCCACCGAGATAGCGGGGCTCCAGGGCGGCGTGCTCCCGCGAGCTCCCCTCGCCGTAGTTTTCGTCGCCGACCACGACCCACGGAATGCCGGCTTGCTTGTAGGCCCGAGCAGTTGCGGGCACCGGGCCATACTCACCGTTGAGTTGGTTCTTCACGAGGTTCGCTTTGCCGTTTTCCGCATTGATAGCTCCAATGAAGAGATTGTTCGAAATGTTGTCCAGATGGCCGCGGTATTTGAGCCACGGCCCCGCCATGGAGATATGATCCGTGGTGCACTTGCCCTTGACCTTGAGGAGAATGAACGCCCGTTCGATATCTTTGCCGTTCCAAGCCGGGAACGCTTCCAGCTGTTGCAACCGTTCGCTTTGCGGATCAATGCGAACAGCGACGCTCGAGCCGTCCCCCGGAGGTGCCTGGAACGTGTCCCGTCCGGGGTCAAAGCCGCGAGCCGGCAACTCATCCCCGCTTGGACTCTGCAGTTTGAACGGCTTTCCTGACTGATCCGTCAGCACATCCGTAACCGGATTGAAATCGAGTCGTCCGGAGAGCGCAAACGCAGTCACGATTTCCGGGCTCGCCATGAACGCATGTGTAAGCGGATTCCCGTCATTGCGCTGCGCAAAGTTGCGATTATACGAAGTGATAATGGTGTTTTTGACGCCCTTTGGTACATCCTGTCGATTCCATTGGCCGATACAGGGCCCGCATGCATTCGCGAGAACAACACCACCGATCGCTTCAAACAGCTGTATCATACCGTCGCGCTCAATCGTCGAACGAACTTGCTCTGAGCCCGGAGTGATATGGAAAATCGTCTTCGCCTTGACACCGTGATCGATTGCCTGCTTGCAGACCGAAGCCGCTCGCATCATGTCCTCATAGGATGAGTTGGTGCACGAGCCTATCAGGCTGACCCGGATCTCAGCAGGCCAATCGTTTTGCTTGACAGCGTCCTTGAGCTTGCTCAACGGATGCGCCAAGTCGGGTGTGAAGGGACCGTTCACATGCGGCTCCAACTCGCTCAGGTTGATTTCTATCAGACGATCGTAGACTGCGTTCTCGTCGGCGCGCAGCAGGTCGACGTACTTGTTGGCCAGTTCCGCGATCGCGTCACGACGAGTGGCTTTCAGATACGCCTCCATTCTTTTGCTGTAGGGAAAAATCGAGGTTGTCGCACCGATTTCGGCACCCATGTTGCATATGGTACCCATGCCCGTGCAGGAAATCGAATCGACACCGGGGCCAAAGTATTCGATGATGCTGCCGGTGCCGCCCTTGACCGTAAGGATTCCCGCAACCTTGAGAATAACGTCTTTCGGAGCAGTCCAGTCGTGGAGTTTGCCAGTGAGGCGCACGCCGATGACCCGCGGTGCCTTGAGTTCCCACGGGAGCCCAACCATAACGTCCACAGCGTCGGCGCCCCCGACACCGATAGCCGCCATCCCTAAACCGCCGGCATTCGGCGTGTGCGAGTCGGTACCGATCATAAGCCCGCCCGGGAAAGCATAGTTCTCCAGTATGATCTGATGAATGATACCAGAACCCGGTTTCCAAAAACCCATGCCATACTTGGCGGCCGCTGTTGACAGAAAGTCGTACACTTCACGATTCTGCTGAACTGCTCGTTCGAGATCCTCCTTGGCCCCACTCTGGGCGGTAATCAAATGATCGCAATGGATGGTGGTTGGTGCCTGGGTGCGCGAAATCCCCGCCGACATGAACTGCAGCGTTGCCATTTGTGCTGTTGCATCCTGCATCGCCACTCTATCCGGATGCAAGTGTAAATAGGACTTGCCGCGAACGAGCTCTGCTGTTTCCGGATTCGACAGGTGTCCGTACAGGATCTTCTCCGCCAACGTAAGCGGCCGATCGAGACGTTTCCGAACCACCGCGACATTCTGGCGAATGCGCTCATAGACCTCTTCGAGACTCGTATCCGGTTCATAGCGTGAAAGCGGCACCTTGGCCATGGGTGTGGACGCGTGCAGCTGCCGTTTCAGCGTCTGCTTGCCGCCAGGGACGCCGTACGACCCCCCAGTGCCGACCGCCTTGAATAGAGCGAGCTGCTGCAAAGTAGCCCGCCTTGCACCGAACGTTTGCGATGACTGGTGGACCAAGCGTGTGCTCGTGGAAACGAAACGATGATCCTGCGGACCCGACTCCCGTAACCTGCCCAACAGACTACGTGTCGTCGTTGCTGAAGTTGCGAAAAGCGCTGCGCGTTGCCCCAAGGCCGCTAAAGGCATCAGCACGATCGTAATGACTCGTCTTTCAAGCGAGAGGCTGAAACCCTTTCAGTTTCCGCTGCCCTATCCAGGCTAGCGAGGAACGAGTCCTAGTGCAAACCTGGTCCCTATACGCGTCGAAGAAGCGTACGGGAGCTGAGCAGCGTTGCAATGGAGGATGCGTCGCAGCGAGAGCCGTTGCAACGCGGCGCGCCGCAGACCGCACGCGCGATGCATCGAGAACACGAGGCTGGGGGGCTAATGCAAGGCTTTGTAGTCGTATGTGTGGGTGCTTTGGGGTGACCTGGAGTTTGCGGGGCGGCGGGGTGGGCGCACGAAACAAGTGCAACTGAGTAACAAGGACGTGTACAATAAAGGATCGCGATTTTCGATTGTGGACAATATAGGTATTTGAGGGATTTGCTCTGTAAATAGATTCTTCACCGTTCTCTTACGAGCGGATTGCGATACCTTGGACGTCTCTTGTCCTCTAAAATCGTTTTCAGCAGTCAAGGGGTGATGACGGTAGCGCTCAAGTCCCGAGTTCACAGCGTCCTGCAGTTTTTCACGTATTGCATGCATAGACGCAAGTCACAGTTCCCATGTCTTCTTCGTACACAAGCTGAGTGCGTCCTTCACACCAGTGACACTCGGCTGTGGTCAGCAGGTGATCGAATACGTCCTCGACAACGCTGCCCCCGCGAGCTGTCCTGCAGCGCGTGAACGCTCGCGGCATCACTCGGTGGATGCCCTTGACGCATACTGGAAACAGCCAGCGAGGCGCTCGCTTCCGTTCCCGAGCCCCGTACGTTACACTGGGATCATGCGCTTCAGCTGAGCGATATCCTCAGCGAGTATTCTGTCGGCTGTGGGTGCAAGCACACGCTGTTCCATTCGGCGGAGGAGTTATGGAATGCGGTCTAGTCCGCCATGAAACGTGTACAGAAACGTACGTTCAAACCGAAGAACAAGCCGATAGACTCCGATCCGTGGACGCTTGTCTCGTACGTAGCGGTGGCGCATGCCCTACTGGTACCGAGTGCTGCGATGACCCCAGTCCGCGTCCAGTACCCTTTTCCATGCGAAAACAGGAGAGACGAGCGCTTCTGGCAGCAGCACCAGCACCAGCAGCACCATCGCGCCCTGAGAAGCATCACGCTGGTACTGAATGTCGGTTCTTCATTGGTCATCACGAAAGGAGGATTTGTTTCCCGAAATCAATCGATCATTTGACGTGACAAGGCCAGTGGACGTTCAGCAAGCGCTCGTGAACAATGCGTCAGAGGACGACACGTCGGGGTTTCTCGCGTTGCGGGCCCCGCTGAACGACTCGCAGTGCGCACACGAGTTGTCTTGAGCCCCAAAAGATAAGATCGATCATGTAGAGATTTCGTGATTTAAACATACTGCATGTCAGAAATGGAGAAGAGTCGAGATACGTGCGAATGAACTGTATCATGGTGTCACTGTATCGGTTGGTTGACGAACACACGTACGAAAGCGTCGTGAAGCATCTTGATATCGGTGACGCCAGGAAATCCAGCAGCCGGGCGTCGAAGAGACCCCCGCGACCAGACCACCGATCATCCTAGAAGTACGAAGGAATCCGTGATCCCCCATTGCTGTACCTGGGCTCTCGATGCTGGACACCTAGAAGCGTTCGGAACTACATCGCCAGGCATGCATGGAGCGTGCAGCTCAGCACTCCATTGTGCATGCAGATCAGATTAGAACCTGAACAAACATAACATTATAGACAAAATCGAGCTTATGTGGACTCGCTCTCCCTGGCGATGGGGGCCCGCCTCCGCCTGGCAGCGACCCGTGGCTGGTGCGCCACCGCTAGAAGCGTCGGCTGCTGCGCCAGCACCGAGCGTGCGGTTACGCTGCAGAACGCCAGCAAGTGTCGTATTCGATATCTGAGGACGTGATCGGATCTTTCGCACAACTTGGCACCCACACGCAAACATTCTAGCTCCGAATCAAACGACGCAAAGGCGAGTCACACGCTGCACCGCTGTCACCTACGAGCGTTGCCGTGCATAGTCCCAGACTGCACGTCCGCTCGAACGACCGCCAGTGTCTGAGCGCCCTCTTTCATGCATCAACTGGCGTTCGCGCACGCTTGGGCGGTGCCCAAGTCACACGCACCGGGCAAACGTGGCGGTTTGCTTCGCTTCACGGACGATCGGCTTTCTCGATTCGCAACGCACAGACTGCGCTGCTGGAATCACCGGCGGATAACACGTCTCGCCGGCTATGCGCAACGCCGCAGTTCCTGCGTTTCCGCTGTAGAGTATGGCGCTCCGCTTTTGCAAACTGAGCTCGTTGCGCAGTCAGTTCTTTCCACCGCGAATCGGGCCAGCGTACGAGTCCCCGCGACTGAGCGCACAATCAACGAGCGCCTCTCCTGGAACACCCTCTCGACATGGACACAGAACGCACGTGAACGGCTCAGAGTGCACCCAGGCCGCGCACTGTCCATCGCTGCGATCACCATACTGGCCATCGCAACGCTCTACCGTTTCATAATGGCGAGACGACGTACCGAATACCTGCTCAAGAGGAAGGCGCTAGGACTAGATACGACGCCTGCAGCAGCAGGGCCACAGTGGCGCCTCCCCGGTGACGAAACAAAAGCCACCGAGAGTGCTGGCCTCGCCCAGCGCATCGCGACCTTCTACGATCTCCAGTCGGAGCTGTGGGAGCAAGTATGGGGCGAACACATGCATCACGGCTTTTACAACGTCGACGGCACTCGGGATGGCAAGGACGATCGCCAAGCCCAGATCGACATGATGGACCGCTTACTCCACTACAGTGGCGTGGATGCGTCCATCCGCTCCGCCATTGGAGCCGGTCATCGACGTCTTCGTGTGCTGGATGTGGGATGTGGCATTGGTGGTGCTTCGCGGTATATTGCACTGCGCTACGGTGCTGATGTGCACGTCACCGGTGTCACCCTGAGCCCGGTTCAGGCCTCGCGAGCGCAGGTGCTCACCCGACAGCTGCGCTTGGAGGATCGCGTCGAGACCGTTGTGGCGGACGCGCTGGCGCTCCCGTTTCCAGACAACGCTTTCGATGTCATCTGGAGTATGGAGAGTGCCGAGCACATGCCGAACAAGTTCCGTTTCATGGAGGAATGTGCTCGCGTGCTGCGACCCGGCGGCATACTCGCCATGACGGCCTGGTGTCATCGGCGGTGTCCGCCTCCGTTTACGGACGCTGACCGACGCATCTATCGCAAGGTATGTGCGTACTACTGCATCCCGTTTCTATGCACTCTGGATGAGTTCGAAAATTATGCCTGGCAATGCGGCCTTGTGGATATCGAGACGGCGGATTGGACACGCGCTACCCTGCCTTTTTGGCCGGCTGTTGCGCGCAGCGCCTTACAGCGAAAAGCGCTTCTAGGACTAGTTGAAGGCGGTTGGCCAGTCATTCGTAGCGCGCTCGCCATCCGTTGGATGATACGCGGGTTTCGTCGAAACCTATTCGTGATTGGTGCGTTACGAGCGGTGAAACCAGCGCCCCGGTGACGCCTAGAGCGTACCTGCATCGCATGCAGCCACCAGCAGACACGGCAAGCGGCCATTGCTTCCGTCTATCGGCATGATTACGATGGATCTAGGCGGATCGTAGGCGTTGTCGCGATTCGGTGCCCGGCTGCAGCTGAGCGAACGCTGTGCGTAGGTGTGCGCGTTCGGAAACAACGGCGCCTAGCTCGAGCCGTATGCATTTGCGCAAAAACCGTCAGAATCACCGACGTCTTCTGGACCTTTCTAGGGTCGCACTCGTCTCGACTCTGGTCAAGCGTTGGACCGTTGGCGAGCGCCCAGTTTCAAGCGTACATGTGCGTCTAGCGTCCGTTCTTAAGCCAGCAGCGCGATCAGGGCGATTCCAGGTCCGCGTGGACCTATTCGCGAGCCGAAGGACAGCGTCTGGTGACACCTGGAAACCTGAGGGAAGCGCTTTCGTGCAACCGGGTACTTGCGCGCCGATGCGCAGGCTTTAGAGCGCATCCCCGCAATGGAGCCCACCCCCGCCGATGGATCTAGCACAGGGCAAAGTCCGGGTCGACGTATCGCCACACGAAATTCCGGAGGACGCACACGGCTCGCCGAACTTCTTTTCGGGAATGGATGCATACAAGCCTCCGTTTCGGCCGAGGCACACAGATTCGGAAGACACATCCGCCATGCCAGGAATGGTTGGCGGATGCGCGTGAACTGGGCGATGGCAAGGTCGCTGGGCCTCCCAGGTCTTGGGCTGCTAGCGGCTATCGCATAGCGGTACTAGCTAAAGCGTATCATTCGCACACAGCAATTAGCGCGGATATCGGACGAGGAAAACGACGAGCCGGTACTGACACACAATTCGCAGCATCTCCTCGAGCTGTATGGGGCGCTCAGAGTGAGCCCGGCAGCTACGCCGCGCACCGAGGCGAGGCACGCAGGCACACGTTGTCTCCGGAACGCAGCACTCGCCGTCGTTTCAGGTTAGCACCAGCATCTGCGGATTGTGACCATCGGTGGCGATGCCATACGCGCTTCGTATGATATCATGGCGCATGTGCGGTTCTGAAAACATAGGATTCCAAAACGCCTGTCTAGCGCAGACCGCGACACAATTGCCAAATACTTTCGTGCATCTGACGGGGCGACGACATACGCGCTACGATGCATTCGAAAATGGCAGCATCAACTGGGGCTAAAGGCGCCAGCGCTACGCCCGGGACAAGTCGAATGCGACGATGCTGCCGTTCTTGGTGCCGCTCGCACCTCCTCCTTATCTCGTGTGTGGACGAATCCTTATGCATCATGTTCCTGACTTCCAGGAGGTGGCGGATACCCAGGCCCAATGGGATAGCCCTTATAATGCGTGGGAAGCTCTCCATATTTGCGATAGTACAGGCCACAACTATTGCAGATTTCGTTCTTGAGACCACGTGGTCCAACTCGCATTAAAGGCGTTTTTGACGGATGTCGACCACAATGGCTGCAGGCTACGACGGGCCGACCCTCAGAGTCAACAGGATTCTGGTTGCGACGCCGTTTGGGGCGCTCTTCGGCCACGGCTTGCCGCGGCCCGAAAAACACAGTGCTGTCCACGGAGCGCTCCCGGAGCGTTGGCGCTGGGGCCAGGCCCCAGCTCAGCCCGGATTTGCGCTGACTGCGACGCATGGCGCGAGCACTGCGATCCTCACGCCGCTCCACCTCTTCGAGTTCCTCCTTGGAGAGCACGCGCACCGCGGGACCCGGAAGCTCCCAATCTTCGCCATCCCGAATCGTTATACGCGGATGCACGGATTCCAGAATGCTTTTTTGGGAGTAAGCGACACCCGCCCAAACGTCCTGCAACTGTTCACGAATCGCATGGGCGATGGCGGTGCTAAACTCTGTTCCAAGGCCCAGTTCTCGACAGAGCATCCGCGAAAACTGCTCGGGATCGCTTTCGAATGAGAGCGCATCCCACTCAAAGGTATCCTGTAGCTGGATATTCCCTATTCGCACATCCAAGGTAAAGAGCAGGCGCAACTCGGAACGATCCGCGAATAGCTCGTGTTCAAAGGGAGAGTACTGCTCTATCTGCTCGCGAATGGCGGACGCAACACCGTTTGCAAGCTCCATAGGTTGCTGCAGATCCCGGAGCAGGTGTGGGGCAAACGTCTCCGGTGTGAGGCGTTCTTCATATTGGTTCCAAAGAAAGGCATCGACAACACGGGCATCGTTCCACTGCACATCGATGCGGATTGGTATGAGCGGTTCCTGTGCGGCACCGCACTGCCCCTGCTTCAACTCGAATTCCTCCGCTTGCCCCGTATCCAGGTTTACCGACTGCACCATTGCAGAAAACACCAGTTTCTACGATACTAGCTCGTGCGACAACAGCGATCAGAAGATAGCGCGTGTCGCCAAGAAATGCGCCTATGTCGGACTAGATGTTTCCTGAAGAATGAAGCACACGCTTGTGAACGAGGCTTTTCGATTCTCGACAGAGAAATGTTCTGGTTCGCAGCTGCTTCCTAGAGAAGCCTGAGCAGTTGTCGCTGTTCTTGCTGGTGTTGTTGTTGCTGCAGCCGCAGCTGCTGAACACAGCCCCCAAGCGCTTCCCCTGCAGTGCAAAGCGGATCGTTGGACACGTGTCCAACAAGCACGCAGGCGCGCTCTGCTGATGCGTGCACTGGCGGGAAACGGACACGCTGCGTGTCCACCACTGCGGGCCACTGCCGAACAGCAGTGGTAACCCCTCGTGTGTCACTGGAGGGCGCGAGGCAATCCCCCCAGACGCAAGTTCGTGTGACTGCGTCAAGTCTCAGTACTTTGACCACTGTCCACGGCCGACAACGTGCTGCCGAAGACGCTCGTGTCCCGAATCGTTCACGCCCTGATTCCTCGCTCGAAAACGTTCCCGTAGCGCACTCGGTTTGCGCTTCACCCACTATTGGCTAGCGTCACCAACTAGCAGTAGCTACACCGCGACAGGTGCGCGTGACTTTTCTCAGACGCCCGTATAGCGCACAACTCGTGCGCGACGCAGTGGTCAAAGTTCCCAGGCGCCGGCGTCAGCAATCCTGCACGTAACGCTGTCGTTGTATACGAGACACCTCCAAGCGTCAGTGGAACACCCAGCGCTGTCCGGGTGCCACCAGGAGACCCACCGGTGCGGCTAGAGAAGAGAGCGACTCGCCTGGAGTTAAAAAGTTCTGCGAAGTACCTTGGACCGAACTTGTGTTACGCGCGCCCGCGTGCCGCGTTCCATCCGCTTCGGCGGTGCGCAGTGCGTCCGCGGCTGCCGTGCCTGCGCTTTCGGCGTCGACGGGGGTTACGCGCTTGTGGTTAGGCTCGCGTTCATGGCGCAGGTTTCTGGTTATCCTCCGATCATTATCCTCAAAGATGACGTGGACGCTTCACAAGGTATCGGGCAGATCATATCCAACATCAACGCCTGCGAGCAGGTTGTAGAGGTGTTGCACAGCACACTGGGCCCGCGAGGCATGGATAAACTCATCCAGGGGAGCGACGGCAAGGTCACTATATCGAATGACGGCGCGACGATCCTTCGAGTGCTCGAAGTTGTGCATCCTGCGGCTCGTTTGCTAGCTGACATCGCCAAGTCTCAAGACGAGGAAGTCGGTGACGGTACCACGTCGGTAGTGCTGCTGGCAGGCGAGCTGCTGCGTCAGGCGAAGGGCTTTCTCGAGGACGGCGTGCACCCACGCGTTATCATCTACGCTTATCGCGAGGCACACCGCATGATCTCGGAGCGCTTGAAGCAGATCGCGGTCGATGTGAGCGGTCAACTGAAGGTCCTGCGCGCCGATCCCGAACGCGTTTCCACAGAAGAACGTGAGGCCGCTCGCGCCCTGCTACAGCGCTGTGCGGGGACGGCGCTCAACAGCAAGCTCATCGCGCAATACCGTGAATTTTTCGCAGGTATAGCTGTTGATGCAGTCCTCGCCCTGGATGATGATCTGGACCTGGACATGATCGGCGTGAAAAAGGTCAATGGTGGCAGTGTGACGGACTCGTGCCTCGTCGCGGGTGTCGGCTTCAAGAAGACGTTCAGCTATGCCGGCTTTGAGCAGCAGCCGAAGAAGATACATCAACCCAAGATTCTGCTGTTAAACTTAGAACTGGAACTCAAGTCCGAGAAGGAGAATGCGGAGGTGCGGGTGCAATCCGCTGCTGCTTACCAGCAAATCGTGGACGCGGAGTGGAATATCATCTACGAGAAACTTGAGAAAATAGTGGCCACTGGAGCTCGTGTTGTGCTCTCCCGGCTGGCAATTGGCGATCTCGCGACGCAGTACTTCGCTGATCGCGGAGTTTTCTGTGCTGGTCGTGTTCCCGATGCCGATCTGCAGCGGGTGGCGCGAGCGGTCGGTGCCCGCGTTCAGACCACTGTTCACGATATGCGAGTGGAAGAGGCTCTGGGTACCTGTGAGTGGTTCGAAGAGCGGCAGGTCGGAGCGGAGCGCTTTAACTTTTTCACTGGATGCAAGGAGGCTCGGTCGGCCACCATTTTACTCCGCGGCGGATCCGAGCAATTCCTCGATGAAACCGAGCGTTCCCTACACGACGCCATCATGATTGTCAGACGTACGCTCAAGTACCCCGAGCTGGTGGCTGGTGGCGGCGCTGTCGAAATGGAGCTCAGCAAGTTTCTGCGGGAGCGATCTAGGCATATCCAGGGCAAAGCGCAGCTCTTGCTCGCGGCTTACGGCAAAGCACTCGAGACCATACCCCGCACACTCTGTGAGAATGCTGGTTTTGACGCCACTGACCTCCTCAACAAACTACGGGCAAAACACGCGACCAGCGACGAGAATCTCTGGTTCGGAGCAAACCTGGAAACCGGTGAACCGCAAGACTGCTGGCAGAACTATGTCTGGGAACCGGTCCTGATTCGTGCCAATGCATTTGCTTCGGCAACGGAGGCTGCATGCACGATTCTCAGCATTGACGAAACCCTCAAAACGGAGACCAGTGATAAGAACGACGCGATTCGCTGAGCACTCAGAATGACACACGGCAGAATAGTGGCACCATCAACGCCGTTCGAAAGTCGAACGACGCCAACGGTGTACAGTAGTGGCGAGAAACCCGCTCTCGACAAGAAGTCTTCAACTGAGGTGCAGACGCCTTCCCGTCTTTTTGGAGCGGCCACCCACTACTGCTTCCAACTTTTTCTCATATAGTTCGACTTTGAGAGGTTGTCCAATAAAGTTCACTCTTGTCTATTCTGGAGGTCTTCTCTCCAGCACCGCACATCTCCGGATATTGATTGCGGCGTTAAAGTCTCAATTCACAAACTCCATCCGTTTCTTGCCGTCACTCGTTGTACTCACTAATGCAAGAAGTCCTGGAACTTGTGCCCTCCTTTCCATTTGCTCCTCCGTCAGCGGTCCGTACTTTTTTATATCTTCAGGGCTCCGCTGACACTTTTCCATCTCCACTCTCTGAAGTGTACACCCCAGTTCATGGTGTGTATACGAGGTTCGGAACTCATCTACAGGTATCGTAACGAAACGCCGTGCACACTCTTTGTACGTTCTTGTCGTTGGAGCTGGTGTACACCCTTTTCGGGTCTTCCAGTGCCCTGCTCCGTATGCTACGACGAGCCTCTGATTTCCATCCTCCTTCAGGTCACTTAACTGATTGAAAAAATTCGCGAACGCCCGCTGCTTACCACAATACAAATTCATATGCAAACGAGCCCACCGGGGTTTTGTATACTCCTCCCACAGCGCCTCCCAATGCGCCATGCGAACTTCCATGAATTTCCGAAAAGCTTCAAAGTCCGCTCCTCGGCTCGTCACCTCGCTCGAAGCTTCCAGGGGATCTTTCATTCCTGAATTCCACGTACAAATTTTCTACCTCGCATTCATGATTCCCGATTCTCGATAGTATCTTGCTCTCGAGAACCTCAAAAGACGCATATCTTTCTGACGGAAGTTACCATCAGTCCCATCTTCCGCATACGTGGGTACTGCGATGGTTATGATGTTCGTATTCCCAGGGTCCACGCCAACGACAAAGTCGTGATCCTGCACCTCCTGCATCGCAAGATCTGCATCATTCTCATCTACATCCTTCGCCGAGCCGTCTACAAGGTTGTACTTTTCCACTTCCTGCGTCGCAGGATCCGCATCCTTCTCATCTACATCCTTCGCCACGGGCGAAGCCGAGGACGGACCAGGAGGCGAGCCCAACGGCGCTGGAGGCGCAGAAGAACGCGTTTGCCGTTGACATGGATCCCGGGAACACCCACATCGTTACCATTGCAGCACCCAAGCGTGAGGAAGATGGCTCTGACGGCAACTTACGTCAGAAAGACATAAGTCTGTTGAAGCTCTCATGAGCGAGATATTACCGAGAATCCGGTATAATGAATGCAAGGAATAAAAGTGAGACATCGAATTCAGGAGTGAAGGGAATTTGGAAGCGATCAGCCAGGTGACGAGCCGCGGAGCCGATATTGAAGCGTTTCGAGAGGTTATGAGCATTCACGCAGCTCATGACGAGAGCCTTTGGAAAGAATGCACAAAGTTCAGGTGGGCTCGTTTGCGTATGAACCTGTACTGTTGGAAGCAGCGAGTATTCGCCAGCTTTTTCATTCAGTTGATCGCCCTCAAGAAGGACAGGAGCCAAAGGCTCGTAGTAGCATACGGGGCAGGGCGCTGGATGGCCCAAAAAGGGTGTATACCAGCTCCAACGACAAGAACGTACAAGGAGTGCGCACACCGTTATGTCGAAATACCTTTAGATGAGTTTCGAACATCTTCTACACACCACGAGCTGTGTTGTACACTTCAGAGGGTCGCGATGGAGAAAAGCCAGCGGCTCGCTGACGGAAATGCAAATGGCAAGGAGGGCGAACCTTCGAGGACTACTCGCATTGGTTAGTACAACTAATGATAGGAAGAAACGAATAGAGTTCCTGGACTGAGACTTTAACGCCGCCATCAGTATAAGGAGGTGTGCAGTACTGGAAAGAAGACCCCCGGAGTTGGCGAGAGCCAACTTTGCGGGGCAACCTCCCAAAATGGAGTTATACGAGAAGAAGTTGAAACCAGTAGTAGGTGGCCAGTTGCGGAACGCCGGCACAGGCGTCTGTACATCGATGGGTAGACATTCGGTCTACGACGGACGGTGTGAGAAACGCCACTCTTGTACACTGGCTTTCCAGCGTTTCTCTTTTGCAAGGCGTTTGGTGGTGTTTCCAGAGGCGAATTGTTTATCAAAAACGTCTTCTATCGATCTTCGAAACCAACGTGCTGCTTCCTCTGTGCGGCACGGGGCGTACGCTATGCGCTTTTCTGCTGATTGACAGCGGAAGCGACAAGTCCGGTTACTGCCTTGAAGACTTTGACGCTTTGGAGAGACCATCATATGGATTGTTTCAGTTTTCTGACCTCCTCCTAACCACCACGCTCGCATCTCTGTTGCAACGGCACGCGCAGCAGCTCTCATGGCAGCCAAAGCTGAACCCGGGCATCGAGAGAGAGGAAAGCTGCATAAAAGGTGATGCAAAGCCAAGGAAGCCGGTAATCTGAGCACGTTTGCATCACCTGCAGAGCTGCGAGCACTCGTCCAAGCGAAACTGACACCCGAGGAGCAAGTGCGTTTTGGGATGCAGTGTGCAGGGCTGGCAGCCAAGGCACTTGAGGTACTCGACAAGTCGCTTACATCTTTAGAGCAAGACATAGAGAACGAGTCTTGTGACTGGGAAATAGAATCGGACGATGCCATGGACCGTGTTGCCAGGCGATTCCTTGCCGATCTCGAACAGCAAAAGCAAACTGGCAGCACGCGTCGACTCACCCAACTCAGTATTTGGCGTCGCATCAGTCGCTATGTCTTACTGGCGGAAAGGCGAGCATGAACTGCAGGCTGAAGGCAGTCCTTTTGTGAGGCAAGTTGCGAAGATCGTGGACCAGGCATCCAAGACTCCGGGATACCGCCAGGTCGTTGCCTGGGAGCATCTGGAAGAGCTTGCAGACGCGGCAACTGCAGATGGTGTATTCGGTTCGCAGTCACGGTCGATGTCACGTATCTTACGTCGCCCAGAAAGTCGGTTTCGACTCTTGCTCTTGAAACTAGGGCTTGGCGAGGAGCTCTGCACACGCGACGAGCGGCGTTTGATGCTGGCATTGGATACCTCTGATGCGAGACTTGAACCCGAACGCATGCGCTCGAAGAAGAGGGCACCTGGTGGAGCGCAGGATGGCGCCTCTGCAAAGCGCGACCACGGGAGGTCTGCATCCGTTTCGTCGTCGTCGTCGTCGTTAGAGCCAGAGCACGAGGATGACGTGCACCCAGCGGCCAAGAACGCGTCTTCCGTGAGAAAGAAAAGACGACATCATCGGCGACGATCATCCAACAAAAACGAAACCCTGGAGAATCCTCAGTAAGCTAGCATTTGAGCGAGATTGCCGCTGAATCATCGCCGTGCCCTGGCCCTGTGGATATCGCATGATGCATCGTTTACAGCGTTTCAGTCATGATACTGGGTGGTGATTATCGCCGCCGGAATACCTCAGGACTAGATCGCGGATCGTTGGAAGCTACGCTCGCGTCCATCGCGTGTACCATGCGCTGCAAAAGTGGTGCTTGTCTGTAGCTGCTCAAAGAGCACATGATCGCTTGCTGTGCTGCGAGCACCACGGCGCCGGCCTCTGTCGGCAAACGCGCTCAAAGGCGTACTCGCGACAAGCATGAATTCAGCAGGAATATTGGCGCTGGTTGAGGCACTACGACTGACTATCGAGAGACCAATCTCAGCAACCGCAGCATGCGTCGATCACTGGGGCGCAGCTTAAACTCCAGCATCGATGCGGCAGTGTCAGAGCCAGACCTGCAGACTAGTGGACAGAGCGCAGCATGCCTCATTCTGGATTTCGCAGAAGTACCCGCCAGAGACGCTTTTCAGGGTAGCCAGTGGCGGATCGCGTCTATTTCGCTACCGGGAATTCGGACGGATTCCGCGTCCAGTCGACCGGGGACGGTTCACGCTCTCCACTCGGACGTCAACGCGTTTCACTTTGGCGATGAAGGTGCTGCATTCATCCACCGACCAGTCTGCATGACGATTCGACGAACATCGGGCGGAACCTTTGATGCATACCTCTGGAGCATGATTCGCAGAGGTGTACTTTTTTGCAGGTCGTCGAGGTGGAGCGTGTGGCGAGAGCCACATATTTGAGCGACCTCGCACCGGGCGTGATCCAAGACACCATTCGGCTGATGCTCAAGCGTGCCTCGCGTACCCGACATGTCGTTGCTCACCTTCGTGATGCTGGTGTGCTTCTGTGGGTAGCGCACTTGCGCCCGTTTGCGAAGCGTAGCGGACCTTGAGGACAAGTGGCACGCTCCAGCAGCCATGCGCTTGCATAGGTCATGCATTCATCATGTGATGCTTTCCAAAGCAGCACCTAGGGCGGGGTCATCAAACACGTCGTGGAAATCCCAGAACTGCACATTCCAGCGGGGGTGGTAGCGCCGACACCAGCGCTCAAACCCCTGGATATATGCGGGTCGCAGGTGCGCATCCAAAGCGTTCCGGAACGCTACCATGGACTCCTCGATGATCGAGGGATCCATGAGAATGCTCCCCAACAACGGATCCAGCATCATCTTGACCGGAACATGCTCATAACCCCAGAAAGGCAGTTTCGTCCCGATATCGCCGACCGCTGCCCATCGGAATGAAAACGGCACATGTCGCTGGAACGCTGCAGCGAAAGCGCGATTCCCGACTCGAGGCGACCCAAAAGTCACACACATCACCAGATCCGATGACAGACGCAACGACTGTGAATTCTCAAAACACGTCATATCGAGGGCAGCGATGCTTGCCAGAGCCCCGCCGAGAGAGTGACCTCAAAAGATCACCGGTTTGTGGTTGCAAGATGCACTATCCAAGGAGTTCATCGCACTACACGGTTGCGCTTCGCTCGCATCTGCTGCTGCTGCTGCTGCTGCTGCTGTAGCAGTTTCGCTTCGACACCGC